AGACGTCGCCACTCCGTATGAGTAATTTGCAAGCTGTTAAAGGGATGACAACGACATTGGAGTGTGACAACCAGATAGACCTGTCATCTATCCAATTTCCATTCGACCTTTCTTGTCTCAAACCGACCGAATCGAGAGAGCTCTCCGAACATAAATCAGGTGCAAGATCATCGTGCTTAGATCGTGGAGTCAGGGGTTCGAGTGTGCAGACTATGACACGCCGGAAACAAGGTCAGTCAAAACGAGTACTATTCTAAATTCCGGGGCTGTTATGACCAAACTACAGATACATCTTATCAAGATCGCAAGTCTCCCCCAACAGGCACGATGAATACCCAAAAGACATTACAGGTCTTTCAGGAGCGACGGACAAACAGAGTTACTTGTAATGGTCTGGAGGTTACCGAAGCCCCCGTCCGACGACGCCACAAACCAAGGTAAGTCGTATCTCGTCCTCGACATTAATTTTACTGACACAAATTTCCAGCATTGAAGATGTCTCAATTCTTCGAGAAGCTTACCAAAAATATCGAAATCGAAGTGCGACTGAAGAGGAGCTTCAAGGTATCGCGGAGCGAACACAAATGACAATTCCCCAAGTTCGGGTAAGGCGTCCTCATGTGAAAAATGACAGGAGCTAAAACTGGTGTAGCGGTGGATTGAGAATCGAAGACAAGAAGACCGATGTAAAATGAAGGGTATGTTTTGACTCGATAGTGATAGCAATTCCTGATTTACCGTTTGATTGCTGAAACCCTCTCTCATTCAGTCAGTTATGACACTTCATGTGGGCTAACTGACGCTGGCGTATTCGTGACTGTACTGTAACAATCATCGGCGAGACTACGAGTAAGACATCGTCGTCATTGTGTGATCCACTACCTCGTAGCTCGTGGCCTGCATAAATATCCGTTTGAATGGCCTGGAGTTCTCTTTCTCTCGGTCATGCGTGAATTGGAACATCCCCAAGAGAGATTTGGAGAGAGATTGCTGGGTTTGCCGGATATCGAAGGCAGAATTTTCGTCGTCAGGAATGGGTGATCTAGAATGTATACCAACTGGCTGATCGTCACCCAGTATATTAGGGTTGTCTAGGAGAATGTGTGAACACACATTGAACATACAGAGCATTGAATAAGCCCATTACTCTTGTGCACAATGCACTGACTCTCTTCCAGCCCCCGTTTTTTGCGTTGCTGCTTCCTCGCTGCCGTCCGCTGTAACTCGGCTGGGAGGGCGACGGCGAGGCAGAGTGGGACTCTTTGAAAGATGTTGTTGGTTGCCGCTGGATTGAGCTGAAGATGCCCTGACTCCTCCTATTTCGTGCTCTTTCAGAGAGTGGTTTGTGTACCAGTACGCACGCCGTGATCGGATTTGTCTGCCGTGGCTCGGCGTAAGTGACTAAGATGCCCTGTAGTCTCGTGGGAGACCGCCCAACTGATATCGCCAATCTCATCAACGTTGGAAACTCAACCATAGTATAACACCCTCGAGGTTTTTGTCTGCTCCATAGTATTGGACAACGGCTAAGGACACGAAGTTTCCTCGCACTCGTCTATCAACTGTAGGCTATCCTACACAAAAATATTCGAGAGCCATCACCCAACCATTTCGCCGAAGCTAGGGTAAAAATGAAGCAAGTCTGCTATCTCATGAGAACATCTCCCACCGGATACTCGCTGGCAGAGAACGGGACAGAACGGCAGCTTCAGTAAATACCGGTCCTCTCCGTTGTTTGACATCTCCTAGACCAGGGGAATCATAACTAGGATGGCGATATATGTGATCAGCCTCAATGCCAAGGTGTCGAGAGCGTCTTTCGCGCATAAAAGATAGAGCAAGATGGCGTAGAGGTGAATCGTCAATGCTAGGGGGATAATTCGGAAGCAATTGGCTGGCCCTGCCATATTTTGCCTGTTGCCACTTCTATTCGTTGTTTCGGATCTTCAGGTACTCAGACAGAAGTGCAGAATGGCCGGCTGTAGGGGGGCTTTTCCAGCACAAGGAGAGACTTTGAGTCGTTGAAAGAGCAAGCAACGAAAATTGGAAGCAAGGACAGACTATTATAAAAGGTGACGAGAAACCGCCTCTGTCGAGGGGCCTGGACCGCGCTGGTAAATGTGACACGCGGTCGTTGAGGGGACCAGGCAACGGGAGAAGGCGATCGCCGGATGCTCAATACTCTCGGCGCATCTTCAGAACGATTTTCCAGGACAAATCAAATGAGCCGTCGGCACCCAACGCTGCACTTCGCAGTTCTTGGTGCGGTTGCGATTGGCTTTATCGATCGCACTGAGGTTGATTTCCTCGGGGGATTCTGTAGCATACAAGATGAGGAGGCGAAAGGCTCCTCAGCATGATGTAGAGTCATTGTCTGTGTTCTTGAGCCTCTGTCTCAAACAGACTGAGCCGAGTGCCTTCGCGACAATCTCTTACGGAGTCCTCTCACAGACAAGATGCGATGGATCTGCGATAGACTTGACAAGCCAGTCTAGGCAACTCGGCGTGCGGCGAGGAGTCTCACTTTCTCTTCTCTTAATCCACATGCAGGCCTCGTCTTGAAGTCTCGCCATCGCACGAGGCAGACACCTCAAGCCACAAATGCCGCACGCATTGGCGCCGTCAAGGGAGCCTTGGTCACATCATAGGCCACTTAGGCGCATACGCATCCTCGAGCATCCTTGAAGCATGTAACCTTCCATAGCCTGGCCGAATCTGCACAGAGCTAGAGTGTTCGTTCATCCCGTCTGCCCGGCCGATCGGCAACCTCTCGCAATACACCCTCTTCCCTGCTGGTAAAAGTTATTCGTTAGGCTTCCGCAGCCCCTGCAGCGCAAATACAGGTGTACACCCAGTCGTGGCCAACCGAAGGAACAAGCCCGATGGCGAGGATGAGACGTGCTAGCCAAGGTCTGCTTTCTTCTCCTAAATCTGAACAGGGACTGGCTCGTCCTTGCATAGCCCTGTAATAGTTCGATCTATTTGGCCACTGCTGCAGCCGCTGCAGCCGCGAAGGGTCTACTAGATTCCTGCCTCATCCTGACACCGGTCATCCTGGCGTCGATGCGGTGCAGTCATGTCGTTGCTGAAAAACATTCGAGTGGTCAAAGAACTTTGGTTGCACTTGGAAGAATGTATGTGCGGGAGGGAGAGAAGGAGGGAAAGGGGGAAGGGTTGGATTTCCTGTCGTCGAAAAGTCGCTCATCGGCCCCATAGACATGGACCAATCAAAGGCCATCGCCGACCCTCGCCACCCTTCGCCCATCTCTTAGTCCAATTTCGGCTCACCTTGGGCGCAGCCTGTGCGCACCTGTGACTCGCCCCCTAACTCACTCTGACCTGGGCGCTAGGGTGAGGTGAAACTGAGCTAAGGGTGAGCTAGGCTAAGCTAGGCTGAGCTCGGGGTGAGTTAGAGCGGCGCAGCTCACCCGCTAGATCGGGAAGGGGAATTGGAGTTCGAAGAATCTGGGACGTAGTAAAGAAGTATTATAGCGTTTTTTATTCCTATTTTATTCTAAGAGAAAGGCCACTATAATCGCGTTTAGTACCTAGTTAGTTATTATATTAGAAGCCTTCTTTATAATTATATCACTTTAACACTAAACTAATAACATAAATAGAGAAAAATATTATTCTCTATAATTAATATATAAATAAAAGTAATTCTTATAATTCTTTAACTTATAATAATGTCTCTTTAAGATATTAAGGAAGCTTACTCTAGTAGTAATCTCTTTTTATGCCTAGAGTTATTTTTCTTCTCACTATTATTATATTATGAAAATTACTTTATTCTTTAACCTTTTATTCCTAGTCTTTTCCTTATAATAGTAATATATTTAGATTAAGTTAAGATAATAACTTAAAAAGATATTATTATAAAATAATGACAATATTAAAATGTTCTCACTAAATAAGCTATATTAACTAGTTAGTTAATATTATTTTAGCTTCTTAATAATTAAGTATACTAGTACTAAATACGCACTAAGTTTAGTCCTACTCTTATAGCTATCTTTTTAAGTATAATAAAGTTTTTATCACTTTTAATAGGCCTTCTTAAAGTGTTCCTAAGTCTTTATAGTTAAGGAATAAAGCTTTTTATTACTTTATTTAATTATGAACTTACCCCTAAAGATAGAGGGACATAATTTATAAGTCTTTTAATTATAGTTATTATATTAATACTTAAGTTAACCTTTATACTTAAGAAGTGTGTTAATAATATTAAAACCTTAATATAATATTTTTATACTAAGAATCTTAACCTTCTTAATAAAGATTTCTATAGTGATATTATAAAAAAGTTTATTAATCTTAAATATTAATTTAATAGAGTTTATATTAATTAAGCTTAAGTTATTCTTTATAGTATATAGTGAAGTATTTAATTAATAACTAAGTTATACTAATAAAGAGACTTATATTAATATCTCTCTCTTCTCTTTATTATTTTCTTTAGTATTACTAGATATAGATAAGACTTTATTATTCTTATTAAGAAGATTTAATGCTTTCTGTGCTTATAACATAATATTCTCCTTAATACTTAGTCTTAGTAGTAACTTTAGTGACTCTAATAACTTTAGTAGGTTAGGACTAGCTATTTAAGAGGGATAAGGACTTAGAGATATAGCATGACGCTTTAAACTTACCTTATTAGCCCTTATTATAAAGCTATTACTGTTACTTTTGCGCTTCATATAAGTGTTATAAGTAATAAGGGTCTCGCGGAGTGATTAAGAGGCTAATAACTCCTAGAGTTAACAGAATAAAGTTATTGTGCGCCTTATACAATTTAACATCATGTTTATATGTAGTTACGATATATTGTAGTAAATTACAGTGCTATCTAGGGCTATTGCGGCTACAGGATAAGTTTGTTAATATAGGCCATATGGCGGTGTGCAGATTTCATATAACTTGCAAAAAAATAAGGTTTTTACGGAATTTTGCAAAGCATAATAGTCTGTAGCACTTTTCCCCTTCTAGACTTGTTCGTTATTCGCTCGTATATAAGGTGAGCGCTCCCTCGTGGGTTCTTCTCTTTTTTCCTTGTTCATAGTTAATCATGTATAAGCATCGCAACTCTAAACGTTTCTTCACTGATAGTCGCAAAGATCTAGATCGATTTGTTCTAGATTTTGAGAGAAGGATGTCTCGTGTCTGTTCTATCTGTCATCGAAACTATACTGAGTGCAAAGTGTGCATTCGCTCTAGTCGTTGTGGTGAATGTCATCTTCGTGGGTCGACTTGCAATGTTCGAATAACAAAGTCTGAATAAGATCAAATAAAAACCGAAAGAGAGCGGTTCAGTCAGGAAACCGAAGTCTCTTGTTGAGCTTAGGAAGCGGCGGTAGCCATTCAAGAAGAGACGCGTCGCACAATGGACGCTGGCTTTTCATAACGAGAACCGCGCAGAATACACTTCGATGGTTGCTCCGTCGTCAAAGCTATATACTCAAGGTTTGAGAATCAGCGCTTGTTGTTAATCGAGTAGCGTGATCGAAGCTTGGACAGAAATTGCCAACTGATTTGGGTTATGAGAATATACTTGTAGAATCTCTTCATTCCCCAGTACCCCACCCTATGCAGCATAGTATTTCCGATCCCCGGTCGTCCAAATTAGACACTCATACTCCCTACAGCCATGACAAGCTTATATCCATCTGGCAGATGGGATTTAGCGTGGTACATAGGTTACGGGGTATTGAACCCACTGATGGTGGCGAAGGACGTGCACTAATGTCTCGGCCACGTAAATACCTTTGAAAGACATATTTCTGGTCGAGATTGATAACTTTGTTTTCTTGACTTTCCAATAACCACGCTCGGGCCCGTCAGTAGACTCCCTAATTCGCGCAGGGTATATAGGGAGATAGAAACCATCTGGCAATGGATCTTGGAATATCCCTTTCTTGGGGACAGATGTTTGTGCCGGCTGCACTGATATATCGGAATCAGCACGGCTTTCATTAGAACTACCAGAAATAGTCCTTGTTACACCTTGTAGCCAAGCAAAGCCGCTACTCGGTAACACACAGCATCGGAAAGTCTAGACTGCCAGTGTTCTTATCGGACGCATGCAGAGTTACAGCATGAACACCACCAAGCTACGAGGGATGCGTACCACGAGGACCGACTTTTGCTAAAACAAGCACGGCTCGTAGAGAGCGGCGTGCAACGATAGATTCAGCACTCTCGTCTGGTGAGGCCCTGAGGAGTATTGCTTGTGCTAGGTCTGCCATGACTGCACTCTCTGGACACCGTCATGCTTTGATGCGACCTGTGGGTCTGGATGTCTAGATCATATATAGAGTCTTCTCGTCACCTCATTTGCAATGTGCTCCAGGTGTGCGAACTCATTCCGTAGTCGGTCGTATACTAGATACCTCGTCCTCCGCCATGTCGTTCGTTCGAAATGCGTTCCTCGTCGCTGCTGTTGTCTCTGCTGCAAACGCACTGCCAAACCCCAAGCGTTCTGAAAGTTCCGACCTTCAATGGGGCCCTTGTCCAGCAAGAATGAACTTTACCTCGGCCTATTCATATGACTGCGCGACATTAACGGTACCACTCGACTATTCAAATTCCACCGACGGCAGAACGTTGGATCTTCAACTTCTGCGAGTGAATGCGACCAACCAACCGTCTAAAGGCGCTATATTGATGAACCCTGGTGGGCCTGGCGGCGTTGGCACACAGTTTGTGGCAGGTACTGCGGCCGAAGTTCAGACGTCAGTCATCTTACTAAAGCGTCTCGAGACTATATCACGTCAACTAATTAACTCAACAGGATCCTGGACGGTGAGTATGATCTAATTGGATTCGATCCCCGAGGAACAGGAAATACCATCCCCTACGCCTGCAATGACACATCCTCGTCCGGCTCGAAGAAAACCAAACGGCAGGAGTTCGATATCCCAGAACCGACCTTTCCCGAGGACTACGACCTATTGGAACTTGACATTGATGACATGTCTATGGCTCAACTGGTTGGAGTCTTGCAGAATGAGCTTAGTGATCTCCAGGTTGTCGCAGAGACCTGTGCCGCCGACAATGAAGAGTACGGCGAGTATATCGGGACCGCATTCGTTGCAAGGGACATGCTACGCATCGTGGACGCTTTAGGTCAAGGAAGCCTGCTCAATTATTGGGGTGAGTCTAGCCCTGTAAGGGCACTCTTAGACAAGACGTTGTGATTGCTGACGTTGCGAGTGAAGGCATCTCCTACGGCACTGTACTCGGCGGCACTTTTGCAGCCATGTTCCCCAATCGGACTGGTTTCATGTTGCTGGAATCCAACGTCAATCTCCATGAATACATGTCAGGAGCGTGAGTAACTCGTCCCGCCTTGTTCTTCCGACCGGCCGACCCACTTACTGATCTCATTCCGTAGCGGCATTCAAGCCAGAGCGACTTTAGACGCCAACGTCGACGCTCTTTTCGAGCAATGCATGGTATACCCGGAGGAATGTGCGCTGGCTGATGACCACCAGACGGTCGAGAGTCTTGCACAAAACTACGAGAACCTTGTGGCCGCGCTCGACCAGCAAGGCATCCCCATGAACGACACTGACGACGAGATCGATGGCGGCACCGTGCGGAATTACATGCTCTCAAATCTGTATAACCCGAGCGAGTGGCCCGAGGTCGCCGTCGCGCTCAAGGTGCTATACGACGGTGAGTGGGAAACCTTTTACAACATGTCGCGCCCTCCCAAGGAAGGCAGCTACAACAAAGGCACCGAGGCGCTGCTGGGGATCCGGTGCGGTGACAGCCGACTAAGGAGCGACAATGTCACCGATCTCGAGGGGTTGATCGAGATCCAGCTGAATGTGTCGCGCTGGTTCCCGCTGCAGCCGACGCTAGAAGGCATGACCTGGGTAGCATGGCAGCAGGAAGCCAAAGAACGCTACAACGGCGACTTTCAGGTCAAGACCCAGACGCCCATTCTCGTCCTCAACAACGCCTACGACAACATCACGCCGTTGATCTCGGCCCGAAACACGAGCTCAGGGTTTGCGGAAAGTGTTTTGCTGGTCCAGAACTCTTACGGGGTAAGTCAAGATCAGTAAAATGCGATTCATATCATCTTCCTGCGTCCCCCTATCCCACTATGCTACTTATGACCTACTACTGTTGGGGAAACCACTCTGACCTGCCTATCTATGTAGCATGTGCCCGAGTACACTCCTTCGTTGTGCACCGCCCAGGCAATCAGGAATTACTTTGGTAACGGCACCATGCCTAGCAACGGCACCGTCTGTGAGCAAGAAGTGCCGAATTTCTTGCCGCAGAACTGGACCGAGATCTACCAGGACCTGAATAAGACCGGCAGCAGCGACTTGACGAAGCGAGCATACTCCAAAAGGGAGGTCGATTTGTTGCATGCGGTGAGGTCGTTGGGTGAGAAGCTTCATCAATTCGACAGACTGTGAGAAGGCTTAGTAGTTTCAGTGAGCAGTTTAAGAGAGTGCCTCCCATATTAATTGATTATTACGTTTCGCTCCACCTAACACTGTTTCAGTCTATAGTGACGATCATGACACATACAAATTTAATCTTAACATTACTAGCGTGACTTTCGTTTTACAACTTTCATTACACTAACAAAATATTAGCCACTTTACGGAGTATATTATATACTAATCTGTGACCTCATAAAAAATCTATCCCTGGCTATCGGCTTGCTGCCGGCTCATCGCCAGGGCTGGCTGTATCGAAACGAACAAACAATTCCCCTCCAAATGGATGGCGGAATGCCGCGGAAGCGCATGGGCAACGGTTGCCGTACATGCAAGTGAGTCGAACCTCTTTTCCCCCGGGGTCAATGTCTACAGCGAACCTGACAACCCCCCAGATTGAGACATGTCAAATGTGACGAATCCAAGCCCCATTGCAATCGGTGTCTGAAGGCTCGGCGCAGATGTCTCGGATACTCGGTGACAACAAAAGATGATGCTTCTTCTTCCCCGGTGGCTTTTCTCGTCATGGCTCAAGGCTCAAATCGACCGGAATGTGATGCCAAAGCTCGGCGGGCATTTCAATTCTTCTACGAGGTATGTCAGGCTTCTTTTTCACGGTACGAAAAGAACAGTGCCGTCTGGACCAGGATGGTGTTGCAGGCCAGCCACTGCGAGGAGAGCATCAAGCACCTGGTGATTGCCGCCTCGTGCTTGGGTCTATGTCGACGCCGCGGTGGACCGACCTCGGCCAGTGAAGACTTCACGTCCTTCCTCTTTCATCACGGAAGAGCCTTGGCCTTGCTGAGCCGCGGTCAATGGCAGAAAAAGCCTTCTGTTATCCTGCTAGCGTGCCTGTTGTTGGTGCTTTGCGGACAGCTTCAGGACCGGGACGATCTCGCCGCTCAACATGCACAAGCAGGCAAGAAGATCTTGGCATCCCATTATATTGATGGAGGCCTTCATTCTCATGCTCACATGATAGACCCGGCAATTGACGAGATCGCCGTGGTTTTTTCGAAATTGAACATTGACCGTAAAGACGGTAGTAGTCTGCACATGGCCATGCCAGGGATGCTAGGGCTGCCTGGACCACCGACGGAGCTCCCCACGACGACTCAGCAGCTCATATGGTCATTCTGAAGTTGTAGCCCAGCTGCATTCCCGGGTGGTTCTATCTCGATTTATTCTTGGCTGTGAAGAACGAAGATTGTTTGCTCTCGGCCTCGTGAAAGCACCTTTGAGTGGTACTCCGTACAACACGAGCAGGAGCAGTGTCAAGCAATGGTTTACTGGTTACCACTTCAACACGGAGGAAATAGTCGAAGCATTGATTACCGAGTGAAACTTGGGTGGCGCGTTCGACTCCAGCGTTTTGGTGTGATAGAAAGGTAATTTCTGTATGTATATCTATGAATTGACCTCAGACGAAGTCTACTGTAACAATGAAAAACATACAAGTCAGGTGGGATTCATTTCCTCTCTTATTCTCTTCTTTTCCTTCTGGTTTTCTGAAGCTTCTGCGCGACCCCGTTAGCTGTTTCCGTTAGCTGTTTCCGTTAATGAGACCTATGATTTGGGATCCTGCTATGACTCTAGAGGCTGTCATTCGGTCTTCTCGACAGCATTTTCTCTGGTCTTGCCTTTATTTGACTTTTTCATCTTCATGAGGCTTAGTAGCTAACTGTACGCCTTATACAAATTGGACTATGATGATGTGTATTTCTTGTACAAGCCGAATATGCTGTTAGCGGCGTGCTGTAGCTGCGACTGTCTCTGCTCAGCCTCGTCGATCCGGCTAAGTCTACCCAGTCTGGAACAACCCTTTTTCCGGATCCGCTTGCGATGACATGTGGGCGCAGCCTCATTGACTAGCTAGCCCCCGGCCTTTTGCCATCGTCTTCAACGTTGTGGAATATTTACTTTGATAAACAGCACTTCAAGTGTACGCACTCCTTACTGCGCCTCTTTTGACAAGAAACTGCATGCCTGTTTATTGAGTACGCACCTTGCTGCCGCCGAAAATACAAAAGAGCTGCGTTTTCATCCTTCCTTCCAGCCTTCGTTACTCCACGACTCCAAAGCCTTCTCCAACGACTCCTTTGTCTCTGCGAGCACCGTCTCTTCGTCGTTGTTCTACTTACAACCATATCATTACCATCTCCACAGGACGTTGACATGGCCGAAGTTTCACGACAGACGCCGTCACCTATCCAGACGAAAGATCTTCCTCACGACTCCCCGCCCATCTCAGCGACCTCGTCCCCGGGGTCTCTGTCAGCCAAACGAAGCCGCTCTGGCCTGTCGCTCGACCTCTCCTCCCTCCCGCCACTGTCACAGCCTTCACCACCCTCCAACACTCTCTTAATCACCCGGCTCGAGGACGACAAGATCTTTCACCCTGCCTCGCTGGCAACGATAAGACAACACATCAACGAAATAGCCCCACTCAACTCCTTTTCCCCGCTCAAATCCCTCTGTCGCATCATCTGCTCCTTCTACGACACCGACTCGGCGATCCGCGTCCGTCAAGCCATCGATGGCACTGCTCTTCTCGGATCCAGCGTCGCCAAATGTTACTTTGGCGAGCCCACCCCCATAGGCGATGAGAAGAAATACCTCGACCGCCCGGACGCAGGACGGTTATTCTTCATTTCACCGCCACCAAGTCCGCCGGTGGGATGGGAGATGAAACACGAAGACCCCCCTAATAGGGAGGTGCACGCCGAAGATCTCGCCTCAAAGCTGCAGAAATTGAGCGGCAAATTGGGAACTGTCGCCGTGGATGAGCAAAAGGAGGATGGATCAAAGGCACTGTATTCGGCCGAGGCACTACAGAAACTGAAAGAGAGCAAAACACGCGGACTAGCTGGGGTATCATCAGACAACTCGCCGAGTGCACCGTCGCCCAGCAAGCACAGGAGTCGAAGCTCGACGTTGATATACGACCCGAAAGCCCACGGTGACAGCCCGGCGCTCCCGGCGGTGATGCTGGAAGCGGAGGACGAGTCTGACGTTGAGCTCGAGGATTCTGGAAACAGGGTCATGGCGCATACCCCTAGACCACCGGTCGAACTGATGGAGCATTGATCGACGACTACGTATCGGCATTGAAGGCGCTCTTTGGCATTGGAAACTAATGGAATAGATGACAAGTCCAAGATTGGCCTGGGACGATTGGGAGTTCAGGTTTAGGATCATATTTCTTTGAGCCATGATTGTACGTCTCGGTCAGAAGAATCATGGCTCAGCAAATCCAAGCTGTGTATGTACAGTAGAAATCGAGGTCGAGAAGTGCCCATAGTACATTTTTAGGCCAGAAAAGAACCCGTAGTATGTCCAATATCTATAAAGGGTCGGACTTAATTGGTCTTCCCAGATGCCACACCATGCGCCTTTACAAAAATGCAGAAAAGCCGTATTCACAAAAGGCCAACAACTAAACAGCGGGTTCCTCGATGCCCTTCCACTGGCGATAAAGTTTCTTATGTTGCTCGAAAAACACCATGGTACATATTGTCTGTGGGCCCAGACGTATGAAACTCGGCACCCAGCCGCGGAACATCCACAGCATGCCTTCCTGCTTTGTCGCATCAGTGAGGATCTGCAGGATGCTCGTCTTCGCACCGGCGCTCATGACTCTCGTCTTGATCACGTCCACTGGCGAACACAACGTCGTCGCGACGAACCCGGCGGCAAGAGACGCCGTAAAATGTGTACTGAAGTTGTCCGACATGCCCAATCTTCCCAGGCACAATTGCTTGAAAGCGTCGTAACTGGCGAGTTGCGAGGCCGTCATCATCAAGGCCCGGGTCGAGTTTGCCTCGACTCCCCGGAATAAGCTGGCCACTCCTTCCTCGCGGGACATGCGTATGATGCCGTCGAGGGCGTGGTTGTAGTTGCGGCGCTCGACGTGCGGTTTGTTGCCGTCGGACTGCATGCGCACGTTGAGGACGTCGCCCGGGTTGCCAGCGATGCCGCCCAGCAGGCCCGCAACCGAGGACATGAGGACGAGTTGGAGAAGTGACGGACGTGGTGCAGGATTCTCGGGGGTCGGGGCGGGAGCGAATCTCGTCTTGAGGTCTTCGTAGACGCCGAAGCGCACGGTGGAATAGGTCAATTGGCGGAGGAGGGCGCCGGAGAGACCGGCATAGAGCCCTAGTGGTCCATCGTGCCGCAGGATATGTGTGAATGTGCTGATGGTGGTTGTTGGAGCAGAGGACGGGCGGGTTTGAAGTCGGACTTTGACTGTAGTGCACGGCTTTGTGTTAGCACGGGGGTGGTCTGAAAGCGTGCCGGGGGTTTGGGCAAGGCGTGAGAGGGTCTACATACCCAAGTCAAGGGGATGGGTGACTACCGCCGCCATTGAGGCTGCGCTGCCCCCGAACCAGAAAGGGTAGCGTATGGCAGCATTCTTGGACTGCTGCGTCTTCGGCTTCGGAGAGGGTGTCGTCTCGTTGGCGTCTTGTCGGGCAATGGGTGCTGGTGTCGACATGGCTCCATTCCCAGGGCACTTCTGGGCCTCAAATGTGTACAGGGACAATAGCAAAGGTCCCTAAGGGAAAGAAGAGTCTCAAATGAACGGCACGTCCCTGTAAATGAGTGACTGAGATGGCGGAGACAGGGAGTTGTAGCTGTAAGAAATAATACCAGTCAGTACTTTTTACCCGGTGACGAGAATCTCCCTGTTCCGAGATGCTCGGTTATATTAAGAGGCCCGAAGCGAAGTGTCTGACAGTGGACAATGTACTAGCGTTTGCGCGCGGCTGAGTCTGTCTGACATCCTTTTTTTCTCTTCGAGATGCGATATCGGTTTCGAGATGCAGGACTTTCCCGCACAAAACAGCTGGTGCATTTTCGCTTGCAGACACGCCCTCCGCATCTGTCCGCAAATCAATTTGGCAAGCTTTCGTTGAACTGTGTGCTCGTTCTTTTGGATGATGAATTGACGGGACTGAAGTTCGGTCACCTCCCATCCGATGCAGCTTCTCAGGACCGGTGCCTTCCTGAGGGCAGCTCGTTCCGCCAGATTCGCCGTCGTCCAGAGTCGAACAGCTCCGTCGGCTACAACCTACATTCGCACTCCTTCACGATGGTCGAGCTCCCAAGTAGCTGCAGAGCAGCAGCAACTGCAGCAGCGGTCATTTCCTGAACAATCGGTTGCGGGCGCCAAAGAAGTAGACCCGGCAAAGACTGCCGAGTCAAAGAGTGATGGACAGCCCGGGCATCAAAAAACAATCGCAGGGGCACCGTATGTTTTGGACAACACCACAAATGTTACGGACTCGATCCTCAACTTGGTCGGTCGCAACCTCTACGAACACCCTGATCACCCAATTTGTATCACTCGGAAACTTATCGAATCATGCTTCCCCCAACCCGAGTACAACCATTTCACCATGTCAGACCCAGTCGTGACCGTCAGGGACAACTTTGACGTCTTGGGATTTCCAGCTGATCATCCAGGCCGGTCGAGAACTGACACGTACTATGTCAATTCTTCCCACCTTCTTCGCACGCATACCTCCGCCCACCAGCATGCCGCCTTTCAAACCCTCGGCTCAGAAGAACGGACGACAGGATACACCATTTGTGCCGACGTCTATCGCCGTGATAGCATTGACCGCTCACACTTCCCCGTCTTCCACCAGATGGAAGGGGCGCGCGTGTGGGGCCTCGACCCGGACATCGAGTCTCGATACGCTGCGCAGTCCGCTCGCACAGCCAAGATGGCCACCCAGCTCAAGGCTTTGCCTTCGACGTCGATCATCGTGGAAGACAATGCGACAAACTTCTCCACCGACGTAAATCCCATGCAACCGGAACATGACCCTACCGAGGTGCAACTGGTTGTCTCCCATCTGAAACGCAGTCTCGAGTATTTGATGCAACAGATCCACAACGCTGCGCAGCAATCCATCCCGCAATCAGCTCGTACGCCCTTGCAGGTTCGCTGGGTCGAAGCATACTTTCCATTCACGAGTCCGAGTTTTGAACTTGAAGTCCTCTGGAATGGGGAATGGCTCGAACTTCTCGGCAGTGGCGTCGTTCAACAGTCCATTCTCAACAAGGCCGGCTTGACGCGTAGCATAGGATGGGCCTGGGGTCTAGGCATTGAGCGATTCGCCATGCTCCTGTTTGGCATACCCGATATCCGTCTGTTCTGGAGCACGGATAAGCGATTCTTGCAACAGTTCTCGAGTGGTAAGATTACCAAGTTCGAGCCGTTCAGCAAGTATCCACCTTGTTACAAGGACATCGCATTCTGGATCAATCCTGCTCCAGCAGGCGCAAGCCCACGTGGAGCGACCCCTTGGGGGTCAGCAGCAGCTGCCGGTGGAGATGCGACGAAAGCGAGCCCCACCGAAACACAGCCGGCGGCTTTCCACGAGAACGATATCATGGAGGTGGTTCGTGATGTGGCGGGCAGCCTGGCCGAGGATGTCAAACTCGTGGACGAATTCGTCCATCCGACCAGTGGGAGGAAGAGTTTGTGTTACAGGATCAATTACAGAAGTCTGGAGAGGACTCTGACGAACGAGGAGGTCAACAGGTTACATGACGAGGTCGCCAAACGCATGAAGGCTCAGTTTGGTGTTGAGTTGAGATGAGCGCAGGGTTTCGTTCATCTACTCGGTCCATTTTAAAACCTGATCGTCTGCGCGCATAACTCATTCGAGGAAGTTGTACTCCGCACACTTTTGCATTTGTTCCACTGGACATGTTGCAGCGTTTCTCTGGTAAGTCCATCTACCCCTTTATTTTTGGTCGGACTTTGTCCCTTGAGTTTCAATGATGAATTGCCAAAATTTAATATGTTTCAACCCCATATGACGGTCCTGTGACCGTTTGATTCTATTGTGCAACCTCTTACCTCAATTTTTTCCTGAAAGAAACACCTCAAAGCTTGCTTAAGCCATGCTTGCTCAACATCCTTTTATCTTTTTGGATTCTGCGAGAGAGCCTTTTGTACTGACAACGATCATCTCTTGTCAACAGGTTCAAGCGAGTGATCAAGGCAAGAAATGCCTTTTAGGGGCTTAGGATGTTGATGGACATCCGATCATGAAGAGAACATGAGGTCAATCTCAGAACCATGTATATCATATATTGTACAACCCTTTTATATGTAATCCTGGCCCATCTCAGGGCTTGTACAACAAGACGCGAAAGAGGGTTGATGAAAGAGAAGGACACGGATCTAGTTGAGATACAGATACCTTCCTATAGAATCTCTTCTCTGACTGGCCTTGTTTACCGTGTTCTTCGCCGCCAGGATTGAACCCGTGCCTCAGATATTCTGCAGAAGAAAGTAAAAACTTCTTACCTCCCTACGGAGTACCTAGTGGTAGTGATGGAAAACGATTTGCCTCGGAATCATATTCTTGATGAAAAGTGCCGCAGACGGGAGTTCCCCTTTCTTTCGGTTTCGGTCTTGGGGCTCATCCTCGAAAGTGTCGGGTGGGTACCTACTTACCTCACTGGGGCATTTTGGTGTATCCGTTCGTATGAAGATGTCATCAGACACGGTAGCATATCTAGGATGCTAGATCGTTTGCGTATTTGCCCCGTGACATTGATCCATCGACTTTGCAAGATCGTATGCATTGGGAGCCGACCTTTTCTGTAACTTTTTCCCCACGTCAGCAATCTTTGACAGTAATGTGTTCATCAATGTCATAGTCTCTGGAGAAGACCAAAACAATAAAAAAAAACCTTTTTTTAAACAGAATAGCGATGAGCAGCAGCAGCAGCTGCTGCTGCGGCGCTAGTTAGTAGTCGGTGATGTGTCCCGTCTGGTCACTTCTTGGTCACCCTTCTAGGGGGTATTCGATGGTCTCGGGCGCGATTTCCTGTAAATATCATCAGTCGTCTTACTCCTGGCTTTTTCTTTACAAGGAATTGTGCAGGAGATGTATTTTCTCATGGGTCAAGAGACCTGCAGGTCGGCAGGATGCGATAGAGTCGAGGAGGCGAGGGTCTCTCGCACTGCCGACCCTGACATGCTCTTCCCTTCCATCAGGTTGACGTACTCCTTCATCTGTGATCCTGCCCGTGTAGGACCCAAGCTCTTGCATCCGTCTCTCTGCGTCCTCTGCTCTTCCTTGGTCTCTTCGTGCGGCACTCGCCTCAGAAATTTCCAATCGCCCACCCCTCTTCCTCCTCCCTTTTGCATGGTTTGTGTGTTGTTCCCGTGTTCCGTGTTCCAATTACTTTCTGCCGTCTCTTCGCTCTGTCAACTCGTATGCCGGGTCGGTGATCTCGACGTTTGCCTTGCCCAGACCTCGACTCGGGGCTGTATCGTGTACGACCGTCACGAACTGTCCAAGCACCCAAGACAGGTAAGCAGCGCTAGCCATCACTGCACTTCCTCATGCTGACGATGGATACCCCAATCGAGGATCCCCAGCCCAACCATTCTCGGCATATGCCACCACTTTGTCGAGCTTGTTGTCACTCGACAGCTCAATAGCTGGGGGTCCGAAGTCGGAAATCCCACTGGACGGTTGGTGCCACGCAAGGGCCGGGTCCATCATCCTTCAAAGTAACAAGCATAGGTTAGGTTCAATTCCCACCAGTCAAGGATTGACATTCGAAGGATTTCTGAGCTCACAAGGCAATGATGAGATTGAATTTCAGGAGACTTGATTCTTTTTTTGGACCAGGTCGAGACCTTTTATACCTTTCACCATTGCAAATAAGTCATTCCTTTCCCCCACAAGAAAACCTTCCAGACAACATGGGAGATTGGGCCGAGTTCCAAAGTTAACAGTATGGGTTGTCGTAAAGCGCGGGTGTGGGCGGCAGTCTTTGGAAGCAAGAGCTTGGAAAAGATTGTGGTGTGCTCCCATAAAACCCGCAGAGAGAAGCCAAAGCCTGATGGAATTTGACACCGCTGTCACTTACTTCCTGAGAAAGTTTGTAAATTTGTTGGTTCAAGTGTTGCAGAAAAGACTCCATATCCGCAGGCAACTTTGTCATTTCTCGACACTCTTTGATCGGTCACGACAACGCATGCACCCACCATTCAATATTTCGAAGCCGCACAATATCAAGGAGCCCAACGGAGTGATAGACTATTGGCGTTCCTTGGGTGATCTCAGTCAACCCTTACAAACATGAAGCAGAGTCCTCGTTCGAGCATGAAGAGTTGGGTAGCAAGTCAGGTGAAGTCTGGGTTGTTGCTCGGAAGACTCGACACCAAGGGCCCGCTTACATAAGCACACCACATGGTTCAGGGTGAAGACATAAATACCCTAGCTACTCCGTGGGTTCCTAAGGTACACAGGATGTATCCAATGCACCATACTGCTCACCGGTTGTAGCCGCGCTGTGGCTTCCCGTGATGATGTAGCGACTAGAGTCGGTCAAAGGGAGGAGGAAGAAAGGTCTTTGAGTGATATAAGCTACATTTTACAAAAGCCGGAGCACCAGAGTACCCGCTCGTTCAGAAAAAAACAGGCACATCATGATCAATCCTCCCCATCATCTACAAACAAAGACGGAACATGTTAGCCGTCGAAAAGTGTCTCTCGTGTCCCATACCCCTCAGCAAGCCGCAGGAGGAGTACTCGCTTCGGTCTTCTCTTTTCTGGTTGAACCCAACGGAGACGATGCCTTTAAGATTCCCCGCTTCATCATTTACGCCTCGCAGTCGACCAAGCTCATGATAAACAGGAGAGAGAGAGAGAGTTGATGGTTGATTAAATATTCTTTACTTTTTGTACAGGAAGCTGAACCGTACCCAGGGTATGTGATCGGTCATGGTCATATGGTGCAGAACCCAAAAAAGTTCACTTTTTGTTCTGTCCTGAAAATGCGAGAGTGGAAAATTGTCGTCGCGGTTTCAAACCGCACTTGCGTTGTTCGAGGTTGGGAAGAGATTTATATGGAGGCGGATGTCGGACGGAAATGGGAGCGTGCGCGTGTGTATGTGTGTGGAGAGGGGTTTTCGTCTTATGAGTTCTTGACAACGCCGACCTTTGCGGCTCTCAGAACCCGGCCGTTAAGTTTGTAGCCTTTGCTCTGGGTGAAGAAGACCTCGCCGTCCTGCTTGCCGTCCACCTTGGCGAAGAAGGTCGCCTCGTCGGTGTTGGGGTCGAACCTTCGTCCCTCGCCCTCGAGAGGGTCAAAGCGTTCGATGCCGTGCTTCTTCAATGTGGACATGAGGATGCCTTCTGTCATCATGAGACCGGCGTGCAGGTCGGTGAGATGCTTGCTTGCCTCCGAGGTCGACTCCGATGCCGCCGCGGCGTTGGCGTCCGAAGAGGATGCGTCCGACGTCGCGGTCTCGGAGAGGACTTCTTTCGGGACGGCCGTGAGAGCTCGGTCGAGGTTGTCTATCGAGTCGAGCAGGTCTGTGGCGAAGCGTTGCAGGGCGAATTGCTTCGCCGCCTCGGTCTCGCGTTTCGTCCGCTCTTGCAGATTGCGGTAGTCGGCGACGGACCGGAGATATTTGTCCTGACGGGAAGGAGAAAAGTCAGCACGCACTCTACCAGAAAAAATGTGTAAACGGGCAACAGGGCATCATCGGCAAGGTACCTTCAAGTCAATGATTTCCTTCTTCGCCTTCTCGAGTTCTTGTTTTGTCGGATCCTCTTTGGCCTCTGGCGCTTTTGTCTGTTCAGATTCGGGAGCAGCCTTCTCATCGGCTGGCTTGTTTGCCTCCGTCGATTGCCATCTCTGGCCTGTTCTGAAAGAGTACGAGGCGGGTATGCAGGGTCGAGGGGATGCAAATGTTGCGGAAGAGAACGGCGACCGCCGTAATTGAGGCGATGCTGTGAGGGTCTCTGAAACAGCGCGAGATTGGCGCAAGATCTGTCTACGAAACATTGTGTCGACGGTACGAGAAATGTGAAAAAACAAAGATCAAACCGTCAATTAGGAGATGGCAAAAGATGTATTGCTCGATGGACTTTGAGAAAGATACAACATGCACACGACTGCACTCAGAGCTCCCCGATCGATAATTTTCTTGGAGCTTCGCCGTACATGCCTCTTATGGTCAGTGACCGAGGCTGTGGCGACGAGGCTGGAAACCCTGACTCGGGGTCGCCCGGGAATCAACCTCAGCACCTACTATGTTTTTCTATGCGTCAAAGCTAAAGTACTTGGGCAAAGACAGGATGCTGTGGATGCTGGGAAAATCCCTGCTTGTAACAGTTGTCTGCTGCGCAGGAGGAAAAATTCATCGCAAGCAGGGTTTATTTTCATTAAGAAAAAAGACCTGTTAAGCTGGACGACGTTCAAATCCCCATCTTTGTTTTCATGCTCGGTGCACCAATTGATGCAGTGCCATACTCTGCAGTCATCCATGCATAACCCTAGAAGAGTACAAGGGCTGAATTTTCAAGCAGCTTCGGTCCCGTCGCAGCGATCAACTCTGCGGCTATACCCTTTATCGTGTCGGGTTTGTCAATCTCCCAGTCTTCCCAACCTCGGATGTCCTGGAAATAAGTCACTGACCTTGCTCAGTCAAGGGGTTTGACCAATGTTACTTACCTCCAATTCGACTAGACTGTTTCTCACAACCAGTCGCCAATGGTCCAAGTCAAGGTGCTTCACTTCCTCCTTGGTTAGAACCCCCGGGATATTGTAGTCGAACAGAGAGCCTTCCGGGATCTCTGCGTCCTCTTCGTCGCTTGGCACTTCATCAAACTCAAGATCTTTATCGTCGTCGAAGATTTTCGATCTTTCTTTCGTCGTTTTGGAACGTTCACTAGTACTTGCAGCAGTCGAACTTCTGCTTGGTGCATTTTCGGCGAGTGAATTGTTCTCGATAGCTGTCTGCCGATCGTGCGATAGCGAAACATATGGTCTTCTATCGAGTTCTTGACGGTAGTGGTCATCAAGAATGCACCATTCAAGGCTCTCGGGATCTGAAAAGTTATACGGGCTGGCTCATCGTGGTTGCAGAGGGCTTACCGAGTAAGTAACTTGGAGAAAAGCTACCCTTATACCGCATTTTGGCACATGAATGAATGTAATAGCCTGAGGCACAATAAGCAAAGCATGGCGGTGTGACCGAAATCATACCCATATAATAGTACTCATAGCCTAATTCTAGGCTCATTGCAATTTCCCGGACGGCACTCAGCTTGCCAAAATCCCATTGTTCGTAATCAGGATCATAACTCCGCCATCAGTGACTGAATAACCAGGGGAAAGTTTGTACCTACAACAGATAGACCGAACTGACAGCGTGAGGTAGAAGGTCCAGGACTGCCACCGCCACTAACTTTCCGTCTAATCGATAGCATTGATGATAAGATCCTAATTTCAGCGTCCTACCGTCGATTTTGAGGACCTTGCGGTCGAGGCCACTACAAAGAAATCGAGTGAAGTCCTTTTCTTTCCATCTCGAGGGTGGGTCTTTATGAATCTGCAACTGATATTTGAGGAATACATCGTACCTGAAGTTGATCAGATGAGCTCGGGAGGATGAAAGATTTGCATACTTCTCCTTTGTGCAGCTATCGCCCTCAAGGCTCACTTCGAACTTGTGAGCCGGTTCAATAGGTTTGTCAGTATTCTTGTTCCGTGGACGCTGTACGAGACTGTATTCAGCTCTATGGACAGCAGATAACAGGTCGAACTTGTCTCGATTTTTGCGCTTCTCCCTGAACATGTCAGACCAAGCCAGCGCTTAGAATCAGCAAAACATACTCTCGATCTTGAGGACACAACCTCGCAGCCTGACGCTTGTACTCTGGTCCGAGCACGAATGCGTTGAATCGATTCATTGCCTGACGTTGATCCTTTTTCGGCCTGCACTCAGACGCTTTCAGCCTGTACTGATTAGCCCATGGCTATTTCGATCCCAGATGGACTCCTATACCGTATGGTATAGTGTGGACAGCATGATCGGAGCAGGTCTGGCTTATAGTACAGACTGCCTGACCTTCTCCAACCTCTGTCCATCAACTCCTGATAGTGATCAATTCGCATATTGTCACATGACATGTAATATGAGGAGCCTGCATAGCTGGTGAGATTCTACTACCATGATCGCCAAACAACACCCCGGCCGAGCATCTGCAGCCCAAGGACGGAAAAGCGTTGACTTACTTCCAGTGGCATTCTTGCAGTAGCCGCAGGAGCTTTTTCTTTGGTAGCCTGCGTGACTTGGTTAGTGCACTCTGTTACTGCCGATACCTCACTGCACGACGAGGCTGGTGCGAGGTTCCATCACAACACAGATCATCCGCCTTGACTCACCTAGTGGCTTCAATAGGGAGATTTCGTTTGTCATGACGCCGACAGAATGCTTTCAAACGAAAGCTTGACTGCAAGGATATTTTTGGGCCTTAATGTGGATGTGGAAGATCTACCAATCTCATCGGCCTAAGAAACTTTGCAGCGAGATGGTTAGGGATAGTCTGGTCGGGATGAGGCGTTGTTCGATGTGTTCTAGGCAAATGTCGGAAGACGTCACCTGAATGGGGAGCAAGGCCGAGAATGACGAATTCGAATTAGATACTCCGTATTAATGAAGACAACAAACAAGCATGGGCAGAGTGGGATGTGAACACAACGTTCAACAGGCAGCCAATCGAGGCCAAAGTCGGAGGCTCAAGACCCCTGCGAGAAACCCCCACCAAAGAACAGCAGACGCTCGCGTGAGCAGCACTGACGGTGAGGGAGATGGTGGGATGCTGGGTGTGTGCAGACCAGTGTAAAGGCGTAGCTGGGCACGTGTGTGTTTGTCGTGTGCTCCTCGACGGACAAAGATGCTGCGAGCGAGGAACCACTGCAGGTCTATCGTTGGTACAGCGAACCACGACTCGCCCGGTATTTCTTGGGGCGCAGTGGGTGCCTGTGTAATTTAGCAGCTTACATGGATGGCATACGGAGTATGTAGGGGAGGCAGTCAGTGTACACAGTTTAGGTGCGTTGAGACGTTACCGCCGCTACTGCTATTTCTTCACCCTCGTGTCCACCCCAGAAACTAACAAAAAACCACTTTCTACAAATTATGGCTGTTCCCGATCTCAGACTGCTGTGCACGTCAAATCTACTCCCTCAGCCCCGTTCTACACGGGACTGAAGGCTTCTGAAACTTCACTTGCGCTCTATCGCAAACCGCTTCTCCTCCAGGCTCAGCCATGGCTCCTTTGTGATCCTCACTCCCATCTCTTCTCTTCACCAACCGACCGAGCAACGTCCGCCTCCATCGGAACAGCTCGAAAGTGTTCCCACGTGCTCTCTCACCGTCTGTTTCCCTCGTTTGCTTGCTTCCTACCTTATCTCGATCCAAAGTCAGAAGAAACAAGGCCTTTCCTTTCTTCAACTGGCCGCAGGCCTCCGAACCTGTTGTCTTTCCACCATGGCTAAGAACCTATCTATGACATCGCGCACCGGCAACGGCAATCAACGTAGGTTACCAAGCTTATTCATCCTGTTACATGAGACTAACTGCTTCTCCCAGGTTACGGTCCCAAAGGTGAGAGATTGGTTGCCGGTGTTGTGCCTCTCTCCCTGGATAAGACTAAAGTCCTTCTCATCCAATCTACACATCGCAACAGCTGGGTGCTTCCAAAAGGCGGCTGGGAACTAGACGAGGCTACGGCATCCGCAGCTGCTCAGAGAGAAGCTTGGGAAGAAGCCGGAATCATATGCAGGGTCGAGAAAGACCTAGGACATATCCCCGACACAAGACCAACGACTGCCGTCAGCAAAAATGCCCCCAAAGCAAGCTATCACTTTTTCGAAGCAGTTGTCACCGAAGAAAAGTCAAATTGGCCTGAAAAACACAAGAGGTCTCGACAATGGTACGCCTACGCTCAGGCCGTACAGCTTTTGCAGACACGCCCGGAGTTGCTGGAAGCCTTACGACGCAGCTCGATGAAGAAATAAAGCATCCACGGAGCAACAGGGACTCAAAGGTCAAGGTCTATTATCTTTGCATTGCTACTGTATTCTGCTACGACCAGAGTTTGTCTTGCAGCGGCCGGCGCATGTTGATCGTGGAGCACTAGCTCAGTTATCAATAGACATTTCACAAGGCAGTCGTCCCGTGGTCACTGTCCAAGAATGAGAGACTGCCCGCCTTCTGGCTGTAGTCTCCTTGCATCCTTCCCATGAACTTCATTCCAGGAGATCTATGGCGTATATGGACCAATGACATTCCCATCAAGCACCACGATATTGATGACCTGGGCAGTGTTTATCTAACAAAACCAACGAATACGTCTGCTTCCATATCATCCATTGTCAATGTGCCAGCGAATACATGTATGTATCTGAAGATACAGGACCTATCGGTCTAGCTGCGACCATTACTACCTGATTTGATCATGTCGACCTGTGGGGTTCCTCCTGCGGCGTCTCTGATCGCGCATGATGTACTGGTCTGGTTTCTCTTCCAATAGGCGAGAGACGTGGACTGCCTGTACTTGGTGTGGCGCACTTCCATGCACGATACTCTGCCTAGCATCTTTCTTGACTATTGCAAGAGACGTTCAAAATGATGCCTGGTCATCCTGTGATTTTTGGTAATCCAACTAACGCAAACAAGACAATGGCCGAGTCGAACAATGGAGCTCTCTACACAGGTAAAATGCTTTCGGGCATAGCATACAAGGTATGTGAATCGTTATGAAAGAGCAGTACTAACCTGATGCCGACCTGGACAAGATTCAAGCGATGTCTTTCCGGACAATGCTTTATATTTTCCTTGCCATGACTTTGTGCCAACAAAAGCTCCTAGTTACCTTGCTACCATTGCTGCAGGCGTTCGTTTCTGCATGATTCTTCCGTAGACAGCGAGACTGTTGACCAGAGTATCACCGGCTGAATGCAAAAGACTCGCCGAAGCAGCTCCACTGAACTCGCTGAGCAAACCTCTGCAGTCATTCGCAGGACTATCATTCTCGATATTGACTGCTTTTGGTGTGCTTGTTGCCTGAGGTCGACATTTCGTTCCCTGTGTTGGTGATCGAGTATACTTTGAACAAGACGTACCTCTTAATCTTCAAAGTTATGGGTGCCCACGGTCGCTGTATAAGGCCTTGCCTTGTATACGTACGTACTCGTAGCCTAGGTCATACGTCGGGAGTAAGAGACTCAGTTGATAATGGAATAGCTGTTGTATTTAGATCAGGTAGTCTCGCAGAGGACAAAGCCACAGACTTCACCCAGACTTGTGATTTTTCATCTTGTACGTATCCTGTGCATAGACCGAGGTATACAAATGTGAGATGCCACGAGCTCTCAAGGGTTGTCACAAGGCCAAAACTACGAATTCCTGATGGGCGGCAATTTGGACTATGCACCGTGCACTTTGTGTTCTATCAGTCGAACGCCGATGGTATAGACCTCATAATATTGCGGTGGTTTCGTGGGAAAAAAATCAGCAGAAGCAGAGGGTAAAACTTTGAGCTGCCATTCATGTCTATATACAAGTGCTTGCTCTTCTTTTCACCTCAAGCGAACCTGTACTCCGCCACGAATACCGATGGAGCCGCAGAGATCCTTTCAATGTTGCAGGTCGACTGGGAAATTTCCAGCTTCGCGTTGATCATCCCATCTGCTGACCCAGTATCCGGGGCAAAGTGAGCGGTATGCGATGTAGAACTAGTTCAGACACACAAGTGTTATTCATGTGCTCCCACTCCTGTTTGGCAGAACTTCTCTTTCAGGGATTATATATCGTACCTGTCTGCATGGTTTGAAGTCTTCACCCTTTGCCAGGATACATTTGTGGTAGTCAACATAGTTTTGCCAGCAATGCTTCGTCCTACAGAGAAAAGAAGAAAAAAACGCCGTTAGCCGGGACAGTGTCGGATGTACGGGAAGAGGTGATGGCCACGTACTGGTTCTGGTTGGGGAATCGAGCGTCGTAGCCAGCTATTTTTCCAAGTCAGATACGTCCTTGATGGCCAAAAAAAAGGTAGATGTCCAGCAAGATCCATACCGGTAACGAACTTGAAGGGCTTGGTGACGTTTCCTCCAAGCTCCTCAGGGTCGGGAGTCTCGATTTCGACCATGTTGACGAGGGCTGAATATAACTAAGGGTAGCTGGTAGGCGAAGGGGAGAGGGTGATGGATTAGGTGGTGGAAGAAAGTTGAGACTGCGGTTGGAATGTAGAGTCGAGGTGTAGCTCTCGAATGTTTGGGGATGTTCGAACCGTCACCTGAGGGAGCTTCAATTCCGGAGGTTGCAAGAATCCCGCCAAGGCCAGTTGGTTTGGCGGGACGTTGATTGGCTGATTAACCCCATCCCAGCAGCCCAGAGCTTCCTTCGAAAGCAACCTGCGATTTGGGAAACCATCATTGGAATCTCTTTTACTACTTCGACAATTCCTTGTACAACACTCTCCACTCTTCTTCTTCCACGTTTCCCGGCACGCGATGAACACTGCAAGACTCATGAGACTGCAGCCCTTGCGGGCAGCTGCCTTCAAGCAGCCAGCTGCTCTCCGACAGCCGATCCTCCGCCAGGCCCCTCTCAGACAAGCCAGACCATTCCATAACTCCCGAGCCATGTTCAGAACAAAGGTGAGTGCAGCCGCCGCGACGGAACTTGAGAGACAAAACAAAAAGAAGCTGTAATTGACTTTTTGCAAATCTAGGAGGATGACCAAAGTGGTGCGTGATTGTACAATGGAAACCGGAACTTGTGGACCAAAGAATTGACCTGGCTTTTTTCTGCTACCTAGCACACACCATCACCCAGAGACTTCGAAGCCTCAAGAGAATCCCTCCGGAGTTGATTCCTCTCGGCGTGGTTATCCTGTATGTTTTCGAGATCTGTTGTATATCCATGCGCAGATACCTCTATACCAAGCCAGCCGCTTACCATCATCATCCTTATGTCAGTTTCGCCGTCTTCGCCGCTTGCTTTGCCATGACCAGAAAGCTCTTTACCGACAAGACTCTCCGCCTGCATAAGTCGGCTCCGAAACAACATTAGGAGCTAGGGGAAGAAAAAAGAAAGAGCAGGAGAGCACTCGTATTGCAGAAAAATGAAATGGGAAGTTTCCAGACTGTCGAGCCAAGGGAAAAGAAGTCCATATGTGACAAGGACGTGTATATATTGAATCAGAATGCCGACGGCGATTTTCTTTGCAAGACAGCTATTCTATTGCCGCTCTTATTCTTCTCTGCAAGTGTGCATCAGTAATCTTCGCGAGCCCTATGTCGCCCTCGGTGAATACTCTGGCGATATTCCTAGAGGAAGGCCACTGATGCGTCATGCATCGACCTAGGTTGGCTGACCACAGCTGACGCTCCCACTGATAATGCTAGATGTCTGGCTGAGTGCCTGACTTTGCCCAGTCAAATCAAGGTCTCTGCCTGTGACCGTCTTTCCTTGTCCCCACTTGCTTCTCCGGTTCTCCCTCACTGAGCGATCACGGGTCTGCTTGGAGCTTTGCTTCGTAGAAGTTCATATACCGCATACCGGGCCATAAAATCATGACGAGCATCTCTCACTCGGGCTTTGGCCCTGCGACATCGAGGCCTTCAAGACCCTGCATGGGATCTTCAGGCCGTTCGTTTCTGGACTGCTCGACCGCCTCCCTGTCTTCACTGGCAGCACCGGCATATTTCGCAAGATACCCTTCCTACACGGTGTCAGTGCCTGGTCGTGTGGCTCGCAGCCGTAATGACCCCTGGTTTAAAACATACCTGCTCCCAGATGGCCGTGGTGCTTCCGAGGCTAGCTTCTCCAGTCTCCTTCCGGTCCGGTTTCGCCAATGCCACCTTGATGACTCGTCCGTACAGTTCGCTCTGATTCATGTTGTCGATGGCTTCTTTGGCATCAGCCGCGTCTTCGAATTCGACATAACCGAACCCTCGGTGTAGATCTTTGGACGATGGGGCCTCTGGTTTCGGCAGGGTGATGTCGACTATTTCGCCAAATGGAATAAACGCTTCCGACAGTGTGGCGGCCGTGACGAGCGTCGTGTCGAGCCCACCGACATAGACTGTGCTGTTTGGCCTATTTGACGTCTCTGCCATGATTTGCGACGACGCCACCACTTCCCACCGCGAAATATCAAGAACTCAGAATTGCGACACCGAGAAGAATTAGATTGACGGACGAGGAAATTTCGATATCACGTGCGGCACGAGGCTTTTAGCGCGAGGCCAAGTGCAGGGATAATGCTTAGGCACCCCCGATTAGGAAATATAATGATGCCGCCCTTGCGCACCCCCAGATGCAATCTTTCTTATCTAAGCAATAAACACCTGGATCATAGAACGTTAGGTCTGGCGCTGTCTTGTGTCTCTCGGCCTCTAACAATTGGTGACGCTCAGGACCAATGACCGGTGCATCTATCTGCAGGACATCCCGCGAACCCGATCGAGGAGACCATGGATATCGTCAGGAAGGGCATCACCACGCCAGGCCACCATTCCATCAGGACGCACCATCACCATGTGCCGCTCATACAGCTTTGCTGCCTCCGTGTTCGAAATGTCCACCAGCTCCAGGGGAACACCAAGCTTCTCGGCGACCAAAGCTAGATCGTCCCCTCCAGAAACTCCCTCTTTGAAGTTGAGCAGAACGAAACCTTTCCCAAACCGATCAATGATCGAGCTTCCGTCTTCCAGCCAGCAATGTGGAGCACGATGCCCAGGTCGAGCTGTTTGGACGTAGCTGCTTGGCTCGTCGGGTGGAGCTGGAGTGCCGTCCGGCACAATGATCGGTGAAGCCGCATAGTTATAGCCCATGGCGATTCCAAGGGAACGGAACTCCTGCTCGAGGCTTGCTACCATCTGCTCACCGAGTACTCGTCGCTGCTCGTCAGCCTCGACACCATCCTGGAGCACCTGTTCGCGCCCATTCCGCTCCACCCAAATAGCATAGTTCTGGCTAGAGCTTGACCCGTTGCGAATGGCGACTGGTCGTCGTTCTTCAGTATATGCCTCCAGTAAGCCTGGTCCTCCCCAGCCTTCGGTCAAGGCTTGCAGGATCCAGCTCAGGTCCATAACATCGCCGAGGCCGGTGTTCAGTCCATGTCCACCTGTGGGTGACATTGTGTGAGCCGAGTCCCCTGCAAGAATGACTCGGCCTTTACTAAATGTATCAGCAGTGAATTGACTGCGCCTCCAAGGCAGTGTTCGCATCAACTCGAATTCGATGTCGTCCCGACCAAATGCCTTGACCACAAGGGCATTCATGTCTAGCTGCTCCGGGTCTAGCCTCTCTTCTGAACCTACCACAGTAAAACGGTATAACGACCGTCCATCAATCGCGGTGAGGTTGGACCAAACTCCCTCGGGGCTGATGAACATGTACCGCTCTCCCTTGCCAAAGGGATGTTTCTCCGACAAATTATGCGCTCTCACCACAACGCTCACCGAGTATCCAAGTTCCTTTCCACTTCGGTCGATTTGAACAGCCTTTCGCACCGAGCTGGCCAGACCATCACAAGCGACAAGATAGTCTGTTCGAATCTTTTGGTTTTGTCCATCCTCGCAGCGTTTCATTGTACACGTAACTCCTTGATGATCGTCCTCGCACCGAACAAATTCATGCCCATAGTGAATCTCGCACATTCCTTGCCGGATGACAGCACGAGCCAGCATCGGATCGAACCAGAATTGCGGACATCTTCGGTGCATCTCGCGACATTGTGGTGGAAGTTTCCTTTCTTTCAACGAAGGCATCGGTAAACGACCGATGAAATGGCCGTTGAGTGAAGTGCAGAAGACGGTGTCCCGTGTTACGTCGTCGGGAAAGCCAGCGTTGGCAATCTCTTCCTGCAGGCCGAGCAGGCGACAGAATTCCATACTTCTCTCGTTCAGATAATCGGCTTTGGCTAAGAACTCCGTCCCAGTACCGGAACTACGTTCAATAATAGTTGAACGTACTCCCCTTCTTCCGAGATCCAGGGCCAGAGCTAGTCCAACCTACATGACGTTAGAGCCTGTGCTATTGTTGCGACCTTTGGAAAGCAGAAAATGTCTCTGCAACGTGGCCACTGTTCATCACGACGAAGAGGACTTACTGGACCTGCCCCTATGATCAGGATTCTCTGGGCGTTGGTCTCCTCCATATTGTCCGATCGCGCAAGACGATTTTTTACCTGAATGGCCAATATTGAACAACTGAAGAAACAATGTGGTGATGAAACATCAGTCGAAGTAAATATCATCAAAGGACTCATCTACCTCTTTGTCTATTAGGTCTTCGGCATCCCTTCGACAGAGCACAGCACCTGGTGGGGTCCTTCAGGCACTCTAGGCCGAACCAAATCACGATGGAAGGTAATGAATAAATGGCACATACCGACATCTCAATTGTTCCGCGCTGGTGGGTAGAATTGCCTCACAGCAAAAATGTACGGAGGAAACCATAGCTCAACAATGGCAAGACCTATGTCTCCACGGTGCGCAATGGTCGCCCTTATCCGTGGTTATCACCCAAGAAGTGCAGGTGGCTGCACTAGTTCCGAGATTCCGAGACCCACAAATACACCAGGGCGATCGACGACCACAGTCCGATGGGTGATTGATGAGTGACTACTGTATATTCACGGCGGAAATTGGCCTCAGTGATGGTGCCTCCATCGAATACATATTGCCAAAAGCCGAGCAATGCCTTATCTTCGAGCCAAAACTGACCACCACTGATACTGCACGATATGATGGTCAACATTCTTGGGGCTCTACAAGAGCAGAGAATTACAACGCTTTACGCCATTGCCACCGCATTCGTTTTTGGAATATTCCTGGTCGTCTACGAAGGCGTTAGATGGGCTGTTCGAATTCCCCGATTCAAGGGACCATATGGACCTCCAATTGTGGGAAACCTGTGGCAGATCTACGGCAAAGACGCCCCATTACAGTACCGTGACTGGTCTCGCAAGTACGGCCCTGTCTATCAAATTCAACTGGGCAACAATCCAGTCCTAGTTATCAATACCGCAGCAGCGGCCAAAACACTGCTTACACAAAATTCTCACGCAACGGCTTCTCGACCAGAGTTCTACACTTTTCACAAAGTGAGTTCGCCACAGATTGAGCTTTATTTCGAAATGGCTGACAGTGTTTCCAGATTATCTCGAAGGGAGCGGCCTTGACCATTGGCGCATCACCATACAGCGACTCTCTAAAGAAGAGACGCAAAATTTTCGCTTCGGCTCTCAACCGACCCTCCGTTGCCAGTTATGTGCCACACATCGATAGTGAGACTAGGATACTCCTCAAAGATGCACTTGAATTGGGCAAAGCAGGTAAAGAACAAGTCAACCCGATACCACTCTTTCTGCGGATGAATGTAAGCCTTGGCTTCACGCTGCACTGGGGAGCTCGTGTAGAAAGTCAGACAGATATGTTCCGCGAGATTATATATGTCGAAAATGCAATCAGCAACTTCCGCAGCACCACCAGTAACCTGCAGGATCACATACCTTTGCTGCGATTGAACCCATTCAATGGTGTCTCTGCTGTTGCGCGAGACATGAGTGTACGTCGTGGCAGGTACATGGGCCAAATGGATCGTGAACTTGACGAACGGTTGGAGAAGGGAAGCTACAAACCATGTATCAGGGCCAATGTTAAGCTCGACCCCGATGGCAAGCTGACTGATCATGAACTTACATCGCTTAATGTCACCATGACAGCCGCTGGGCTCGATACAATGCAAGCAACCGTGTCCTGGGGTCTCGCGATCCTCGCGATGAAGCCTGAGATTCAGGAGAAGGCACTCAGTGAGATTGCGAAGAAGTTTCCTCAAGGAGCGCCGCTCTGTGAAGCTTCGGACGAGTTCACTGTGGAATACATCATGGCATTGATAAAAGAAATCGCGAGGTTGGTAACTCTTGCTTCTGAAGCTCAGAATTTCCCAATTTGCTAACTGGTCAAAGACACTATCCTGCCACTCGGCTTTCGCTTCCCAGGAAGACAATGCAAGACATCTTTTACCAGGGAAAACGTATTCCCAAGGGCACCACTCTTTTTTTGAATGCATGGGCCTGCAATATGGGTCAGTACTCCCGCCATTATACTCGAAAGCGGTTTGAGTGATACGCTAACCCTGTAAGACCCTGACCTCTGGGAGGACCCAGAAGTCTTCAGACCTGAACGCTGGCTCGAGCATCCGGAAACCACCAACTACACCTTCGGCGTTGGGAGCCGGATGTGTATTGGCATCCACATGGCCAATCGAGAGTTGTATCTCCTGTTTATTCGGCTCATCAATTCTTTCAAGATTGTAGCAGACGAGCCGATCGATACAAATCCTATTACTGGAGTCAACAACCCGATGGCCACAGTCTCAATTCCAAAACCGTTCAAGGTCAGATTCGTACCGAGAAATTTGAGTGCGCTGGAAGCCGCCTTGGGTGTGGCGAAGACATGAATGAGAAAAACTCAAAGCCAGATAGAACGTGGGCCTTGATAGTCTGCTCCCAGTTGGTAGTCTCGATCGCATCATGCAAGTAGTGTTAAAATAGATGTGGGTTACGCTACTCCGTATATCCTCGTACCACAAGTTCTACATCATATAACCCCGGGAAATTGTTAGCCCTCTTTACAGCATGCACAACGATTCGAACTACCCTTTAACGCCTCCTTGAAATGGTGTCCCGGGGCACAGCCACAACCTCGCTCTTCCCCACACCTGAGATTCCCCGGCAATGGAGCGGGGCCCTGGGGGATTCCTACTAATTGCTCCAACCTGACTTCCCGGATCATCCGATTCCTGCTTTCCTCTTTGATCGTTCCTTTGTCTATTTCCCCAGTCAACAGAAGACAGTGGGTTTTGATTGCACATAGGACATCTTTGCGTCCCAGTCCTCGTATCTCTTGTCCCTTGACTTTGAATCTGTCGTATAGTATCATGATGTCTCCACAGAACAATCAGCGTGACTGCTCGGCCTCTAAAAGGCCAACAGAGGATGCGAAGCAGAGGTCTACGAGATCAAAGCGAAGCCGATATGTGAACAAAGCTTGGTAAATATAAGCTCCGATTGAAGGGATATCAGTGATCAAAACCCCCACTAACTTCTGGCCCAGCACAGAGTGCAAACGCCGCAAGCTTAAGTGCGACGGGGAGGAACCTTGTGAGCGCTGCATGTTACAGGGGTCGGAGTGCGTCTACGCCATCGCTTCATCTCACCAAGTGCCAGACTGGAAGCAAGTCCTGCCCTTCTGTTCCTCGGTGACCACTGTTGACTGGCTAACGGTCGCAGCGACATTCAACGCATCACCACAGAAGTCCAGTATATGAGAGATAATCTGGAGCAGGTCATGAAGAAGCTGACGCCGACCAACGCTTCTGATGTCGAACTCCTCAGGACTGCTCCACCTTCGACACAGGTTACAATGGTGCCGTACCCTACCGTTGTCCCAGACAGCTCAGGACGTGAACGGGCGGGGGAAACACATTCAGCGGATTCTTCGCCTTGCCGAGGCCCTACAAGCTCAGGATTTGCCTTTGAGGTGGCGCGGCAACGACTGCAGACTCTAGGCTTGGACTCGGTCGAGACTGAACCATTATCAAGAAGAGACGAACTGAGTTTTGCCTCAGTCTCTGCCTTTCGGATCCTCGATCTGGGCAATATTCGATCCCTTCTCGAAAAAGACCCTTTGTGGCATATGAGCCAGGAAGAGGTCTTCAGACTTATCGCCTCCTGGAGCAACACTATCGGAAGACTGTTTCCAGTAGTTAATACCGAAACGCTACAGGCTCGATGGATATCTCTCGATAAATTAATGACACGTGCGAGGACATCTGTGGCCAAACAGGACTGCCTGAGCGTAGTTGATGCACTTTTTGATGGCGAAACCCACCTTCTGAAATTGGTGCTCGCTAATAGCCTCACAGCGGGAAGTGGTGGTGTGAATGAAACCGCTAAGCGTCTCTTCGAGAGCACTGGCTCTGCTGCTCAAGCTGCGTTTACGGAGACACCATCGCTTGGAAACATCAACATGCTCGTTCTTGTGGTGAGTAGTTTATGCCTTTGAAGTTTTGTGTTGTGGAATAACACGAACAGGCCATTCTATATTATCACCTGGATGACGAGATGAGGGCGAATCGATGTGGGTTCTCTTGCGAACATTAAGTTATACTCCTTGACGCTGTACTGCAATTCTGACCGGTCAATTCCTACAGTAATCTCCCTTGCTGTTCGTCTTTGCTTTGAGATGGGTTTGCACCGCACAGAGACATTCCAGCACATAAAAGAGCAAAACGATCGTGTTACTGCCATCACAACCTTTTGGTCGGTCTACGTTCTCGAAAGAAGGTCAAGCATTGGCCTAGGAGTACCCTTCATTATGCAAGACTCGGAAATCGAGCCTTCTGTCCCTCGTCCAGTGAGTGAAACCATTTCTGATATAACATGATTTACCATTTCTGTTCTGGAAGTCTCTGACACAACCAGTCACAATACCCTTACCTCGAAGCCATGGTGGGGCTCACGAGGCTTTCTGCTGAAATAAGTCGTCGGATGAGCATGTTACGGGACCGCAGCATGACGTTCCCTGTAGAAGAGGTGGACTACCAAGACTACAAGGTACTGCAATGGCAAAAACAACTATCTCCTGATCTGACCCTAGACGTCGGCAACCTCCAAATGAATCAGCAAACTCAACTTGAGCTGTCCAATGTCCCGGCCATGTATGTGGCTATTGTGCTCCATATCCGAACACAACAACTACGGAGCCTGATATACCGCCCCGTACTTTATTCTGCGGCCAGGATCGCAGACAACAAAAAGCACTCACAACTTGCGGTTGATATCGCTCGGGAGTCGGTCCAATTTCTTGCTCTAGCGAGCCGAACCACGACTCTCGCTCAGGATGAGCCGTTATTCTTCAGAGACTTCCTGATTTCTCATCTCGCTGGCATCCTACTTGCCGTAAGCAATGCGCCCGCGGTCTTTGGCCATCAGCTTTGCGATGAGTTCTATCTCGTTATGGATGTGCTCCGCAACTTGAGCCCAAGATCACCAGTCATAGCCCGAGTATGGAGCTCCATTAGGATCTTGGAGATTGTTGGTCCCAAACTTGGTCTTCGTCGAGAAACACGAAACATGGAGGGTCAAAACGTCGAAGATGTATATCTGCAACATTCACAAGTGGCCGGAGGACTGGCTTGCGCAGAGAATGAGCCTGTTATGCCAATGTCGTCGATAAGGTCTCAAATGCAGCCAACTCACGACCAGACAATCTTTGAGTCGAAGGATTTTGCATTTTCCACGTCCATGTTTCCATCACTGCTCAGGAGCGAGCTTTCGATGATGGACGAACCGCTTGACGATGTCACAGCAAATCTGTTAGGCTACAGCCTTCCCGATGATCTGCATGATACTACCAGCTGGCAATGGTAGCCCTTGCCGCTTTGCAACGTCGAGATTCATTTCAGCATCATGTGATTGCAAGCGGAGATGTCTGGAAATTGTGCTGAAGGTTGGATTCGGCTCCGCTGTCCGAGGTATTCATTGTTGTCGGAACCCATTCCGAGCGCCAGTCAACCTCCGACCATGTTTGCCACAGCCTCGAGTTATAATTTTCGCGTTCGATGAGAATGTAGGCGCTTCTTCCTCACAAGCAGACACATCAGCCACCATGCCTATGACAAAGTTCAAGACGCCTGAGAAGTATGCCTACCTCACAGGCTTCGGTCAATATCAGGAGTTGGTATTCCTACTAATCATGTCTACGAATGCCATCAGGCTTATGAGGATTCTAGATCAGAGGCAATCAAGGGAGCACTGCCCATAGCTCAAAATACCCCGCAAAGGCCGCCCTATGGGTTGTATACCGAAAGGATCACTGGTTGCCCTTTCATTTCTCCACGTAACGACAACCATCAAACATGGCTGTACAGGATCATGCCCAGTGCACATCAGCGCCCATTCGAGCCAGAGCCGGAAGAGCAGTTTGCTCACAGCCGGTTCGGCCAAAAACTCAACTACACCCCGACGCAATTGCGTTGGAGCCCCTTTGACATTGACGAGTCCTTGGATTGGATACACTCCATGCGCTTGCTTGGAGGAGCTGGCGATCCTGCGACACGCTCGGGAGTGGGCTTCTTCATTTTTACAGCTGGACAGTCCATGGACCCAAAAATCGCCTACTTTTCTGCGGACGGTGACCTTCTGATCATCCTGCAGCAGGGCGTACTGGACATTCGAACAGAGCTGGGGCACCTACTTGTCCGTCCCAAGGAGATTTGTGTCATTCCTCGTGGCATTCGCTACAACGTAACGCTCCCAGACGGCCCCGTTCGTGGTTATGCATTTGAGCTCTTCCAGGGTAATTTTACTCTCCCAGATCTCGGTCCTTTAGGATCATTCGGTCTGGCCAATGCCCGGGATTTCCAGATTCCCGAAGCAGCATTCGATGAAGACACAACACACGAGTACAGGATCGTTGCCAAATTTAATGATCGGCTATTCTCCTCAGTCCAAGATCATACACCGTTCGATATCGTTGCCTGGCATGGCTCGTATTATCCCTACAAGTACGACCTAGGACGCTTCATGACCATTGGTAGTGTTTCGTACGATCACCCTGATCCCTCCATCTTCACCTTCCTCACATCGTCCGAGCAGGTCTTCGAGATGGCCATCTTCCCACCTAGGTGGCTGGCCATGGAGAACACCATGCGACCTCCTTGGTATCACCGCAATACCATGGCAGAATACATGGGCTTGATCGAAGGAGAGTACGACGGGCGTACGGACGGCGGTTTCCGAGCCGGTGGCGCGAGCTTACATACGGTGATGGGTGCCCACGGCCCTGACAGCGAGACCCACCGTAAGGCTTCGGTGGCTGAGCTACATCCTCAGAAAGTGGGTGAGGGCAGTTTGGCTTTTGTGGTGGAAACACCAATGCTACTTGGCCTGAGTGACTGGGCAATGAAAGGCTGTGGGAAAAGACAGGAGAACTACAATGCCCAAACGTGGTTGGGTCTCAAGCCTCATTATGAGTTTCCAGCCTCGGCGAAGAGAAAGAGCACTCTCCTGAAAGATGTTGTTGACATGGACGTGAACGGGTATCATCAATCTTAGGATTTCCAAGTAGTATTTGTTCCATCGTCTATTCGATTATCAAGAAAGAGAGAGGCATTCCTTGTTATCTGGAGTTATGATTGATGGTTCAACAGTCATGACTCGCATGCTGCCTATCGTGTTGTTGCCTGAGCAATGCGGTCTAGACTACTTCTTCGCTCGTTTTAGATTGACTTCTCTCTACGTCTATCTCCCAGTGTAGAGAGAAAAGGACACGACCTCAGCTTTGGCCCAAGACTCTCCTCGATAAAGCTCTACAATGTTCCCCACTCATTCCACTGTACAGTCGGCTCACAACAACCATTCACATATATCCGTACTCTACACAGCAGTGACAGCCTCAGCGGGGCCAGCAACAATGTTGAACTGGACGAGGGCCACTAGAGTGCTGGCGGCGACACCAACGACTGCCGCCATGACTCCTCCAGCGCCTCCGAAACCAAGAGAGCTGAACATTCGCGGGAAATAGAATGGACCGATCTGTTTAACAGGCCCGTCAGTGGCAGTCACTCAATCTCTGGGGGAAAGGAGGGAGTTTCAGCAAAACTGACAAAGGCCCATAACTGTCTGACAAGGTTGATTACCAGACCGGTATCAGCCGACCGGATGGGATCAACGTCAATGGCGTAGGTAACTAGTACCGTGGTGATCACCTGGCAGCCGAATGAAGCGATGGCAGCACCGATACTGGGGGAGACAATCCAGTGTCCTTCACGAGCTTGCTGAGTCTTTACGCCCCATAGCACCAAGCCAACAACGACAAGGACGATTCCGGGATATGAGAGCCACAATCTGTCCTCGATGACCCGGTTCCCCCCTCTTTTGGATATCCTCCATGTCATCCAACGATCGGAGCCGAAGCCACCTAGGAGTTCTCCAAGTACAAGACCAACCATGATGGCGATAAATTGGAGGCCAATTCCTTCAGAGTCGAGGTGAAACTTCTCGCCAGCCACCTGCGGCACTGTAAGACAGATGGCCACATTTGCATACGCAAAGACGATCGCGTATGCGCAGATTGGTAGAATGATCCGAGGTGCAGAGAAGAATAGCGTGAGAGGTCGGAGGAAAGTCTTCCAGCTCCAGGGTTTTCGGAGATCGACGGGACAAAATTTCATAAAGTCGAGTTGAGAAGGCTGAGAAGGCACAACATGGCCACAAGAAGCCGGTCGTCGGCATCCTCGTCGATAGTAGTTACGCTCGTATTTTGTCTCCGGGCAGAAAAGGACGTAGGAAAGAAAGAGCCCGAAACAGGTCAACGCCATGACACCATACACCCAGCGCAGACCGGCGAACTTGGTCACGAAACCGAGTATGAACGGACCGGCCGGGGCACCGATGGTGAAGAAGAGCTTCCAGATGCCGGTCTTGGTTCCTCTTTCATGGACGAAAAACAGCTCCGTCACGATGATCCCTCCCAACGCGGTTGGCGGGGCGATGAACAAGGCCGTCAGGACCCGCGTGGCCATCTGGGTCCCGTACGTTTCGCAGAAAACTCCGCCCACGTTGCAGATGGCAGCTCCGAATGCTGACAGTAGAAGGCTGGGACGTCGACCGATGCGGTCCATGAGCGGCAGCCAGAGAAAAGGCACCACGGAGTATATTGCTATCTAGCCAGGCAGGTACAAAATTTATCAGCATCAACCACCACCCGCCAATGCTGTTGGCTCCATTACGGTATCATCAGCAATTGTTCTTGTACGGAGGAACTCACCGAGACCGACGCCAGATATGTCGATGCGGTCAACGACACGCCGTACTTCTTGGCCATCAGGGGCAGAGCAGGTACAAGGCCAGCCGCCACGTATCCCGCCATCATGCCGTGGAAGGCGAACAGAGCAAGGAATAGGTTCTTCCTCCATGATGGCCAGTTGAACGGGTCCAGGGGATCCATCGACGGCAAAGGCTCTAGTTCAACCGTGCCATGGCGCTGAATCAGATACTCAACGTGGGCAGGGTCAAGGCTGCCGACTGCATCTTCCTGCTGCTGGATCTCGACTTGGCTTCTTCGGCTGGGGCCAACAATGGTATCGCCGTACCCCTTTTCTGAATCCATGAGTATGTTGAGTGGGGCCTTTCTTTCGGCCCAAGAGCAAATAAAAACAAATGATCAAAGTTCGGGATGATTTCTTAAGACTTTCCAGATGGTCTTGAAACTTGATATCAACCTTGAGAACGCCCACTGTCCGAAGTTGTCCTAATAACACTCTTCCAGATCCACCAAATGCTATGGGGCTTTCTCGTACATTGTCATCATGGCGGTGGTTCTCCTGCTCGGGATTCAAAGCCGTGTCATGAGCAGCGTGCCATCATTCTCTGACTCGGAAAAGGAATAAACGCTCTCTACATGCAAAAAATTTGCACCCACGGTAAGCGTCAAGGTCTCAAGCCGGTAAGGAAAGGCTCCATCACGGCTTCCAGACCGCTAACACAATATTCCGAGCTGTAATTCCTCTCTGCAAATACTTCTATAAAGAAGGGGAAGACAAGACTGCCTAGTCCGGGCGACGAGTCTGCACCAAGTCCCAAAAGAAAGCCTATCGGTGTGTGACCTGAAATTCCTCCCATCTAAACCATCTACAGGGTCGCGTCAACCTTGGGACAAGACAAACCCCCGGAAAGAAATGTCCTCGATTCCGGTCACCGAGATCTTGTATCTCGATGTTGACCCTAAAAGTGACCTGAGGGATGCCGATTCGGACGCGGGACGTGTCTGGAGGGAGATGCTGGAGTTGGCCAGGACGTCCCCAGGGTTCCGAGACCAATACTGGGGTCGTGGCCACGAATTTCCGGAGAAGGTTCGCCTCCATATTGTGCGCGACACACTCGAACAGCACCGGGATTTCAAGAATTCCGAGAGTGGCCAAATGTTTTTTACATTGGCCGGAAAGCTGGTTCGGGACGACTCTGCCCCCGTGGTCGTCCGGCACGTTCTACTGCACGACACGGAGCTCAACGACGGTCGCCGTTTGGCCCGTGAAGCTCCCATCACCGGCTCGGCGCTGTACGTGAACAGCGACGACGTCTTCCACGACTACGTGTGGCCCCTGTGGACACACATCGTCCGACACGCGCCGGGGAACCAGGGCGTGGCCGGTGGCAGGGTCCTGGACCACGAGAGCGGTCGTGACGCTTACCTGGTGTACGTGGGTTGGGAGACGAACGATGACCACCAAAGGTTCCGGCAGAGTCCTCTGTGTGCGGACCGCCGAGTCATCTTGAAAATGGGCAACGATGCGCAGGAGGAGTACTATCATGTCGTGTTTGAGAAAAAGGAGCAGATGAAATGACCGAGGTGTTGGTCTTACGCCGTTTATCCTCGTATACAGAAATTTACCATCTCTTCTCACAAAGACACGGAGAAACAAAAAAATTGGTCACCATCTACTTACTACCACCTAAGGTAGTAGTCACCCATTATAACTTTAACAGTTTTTTGGCATTGCCACTCACAAACATCTCAAGCTCATCTTGGCTGAAGATACCGCTCTCCGCGACCTCCTCGATGAATTGCCAACCCCGGGCACTCGGTTCGAAGGGACTGTCCACGGAATACATGACCCTCTCCAAAGGAGTAACTTTGAGCAACATCTCCAACGTTCTTACGCTGAAGATGCCACTCGTCGTGACCCAGATGTTTTTCTCCCACACGTCCCTGAACTTGCCCACCACGCCGCCGCGTTTGAAGAACTTGAGCCTGTCGATCCGGTCGATCATCATGGGGATCATCTCACCCATGTGGCCGATCACGATGCGCAGGTTGGGGTGCCTCTGGAAAAGACCGGCCGCGTACAGCTTGACGACGTGCAGACCGAGCTCCTCGTGCCAACCCCAGGCGCCGGTCATCAGCCCCTCGGCCGTCGCCTGTTTGTAGTTGCCCTCGAACCTCGACCGCATCAGTTCGTCACTCGCGGGCGACGGGTGTATGTAGATTGGCACGTCCAGCTTCTCGGCCGTGGCGAAGACGACCCAGTACTTTTCGTCGTCGTAGTGCGTCATGTCGCTGTCCGGGAGGTGGCTGTCGATCATGGCGCCGACGAGCCCGAGTTTCGTGACGGCCCGCTCGAGCTCCGCGGCCGCCCGGCCGGGGTATTTCATGGCCAGAGCCGCGAAGCCGGCGAGTCGCCCGTGGGAGCCGCGCACGACCTCGGCCGTCTCATCGTTGGCCTTGGAGCACCCTTCGGGGTCCTCGTTGCCCACCCCCGGGAGTTGGGAGAGCACCTGGATGGAGACGTGGCCCTCGTCCATGTCGGCCAGGCGACGCGTCGACTTGTCCAACAGACGTGCGCGCATGTCGGGAAAAGTCTTCCATATCTCGGTGTAGAATGGCGTTTCGTCGCCGACACCGAGAAAGGTGCAGTGCTCTTCGAGCGTGACGACAGAGGTGGGGAGACGTGGTGGTGCGGGCGTACTCCCTGGCGGCATGGTCTCTCGGATTGGTTTGTTTTGTTTTTGCTGTTGGCGTAAGATCGTTGGTAACCCTTCCTTATTACAAATCAACAGGGCCGTATTTGTTGAATCGAGGGGAAGGACGTGTCACAGGATTTGGCCCGGGTACTTTATGCGCCGATTCAAGTCCAGAAGATACGTCGCCAGTGAGAACTTCTCACGTCCTTTTGTGCTGCTCACACTCAACAGTCAACGGCCTCCCGATCGGGGCTAAAGAGTCATACGTTGTCGATCAAGACGTCCGAGGATCGGTGTGTGTCACGAGCAGAACGGAGCCATCGAGACACTTCATAAAAAATCGACATACTGGGGGCATTCGTGTGATGGTGTGAGAGATCCCGTTCAAGGCTCCCACCTTCTATTCCGACCATGTGGGGACTTCCCCCTTCTTCGAGGAACGATATTCCGACTAAGTGACTTGGCGGGGTTGCGCGCGGAGAGGAATCGAATGCGCTCCGGGGTCTCTACACTCCGTAAACGATCTTCGAGATCTGGATTGCGGTGGAGCCATGCATTATCTTTAGTTGACCCCGGGGCTCCGGGTTGGGGAGCAGTAACACAAGCGAGATCCGGGGGCCACACTTCATCTACACTGTAGAGAATATAAATCAGCTACAGAAAAGAAATATAAAGCATCAGCAACCGCCCGCTGTGTCCAAAGTGTACCCTCTTCGACCAGGTTTGAAAAAAGCTTTTCTTTCACCCACCAAGATGGAGCACGGAGTCATTGACACCAAATTGAGCTCTGAGGCCCGTTACGAAGACGTGGAGCTGGCGCCCAAAGATGCCTTCGGCGATTCTTCTCCTGCTGCCACGTCCTCTGATGAACTCCCTGGGATCGTCGAGAAGAAGGTCCTCCGCAAACAAGATTTTACCATTGTTCCCCTGCTAGCAGGGTGTACCTTTTTTGTATTCTTGGTATGAGCAGCTTATATACAGCACACCCTCCTCCACATCGTCGATGATGATAAACCAAGGAGGGCTGACACTCCCGTGTAGGACCGGGCAGCTCTCGGCAATGCCAGGTTGATGAATTTCCAGAAGGACTTACATCTCAGTAACCAAGAGTTCTTCAACTGTCTGATGATCATCTGTGAGTTGTTGGGACGACGCCCTCGTTTGAATCATGAATAACGGACCGAAGCTTTGCTGACATCCCGCCGCCGCAGACGTGGGTTATATGAGCTTCGAACTGCCCGCCACGCTCAGCATCCGCGTGTTCCGTCCGAATTGGGTTTACGGAGGAGCCGTTGTCTTCTTCGGTCTTTGCGCCCTGTTGACGAGCGAAGCTAGGAGCTATGCTTCCGTGATGGTGCTCCGCCTCCTTCTTGGATTTGGGGAGTCAGTCATTCAAACCGGCTTCGTCTACCTCTCTTTGTGGTATACGAACAAGGAGCTCACCACCCGGTGCGGTATGTGGTTGTTGTTGCACAAAACATACACTCTTTCCCAACTTGCAAAGCATCGTTGTAAACTAACGACATTTTCTTTATGCCCAATACAATAGCATTCTGGTTCGGCACGACACCCTTGGCCGGCATGTTTTCTGGTCTCATTGCGTACGGAACCCAGAGAAATCTGGAGGGCAAGCTCGGAAAATACTCATGGGAATGGTACTATATCATTGAAGGTTGCCTGACCATCTTTTGGGGCCTCTTGGTTGTCGCCCTCCTACCAAAAGTGCCTGAACTTGTGGGCAAACGTGGAAGTTGGCTCTTCCGTTCCGAAGCCGAGCGATCAATGGTGATGCAACGGACTATACGGGGTGAGTAGTCAAACCAATCTTCCCTGTTCGACAAAGACTTGCATCACAACGCCGACAACGCACAGTTGCTAACAACCATTATTAAAGCCAACAATGTACCTGATGCAAAGCCTCGTCTTGACCAGATCTGGAAAAGTCTCAAAGACCCCAAGACATGGCTGGGAGGTCTGGCTATTGGAGCGGCGGCCTTGAACATTGCAGCCTTTAGTTCTTTCTTGCCAACCATTGTCCACCAGTTTGGCTTTACGCCTCGTAAGTTTTCCGAGATGTTGACTGCTGCAGCGACGACGACATGTTTTATGAGACTGACCTTTTTTCTTTGGTTCATACAGTCCACACACAGCTGATGTCTATGATCCCGTATGCATGTGCCGTCGTCAGCCTACCAACTGTATCGATCTTGTCGGACAGGTGGCAGAAGAGGATGCTCCCCATGATGTGCTGTTTCAGTCTTATCATTGTGGGTTTCATCATAGTCCTCACCACCACCCGTCGGGACGCTGGCATGGTGGGCTGTAGCTTGATTGCCGCTGCCAGCTACCCATGCCTCGTCATGGGAGGCAGCTGGCAAATGTCCAGCCATGGTGGCTTCTCCAAACGTTCCACCGCCTGGGCCATCAGTCAGCTCTTCATTCAGACCTGGAGCATCGTCGCCACACAGATCTACACACAGCCGCCGCACTTTTACAAGGGCCATGGAACTCTGCTTGGCCTGAACGCGGTAGGCATGCTGGCAACCTTCACAAAATACTGGATAATGAAGAAGTCCAATGCCAAGAAAGACCAGGTCGCGCGAGATTTTGCGGCAAGAGGTCAGCAGAACCCGGACGGTGACAAGACCTACGAGGAGTTGTGCGATGATCATCCGAATTTCAGATACGTTCTCTGATTCTGACCGGGTCATGTGTACACCCGACTTGGCAGGTAAAGCAAGCTCAGTTCTGGACGAAGAGAGTAGACAGCAACGTTGCCACTTGCCACACCTGCTCTGGTCGAACTGTTATGTGCCTTCGCATCTGAGTGTGGACTTGGGGGAGGATGACAATATAGCCGCCGCGAAGCGTCCCCGGTTTCCAGTCTTTCTGAGACTGGATTTGTCTGGATTGTACATGCGAATAGCTGACCAATGAGAAGAAATGCACGATACATTCACAAAAAAGTTCCAATTCCAGACTTGGCGGTTTTAAAAGATGAAGACAGCATGGTTACCACGTTCCGAAAGTGGGTGTTCTCAAGTCACCATGTCACCGAGGTAGTTTGGGGCAACATTTCACTCTTGCAGTCGTGGTAGTATGTTTTGCAGAAGAATAAGCCAGAATTGCTTTGCGCGAGGCCAAGGCCATCCTTGCCTGCTAAGCCAACCTATCTAAGGCCAGCAAGAGCCTTGCCGCCGGCTTTTCTGTCCAACTCTATACATTGAATCAAGCCGCATAATTCGAAAGCTTCTTCGACGCCCACTAGAGCTTTGGGCTCGCAGCCGCTCTTCTTCAACACTGCAAACGAGTCTCGGATGCCTTGGATTGCTCCACCGAATCCTGTGATGGGGAAGATGATGACTTTGAATCCCAGATCGGCTGCCTCGTCTACCGATATGACCGGTGTGACGCCTTTTGACACCATGTTTAGCAGACAAGGAGTGGCTCCCATTCGTCGGACAAAATCTGCCATCTCTTCCCTGGACGTCATCGCCTCAAGGAAGACAATATCGGCGCCAACCTCCGCAGCCCGGGATAGACGCGTACATGCTTCGTCAAATCCAAGGCTCTGCCTGGCGTCCGTCCTGGCGATGATCAAGATGTCCAAGCCTAGATCTGCTCGCGCATTGACCGCTGCTTGGATTCGACTGTAAAAGACCTCTTGAGAAACAATTTCTTTCCCGAGTAAATGGCCACATCGTTTCTCCTGGACTTGATCTTCAATATGCAATGCCGCGACGCCGGCGCGCGCGTACTTTGCAACCGTACGTGCAATGGAAACAGGCCCGCCGTAGCCAGTATCCGCATCCGCGATCACGGGCGTCGTCGGATCGATGTTTGCCAGCATTTCAGCCTGTTCGACCATGTCATGTTGAGTCGCAAGACCTAGATCGGCCCAGCCCAGCCGCGACATGGACGTTCCCGCTCCGGTCTGGATGTCATTCCTTGTTAGTCGAAGCTCGACAGTACAAAAATCTTGGTATGGTTCTGGCGGACGTACCATGTAGAGGGTGTCGAACCCCATATCGAGGGCGATTCGAGCTGATATGCCATCGTACACCCCAGGGGCGACCACAATTGCGTCGGGTCTTGCGAGTAGTTCTCGAAGCTTTTGGGTTGCGCGAGGGCGGTCATTAGATGTCATCGTAATGGTCATGTCGGCTTTTAGATATCGCGCTCGCTGCTGGAGTACACATCAAAACGGCCTCATAGCAACTGAAAAGAAACATCTGGTTGTATGTAGTCGACCTGTAGCGAGAATGTCAACAGAAGCCGTGGCCCTGCTACACGATCCGCTCTCCAGTCGCTGGCAGAGGAGACTACGATCCTTGCCCTCAAAGGCCCGGGTTCCGAGGGTCTTCAGGCAAAATTCCGACTTTCCGAGCTGCAACATTAGAGGAAAGTAAGAAAAAAAGAATCGATATCGTTGCACACATTATTCTGCGTACATCTTGATCTCGATTGATGTCGTTTCCGAATATTTGGTCAGAAGTAAAAGAAGTCTACATTTACAGGCTTGTTTGATCGGGCTGGAGAGACTATCATAGGTTGATTCTGCATTGTATGGTTGCAAACGCTCTGCCTTGTGCCGACAAGTTTGTTCAAACCCGCTACTTCGAAGATGCCGAAACGAATTCGCGAATAGGGCGATTGACGAAAAACAGCGTCTGCTGCTAGTGCTAAGGGAGTTGAGCACCAGTGTTTGTGTTTTTCGTAGGCTGCCGGCACACACTCTTGCTGTGGAATATTATCCGCCGCCAGTATTCGTTCTTATCGTCGCGACCATCACGAGACCGCTTCCCCAGGCTCGCGAAGACAGTCTCGCCTCGAATTGAAGGTGGAAGCGGTGAAATGGTTCCAAGAGTGCTGAACGATGAACGACATCGGGTCCGTTACGAGATAGTGACAGCCATACTATCGAGCCCAGGTGTTGCCTGTTCTTCTCTCCTATGATGGCAGCGTGAGCATCGTTTTTTATCCACAGGCATTCATTGTCCGACTGCGTGTTTTGCTTTTCGAATGACCACGCTGTTGTCAGTCCTCCAATACAATTGCGACGCGGTAGCTTAGGGTCACAGGGTTTGGTGCATAATTTGCGCGATTGCGAGGCTTTGATCTTTCAAGATTTCGACCTTTCTCTCATGGTTGCTTCACGTGTTACTGTAGGATGAGGAATGACTAGTAAAACTGAGGAGTGGTAAATCTAGGAAGATAGAGTTGATTGTTGGACAGTGGTTTGTAATAAATGACTACGTTTAATCACGTGATTCGAGTTCTCAACGTCAGGCACAAGCACGTCTCGCGTCTTAAAAGCGGCGTTCGACCATTGCTTGTGCGGCCAAGTATAAGGACGTTTGGCGACGTGGTTGAATCTGGAGAAACGACGGTGTCCAGATCAAAAAGTTGGGTGCACACTTGAACCATGGGAATTGAGTCGAAGCATACTTCTTAGCATTGCGAATTTAGCTCCTGCTTGTACCTCGACTTCAAATACTGCATGATTCACTGATACTTTGGTTATTGTTCTTCTCTCCTTTTCCCTCCCTCACACACCCACATCCGTCCGTCATGGTGCGCCTCAGAGAGATCCCGCGCACCGCGGCCTTCGCGTGGTCTGCAGATGCCAATGCACCTTGGATAGCGACAGGAACCAAATCCGGGGCAGTCTCAGTTGACTTCAGTAATCAGACCTGCCTGGAGCTTTGGGATCTCGCTCTCGACAATGTCCAGCAGGGTCAAGAGTTGCAGCCGGCTGTCACCCTTGCGACCTCGTCAGGGTATGTGAGATGCAATCGAGGAGATGGCTCATTCTGACATGTCTTAGGTTCCATGACCTCGCTTGGACGCCGGCACAAGATGGTCGCAAAAGGGGGATTATCGCAGGCGCTTTCGAGAGTGGCTCGCTCGGGCTTTGGGATGCGGACAAGGTCATAAACAATGCTTCGGATGCGGCCATCTTCGACAAGCCTATTCACACAGATGCAATCAAAGCACTACAATTCAACCCGAAGATCCCCAACTTCCTCGCGACCGGTGGAGCGAAGGGAGAATTGTTCATCTCGGACCTGAACCACCTCGACTCCCCTATAAGATTGGGAAACCCTGCGGCTCGGGGAGATGATATTGATTGCCTGGATTGGAACAAAAAGGTCTCGAACATTCTGGCTACCGGCAGCAGTGGCGGCTTCGTGACAGTATGGGATATGAAGACGCGAAAGGAGAGCCTGACGCTCAACAACTACCAACGAAAGCCAGCCAGTGCGGTCGCCTGGGACCCTGAGAAGCCTACGCGATTGATCACGGCTGTCTCTCTGGACCAAGAGCCGGTGATCTTGGTATGGGATCTCAGGAACTCGAATGCCCCTGAAAAGGTGCTACGAGGACACGATTCAGGAGTCTTGTCCGTGTCTTGGTGCCCCCAGGATCACGATCTGTTACTTTCCTGCGGCAAAGACAATAGAACCATCCTGTGGAATCCACAAACGGGCCAGGCGTACGGTGACTATCCTGTGGTGACAAATTGGACATTCCAGACGAGGTGGAATCCGCACAACCCTAATATGTTCGCAACTGCTTCGTTTGATGGCAAACTACAAATTCAGACACTACAAAACACGAACCCTAGTAGCACCGAAGCCGAGCAAGGCCAGGCTGGGGATGGTGAAGACTTTTTCTCGCGAGCTCAAACACAACCCCAAAGCTCGTCTTTCTCACTACCCAAGGCACCAAAGTGGCTTGAGCGTCCTGTTTCTGCCTCATTCGGCTTCGGTGGCCGCATTATAAGTGTTCGACAAGCGGACCCAGGGAAATCAAGGTCTTCAAAAGTATCCATCAGCAAATTTGAGGTTGATTCAAGCGTCGGCAATGCCACCGAAACTTTCGAAAGCGCTCTGCAAACCGGGGATCTCAGCTCACTGTGCGAACAAAGAGCATCAGCAGCAAAGACTGATGAAGAGAAAGCCGACTGGAAGGTCATCGAGACACTTGTGTCCAAGAACCCGCGGGAAGAGCTTGTGAAGTACCTTGGCGTTGCAGAGACTTCGGAAGAGGTAGCAAACGGTGTTGAGGAAAGTGAAGATGCTGGACCCGAGTCCACGGAAACACCAGTAAACGGCACTGCCAAATCTCACAAGCGATTTCAGTCTATTTTCGCCAGCTCGGCAGATGGTGATTTTCTTTCGGAACTTGCAGCAACCAAGGGGACAAAGACTAACAATCCTTTCCAAATTTTCACTGGCTCAGAGTCCGCGGCCGATCTCAAGATCACACGAGCCTTAATTCTAGGCAAATTCGAGCAGGCCTTAGATGTCTGTCTCCAGGAAGACAGAATGTCAGACGCTTTTATGGTCGCTATCTGTGGCGGTGAAGCTTGCATCAAAAAGGCCCAGGAAGCATATTTCGCTAAGCAATCCGGTGGTCCGAACTATCTGAGACTGCTCGCCTCTGTTGTCGGCAAGAATCTTTGGGATACTGTGCACAACGCGGAGTTGTCAAACTGGAAGGAGGTCATGGCAACTCTTTGCACATTCGCCGATGAGAAGGAATTCCCTGATCTTTGCGAAGCTCTTGGTGATAGAATTGAAGAGCAGTCTGATGCTGTCGCTCGAAAGGATGCTTCCTGCTGCTTCTTGGCAGGTTCTAAGCTGGAGAAGGTGGTCGCCATCTGGATCAAAGAGCTTAGAGAGCATGAGGAGAGCGGAGCAGCAGACTCAGACGCTACATCGGCATTCTCCCTACACGCTCATGGTTTGCAAGACTTTATTGAGAAGGTGACCATTTTCAGGAAGGTTGTCAACTTCAAGGACGATGAATTGTCCAAGCCAGGCGAGTGGAAACTTGAGGCGCTTTACAGCAAATATCTGGAATACGCCGACATCGTGGCAGGCTCCGGCCAGCTGGAAGTCGCACAAAGGTACTTGGATCTACTCCCTTCGACATATCCTGGGGCCGATGTTGCGAGAACTCGACTGGAGAAGGCTAGGAAGAAGCCAATGGCCCAGCCTGCTGCCACCACGACTAAGAACAAGCCTCTACCTGCAATGTCTGCGTTCCAACCACCAACGTCCACGTTTGCTGCTGCCACTCCTCCAGTAGCAGCTCCATACGGCAACGTTCAGCCTCAACCTGCAAATCCTTATGCTCCGCCGGCAACTGCGGCTGCACCCATGAACCCATATACCCCAGCTGGCGGCTATCAACCTCCTCAACAGACGCGAATAACCCCCGGCCCTCCTCAAGGTTATGGCATGCCACAGCCGCCTCCATTACAACCTCCACCACGGTTTACCCAGTCCCCGTCAATCCCACCACCGTCACAAAATAAAAATATGACGAACTGGAATGATATCCCTGAAGGCTTTGTTAGGCCTCCGCCGTCAAGGAAATCCACGCCGAGTGTGCCAGCAGCTCAGCCTGTGGCCAATCCATACAGCCCAGCCCCTGCTCAGCAACCCTCACCCCCTATCGCACCTCCTTTTGGATCGAGACAGAGTAAATCGCCTCTCCCACCACCACCAAAGGGCTCGGCACCTCCACCTAGAGTATCTTCACCCCTTGCTGGTGGGCCACCGCAAGCTCCTTTTGAGCGGCCAAGTTCCTCCGCCGGGAATGCATATGCACCTCCAGCTGTCACCTCACCGCCTGTCGGACCGAGCATGATGTCGCCTCCCATTCCCAGAGGCCCATCACCGTACAATGCACCCCCCTCGCATGGCCCTTCAGCTCCGAATCGCTATGCTCCCGCTCCTGGTTCCCAACCAACAGGGGCGCCTACTTCGCGGCCTACAATTGCTCCACCGCCTCAAGGGTCGTCATACACCACTCCACAGCCTCCGGCCAACCCATATGCGCCTTCGCAAGCGCAGCCACAGTCTCGCCCAAGCCCTTACGGCCCTCCTACGACTTCTCAAACTCCTCAACAAACATCAGCACCACCTATGCCAACACCATCTCAGCAGTTCATCTCAAGCCCTCCAACTGGCGGACCTCCACAACAAGCCCAACGGCCGGGTTCTGGAGGAGCTGAGAAGCGTGCAGCTGCCGCTCCTCCAGCACGCAAACATCGTGAGTCTCTCATTCCCTTGTATCAGTCTATGACACTGTCTCTAACTATTGCAAACAGCCAAAGGTGACCGCAGCCATATCCCGTCGAATGCGCAACCAATCTACGAGATCCTCACGGCGGAAATGGCGCGGGTCAAGGCTCGAGCACCTGCCAGCTTTGAGCCTCAGGTTCGTGATACCGAGAAGAGACTGGACATTCTGTTCGACCATCTCAACAATGAAGATCTCCTGAAGCCAGACACGGTGAATCAGATTGCGCAGTTGGCCAGCGCCTTGCAGAACCGAGACTTCCAGACGGCGGGCGATATCCAGATGGACGTGCACACGAACAAGGTGGAAGAGTGCGGAAACTGGATGGTGGGCGTCAAGAGGTTGGTCGGCATGTGTCGGGCTACACCTTGAGGGTAGCCAGCCATGCTTCTCAGTGGCTTTTGATGAGAGAGGGGGGAATGGATCACGTACGATTTGGGGTTCGAGGACTTTTACCTAGGTACTCCGTAGAGGAGAAAGATAAGCAATGACGGAGGGAAAGGATGAAGCGTTCGTATATCTGATGTAGTGATAGAAAAATGATGACATACGAGTATGATAGTATTGCCTTTTGTTTGACAGTCATCTCTGCCTGAACGTGAATATAAAGACACACCACTGCCACCGTTGGGGACCCACAGTGTAACTGACCCTTCGTAGAGAGTATAAACCACCCATGAATATCTTATCACACATGTTCATCGGTTTTCTCATCTCGCAGCGCCAGCTGTGGTGAAGGGAGCAGTAGGCCTAGCGGTCGGGAAGTTCCTCGAACTCAACAATGCACCCTTGAGTGAACGGATTTCGGCCCGGAACTTTTGAGCTTCATTGTCCGACGCCTTCTTGTGTTTGACCTTGTTGTCTTCGAGAGTAGAACCGGCACCAGCACCAGCACCGCTGCCGGAGCCGGTGTAGCTACTGCCGAAGTCGGTCTGGAAAGGGTTGTATGTGTTGTTCATGTTGTCCAGCACCCCTTGCAATTCGGCCGTGGTGTCCTTCAACCTCTGCTGGGCGAACCGTGAGTCGGTGGAACTGACCAGAGATGAAAGCGTCGACTGTAGGGAACGCAGGCGGGCGGATTGGCTCGCGGTGGGATCTTGGGCGGCGGAGGAGGAGGAGGAGGTCATGCCGAATTGTCGCGAGGTGGTCAAGGACACGGACGAGGAGGAGCGCGACCGGCCGGGCGAGGTTTGGGTCGCGATGTCTCGGTGGAACAGTTCCGTGGGGTCAGAGTCGTCGGAAGAAGTGTCGGAGATGGGAGGATCGTCGTCCGAGGAGGACTTGAGTTGCTTGGAGGTGGAAGAAGAGCCAAGGGGAGGGATATAAGGGACGTGGGAAACGGTGGACTCGAGTTTCGTGTTGAGTCTCTCGAGGTCGGCGAGGGCCGTCGAGGCGAGTTCGTGACGGGCCGAAGTCAGAGTTTCGAGCATCGGTTCGACGATGTACGTCGAAGCGGCGTAGGTGAGGGTCGCGACCCCCGCAAAGGCGTAGGCCGCATTGGCGAGGCGGGAGAATGTCACCAACGGAGGAGGCTTTTGTGGTTTGAGAAGGAATTCGGGGTATGTTATTATAGGTGGCACATCGCGCTTCGATGAGGACACTTGGGAGGAGGAGGAGGAGGAGGAGGAGGAGGTGGATGTTTCTGAAGGAGATGGTACGGCGGTAGTAGATGCTGTGGTGGTGTCTGCGCGAGGTGTTGTTGTCTTGTCGACAGAGGTGTGTGTGGTGGTGTCGTGAATCGTCTTGATCTCGCTGGATGGATCAGAAACTGATGATGATGATGAGGATGCTTCTTCTTCCTGCTTAGGGGAGAGAAGTTGTTCGATCTGGTCCGCAGTGAGACCCTTTTGTTCCAAGAAGGCTACCTTGCGCTCTCGTGAAGCATCCCGTATTGATTCCTCCTCGAGAAATTTACGGGCTTGTTCGAGGAGAGGTAATTCTGACGAAGATGATGAGACATCCGTCGCTTGATCGGAGGTGCTGGACTGCTGCGCATCCGTATAAGACTTTTGTTGCCAGGCTGGTATTGAGGGGGTTTTCTTCGAGCCTGGACCTGACATTGTGTCTGCCGTTGAGGGTTGAAGGAGTAGACTGCAGGAGAGGGAGAGAGGTTGAATGCGCTGAGATGAGTAGAGAGAGAGAATGATCCGAGTCGAGAGTAGAGAGTAGAGAATAGAGAGCAGCCTCGGCTCATTGGTTCTGCACCGCCACAAGAGGCCAAGGATGGTCAAGCCACATCAAACTAAAGCCGCTTGTCCATTTCTCGAATGTCGACGTTGCTTTATCAACGACAGGATCGTGTTGTAATAAAAGATATTGCGTTTCAGATACCTATATTATCTTATCAAGATTGCTAGAGATCAGTTGATCGCGCTTGATTTCTCGTGAGTTGGGAATCACGGACACAGAAACTCGAAATACAACAAAACCGCAAAGGACCTCAACCAAGGATCAACCGCCACGAAGCTTCGCAAGAACATCGGGCGCCGAGCCCAAAACGAAGCAAGGCCCCGATAGCAGCCGATCCAACAGAAAATGACAGATCGCAGCCGACGCGTGCGACGTCAAGTCAGCGATGTAACTGAAGACTTTTCCGACGATTCAGAAACAGGGAGTGGTGAAGATTACGACCCTAGAAAAGCAGACTCGATGCGTAGAGCAGGCAGATATGAGTGAGTTGGCCCAGTATTTTCTTCCCTTGTTCGCGTATCGTTGGCGGAGGTCTGTAAAGCACTGTGTCAGAGGTCCAGAGAAGAAAGGTGATGATAATTCGAAACAACCGAGTCCGACGGTGATGAAATTCATATCATTGTGCAGTCGCCAGTGGATTGAAAATGGCAACGGAAAAACCGTGTCATCTCATACCTGCAGCACCGACAGTCACCGCCTTCGATTTCGGGACATCGCGAATGAACCTCACTTCACGGTCACGGTGACGACCTGTGAAAGAAAGAACTTCTCTTCTGAAATGATCATTTCTCCTCTTTATTCCTCCCCGACAAGACTCACGAATTAGACCATAACATCCTCATTGTTGCTTGTTGCTAAAATGACATTCATCACGCTTTACTACACTGCAGAGGCTCGAAGAAGAAAAGCTGACCTCGATGCTAGATCCTCAGGGGCTTCTAGCCAGACGTCCTCCAGGCCGCGCCGATCTGGAAACTCAACCTCGATCTCATCAGCATCCATTCAACGAGGATTCGGCTCCCAAGAAGACCGACGACATAGTCTCAAGTTGACCGTGAAAGCACCGCCCAGCAAACTCCGCGAGGTCATGCGCGCCAATGAAGTCGAGACACTGAAAGACACACTCGGTGGGGGCCAGGTCTTGGATGGACCCCGATCGAGCCGTAGATCGACACTCGCTGCCAGAACCGGTGTTCGTGGCGCCCAAAAGCCAAAGTATGCCGACTTTGGTGATAGTGAAGAAGACGACGATGACGCAGAGGAAGACGAGGAGGAAGAAGAGGAAGAGGATGAGGAAGAAGAAGTTGAGGAGGAAGAAGCAATGAATGATTTTGATGCACTCGGCGCAGAGGCGGAAGGCACCACCGACGAAGACGAAGATGTCGAAATGGAAGATGCTCCTGCTCCTCCACCGTCAAAGAAAACAGCCCCACCCAAAGCACCCAAGATCACCTTGAAGCCACCAGCCAAGAAAGTCGACGGTAAACAAAGCAAGCCCAAATTGGTCGTCACCCCAGCCAATGTCGGTCCCGTCAAGTCGGTCGAAGACCAGGAAATGGAGGATGACCCAGGTGACGAAGAAGTCGAGGAAGGCTCTTCTGACCTGTCCGACGAAGACAACGAAACTCCCGCCAATGCCGACGACGAAGATGCGGAAGGCGAGGAAGATGAGATTGAAGTAGGAGAGACGACTCTTCAGGCTGAGGATGAGGAAGAGCTCGACGAGGATGACGAAGAAGACGACAGTGACAGTCTCGACGATAGTGACGACATGCCTGCGTCTGGTAGTGCTACTCCAGATCTGAGTAGGATGACCAAGAGGCAAAGAGGCAGACCGGAAGATCAGAACACACTGATGGCTTTGGACATGGCACCTCAGCAGCGAAAGGTGAGTTTTCCTCTCGAGCAGCTAGTTAGTAGCGCAGTGAGGTTACGCGGCTAACGGCATTTTAGTTCTTCACCGATGAGGAAAAGGCGATGAAGAAAGACGAGCATGCCAGAAAGCGCAAGGAATTGACAAAGCGAAAGGTGCAAGAAGAAAAGACAGCTGCCTTGAATCGTTTGGTAAGAGATGGGCCCCAAAAACCCAACCAAGGTGTGATGGCTCGGAAGGGAGTTTGCTAATTGACTGTTCCTAGCTCAAACCTCAAGTGTCCAAAACTCGAGGTGCCGCTCCGAAACCAGAAACCCTTGCAGCTGCAGCGGCCGCAATCGGATCGCCATATGAAGAGGACGATTACGTGACGAGGGCCCATCCGCTTTACACGAGATGGATCAGTACGAAGGATGGCATCAAGCTTGGTGTTCCAGAAGTTTGGTTGGGTAAGAATGTTGGTAAATATTTTGGACCACCTCTTCCGCCGAGTAATGGCTCGCTTGTGCAAGAACTCGACTAGAGAGAGACGGAGGGATTGGTTTGATGACGATGATGATCGGGGGTGTCACTGCCTGCACTGGCGTCGTTGTGATTGTATGAGTATCAGCATGGTTACATTCGGGACACTTCAACAACGAACATGGATATGGGGGCAGGTCGGTTGGTACGAGTAGACAGATAGGACTCCTTACTGCATTTGAAAGGGTCGAGAACTTGGTACTCTCAAAAACGAATAAAAACTTATTTCACTTCTGGTTAAATATACAAAGCCGAGCTTGCAAAGTCTGGGTTCATGAAATTACCTTGAGTATACGGGCAGAGAATGTTTTGGATTTTTATCATACAGAAGTGTCGGCGTAGGTAAGGTAGGTACACGAAGATGAATCCATCTTTGCCACACGACGATGCAAATACAATACAATACAATACAACGTTGGCTTGTGGCAGTTTCGACTCGGCGCCTTTTTTTTTTTTTTTTTTTTCTGCTTGAAACCGCCACTCGAGTAAGAAAACTCGAGTTACGTCAACATCAAATTCCAATCCCAATCTTGTACACCGGTCCCGATTTCGGTGCCGTCAGTACTGAACATGGCGCCGCCGATGTCATGCTCAGTGTGTTGCTGCTGGTGATTGACGTTGCCACTGCCACCTCCTCCCATCCCGGCCATGGCCGCATTACTCAAACGGTTAATGTAAACGTCGTAACCGTCGATGGCTGTGTCGATCTCGGTCAACCAAGGATGATTGTTATTATTGTTGTTGTTGAAGCCAGTGTCACTCGAGTCTCCGTCACCACCCAAAAATGAAAAGCCTTGTGCGTGTGCGGCAGCGGCAGCGGCGCCAAAGTTGGGATCATTGATATAGCTTGACCAACTGTCTTGTCGAGGATGTGGTTGCTGTTGATGCGGCTGATGAGGTTGGTGTGGTTGTGACACGGATTGTTGACGCGTAGGTGTCGTCAAACTATCGCCGCATAATCTATAAATGATGTCCCTGCACTTGTTGGCGCTGGAGTTTAGGTTTGTCATTGCATTGATGACGTTCAAGGCGGTGAGAACCTGTTTTCTCCATGACGGTGCGTCGGGGTGTCCGGGAATCCGTCGGAGACAGTGGATCGGGATCAAGGCGGCTTGGAGTAAGAAGTACAGTACGTACCAGGCCGCCAATCTGGTATGGGTTCCTATCGACCAGAATCGAAAGATGCAAGAAATGCACTCCTCGGCGGCCTTGAAACATCGACTCGTGGCGATTCTTTCGGCGGAAGGTGTCGTACTGGTCGCAGGCGAGGAGGAAGATTTTGATGCGTCCGACGCCAGACCGTCCTGGGTCCATCGTATCAGGAACGGCCGGTACATTATGATCCGCAAAAGGCGGTAACGCCATCGACCGATTTCGTGACCCAACAGATATTCGCTGGACAAGGGCAAGTCTCTGTCATTGTAGAACTCTGGCAGACCGGCGAGCCAACCCCCGACGAGTTCGTCGTCCAGGGACACGAGTTCAGCTGCCGAAGGGAGAGGGTTCGAAATCAATCGATTGTATATCCGGATCGTGCGGAGGTGGTATTGTGATTGGGTGGTGATGTAGGTGTAGAGAGTCGTTTCATTGACTTCGGGTGGGAAGGATGTAGATGTTGGTTCAAGGTCCTACAAAAAACAACAGGAAGAAATAATGTCAGTTGAAAGAATCCTTCTTGAAGGGGGAAGACAACTAGGTTCGTAACAAAGGAAGAAAGACGAACCTGTTCATGAATATTTAGTGGAAAAGCAGTCTCGACACCAACTTGTGGCCAATTCAAAGGACGGCCGTACGTGACTGTGGCACCGACGTCAAGGACACACAAGGACCACCATACCCTTCGCCTGACTTCCTTCTTGAAAGGTGTCGCCTGCCAGCCGTGGAATTCCTTGTGGAGGCCCAGGGAGGTGGCCAAGCGCAGAGCGATACCTCCGTAGTTGTATCCGCTGTTGGGTCGGTTCCTCTTTTGGAGATAGTTGGCGGCCATGGCGAATGCTTGGACGAGACTGAGACTTCCAGTTTCCAAAGACACAATGGTCAGGTTCGCCTTGACGGCGTTGAAGAGCGTGGCGTGGGTGTCATCGGTGCCGCTCCTGGACACAAAGGCGCCGAGGGTGGCGACCAGATTGACCAAAATGTGAAAAGTGTTCGGCCCAGGACGCCCACTCATTTTGGAGTACTGTTGGCGAAAGGAGGGTTGGTGGAGGATTGGAAAGGTCGGGTGGTAGTAGGCAAAGTAGGCGTCGACCATGCCGTCGACCACTTGGCGGGTGATGAGTGGTTGCGTCTGGAGCCATGTGGACGGAAGGCTGTTGTCCTCGGGAGTGTCCTTCATCAATTGCTCCATGGTGTGTCTCCGTTGTTTGTGGAATTCGCTCTTGTCGTCTGATGTTGACGACGATGATCCTTCACCGCCGCCGCCGCCGCCGGCATTGCCCATCCAGATGAGGCGGAGAAGCGCGGCTCCCGACACCGATCCATAGAAGCCAGTGTGTGAATCGTCCGTCGTGAGCGTAGCCATGCCGTCGGTGATCTTGGGCACGTCCGAGTCTGGGTCGTTCTCCGAGGTCGACGCGCCAAAACCACCACCACCTCCTCCACCTCCTCCGCCACCACCACCTGCCAACTCCCCCAAGTTCCAGGACGGATCGCGCTCATCCCACTCAAAGTCGTCGTCGGCACCTGGGAGATTTTCAAAGGCGGCACCACTCTCGCTAGCTGGACTTCGGGAAGAGTCGAAGAGATGGAAGTCGAATTTTTGATCGGGGTCTGGACTGGTCGTGGGAAAACTCGGTCCTCCTGGGAAGGCAGTATCGCTCGAGAGTCTGGGTTGTTGAGTGATTGGCCTTTGGGGAGATGGTTCGGATCCCTGTTGTGAGACTCCATGAATGAGCATTTGAGATAGCTCGGCTTCGGTGAAGAAAGTTCTGAGCAGGGCTTCAGCCTTTTCCAATCGTTCTTCCACCTCGGTGAGGTGTCTGTGTGAATTGTTTTAATTAGCAACGCCGGTACATAGAGATACCGCAAATTCGTCGGCCCTTACTTTCTCGTCAAGGACGATCGACTGTGTTTGTCGTAGAGACAGTGTCGATTGTATCGCTGACAGACGGAACACACTGGCATCTTCCCATCGCATTTTCCCTTGCGACGTCGACATTCTCGGCACGACTGTCCAGCATTGGGCTGCAGTTTATCACTCTTGGGCACGTCGGCCATTCTGCGCGTAGCTCGTTTGTAGAATTTTCGCTCACATACGGAGTATAGAGGGCAAGTGATTGATCAAATATTGATGATGGAGTTTGAAAATGGCAGTCGAAATACGTTAGATATGTGTAAGGAATTTATTGTCCTTGTAGCCATTGATAAATTTGAGATACGAAAGATCTTGGTCCCCCAGAACCCCGCAACGGACACACGCGGATCAGTCAATTGCCCAGGGATTTATCACCCAGGGTTTATTTTATTGGCACACGGGGGCCAGAATTGACGCTTCGATATATTTACTGTCTATCAGGTAAATATAAAGGTCCTTTGTGCCAGTGGATGACCAGTGGATGATGGCCACGCGGCATCCTGCACTCTACAGAACCAAAGGAGTCTCTCCATATGGATATTCCAAACGGGGGACAAATACCACATTTTGACGACTACTTCGGACTGACGATTAAATCAATTGCAGGTAAGCGAGACCTGGGAGGTTCTTCCATAGGTCACTATAACCCGCTACATTTGCTTCTCCCCCGGTCAATGCCCAAAAGGACCGACCGGTGGCGCCCGGGATTCGGCTGCATCCAACTATCCGCCATCAACGACACCGAGGAGGCCTTAAGCGAAGACCAAAAGCGCTGGAGATTCGCGACTGGTGGAACAAATGCTTAAAACCGACACGATCCCGAACATTGGGCTGTGATTACTCCGTAAAGACTTTGGCATTATCTTCCCCATAACTTCACCACACTGTTCAGGGCCAGACAGTCCAGTCAGGATCACCACGCGGTAGATTGATGATTTTTATCTCCGGCCACAGACATGCATGTATATGTGCGCTTCTTCAGCAAGGGGGTGTATATAAAGGAGGAGGCTCCCTCCTGGCATCTCGAGGTGAGTCAAAACTTGGAAAGAAAGCTTTTGTGGACGTTGGACATCTCAGAGACCGTTTGTCTGTTCCTTGTCGTTTTCTTCCCCCGTGCAAGACAATCCCCTCCGTATAGTCCGAGGTTCAAAACATCGTCATGGCAACAGGTGAACTCCCCGAGACTCACCGGGCTCTCGTCCAACGGGTCTACGCTCAGCCATTACAAGTCGAGACACTCCCGACACCGCAGCCCACGCCGGGGAGCGCCGTCGTCAAGGTCCTCGTGGCCAACGTGATTGGGTACATGAAGAACATATACAACGGCGCCCGCAAGTATTCCTACCCCACCCCTTTGGTCGCCGGTACGAGTGCCATTGGCCGGGTCGCGGCCGTGGGCGAGGACGCCGTCTCGCTCAAGCCGGGCCAACTGGTCTTTTTTGACTGTACCATCCGTGGACGCGACGACCCGGGTGCCATCATCCTTTCCGGTATCGCCGACGGCTCGAGCGAACCAAGCCGGAAGCTCATGCGTGACGCCTGGCGCGATTCGACCTACGCCGAATACGCGAGAGCGCCGCTGGAAAATTGTTTCCCGCTCAACGAGGCTCTGCTCTGCGGAAGTCCCTCGGACGGCGTCGGCCTCGGGTACGACATCGCGAGAATATCCTACATCGCCGCACTCCTCGTCCCGTACGGCGGGCTGAGGGACATCCGCGTCGAGCCCGGAGAGACTGTGATCGTCGCGCCCGCCACAGGAGGGTTCGGTGGAGCTGCGGTGCTCGTCGCGTTGGCCATGGGTGCCAGGGTGATAGCGATGGGTCGAAACACCGACGTCCTCGCCAAGCTGGCAGGGTTGAGCAGTACCCGGGTGAAGACGGTCAAGATCACGGGGAACCAGGAGGAAGAGGTGGCCGCTTTGCAAAAGTTTGGTGGACCTGCCGACGCCTACTTTGACATCTCCCCCCGCGAGGCTCAAGGTGCCACGTATTTCAAGAGTGCCATCCTGTCGCTGCGCCATGCGGGGCGTGTCTCTTACATGGGTGGATTTCTCGAAGACGTGCCCATCCCCCTTCGGCTCCTGATGAGGAAGGACATCAAGTTACACGGCAAGTGGATGTACAGCCCGGACGACGTGCGGTCGCTCGTCAAGATGGTAGAAATTGGGCTTTTGGATCTGAGTGAGTCGCGTGGCCTGGTGACGGTCATGGGCGAATTCCCACTCGAACGTTGGGAAGAGGCCTTTGACATGGCCGCGAAGAATGCGGCCGTGGGTCAAATTGCGTTGATCAGGCCGTAAGTTCGTGGACACGTCTTCAGATAGAAGAGACAGACAGAACCTTGTAAATTTCAATTAATTCTATAGGTGTTCATTGTTTGACCCTGATGACTACTTTGCCGAAATGACCGCCACTGTAAAGATACTTGAAAGCTTCTTTCGCTTGGTCAAACGGAAACACTCGGTCGACGACCGGTTTAATCTTGTGTTGGTCATAGAATTGTAGCATCTCCTCGAACCGATCCCTGGGTCCGTTCAGAATGCCCTTCAAGGTAACGTTCCGCCTCAATGCTAGGACGTTGGCATTCAAGCGATCACCTGGATCGTCCTCCTTGCCGGATAGGTAGCCAATGGCATTGATGAGACCGCCGAACGCTATGCAGTTGAACGACTTGCGTAATGTCTGAGCACCTCCAGCTTCGAGAATGATGGCTACGCCGTGGTCATTGGTGAGTCGCATGACTGTATCCTGCCATTCGGGATCTGTCTTATAATTGATGATATGAGTTGCACCGAGCGACTTGGCCCGTTCCAGTTTTGCGTCCGAGGAAGATGTTATGATAGCTTGAGTTTCGGAAATCAGTCAGTCGTACGCTGCATACACGGAGGAGATTAGGCATTGATTGAGGAGACTTACTTTCTGCACCAGCGGCGTGTGCAATCTGTAGGCCACTGATCGAGACCCCGCCAGTTCCTTGAAGTAGGACCGTCTCATCTTTGCCACCAGGATGACCCAATGGCCTCATGCCGTTGATGGACATCCATGCCGTAACCCCAGCAATGGGTAATGTAGAGGCTTCTTCGTCATTTAGGTAGGCAGGGGCTTTTACTAGGCCTGTAATCGGGAATACGCGATGTGTCTGTAGAACTCCCTCTAGAGGTAACCCAAGTCCGAAAGCCATCTCTTTCGCAGTAATCTGTCCTGTGAGATGCGTCTGGTTGAATGTTGAGAGGACTCGGTCCCCAACGGACCACGGGCTGGATTGAGTGCCTTCGCCGATGGCGACTACTATACCGCACATATCGGAGCAGGGAACAAGTAAGGAAGTTGCACCAACAGATTTGTGGTGATTGTAAAGACCCATGGCCACTATCGTCCAACCAACAAATATGTCTCAGCTCCGATCGCCAATTTTGTTTGACGTGCAAATTGAACCAAGAAACAGCACTTACCTTCTGTGTCACGATAGTTAAGAGAGACAGTTTGGATCTCGACGAGCACTTCATTTTTGCCAGGCGTCGGGACAGGTTGTGTTGTCCTACACAGATGCTCCAGACCATTTTGTGATGACACCCATTGATGATTCTCTGTTGGAAGAGTCATGTTGATTAGGAAAACTGGATTGATAGCCTTACACTTTCGTATATTTCACAGGATCAAAATTGGATAGAAACAGATCAGACTTGCACGTTGTCGATCTGGTTTCATTATTTCGTCAGATATCGACAGGGAAATTCGGCAATCTCCGCAATGTAGGATCTACAGAACGAGATATAGCGGCTCTTGGGACTCGGACCCATCATGAATTCTTCTGATACTCGTGCTTGATCTCTTTCATCCCCGAATAGGTTGTGTTTGGCGACACTCGTACTGAATACCTGGGATATCCTATGTGCACATTGTGTATGTTGACGTTATGGGTGGCTGTTCATACGGAGCATTAAGTAAGCACTCGGTCCTCCGACGGTTCGGAAATAAATTGTTCCAGACTCCACGTGAGGGGCAGACAAAGACTTCGCCATGCGGTCTCGCATCCTAATATCCGACGACCCCCGGACAGGCCGATGATACCCTGCATATCAAACATCTTTTTACGCCTCTAGTTATCGAGATATGACATTATCAAGTTGTTGCTGATGAAGCAGTACAAACATCATCAATGCCATCATATACTCCTATTTTCTTTGAGAGGTTGGTCGAGTCTTCGCGAACCGGTGCCGAGACAGCCTAAGCCTTTCGCGCTGGTGCAAATTGTCTTCCTCCGATCCGTTCCCGACCTCCTCCCCATGCCAGTGGGTTTCTTTTTCTCTTCCTCACACCATCCGTTGGCCCTCGTTCTCACCCTCCTCGTGACCTTTTGTTCATCATGGACCATTGCTGCTGACCAATATCAACTGGAGAGTTATATCTGCTGTGACAGTCGTAGCTACCATGGCTGTGTGATACTTTTATTTTTTCTTTCGACCTTGCAGCGCCTTTCGTATTCGCTGCGCGCCACAGCTTTCGAGGCACCCGAGAATTTGTATCTGTTAACACCGGCGCTTTCAGAATGCTTCCCCCAGTTCCTCGACCTACAGACTACGGGGTTTCCCCCGACCGAGGCTTCCTCCCTGCCGAGAATCCCACACAATGCCTCTCACATCCTGTCTACGACCGTTGGGAGCGGATCATGAACAACTTCCAGTCCCTTCTCCTATCCAAAAGACTCCGGACTGTCATTGACAGACTACCCATCATACCTGCGGTCCATCTTGAGACCGAAGCCGAGTGGCGCAGAGCATACAGTATCCTCACATTCATGGCGCATGGCTACATCTGGGGCGGCGATAAACCATCAGAACGACTTCCACCTTCCATAACATACCCGCTTCTCCAGGTGTCAGACCACCTCGAGTTGCCTCCAGTCGCTACATACGCTAGCGTGTGCTTGTGGAATTTTAAACCCATCTTTCTTTCCGAAGCCCTCGACCTCGACAACCTCTCCACACTAACCACATTTACGGGCTCGCTAGATGAGCAATGGTTCTATTTGGTCAGTGTGGCCATGGAAGCAAAAGGCGGACCGTCCATACCAATCATGTTAAAGGCCATTCAAGCCGCAAGAGACGATGATTGCGCCACTGTTACAAAGAGTCTACAATCCTTTGCTCAGACATTAGACGAGCTGGGCACTCTGTTGGTCAGGATGTATGAGAATTGCGATCCGCACGTCTTTTATCATCGCATCAGACCCTTCCTCGCGGGTAGCAAGAATATGAAAGATGCAGGCTTACCTCAAGGTGTTTTCTATGATGACGGCAGCCGCCGAGCAACTTGGCGTCAGTACGGCGGTGGCTCCAATGCCCAGAGCAGTATGATACAATTCTTCGACATTGTTCTGGGTGTCGAGCATAGGCCGACAGGTTCCAAAAAGGACGAAACGACGTCAGAGTCGGAACTCGAGCAAGGAGCAGCACCACGGCCTCGACATAACTTTATTCATGAGATGAGGCAATACATGCCTGGCCCTCACAGAAGGTTCCTCCAAGCTGTGGAAGGAGTAGCCAACATTCGAGATTACGTTGAGAACAACAGATCTCGTACAGAGTTGTGCATTGCGTATGACGCATGTTTGGCCATGCTCAGAACTCTACGTGACAAACACATTCAGATGGTGTCCAGATACATTATTGTGAAAAGCAGAGAGTCTCGAAGTCTCAGCAGGACGCGACGAGAAAGCAGTTCTGATCACGTTCCAATGGCGAAAGGAATTGCGTCAGTCCGCTACGATCAGCCTCACACAGCCGACCAGCCCCAGAGAAAGAAGAAGATGCGCGGCACAGGAGGGACCGCACTCATTCCCTTTTTGAAACAGGCTCGGGACGAAACTGGTGAACCAGCAATTGATGATTGGGCCAGAAAACTGCTCACTGGTGGCCGGCGTACTGCAGCAGATGCGGAAATAGCATTTGAGAGCAGACTGACAGCTGCTGACCTCGACGCTGATGAGCCTCAGATCGTTGGCCTCGCTGGAGCTTGGAGTATGGAAGACGCTGGGGGTGGTCTCTGTGCATACTAGACTTGAGAGGTTTAACAGTACAGCATTACATTTCGTGGCCACGAATGGGAGACGGTTTTCTGTTTGGAAAAGTTCAGCGATGCATAAAGATACTTATGAATTCACCTCAGACTCAGTTGGAAAATGACCAAGAGAATATGATATGACCAGATTTTAATGATTACTATGATGGCTTTCACTCCACTTATGAGTGCCACTCTTTACTAGGACTGTCCAATGCAAATAGATGTATCCGTCCTCGCTTAAGGCAAGGCTTCAGAAGCCGAGTAATGCCGGCGGAAAGTAATTCTGTCTGACAAGGGAAGATTACTCGAAATGGTCATAAACCAGACAGAAATTTATAATAACCGCGTCAGTCAGACATGATCGACCAGACCGCGCATCATTGATGATCACGAGGATGAGGGGGAATCAATCAATCAATCAATCAATCAATGACTCTCTCACTTTCCGCTTCCTGATATCCGTTTTGCTCCCAAATGTCCCCTTCATTCCCAACCACTCGCATGACAATCCCACCTCTCTTATGCATGGACTCATCCGTAGTCCGTTTATCTTCTCTATCTTCTCTGTGTTGGCTGGTCCACTGTGTGTCTCTTTTTTCGCTTGACTAACAAACAAATCCGAGGGGGTTGTTTACTCCGTACGGAGTACTTGGGACCACTACTTATTCTACCTGATATACATGACCCTTGATTACTTCCAACGCTGCTGGTTTCACGTTAACGATATGCAAGAGCAACTGCTCTCTTCACCCTGCTGTTGACTGTCTGCCCCTCTGACGTACTCTACACACACACACACACACACAGTCCACAGCAAACCACTCGGGACCCCCATTTTGGCGGAGTATCTATTCCACAATGTCATTCCTCCGCAGGACCGCCGACACATCCGCCCTTTTCCCAGCCTTTCCGACTTATCTCTTCCCCTCGGTTCCCTTTCGGCGACGCAAGTCTCGTCAAGCGAGCACCGACAGCGACGTCTCGGTCGAGTCTGCGGTGTCGACCGTCACTACCATCCTCTCTTCGACTTCCTCGAACCCGTTCCCCAGATACCCGACCCCCACACCGATCCCTGCGGCGTCTGCCTCGTCGGTCATCATCCCACCAGACGACAAGTTTCTGAACGGTCACACTTCACACATCCAGTGTGCAAAATGCTCGACGGACCTCTGCCTCACGTCGCAGATCATCAGCAAGGGTTTCACGGGCCGACATGGGCGGGCGTTCTTGGTACAAGGCACGACGAGCCACATCCACACCACCGCGTCGGCTCTCCCGAATACGTATCAGAGCAAGGCGATCCCTCGGAACTTGGTCACGGGCCAGCACGTCGTCAGTGACATCAACTGCGCCATTTGCCGGAGCATCTTGGGCTGGAAGTACGTCGAGGCGAGCGAGGAGAGTCAGAAATACAAAGTCGGCAAGTTCATCCTCGAAACCAAGCGCATCCGTATCGGCGTGTCTTGGGAACAAGAGGAGGAATCACCGCCGACCAATCAGGCGTACGACGAGATCCTGCCTCTCCCCCCTCGTGACCTCAAGAGGCTTGTTGAAAAGCCGAGTGTTCAACGACAAAGCAGTGACGATTTGGAGTTTGATTCGCAGGACGAAGATGAGTGTGAAGATTTGTTCGCCGGGGTCTGGAGCCCTCAATTGGCGACCAAGAGAAGACAACGAAAGAAGGAGAGGTTTGGAAGACGTCCACAGGGAAGCAGCCTGATCAGTTTCGGTGCCAATAGTAGTGTCGACACCTTGTCATCACCCTGCAACTGATCAACGAAACTGTCACACCCAACACACTGCTTACGCCTTCTCTTCTCCAATGGACCCCGGACGTCAATCACAAGGACCAGGGAACAGGTGACCCCGCCGTCGAGTCGGCAGCATGGCCATCACGTTCTTAAAATTACCTACGACGCGGTTTTGATATTCAGATACCCCCACTTTTATGATTTGGCGTTGGTTACGCTCATGCATCATAAACACGAATGATACCCTTTAATCATGAAGTTGGAGTTATTGGCGTTTGCATTTATTGTGAGCTTGGTGACACTGAAATGAAATGAAATGAATGTTGCAATGGCATGGAACGAGAGAGAGAGAGAATGAAATGTACTTAATGTAATTGGTGATCGATTGGCGTCGGTGATGGCGCATTCATGGAAACTAGCTATACTTATACATGGCACAATAATACCGAAGTTTGGAAGAAATCCCTTTTTTGCGACATCGTTACTGTCTATCTAGTGTTACTGGTAACAGGTAACTAGGACTATATACTTTGGGAAGGATGACCTAGGACAATTTAGAAAGATTTTGGTTCAAACATGTTGAGCTGCGTCGTCGGCGTATCCGGTGAACTAAGAAAAAAAAAGTCCAGACTCGGCCATTAATGTCAGGGCATCCCTCTTCCAGGTGTGTTTTGAACAAGGGCGCATGGGGACTTCCGTACAACTTCTGTTTTTCATGACGATCAATCTGGCGTCGATGGAGCCAGACGACGAATGTACGTACAAATACTACCTGGTCAAGTATCCCGTACAATCGACAATTGCATGCCCTCGCTGCTGCCATGTCCATGTCCATCCTCATGCTCATGCTTCTACTCTGTCCGACTTTGACTACTTCACCGTCAAGCTTTGGCACTGTGAACATGATGATGGTGATGGTGATGCTTGACCTCATCCACATCCACGCCGTCGCCGACACCTGCACCACCACTGCCGGCCAAAAGTCCCTTCTTGCCCTTGCCAAACTTACAACACGCCTCGTGCCTCCGCAGGTTGTCCAGTCGGGGAAATCTCCTCTTGCAACCCAAGCCGTGAAACTTACACAGCATGTGTTGATGTTTTGGTCGATGCGTGGCCATGTGCCGTTTGAAGTTGCTCCCTTCGCCGTTCAAGTATTGACCGCAGATGTGACAGTACATCTTGTTGCCTTGGTGGCAGGACGCGACGTGGTCGTCACGGACCTGTTTGTACATGAAGCTCTTGGTGCAGCCGGGGAACGTACATTTGAAGGGACCACCTTCGTTGGTGGAGGCAGCGGCAGTAGTGTGGGGCCCGGTGGATGTAGTAGACGCGGAAATGTTCGCGGAGGAGGAAGATGAGGATGTCGTGGAAGGGTGCTGATCGGAATTCAACGAGGAAGACGAAGCGGTAGCAGCGGCAAGCATCGGAGCGAGATGTTTCTTGGAAATATGTCCAGTCAGTGCGGCTTCCGAGGTGAATGTAGCCGAGTCGCATGACTGCCAGGCACACTTTGTAACTCCTTTGACCAGGTGGACCGCCTTGAGGTGCTTTTTGAGGTCGGTGGCAGAGGCGAACGATGCGCCGCATACGGTACCGCACGGCATGAGCCACTGGCATGCACGGGAAGTGGGCGGGGCCGAGACGGCGGCTAGGAGATCTGATGTCTTGGACAGTGGTGTTGTTCCAGTGGGTTGCTGCGAGGGGGGAGTTGTTTGTGGCTCCTGCTTGGTGACTGGTGAGGGTGGAAATGCTGCGGTGGGCTGAAAATCTGGCAGAGCCAATTGTTGGTGGGCTGTCGCTGGGTGGCAACCGAATTCCATTCCAAAAGGCGGAAGAGGGAATTGCTGAGGCATACCCGGTGCGCCGTTGCAGAGTTGAGCTTGGGCGATGCTGTCCCAGTAAGGCACCGTGTTTCCGAAACACTGATGGTGCATCGGCACGTCGAGTGGCGGTGCCAAGGGCTCGGTTTGCATGTTGGAGAAGTCGGGCGACTGGAAATTGAGCAGGTCGTTCTCGTCAAACTGAGGAGGCACCGACCCTGACCCCAGGAGACTGTTGTCACCAAGCAGTGGGACAGAGAATGAAAGACCCAACGACTTGTCCTGCTCGAATTCATTCCAGTCGATACAGTCGAAGCAAGAGAAGTCGCATTCATCACAGGTGTCGTCGTTGCAGACTCGCCCATTGTTCTTGTGGTCGATCTGAACGTCATTGCACCCCTGGCAATCGTCGACGTATTCGTCGTCGGTCTGGTGGTTATACAGTTGATGCTCTTCCAAACAGTCGTCGCAATCGTCAACACAGTCCTCGCAGTCCATGGGACTCGGAGAGTTGTGCAGCGACACGTTGCGACTGCTCGAAGACTCTGGATTGCCGAAAAAGTCGTCTGTCGGAGTGTCGTGGGTCACATAATTCATGGCGCTGGACGGTCGAAACAAAGGAACCTCTTCCTCGCCGCAGCACGCGAACTTGTGAGACTCGGCGGCATAACGGGCAGGAGTTCTAGAAGAGACAACCTGACCATTTCTGAGCGGTGACCTGTAGTTCTGTCGACCGGCTAGCCGGGATTTTGTCGGGAAAACGTCGAGCGGGTTGACAAAAGTCTGGTGGTGGAAGTCAGAGGCCATAAGGCCCTGAGGTGATGTTCTACCCATGATGAAGCTATCACAGATTGGCGGGTAAAGTGTAACAATTGCCGTTATGGACCTGTCATTGACGGCAGTGTCAGGGAAAAACCTCGCTTGATACGAGTTTCGAAGGGACGTGGGGGTTGTAGAGACAGACGCCGCTTCGGCTTTTTAGAATTGATAATCACGCCAAGATAAAGAATATGCTCTAACCCTTATCCGGCTAGTTCCAGCCTGATGCCATTTACAGTATGTACGGCGGACCACTGACAGCCTCGTCAATGTGTTACAATCACTGTAGGGATGAGATGGCTTTGCCCCCCTTTACTTCTTTTACTTACCTTACCTGATCATGCCTGCGGCCACACTGAACCTCTTGGAGACGCACAGCAATTACGAAAATAGTATTTAGATATGATGCCACCAGCGAAACGGCCACGACTCGATCCAGACGACGAAGTTTCTGAAGCCGAACAACTCAACCGACGTGTTCTCAGGAAACTCGAAAATGCCATGCTAAATGATCCGACTGTCGATCTGACCACGCTGATTCCCAAGACCTACTCTGAGCGGCTTGCCTTGAGAAAGGAGACCCATCCCAGCCTCACCCACGAGACTCCTGGCGATAAAGACCAGGCTCCTACTTCTGCCGGTGATGTTGCAGAAGAGCAAGGTCCCAAACTCGATAGCCTGCCCTCGCCTCCTCCCGAATTACACATACCGTTCGAGTTCTCTGCGGCGTTGAAGACACTGCTTGGCCTGGAGACGCTCGAACACGGTGAAGTCCATCGGGAGCTACAGAGGGTCCTCAAGGAAGGTGAAGTTATTTGGCGGTCTCAATTTAACGAGAACTTCGTTGTCATCAGATGTAACGACGATATTGCCGTCAAGGTCATCCGCCAGACCACAGATCTCACTGAATTCACTGCGCTGCACTATTTTGAGAAGCATGCCCCCGACTTACCCTGTCCAAAGGGCTTGGGCGTCATCTCCGACTCTAGATTCACTTATATTTTCATGACCTACATGCCCGGGGTGACGTTGGATACCATTTGGAAGCAGCTTGATCATACTCAAAAGGCGTTGATCCGAAGCGACCTGGAACGATTCTTCGACCGCTTACGAGCACTGCCAGTCGACAACATGCCCCTGGGTGGCTTTGGCGGGGAACCTTGCAAGGACACCAGGAGACATTCTCGTATGTGCCCCCATCCCGTGCACACGGTCCCCGAATTCGTCGACTTCATCTTCTCAAACCCACACTACGGAGGTCGAGTCTATCTCGACATATTGCGAGGCATCTGGCCTACGGATTCGAAAGTTTGCATGACCCACGGAGATCTGAAGCCTTGCAACATCTTGGTCCAGCTTACTGACGATGGAAACTATCGGCTGTCTGGAATAATTGATTGGGAAAGGAGTGGGGTGTATCCAGAATGGTACGAATGTAACAAGGCGACCGACATGCTGACGCCCACGGAAGCAGAAGATGACTGGGCTGCGTACCTCCCGCCCTGCATGTCCCCAGAGACATACCCTCTCGTTTTCGTCCTTGATCGACTCTGGGACTTTCATGTCGTCTGAAAGCAAAACAATGAAAACATATGGACGTCTTATTACATCGGCCCGTAATGCTGCATGAGCTGATCTCTTCCCTTGTTTTTGCCCGTCCAATCGTCGTCATCCGTTGTGAGGCAGTCGTTGACAATCTCATCAGCATTTTCGACCACAAAGTCCTGACAATTCCAGTGCACGGTCTCGTTGTCCACCCTGGCTTGTTCGAGAATTCTCTTGACCGTAGGCACCTCGGTCTGGTTGATTTCACCGACTAACATCATGGCGAGGAACCGAGTCGTTTTCAGAGGACTCGAATTGACAATGATATTGTGCTCAAAATTGGGCCAGTCTCCGATAGCTTCGTAGATTGTATCTTCTTCCCCGTTCTTTAGGTACAAGGCAAAATGCTTATAGTTTCCCATCCTAGGATTATAGATGGCGGCATAGAGTTTGGCCCTCATGGTCCCCGATGGTTATGGTATAGATAGGATAGAGTTACTGACCCGAGGGACAGGCCGCAGTCTTCGACCTACGACTTGTTCCTTTGTCTGCCCTTTTATCATCACGCGTGGCCAACACATCACGTCAGTGGCATAGAATCGGGGCGTCGAGGAGACAGACATACACAAACACAGCCGCAGGCAGCAATCAGGAAGCTGCTTGGGAATGGAAGTAGGTGGAGAGAGTGGCTTCAAGGGTATTCCATGTCTTTTTGGAGCCCTCGAAGCATCATCATACCAAACTATAGAGCAGACCATGGGAAAGAAAAGACCACTAAAAAGCCCACATATATGCAATCCATCACATAATCTATCATATTCTGAACCAAACCAATCTCACCGAAGAGCTTCTCTTCAACCCTGGTCCAGAGTCCAGACTCACTCCACGGGTGGGTATTGAAAACCCAACCGACACATGAACATCTGACCGACACTCCCTTTCAAAAGGACCTCGCATGAACCAGCCAAACTTGTAATGCTGCAAATACGCCTTGGCCTTTTGACGTGACGGGACAAATACGAGGCAGCTGACTTTTGAGAGAGAGAGAGAGAGAATACGAGGTTTCTCCCTGATCAATCATGTTTGCTGGGTTGGCACGAAAGTGGGAGGCAGCGACTTAAGAGATAAAGGGGGTTGCAACAAACATTGATTGCCTCGTGAGGGACTTTTGATTTGGGCTGAGCTTTCAAGGTTGCATATCGCTCCTTTGTTGCGGGTCCCTGGTTTACAGCAAAACACGGTGTGCTCAAAAGAAACAAGGAAAAGGAGGAAAAAGCCATCGAGGTCGGTACCAGATATTTACTCCTTGGCTTTCCGACTCTACAATGTAACCCATCACTCCCCCTCCGGCCTGCAGACTGGCTCAGGAAATCCTTCAGGGGAGGTCGTAGAACGTATTGGTACAATGATGAACGTCTGGCCGAACAACGTCTTACCACTCGAGAAGAAGCATGGTCTATATCGGCCTCCCAACGTTAAAACTCGTCATCTTGGGTGCAATGCCGTCTGCGCCTGGACGTGGACCAAACGATGCTGGTCCGCATGAGGCCCACACTTTGGAGATAGTCCTGTGCGAAGCCGCCATACACCAGTCTGTAATTGAGCTTCGCTTTTAGAAACAACTATAACTATACACTCATCAGAAACAAGTGGGGTATCGTTTAGCATTCCCAAGGAGGGAAAAGTTACAGAAAGATCGCTGCGTTTTGTCTTCGAAGCGACTTTACTTTGCTCGTGACGGTCATGACTAGATTGGAATGGAAAAGGATCCCTGGAGGATGTGAGGTATGACCGTTGGCTAAAGGCATTTACCATCCATGTTACTACCACGTGGAACGAAAGATTCGAACTGAAGACCCCCCTCGCCACTTTTTCCATCAGTGGTTCCCATTCTCAAACTGCTCGGACTCGGTTTCAGCATCGTGTTTAAGAAGCCCAGCCTCCAGTTCTTCCGCAATATCCCAGATTGCCTTGTCCTGGAATAAGTCATCCACTATAAATAGGCGATCGATTTTTCCAGAACGTCGCTTGAGCATCGTCCGCAAACCGAACCGTCCAAAGTCAACCGTTACCAAGGGCTGGGCCTCGGCAGCATCGACTGGGCGTACATTGACACGATATTTCATGCTTTTCCCGGACAACATGAGTTCATGGGCGTGATCTGCACGTTGTCAGTCTACCACATCACACTTCTGTGGGGACGATATATGTATATAGACTACCTGGGACATCCGCTCGCGGCAGTTTCGCGAACTTCTTCGTCGACACATAGTAGACGATGACGTCGGATTTTCCCATGCCACCGAGTCTCGAGGCTCTCTTGGTGCTCATTGCTCTGAGTGTTGTCGTCAGAGAGCCCAAGAAAGTATTGGGTACTGGATCAGACGAGGATAGCTCAGGAACCTGACCTCCCAATGGCCGAGGGGGACGATCCGTGAATGTTGTAGGAAGGAAAGTCAATGCGTCATCTTGTTCAGGATTCCAAGGCACCGATGATACATTGGACTGGTGCAGTCGAGCGAGGCTTGATGTAGAATTAGCTCCTAAGACATCTACTTTTGCGAACGATGACATTGCGTCTGATGCGATACTTACGGCAACACGACATGTTCAAAGAAGTCTGCTAGTATTCCGGTGTAATAGTTGTCATACTCCTTGCGTGTCCTGAGGCTGAGGGCAGAGCCCGGAGGAGGTCTCTTACAACAGAAATCTATTGCCTTCTGGTATTGTTCGCCGACTTCCCTGACTAGAAGGATGAAATCTCGTTCGTTATCGTACGATGAGGTGAAATCTGAGCCCAAGGCCAATTCTCGCAGAAGCTGTCCAAGGCGTTGGGTTTGGAGATTGAAGAGACCGTCATTATCTCCTAAACACGGTCCGACAAGTACGCGATAGCGAGGTTCGGCTCCACCAGATGTTGAGCTCGACCGAGTGATGTGGGCACTTTCCATTGCCGACAGCCAGCAAGTCACTAGCAGTAGGAAACTGCATTCTGCGATACGTAAGCTGCTTCAACCCTGTCCCGTAACGACATCTCCGAAAGCTGAGCTCTTGTTGCCGAGCTGGTTATAAGGTCTTTTAGGCTCGATTGTCGGCGCTCGTTAGAGGCGAACGGATCGTCTGATGTGCAGCACTTGAATATGAGCCTTTGATTCGGTTGGGTTTCGGAAACACATGGACAGCGCAGATACGCGGTTTGATTGTCGCTAAGCGCCGCGCAAACTTCCGCGAATGATGCGATGCATTGCATTGGCGAACTATTGCGCCTTTCAAACAGCAGCTCGAGCTTGCGCTCAGGTGCACCACCTGGTGGTTCTGCGGGAGAGTCGGGAGCGTCTGGTGTCAGTGTCACATAGTAACACAGTCGTTCTGGAATGCCGGAGTGGAAGGGTCGCCCCGTGTTCTCATTCAATTTCCATCGTAGGAGGCTGAGTTCCAACTCCACTACACCTTTTCCGGCACTTTTGCAGGAGTGATGCAGCGCCCATGAGGCGTCTCTTGTTTTGAGAGCCTGGGCAACAAGCATACTTTTGATCGTCATCTCCCTCCTCTCCCGGTTTGTAATGCACCGGGCAACGTTGTGACACTCAAAGTATGCCTCCTTGCTCATGCTGCGAAGGCTATCGATCAATCCTTTGTATTGGTCGAAATGTGTCTTGAGGTTTTCTCTGTTCGCTAGAGCGTATGAAATCTTCTGGAGCCAGAATATTCTGGCTGCCAGGCGATCTTTGTTGCCCTTATCCATTGCCCTCCTCCTCAGGGCATCGGCAGCTATGGAGGGAGCGCTCGCGTGGTTGCCACCTGAAGTACTGGCCATAGGCTGGTCGGCCACAAACTCCTGGAGATATGGCTCGAACATATCGTCGATAGACCGGGAGAGAGACTCGAGTGTATCGATCAGGTGGCAGATGGACTCCCAGCCACGTTCACCCCAAAGTTCCACAGGCCAATCCTGGTGCGAATCAGGCCTAATGAGCCAAGCACGCTTCCAAAGGTCGATCCGATACTCAACCAAGTTGGCATCTTTCGAAAATTTCAACACATCTTTCGGAGCATCTTGGTATGCCTGGACATCTTTGTATAGGGCTTGTGCGCCTGCTCGGGCAAGGTTGAGAAATCCAATAATACCAAGAACGCCAGTAGTAATCGAAAACGGTTCCGGGATCATGGTTACTGATGGCGCTCACCCAGAAGATGGATATCGGAGAAGAGATCCTCAGATATGTATACACAAATGGCCCGTTCGTATCATGGTGGAAGCCTCCGCTTCTTGTCCACAATGATCTCCTACCACTCTTGTAAGGTTGAGAAAGGGATCTGGGAAGCAGCAAGTTCCAAAACTCCGGAAGAATGGTGCAGCTGAAGAGGCTGCCTTCCATTGTCTCAGCCACCTTGATCTAGTACATGCATGTTGATGCAGGTTAACATTGCAGTCACACCTGTAAGCCAATCACAAGAAAAGATTGTGAGTCTGCTAACACTAGGCTGACACTCTTTCATTGCTTTTCTTTGTTGTCACTTCCTATCCCCAGTGTACCAACACTCGGCTTGACCGTCCTTCATTGTTTTCTTTGTCCACTGCATGTCACTTCTCCATACAAGGTAACAAGAAATGAATCATGGCAGTGGTCGGATTGCTATATACGTATAAAGCACCCCGCTTATCAGATTGCATCAACCACATTGCTCTCAGGATTCTATTGGTACTGGGTCTCCTGGCAACGCTTTCAGCCTGACCGTCCACGAGCGGCTTACTTAAGCTGAAATTTCCTGTGATTCCTGGTACTCGGACTTTTCTCCTCACTAGAAAGTCCCGGTTCAAGGAACAACGACTTGCAGCATCGATCTTGAAGCCATGTCGGCATCGATATCGGGCCGGCAACAGGGGCAAGAAGTTGTTGTGGAAGACAACATCAATGACCTCGAGCCGACTGTTGCCCTCAACAAATTGTTTCTTCGCTCCTTAGACAACATCGCTCAAGCACAGACGCACTTTCCGCCGCAGGTTGCATCCTGTCTGGATGGCATCCCAATGAAACTTAAAGATGCATATTTCAGGTTGCAAATTTGGTGGCACGATATGAACGCCGAATCAGACCAAAAACTCACTTTCGAGAAGATCTTGAGTTTTGAGCACTGCCTGCCCTCGGAAAGAGTACGTGAAATTTTGCAGAAATTCCAGGACGAGTTTGGAATGATACAAGACTTGTTAGCGAATCTTGCCTCGGTCTCCGAGTATGTGGAATCGTCCCTTCTATCGTCGACTTGTGAAAAGCTTTCATCTTACAATGGTAACACTCTTATAGAATTGACGATGAACTGCTTGCACCACTGCGTGATGCCTGTAACCGTGTCATGGATCTGGTCTTAGATCTCGTCGACCTCAGCGACGTTATCGGGACAGAACAGGCTTTGAGATTGCACGACGGCCCGAAAAGAGCCTTGATTGAGCACATCATCGCGACAGAAAGCGCATTTAGGCAGAGCCATTTAAAGAAGGCGAAAGGGATTCAAAGCAAGGTATCAGATGATTCTATTGCGAAAGATACCTCGAACGTACTCCACGAACATCAGAGCGCTTTGTCAGCTTCTCATGAAGTGAAACCCTGGGCACCAAAATATATGCTGACGATAGGTTCGTTCTTACTTTTGTTTGAGACTAGATCTTCACTCACATTATTTGGTAGATGGCGGAGGCGTCGGCGGGCTGTCTTCGTTGATCGTTCTAGAGACGCTGATGGACATGTTGAAGGACTTGGAAGCTGCAAATGACCCTTCAGATATCCTAAATCCTCTCAACGTCTGCCATTACTTCGATTATGTTGTTGGTATAGATACCGGAGGGTGAGTTTTCGGGATAAAGACAGCCGCATGGGCAGGAAGACTAACTCTAAGCCACCTAGCATGATCGCCATAATGCTAAGCCGACTGAGGATGAGTATCAAGGAATGTATCGTAGCATACAAACGATGGGAGTGGGAGAGCGGGAAACGTGATCTTGCCTCGTTTTTAGCTTCTACCTATGACGGCCCCTTTCTTCAGGAGGAGCCGGCGATGTGCAGAACGTCAGTGTGCTCTTCTCAGAAAGCAATGGAATATTGACTTGGTCGCAGCATGCTTTACGTACACCGAGTTGGAGAGACTGCGATGTCTCCTACCTTTCTGAACAGCTTCCAGGACGGTGAGCAGCAGTCAGTTGATGTCGAACTTCGTCAGGCTGCACGAGCAACATCTGCTGCGCCAACGTAAGTATCAGTACTATTTTGCCATTTCAGCTCTGATACCCGTATTAGATATTCCAAGCCTCTCAGCATCAATGGAGAGGAATACACAGGTGGGTCACTCAGGAATAATAACCTAGAGACATTGGCCTTTGAGAAAGTGAGACGTTTATCACAACGCGAAGAAGAAGGCAGGGGTCATGTCGCTATGCTGCTCAGCCTCGGATCAGAATCCAACGGTCGCCGTGGCAAGTTTAAACGCTGGCTTGGTAGCATACCCAGATTGGTCAAGGATTCACGTCGTAGTTCAGACCTTACCGTGGAGGGGCACGACCTCTCAAAGTATGCCGAAATGGTGGATAACCGTCTCCATTACGAAAGACTCAACGTGCGGTTGGGAAGATTTGGCTTGTTCCAAAATGAGAGCATAGACGATATTGAAGCGGAGGTTCGTATGTTTCTAAAAAACTCAGATGTACGATTCAGAATGTTGCAATGCGCAGAAACGCTCTTCACCGCGCGCAAGAATCGTGCTCAGACGGATCGATGGAAACTATATTACGGAATCTCGAAAGAACATGAACCAAGAGCATTGAACGTATCTGACGAAGGTCAAATAGCAAGAGCTCAGGAGAGGCAGAGACAAATAACTAGCTCTCGAAAACCAAAATTCCCCCCCTGTCATACGCGACCCAGACCCCACGGTACCTTTGTTTCCAAGGACAATATCTGTCCAAGTCTATTATCACGTTGATGAGGGAGGAATTTCTGCGGAGAGCAGCTTTCGTAACTTTGACTGGACGGTGCCTGAAGCCTACAAGGATCTCGATCCCATCAAGAACAGATCGGAGGCTTGGGCAGGAGGCGAATTCGCACCGACAACACTGTATACGAGAACCGTCTCCTGCAGAGTCAAAGGCCCACCGGAACTTCCCAACGATGAACATTACGCAATTCTCGACAAGATGCACTTTGATTTCAAGGCTCTGAGCGAAAACGCTATTGTGCAGATTTGCGGTTTCATCCGTCAGCACCCCAAAGCACACTTCTCTTTAGAAGTATACTGGGACTGCGGCTATGTGAAGCCGAAGAAGTCAGAGCGGCAGTCATACGCAGGAATGGTCAAATCGGAGCTGAAAAGAAAGGTCAAGGTCAATTTCTTGGGTTTAGAGTATATCCCCTGTTGTGATATTGATGCCTTGCTCAGCCTAGAAGTGGTGGAGCGAATAGCCGAGGAGGACACCAAACTCCAGCTTGATCAAGCCGCCTGCAAAGCCTTGATCACCAAGGTCCTCAACAAAGCTTCCAAGCTGTTCGCGATTTGCGTATATCTACGCCTCGATATGGAGTATCTCCGACATCTGATCAATGATCATGGTTGCTCTGACGAGCCTAGCGAACATCCCAACGACAACACTCATGTTGGGTGTCATAAAGAGGATTGTGACACCGATACGCACGATGTCATTGGATGCCTGCCAAAATTCTTCGCCAGAAAAGAAATTCGCAACTTGAAGCATCATAACCTATCTGACGACGACGTTCTGCCACTATGCCATACCGGAGATAAAGATCGCACAGGCCGCCCAAGATTATCTTGGTTAGGAGGAGGAGCTTCCGGAAAGGTGTACAAGGTTACGATAGAACGGTCTCATCAATACGTCTCTGGCGTAAGACCGTACTGTCCATGGCTAACGATCTTTTGCTGACTTGTGCAATGCAGGATCTTGATTGTGAATTCGCCGTAAAGGAATTTTCCCGACATGAGTCTTTTGAGCGGGAGAAAGCAATGCTACTAAAATTCGCCGGTATTTCTCATGATCATATTGTTGGACACATCATGAGCTGGACTCAGCATCATAAATCATACGTCTTGTACGACAAGGCCCGGTGCGACCTGCGACACTTCATCCAAAATACTCAGTCTCCCTCTTTGACCACACCCGTAGTACTCTGGTTTCTGCACCAGTTGAAGGGACTCGCGACAGCAGTCAAACACGTACACAGCTTGGAAGAGAACGACCCAGAACACAGGTATAACAATATCAAGCCAGAAAAAATTCTTGTCTTCGAGAAGCATGAGGGGCAATACCGTAGTTTCAAGTTCACCAACTTGGGTCAGGGTGTGTTGAACAATGCCACCGGCAGTAAGGTTCATTGGGGGGATGAATGGGATGAATGGGATGAATGGGATGAATGGGATGAATGGGATGAATGGGATGAATGGGATGAATGGGATGGATGGGATGAAGTGGACTCGGGCACGAGAGCATACTGGCCCCCTGAAGCTTACAAGATGCGAGGTACTCGAGTAGCCTCCCGCCCCATCGACATGTGGGGCCTTGGCTGTATCTTCCTCGAGCTGCTCTTGTGGCTGTCTGGGTTCTATCTGGACGGCGAGGAAGCCTGGTTTCCCGAAGGACCCAGCAATTTTCCTGGATATGATTCTATCGACGTATTCTGGTCTGAGGAACCAGGTGGATTCGACAAAGGATCGAGCAATCTAAAGCCCGTCGTTGAGCGAGCCCTCCAAGAGCTGGATCGGATTTTTGCGGGAATGCAAGCCTTTCAGAATACTATAGTGGCCATCCGACAACTTCTGCGCATCGATCCTAAGCTACGATGGAAGGCGACAGAGTTGGCTGACTGGATGGACCAGATCTTACGGCAGGTGGAGGCCGACTCGAAAGAGACAAACACCCCAGACTACTACCAACGCCAGTATCGCAAGAACCGTGCGGAAAGCGACTTAGGCAAGACCCCCCTGAGCGTGTGGCTGAATTGCTAGGACCCACCGCCAGTGTTGAGCACGCCCAGCGCTTCGAGAAGAGACCGAATCTCAACCCGGCAAGACGTTTTGTCACATGTAGATTCCCTAATTCGCGCCTTTCAACCGGGGGGAAGTATGGCCTGAGGCACTGAACACCAGCCAAGGTGACGCCGGCTCCCTAAATTCGCTTTATGTTTATCCTAGAATTTCGCTCAGTGACTGGGAGAGTGATGAGGATGATTAAGTCGTAACATTGGAGAAATTAAAGAACTCAGCTCGCTAAAATCTCGAAAACTTTCAATTTTCTGAAAATGCATTTCTTATATATATTGTGATTCTTTCGTTTCTCTTCGTTGATAGCATTAAAAAGAAGAAGAAGCCTCACAGCGACGGTCTGATTTCTACCGCAGTCCCCCTATTGCACTCTGCGCCGAGGTGAGTTCCACAGTTGACCACAACCCCGGAGGACTCCATTCTTGGGTACTTACCTAATGCGTCTTGACCTTCAAACACCGCAAGATCCCAGACTCATCGTTCAAGTCTCCTGGAGTAGGGTACGGTTTTGTAAGAACTATTGGAGACATCTTTCTGACTCCTCGTGCCGATTCAGACTTTCATGCTTAAGCAGCCACCACAGTGCCGCGGTCGGACACTATCGAAATGTATCCTTGAACCCCTAACCCAGTAGATGCTGAGCGAGGTAGGTGTGACATGACCTTGGAAGCTGATGCCTCCCTCAGCGTCAAGGTCTTAAAACAGAAGCGAGGGGTAGGGTGATCGCAGGCAATGCTCTTCGTCAGCTTCCCATCTAGGGTGGGATGATCATGGGTCCTTGCTTGACCTGATGCTAAAGCTTTATAGTTATCCCGATGACAGGTACCACTGCGGACTTTCGTGATCAGGACGGGAGACCCAGTGGAGCATCTATGCTGCCATCTCCAGCCCGGAAAAGCCCATAGAGCAACTCATCGTTGTCATGGTTGGCATCGACGTCCACAAAGGCTGGCCAGTCAATATTTTCGAAGGAAAGGTCGTTGTAGAAGTCCTTGAAACTCTCGCCGGTGAGCGTGTCCAGCCCGCTTGCGGGCTGCACGTGTAGATTTTGAGCGTCGATGTTGGCGGACGAGTTGGAGCTGGCGCGAAGGCCTTCGTCGTCATAAGATTGGTGGTAATTGGGCCTCTTGTCCGTCAGCGGCAGAGCGTTGAGGTCGATACCTGCGCGCTCAAACATGCCGCCAATGATACGGACGGTCTTACGCAGGCCGAAATTTGCGCCGTTCTGGAGCTCCTTGAGCGCGTTCCAGAAGAATACAACCATCTCCTTGCGCTGCGTCGGGTCAGCTGATGGAGACGCGTGCATGGGCAAGACAGTTGCGGCGGAGAAAACGGCGTAGCTGAAGAGGTAGGTGGCTCGGCGCAAGGTGAAGGTGTCGCGGTAGATTCGGGCGAGGTTATAGATGCGCAGTGCGGCCGAGACACAGATGTCGTGCCGGGTGGGTTCGTCTGCGCCGAGGGCTTCGAGGTGCCCGTCGCGGAGGAAGGGCCGGTGCAGGAGGATGTGTAGGAGGCTGAAAGTGGTGCTGGATGTCGTTGGTCATGGTTAGCTTGGTTCTGGATAGTCCATCCAAGGAACATCGTGTTGATGAAGTTGCAAGGTTTGGTAACAACATACTGCAAATTGAAGCGTATGGCCGGTGGAACTGGTAGATCCCCCGGCTCATAGCGTAGGTGTACTGGTAGAGTCTCGGCCCAAAGGTCGAGCTGGTGCTGCAGCCGTTGGACTCCGCAGTGTGCCTCCTCGGTGGACATCCTTCCCGACTTGGGCGTGTAGAAGCTTTCAATGATCTGGTCTGTGATTTCTGCAAGCCGAACGAGCGCTGCCCTTGTAGACACAGCTCGCGCCGGCTGTGGTGTGAAGTTCACTGGGGGATCTGCGCCCGTTGGGTCGATGTATGGCTTCCACAATTCCAGTTCTTCATAGTCGTCGAGGACGGTCTGCGACGCCTCCACGCCTTCGATCATGCGGAGGCTCGGGGGCCGTCCGAAGTACAGCGACTGGAACCGGTCGTTCAAATAGGCGCCCCAGATGTAACGCCGCTGGATCTCAATGTCAACTGCCGTCATTGGAATGGGAGGTTTACTTGGCACCAGGCTGGACATTTGTACCTTGTCGGGATCGACATGTAGACCAAGATCGACAATCATCTGGTATGAGAGTCCTGCATACAGCCAGCCGATTGTTTGTCTGCCATTTGATACGCACGACGACCCCATCAACACGAGCGCTGCGATACTAGCCGTAGATGACCTTTGCAGCTCTGAGGCCAGCAATGACTGGAAACGATGGAAGAATTTGGTGCCGAAGTACTGAGGATGTGCAGGGTCGTCGCGCATGTTGGGTCGACTGCTTTGCAAGGCGGCCGTGTAGTAGATCGCGTTGAGTAGTAGTTTGTTGCAATGTGGCCCGCCCGTCGCGAGGCTGTGCATGATGGCTGGTCGATAGGTGATCAAGAATCCAAGGTGGTGGAGATTCCAGTGCAGCTGGAACAAGTGGTCCGCGGTCTCCCAGTCGACGCCATCGAGATCGAGCTTTCGTTCTGACATGTAGGTATACTCCTTCTGAAACTCTAGCGCAGAATACGCGAATAGCTCGCGACGGATTTCGTCATCTGTTTGCTGTTGGTTGCGTATGGATACTGGGCTGTCGGTAGGAACACTTAGTCCGCTGGGTAACGACCTCATCGACAGAGGTTCAAAGAAGGCAGACGCTGGACCATGGATGGACACGCCAGTCTCACTCTGCACTAGTGTGTGGACAGGCACGGTGCGGTGTGAGGTCAGTTCTCGAGATGGCGATTCTGGCAAAGGTGTGCGTAGAGGCAGCTGAGGGAGGCTTTCATGCTTGTTGAACACCAATGCTTCCAGTGTGCTGTCCACGGACTCGACACGAGATTCTCGGGTTGCTGAAGTTTCGGTCGACGGGAGTACCTCGTTGTAAGAATTTTGATCTCTCATGCCGGCTAAAATTTGCTCCAGACTGGCCACTTTGTCATTGACCTGCTGAAAGTGCTCTTTGGAAATTCTAGAATCCTGCCTACGGTCGGTCTCGTAGACACAGGACGCTTGCAATGACTGGCATAGCGAGCAGCTTGGGCGTTGTCCATCGCATCTCACCTGTGGTGAAAGGGGGAAGTAGTCAGCAGATCTTGATGGTCAACGAGGCACTGTAGCATAATCCTTTACATCTTACCTTGCGAACACGACATGCTCGGCAAGCTTTGTTCTTTCGAGAACGATGGCCAATACTAGTCATTTCAGATTGTTGCTGACGGTCTGTAGCAGCTTCGACTGATGAGATGTGTCATGGTAGGATGGAGGGAGGCCCCATGAGTGAATGAGGTTTTCTACGGCCACCCAGATCTCAAGTTAGGCACACTCCGCATGAATCTCTCTAGGCAGGTTGGCCTATATTTTAACTAAAAGAACCCCAAATATCCAACAACTTAGGCTTAATAACTACCTCGGTATAGGCATGATGGGTCTCGGGCCGAGTTCCCGTGGTTGCCTACCGTTCGCGCTCCTCAACGCAATACTCCTATTCAAGGAAGGCCATCATCAGTCTTTTCTTCCTCCATGAACCAGAAAGGCCCATATTGCAATCGACCTGCTTTACCAATGAGGGTTCCAAGTACTGTTCGTATGTGACGAGTGTTCATTTACATTATCAGAGCCTTGAAACGCGATACCGTATGGTACATCGACCGCGTCGGCATAAACTTCATGAGGACCAAAACGCCACCAACATGTGTATCGCGAGCTGCCGAGATCGCCAGCACATCACCTTCCCCCAGACTCTCTTGCGGGTGAATGGGTCAACAGCATCCTGCGTCACGCCATGAAGATGCTCTATCAGCTCCACAAGCTCCTGACATTATCACTATCCGCCGGCGGTTAGTTTGGCCGTGGAGAAGGACGAAGTCGTCGGACATCAGAACTCCGCACGACGACCTCGGTTCACATCGAGAACAGTGAGTCGATAGATTAGGACACAGGAACTGCAAGCCACACGATGGCCGCAAGAAACTTCGATGCACAGCAAGATGCAAGTTCTCATCCCATTGGACAGCATCACCCGATTCGCGTGATATGCATAGGCGCAGGATACTCCGGTGTGATGATGAGTATCATTGTGGAGCAAAAGATGAAGACGCACAAGGTTAGCTTCCAGGTTTACGAGATGAATGAAGACCTTGGGGTTCATGCCAAATCACTTGAGTAAGTCAATTCCTGACCTGATCGCGCCTCAATACTACTGAAAATTCCTCTTTTTCATCTACCAACATTTCAAAACAGTAACTACTGCGGCCACGGTGTTCACTGGCCCCAATAACCCGATTTCAAATGGCTCTCTTGTCTATGACGGGTGTGTACATTTACAGATTGATCAACAAATTGCAAGCTCAATCCCTGAAATCTATGACGGTCAACTCGGCCTCAGCCAAAGACTATAACGAGTATTCTCAAAGGTTGGCTCTCAGAGACGGTATGGGTTGCACCCTGCCGAAGCCGGGATAAGAGAGGTACCATGGACGGTCGTGTCGTCGGTGTTCATGCTGGAAGTTGCTTTCAGTTTGCCGAAGCTCTACCCGATCCGAGATAGCAGGACTATGATCTGGAGTATCTCCGTGATTGTCACTTGGGGATGAACAGATTCTCATGGCTCCGCAACTAATTCACGAAAAGAGAGATGACAAGAAAGAGTATTGGTGACATGCGGACGCCCACCTTTAACGAGTACTAGGATTTGATGATCTCGCCAGAGGTTCACCACTGAATCGGAACTGTATACCCTGCCATTGCAATGTACACCCGCACATGGATGACTATGCTGCACAGTTATGAATTTCCTGTCTTTGGCTTGCCCTAGATCTCTGGAACCTCAATCGCACGTCTGCCTTGCTTGCCCACGACGCCCAGCTTATCCGCAACCGCCATGACCACGGCCCGGATACCTTGCACTTCTCCGCGCGTGCCTCCGCTGTACATCATACCCAGCATATGATTCCGAACTTGCTCCTGGCAATCCGTGCTGAACAATGCAGCGACAACACATTGACCCGTCTCGACAGCATCGAGTATCTCGGGAAATGAAAACACGTGTCCGTAAAAGAGGTCTGTTTTGCCTCCATCAGCTCCTGTGATAGTAGTCGGTGTTCATAATTCACGACTTACTATTCACAATCCAGCCGTAGTCTGGGGATGCCTCTGACACTAGTGACATGTCATAGCCTGGTATCCGTTTGTAGATCCGGTCAAGCATTTCCTGACCCCTCTTGAAAGCTACCTCTTGTGGCTCGCGACTCCTGCGAAGTTGAGAAATGTTAGAGCACTTAAGTCTCGTACAGTGACAGAAATTTCGGTAAGCACATCCCCCCCCAAAGACTCACCTGTAAACAGTAGGATCCTTAAGATGTTGCGGAGTGGCTTTCGATAGCTGCCGTGTCGCGCTACCAGTCTGCTCTTGGAGTCTTGGTCAATGAACTCGAAGCCGAATTTAAGAAGCACCTGCATATCAGGTATACACCTACCTTTGCAGCGCCCCATATGCCACAGACCCTGGTGAGCCCCTCTCGGATTTTACGAGTCTCTTGCATCTGATCTTCTTGGGGAATATGTTCCTTGAGCAGGATTTGGTATAGCTCAGGGATTAACTCTGGATAGTTCATCCCGCCAAATGCGATTATTGTTGTTAGGTACCATTTGAGGCGTGGCGGCTGGTGTCCTCTTGAGGCGTGATCGTGAATATCAGCAAGGTATTTCAGGAAATCATGATCTAATACTGTCGTCGACATGTCTGAATTCATTGCCTAGGTAGATATTGCTTGTCCGTCTTTAAATAATAGAGCAAATCTAACACCTATAAGTTCGTCGTGATCACGGCATATACGCTTATCATAACCTCACGGATTGCGGAGCAAGTGTGGCGCCGAGGACGGACATCAGATGGCCGCCGGGGACAAGACAACCTTTAATTCGTCTGCCATGACAGTTCTTCGGCGTATCTTGATAATCTTCGAGTAGTATAGTATGAGCTTTCACTCTATTTAGCAGTACCTAGATTTCGAAACTCATCTCACTAAATCACACGATGCCTCTAGCCATTTGTTTGCAGCACCGAGTAGAATCCGAAGAAAAGGCCGAAAAGGTAAGCGTGCATTTGGTTTCAGGTCCTCCAAATTGCAAATGTCGCTGAGTCGAAGCCTTTTACAGCTTAGAGGTCTCCTGAACGATGTCGCAAGGGTTACATTTTTGAATGAGCCGGACAACCGAGCATATTGCTGGTTTAAAAAGTCTTCTCACAGCACACTGGAAGGATCCTGGATCGGTGGCTTCGAACTGTTTGGTGTCCCCCTCTCCCCTGTGACGCATTCCGTCGAGCCTATGGCTCTTCGCTAATACACCGCAAAAGGTACAATAATGAAGCAGCGTTGACGACTGTTCACAGAAACAGCTCAGAGTATCAAGCAATGCGAAAAGCATCTGCAGAGGAACAGCTGTGGGGCAATATCTACCCGGAGATCATCTTCCTAGAGCCATTGGATGATGACTCTGGCTTTGTGCTGAATAAAGAAGACTCTAGGTCCTCATTGTTCTTCGAGGAATCTCGGTCGGCCTTTGTTGTGATCACCAGGTTCCAAGTCGAAGACAATTATCACAGAGATCTACTACATCAAACACTTTCTGACTTGAGTGGAAGCCTCCGCTTGAAACACGATGTCGTCTCATATCTTCCACTGGTTCGTCAAGACGGGGAAAAAAGCCTTACGGTGACTGTCTTCGAGCAGTACAGATCTGAAGAAGCCTACCATTCCCTCACAGGGAATCTGCAGCCGCTAAAGTACGACGTCTGGATCGGTCTTCGCAATCCCTGGTTTCTTGCTGACATGTGATGCTGCAGGTCTGCACTCGAAAGTCCCAAGTGGAAGGTGGATATCACAACCTGGAGCGATGGCATAGGACATATCAGGGGAACGGAACCATCAAAGCCACCAAAGGGTCTGCAATCAGAAGCCAAGCCAGCTTCTTCAGCCAGGGCTTAGAATCACCCCCTGGGACAAGATTTTTGAAAAAGTCCTGCACGCGAGAGTAAACTGTTGAAAGAGCTCCTACGCTTCCACAATAGAGACCAATTATGTTCATTCCCCTCATTAGACCTGTCTCAAATCCAACGTCCAGTCGATAGTCTCATACTTGTGCCGCTGAGCTTCGTCTTCTCGGATCTCAGGGATACACTTTGAACTTGTTTTCTCCTGACTTCATTACATTGCCTTTCTACTCCACTGAAGTGTCCTTTGATAACATTAGGAGGGGAATTCATAGTTATTGAATTGCTCTATCTAACGAGCCTATAACGGAACATACTTCCACGTCCTCCGATGATTTGGTTTGCTGAGATTCGACAACACTTTGACAGTCCACGGCGTGTCCATTGACTTTTGCCAGATTGGTCCACCCAGTCCACTCTCCACCTCGTACTCGTTCGCAGACATCAATGGCCACGCTTCCTCCTTGCCATCGCCATAGCTTGCCACCAACTCGTATCGAGAGCCGTAGCGCCAGCCGGGAATGTCGGCGAGCATCTGAAAGTGCTCTTGGTCGAACCAGTCGTGGTAGTCTTGAATCGAGGTCGGTGTGGGCGCCATGCCTACTTGAACCAGTTCGGTGCCCGTGGGAGGATAGTCCGAGGTATTCACGCCTGGTCTCAAACGTCTAGAAATTTCCCGATAAATGTGCCAGTCAGAATGCGCCACTATGCTCCCAGAGTCAGTCCTCAAAGCTTCGATGACGCTTTCGGTGGCATCCTTCTGATCATCCAAGTCGACGATGATCTGCTCCTTGTACGGTTGAGCATCACCGATCTTGTCGCTCGCCGCCACCTTACGGACCCAATTGGCGCTGGGAAGTCCATTGAGAATGTTGATGCGCCATTGCTCAAAGGCTGCCGTTGAGGAGGCTGCCGTGGGCATCGGCTCAAAGTAAAGAACAATGATAGCTCTAGACATACTGTCAAACTCTCGAACATGTGACAAAACTTGCTTGGGCACCGGGTACATCTGTGTTTCGTCTCAGGAGGAGGTATTGTTATACTGGAACATTGACCACCGACAGAGGAGCTGAGCACCGGATATCAGACTGCCGAGTACTCGAATATAGGCGGTTTTGACAGTTAAGCCGGCGAATGAGGCAATTTCTTTTTCGAGAGAGAACAGGATACCCCAAACCTTTTCTTTGCAATCATTGAACACAGTGCTACTTCATCCCACTCAAGATGGCCTCCCTAGCAAAGCCCGTCCCTCCATTCGAACAACTTCCACTCAGAGAAGAAGACCCTCCATATTCAGCCTGGGGACTCTGGGAAAAACCAGAATTCGGTGCTCTGAACTACTTGTCCGATGCCAATACTCTTCAGGTAGCCAGGGAAGAGATCCAGACGGGCGTTCGTATTGGCTTGAAGTAAGGTTCTGAGTCTGATTGGTATATTCAATGCCCTCCCACTGAGTTCTGGTCAGTTTGCCGCTAGATCTCATCGACCCGCCTCTACTTGGCCGTAGAGGTTTCGAGCGTCATATTGTGGACAAGGCTCCGAGAGTGATTAATGATGATGTGGTATGTTTGACACAATCCTTGAGTGTCGCTTCAATTCGCTCTCTTTGTACTAATCACGGTATCGAGAAGATCACTTTCAACACTCAAGGGAGCAGTCAATGGGACAGTTTCCGACATTTTGCATATCAGAAGGAGGGCAAGTTTTACAATAAGTATGACATGGCGAGATTTCTGTTGCAAGACCATTGAAGATCTGGCTGACTTTTCTTCTAGTGTAACTCAGAATGACATTCACGAAGAACAGCAAAGCACGGTGAATGGCATGGATGCGTGGGCTCCACGGGGGATCGCTGGTCGCGGTGTACTCATTGACTATCATTCGTGGGCACAGCGCAATGGGATTGAATATGATCGACTGAGTGGCCACGCGATCACTCTGGACTCGGTGAAAACAATCATCAAAGAGTCCAACATCGAACTACGCGTCGGCGACATCTTCATTATTCGAACAGGTAGGCGGTACACCCACCTCTCAATTCAAGGTAAGCACACTTCCAGACATACTAAGCTGATGGTGGTGGTGATGATGCAGGCTTTGTGGAGGCATACATGCAACTGGACAAAGAGTCGAGAACTAAATACAGCTCCAGCCATGCCTTTCCCGGCCTGGGTCAGTCGAAGGAGGTTGCGAAATGGCTGTGGGAGCAACAATTTGCAGCGGTTGCTGGCGACAACCCTGCCTTTGAATGCATTCGTACGTTTCTTTGCCTTCTTGAAGAGTCGCCGCCGGTCCGTAATGTCTACAAGCAGCTAACGAACTGAGAAGCTCCAGTGGACACGGAATTTGGCATGCTACATCCAATTTTGCTATCAGGCTGGGGCACAACGATCGGTGAGCTGTTCGACCTGGATGCTCTGGCGAAGGAATGCCAGAATCAAGGACGATGGACTTTCTTCTTGACCTCGTCGCCATTGAACTACACAGGTGTAGTGGCCTCGCCTCCAAACATCATGGCCCTCATGTAGCGTACTTCTTGGGATATATTTGTTGAACCAAATCAGCATGTGGCTGAGTCTGAACCAGCAGCGGCATATCAGCCCTTGGGCAACCCAAGACAGTCACCCCAGGTACTACCTAGGCAAGCTGATTCGCGCCTAAAGCCGACTTAAAAAGTGCTAGATTAGGCACTCCATGGCCGCCTATAGGCGTTAATTTTAGGTACTGTAGCCGCCACCGTCAACACCACGGGCATGTGCTGTAATTTTTGTGATAACCAGAGTCGGCAACTTACCCGAGCCCCTGTTCCCTTCCATCGTCTGCCTTCTACACTTGCACATTCTTGTATACCTACGTGGCTAGGTATAAGTGTCTACTGCCCCTCGACGCTCACTTGACGGAAGCGAAGAAAACCCTATCCACGGAAGCGAAGAATGATTGAGTAGTGGAAGCGACAAAGATATCCGAGTTGCAACACATCGTCGATCCAATGTCTCTATTAGTTGAATCTCGTTTGCCGAGGAAGGGAGCCATCATGAAGCGAGCTATGAAGCTGACCCACGCTTTTACCCCGTATCTCACCGCATTCCGGAGAACAGATCACCGCCTGGGGAAGTCTACTGTCTCCAGTACCCCATGATATGAGACTTCAAGAACACACTTGCAAACTCTTCAAAATCGACTGAATCCTTTCCATATACCTCTGTCTGAGCAGATGCGGACCTGGGCATTGGCATATCACTATTCTCTGTTCTAGCACTCAAGAGTTTCACTTCAAGGCCAAGTTCGACCTGTATACCACACTGCCAGCGCTATCCACTTACCGCTTCGGTTGTGGACAATCTCCAACACCAACACTATGGTTTATACTTCCGACGTCAAACAAGCTCGTCCTGAGCACGGCGAATATGCGGAGGAGAGCTCGGAGGCACAAGCCACATATGAAAAGGAGCTGCGTGATGCAGAAGCTCTACGTGAACACGCACCAGACATTCCCCTCAGAGAAGCCATGGAGGCTCAAACACTGGCAGATCAGCGTCGACTGAAGAAGATCATGAGGAAAGTCGACTTCCGACAGATCACCATTCTGGCTCTGGTGTATATCTGGGCATATATTGATCGAAGTAATCTGGGCAATGTGAGCTGGCTCTTCTCTTTGAGTCTTGGGCTGAAACTACCCAATACGCTTGCTGACAACCACATGTGAACGATAGGCGAATATTGCTGGTATGAGAAAAGATCTCGACACGGATGTCAGCAACAGATACTCTGTCTTGACCATGATATTCTTCATCGGATATGCTTTGGTTGATATTCCAGCCATGTGGCTGACCCGCAAGCTTGGCCCTGCCTTTTGGATTGGGTCCATCGGGCTGGCATGGAGTGTCATCACCATTGGCCAGGGATTCTGTAACACCTGGGGATCACTGGCTGTATGCCGAGCTCTCCTCGGTTTTCTGGAAGGTGGACTTGTTCCCGGCGTTCTCGTAAGTGATAGTCCGCGTCTTCCTGCTCCCAGCCCAACCTCTTTTGATTGTGCATGGAGTGTATATCTAATGAGTCAAGCGCTATAGTATCTGTTGGGGTGCTGGTATACGCGCTATGAGATCGGGATACGGATCGCTGCTTTCTATGTCATCGGGATCATGTCTGCCGGCCTCTCAGGTCTGATGGCGTATGGGCTCGAGAAGATGGAAGGGACTGCTGGTATTCGTGGCTGGCGGTAAGTGATTAGCAGCTTGCAAACCTCCCTGTCAATATCATTTCAGCCGACAAACGCCAGAATCTATCTAACGTAGATGTACCTAGCTGGATCTTCATCATCGAAGGAGTGGTCAGCGGTGTCGTGGCTCTTGCATCGTACTTTCTCATCATCGACTTTCCAGAACGAGGTGATTTTCCCCATCTCTGTCACCGACTTTTGCTTCTTTGAAATTCCACGTTTTCACTAACAATAGCTGTGAAATTATGCAGCTGCCAAAAAGAATTCAATGGGGCTTCCCAGATTCCTCACTCCAGAAGAAGCTGCCCTAGTCTTGGCCCGCATCGAGCATGACCGTGGCGACGCGGTGGAGGAGAAACTCACCTGGGCCCTCTTTGCTAGTTACATCCAGGACTGGAAGCTCTGGGAATTTCCATTCTACCTCCTTCTTAACGTAAAGTCATCTCTCCGCTTGCTGTGGCCCATGACCCCATGGACCTGTGAAGATTCAACAAGACACTGACATGGCCGCAGAACGCCGCATTGTATGCCTTTGCATACTTTCTTCCAGTGATTTTGAAGGACGGCTTCGGTTACTCGACTGCAAAGGCACAAGTCATGACATTTCCCCCGTACCTCGTGGGCGGCGTGGTACGTACCTTTCTACTTGCCAGAGCTCTGTCGGGCGTGCTAGGTTCTAACACAATGACAGTGGATGATCATATGTGGCTACTTGGGTGACAGACTACGGACAAGAGGACCCATAATGATCGCCAACTGCGCAATATACATCATCGGCATTGTCATGTAAGTTTGATTCCTCATGGGTTCCAATCTGCAGAGGCTCGAGACTTTTCCCACATCCAAAGACTGACCAGTCACTCCCATCTGTAGGGTCGGCTGGTGCACCGACACCCGCGCTCGCTACGCGGGAGTCTTCGTTGGCCAGATGGGCATAGTCGGCAACGTCCCGCTCCAATGGGCGTACGCGCACAACAACCTCGTCGGCCAGCTGAAAAAGGGTCTGGCCATGGCCATGATGACCATGGGCGGTGCAGTGTCAGGCATCATCACCGGCAACGTCTTCCGCTCCCAGGACGCCCCGGGCTACCGACCAGGTCTGTGGGTCAGCATCGCGTTCAACATCCTGTACGCAGTCCTGGTGGCCAAGAACTTTGTCCTGTTCCGCCGCGAGAATCGTCGCGCGGATAGGGGAGAGATTGTCATTATGGGCCAGCCTGGATTCAGGTATACTCTTTGAGTCGTGGGACTGGGTGCACCGTACCTCTTTACCTTCCTATGTTCAGAAAGTGCCGCAAATCGAAGAAGGCCTTATATAAGCTCTTCAAGGAGTCTGTTGTAGGCAAGACCAGCAAATGCCTGTTCTAGGTATCATGATGACAATCTGATCAAGGAAATTCACGTCGAAACTTTGGACTTTCCGTTTAGTACTAAGGAATCAAGGCAAAAAGGAGACGATCTTCATCCTACAGACACCATTAGGCGAATTTCTCAAGGGCACCTTTGTGCGCTTCTTTTACCGTCAGATAGCGATCACAGTCTGGGTTGATAAAAGGTATACAAAGTATGGACCCATAGTCAAAAGTGATTCAGAGCACTAGTACTTGGCTACTTACAGTAGTTATCCAAAACCACATGCCATGATACCTCGGCTATAGTGATAAAGGGTGGTTTCAGCAGATACATACTGTACTGTATGTAAGGAGGATCATGGTACGGATACTTTGATGAATGATATCATTTTACTGCAAAGGCGAAGAGTGACTGGATGGAATATTAATTGGTGGTTCTCCCAAGACACTTGAAAGACAATTGAAAGAACAGACACATGTCAAAACATTGCAATCTTGTATCTTTGTGTGTCTGACGATCTGTTGACTCTAATGATTGGCCCTGTACGGAGTACGCGTGATGGAATGTGGCTGTCTGACCCCTGAAAATCCTCCGGCTACAAGCTTCGGGTCGGGTTGTATCCTCCATCTGAAACTGGGATTAAGATGAAGAAGGAGATATACGATCTACAAGCGAACCAGTCTGAATCAATCACTTGCTACGGGGTACAGCATGATATACAGATCTCCAGCCTATCGACACCGGAATGTTACATGCGTCGGAAATGAACACGGAGTCAATAAGGGCCAATGATGGACAGATATTCTGTATTCTACTGTATACCGTATGTAACCTCGCAGCCTCGACACGTTTTCAATTGTTGTATCACCTGGTCAAACCCGGTATGTTTCCAGAAGATTGCACATGATACTTTGCTGTACAGTATCAAGTGAAATCACTCCGAACTCCATAGCTGAGGGAAAAGATCATCGAACCTTTTCATCTCTAGGTCGACAGACTTTAAAACAAGTTCATTCTTAGTGTCTTGGAAGCTCCAACTTCGCCCTGAAACTAAACAAAGTAGCAACAGCTGACAAGTCACTCTGCCGTCTTTGACTCCATAACAAAAACCCTTCTTGTTCTTATTACGAGTATCATCACTCCATACTGTACGGATACTCCGTATTAAGCGACGATCAGTGACATCAATTGCCACTGCCGAATTGCCCATTCACTCGTACTTACTCCGGACTCCATACGAGTACGAGAACGAGGTCTGGCTAGGTACCTGAGATCATCATCATGTTGAATTGAACCAACTTCACAACCTCATTCCATTCCAGCTTCATCTCTCCCTTGTCGTCTACATTCCTCCCTCCATCTTCTTCTCCCCTTCCTCAAACCTCTCATTCCTCTTGATCTCCTCGTCTCACCACACACTCGTTATGTTCAAGATTGTTTTGGCCCTCTTGGCCGTCTCACAGTCTGTCTTTTCATCACCCCTCAACCCCCGATTTGAATATGCCGTCAAAGAGTCCATCAATGTACCTCCCAAATGGTCTGTGGCTGGAAATCCTCATCCATTTCACCTCCTGAAGCTCAACATTGGTCTACAACCCAATAATTTCGACCTTCTCGAGCAACATTTGTTCGAGGGTAAGCTTTTAGTCGTGTTCCCAAACCACCGGGGCAGCTGAACCCAAAACTAACCTGAACAAAGTCTCGGATCCTTCTCACCATCGCTATGGTCAACATCTTTCTCAGCAACAAGTCCACGATCTAGTCTCACCGACCGATGACACCGTGAACTCGATTCAGGATTGGCTGTCCGAGAACGGCATTGACTCGTCTCACCTCCAATTCAACGCGGCCCGAGACTGGCTCACACTCACTCTGCCTGTTGCTCAGATTGAACGACTCCTCGACACCAAGTACTCGGTGTACAAGCACGAAGATGGAGCGAAGCTCGTCCGAACCACCAGCTGGTCTCTCCCGCGCTCGCTGCACGACCACATCACGACCATTCAGCCCACCACGGCGTTTCTACGTGCGAACCCCAAGGGGGAAACCGTCCTCACCGTCCCGACCGAAATCGATCTGGCCGAGCTCACTGCCGCAGCCAACTCGACCTCACTCGGCCAAGTCTGCAATTTCGCGGGCATGACGACCAAATGTTTGAGCGCGCTGTACAACACCGTCAACTACACGCCTCGATCCGTCAAGAACAACTCGATCGGCTTCACCAACTACCTCGGCCAAGTTTCGAGTCGCCCCGACGCCAAACTGTACCTCCAAAACTTCCGCCCCGAGGCCGTCAACTCGTCTTATGCGTTGAAGCAGGTGTCCATCGACGGCGGCGCGATCGACAACGCCACCGCGGGCGCCGGCGTCGAAGGGAACCTGGACCTCGAGACCATCTTGGGTCTCGTCTACCCGACCCCCGTCACGGCGTACTCGACGGGCGGCATGCCACCCTTCGAGGCCGACGCCTTCACCGCCGAAAACACCAACGAGCCCTACCTGACCTGGGTCCTGTGGATGCGCGACCAGGACCCGGCCACCCTGCCCAAGGTCGTGTCGACCTCTTACGGCGACGACGAACAGACCGTGCCTCGAACCTACGCGCGACAGGTCTGCAACCAATTCGCCGCCCTCGGGGCCCAAGGCGTTTCCCTGTTCTTCAGCTCGGGCGACTACGGCGTCGGCGGCAACGACAGCTGCGTCAGCAACGACGGCAAAAACACCTCCACCTTCCTGCCCGCCTTCCCGGCCTCCTGCCCCTACGTGACCACCGTCGGCGGCACGAGGGGCTACCCGGAACGGGTCGCCTTCGACCCCGGCAACGGTTACGCCTCGGGCAGCGGGTTCAGCAACTACTTTGCCCGGCCGAGCTGGCAAGACACCGCCGTCGAACGGTACCTCGACACCGTCGGCGACGAGTTCAAGGGCCTGTACAACTCCTCGGGCCGCGCCTACCCGGACATCTCGGCCCAGAGTTACCGGTACATTGTGTTTCTCAACTCGACCGTCCGCACCGTCGACGGCACGAGTTGCTCCACCCCGACCATGGCGAGCATCTTTTCCCTCGTCAACGACGCCCTGGTCGCAGAGGGGAAACCCCCCATGGGTTGGCTCAACCCCTGGCTGTACCAGCAAGGTTTCGCCGCCTTCACGGACGTGGTCAACGGTACGAGCGTGGGCTGTGACGGTCCGGGGTTCGGTGCCGCCAAAGGTTGGGACGTCGCCAGCGGCTTTGGGACGCCGGATTTTGAAAAGATTTTGGACGTCTTGGGCATTGGAAGTCCTGATAAATCTGGTGTCGCCACAAAATGAGGAACACAAACACGCAAACGCACAAATTTTGGCAAACGCAAACGCAAACACAAACATCAACATACATACCAACGACACCACACAACGACACATAATGACACAAACACACAGCCAGCCGGCCAGCCAAGCTAGTTCGTGTGGGCTTTGGCTGGAATCACCGCCTTTTTATCATCATCGTCATCATCCTTAATAATATTTGCATCTTCTACTCACCCTCACCTTTCATCAACCAAGGAAAACTTCAAGGAAGAAAAGAGGCGCCACGAAACAAAAAAAAAGAAAAAAACCCACCTTTTTGTAATGATACACTAGGGAGCATTTGCATTGCATCGCATCGATCATGGTAAAAGGGAATCGGCATCACATTGCATAGCGTTAGAAACGCACTCGGAAGAGAGAGAAGACGGCGTTTGTCCACCCAAAAAAAAGACCGAGGCCAAGAGCAAGACCACCGGGCTACTTCGTACTTTGTGTGGATAATAAGAAACAAAAGAGGAGAGTTGCTCCATTCTACGGGAGAGATACCTAGAAATAAATACCTAGAGGTACATAGAGGTACCTATAGTGTACTCGAGTAATGAAATATCCCATCCATTGCCCTCCAAAAGCATTCATTCTTTGGGCGAAATCGCTTGCTAAGAGACAAAACTAGAGGTTATTCGGTATCAAACCGTCAATGTTCGTCGCGGTTGATGTGATTTGCATGATACAGATTTTCATGCTTGATAATTGTCGGGTTTGGTGTTGGCGCGACCGAGCTGACAGGTACTTGTATACATACATCGAACCTGTCCTTTCGCAGTCAACTTACCACAATCATCCCCGTTCATCTCGCCTGTCTCGTCCCGCGTCTCGAACTCGGCAGTGGGGGGCGTAGAAGACTTTCTAGCGTTGAACAGCAGCCAAAGAGCTTCGTATAATGTGCCTGTCCGTTCGGTGTGACGGGCATGCTGACGGCCTGGAACCGCAACACACCTGATAGTGAATCCATTCGATCATTGAATCATCAGACATCCACTTCACGCGCCATGTCTGTTGTACACGTCTTGTTTAGACGATAGAGGTTTCCCACCTGACAGAGTTGGGATTGCTGAGACGATTCCTCCAAGAGTGGTCTGAGCGTCGTCAGGACTCCCTAAAAGAGCACCATAACGAGACCTCCAACATGAGATCTGATATTGATGTTGTATGGCCATTCGCAAACCATGTCTCGACGCGGGGGAAACCTTTGCACATGTTGTGTCTTTTTTGCTCTTCTTTGCCGTCTCTTGATACAATTCAAGCAACTGCCATCCCCATGGGGATCGTGGTCAAGATACCATTCTTATCATATCGAGCTTTGAAAAAGGTATAGTTCAACGTGATGGTATCGATGCCTCTCATGTTTGGGTCCTTTGCGAATTCCGGGTCGATGAAGAAAAACACCGGCATGTCCACCGTTTCTCCCGCGTTCAGCCTCTGTTCTTCGAAACAAAAACATTGGATCTTGCTGAAATACGGCGCCACCTGCGCCGGTGTGACTGAATATGTCGCCACGCCTATAATATCTGCTTCGCTCTTGTTCGTGGCCGTGTAAAAGGCCAGGGCGGTCTCGCCGGGCAGCACCCGAACCTCTCGCTGTTGAGGCGTGAACTTCCAAGGAAGCGTATCGGACACGGAGCTGTTGAAGGTGATGCGGAGGCGGCGGTGGTCTTCGACCGGCTTGAGTCGGACGGCTGGGTCTCCTGCCCCGTCGTGGGCTTTGACCGGTTGGCCGGACCAACCCGTCTGTTGGCAGATCTGAGGCAGGAGTCAGTCATCTTGGAATCTTGAAGCCAGTGGGGGAGAGTGGGCCGCTGTTGTTGCGGGAGGGCTTACCATTTTATACAGAGGGACCGAAGCATACGAGAGGGCGAGTAGTGTTATGCCTGCACTTAGGCCGTAGTACCTGGGGTTTTCCTAGGTGAGTTGTTTTGTACGGTACTGCTTGCACACGCCTCTGGACGTACATGGTCGTTCGATTCTTCTGTCGAGCCTCAGCCCTAGCAGCTTCCCAAGGTGAGGCATATTGTACTCTCTTGGTGGTGGTGTGTGAAATATTTCGAACTGCGCATCTCGACGTCCGCAGAGGTTTCTGAAGGTCTCGGGCGATGTGTGAACTGACTCCTACAAACCTCGATGGGAGGAAAAATGTATTCATTGTGATATGAGCCTCTAGAATAGAGAATGTTGTCGAGCTTGGTATAGTAAGAGGAATGAAGCTGCTCTGGATCGTGAATATTGTCCCGTAATGCCCGTTACTCGTAAAGCCTCAGGTGATTCGCGGAACGCATGATTCGGATAAGTCTCGCCGCAATTGAACGGAACGTGATCAAACTGCGGTAGAAGTCCGAAAGTTCCAGACTATATATCTCTACGGAGAATCACAAAACCATTGATGCTCTGCCTCCCTCATTTTCCACATTAAACTGGAAATACTCACAGTAAGATCGGCACCGTTTGAACCTAGCCAGTGTGTCACTTCGATCCATTACAATAATCTCATGCTTTCTTCAAGATTTCGTGGCAATCTTCCTCCTTGAGATCCCAAGGGGCCGTGAACAGCATCGAACTCCAATACCTCGCTCGTGTCATGTCGAAGAAATCTTCGTCGGACGCTCCATCCCAATCCACGTTGGCCATGAGTTGTAAAAACAGTCTGATTGCGACGCCGCATTTCCGCTCCACCGAGCCAAACATCTCTTTCAGCCGCCGGAACGAGTCATATGCACTGCTTTCGAGCAGGTAGGTGCCTTCGAGACCTTCGAGCTCCACACTGAATCTACCGGGTATGAGCCCGCCTTGATTGCCTGCCAGTATGCTGCACAGCTCCTCCTTCGCGGATTCGGGCCCCATCTTCTCGCGTAGCGCCGAGTGCTGCTCGGCCAGGTAGAACAGCAGTCGCTGGAAGATCAACTTCTCGACATGACTGTCCGAAGGACCTACGATGTCCAAGTCAAGTGCGGCCTTGATCAACGTCACGAAGCCATCGTTTGGGTAGCTCAGAAGCCTCTTTGGCCCTTCCTCCCAGGGCATATCTATGTTCGATAGAATCGATGACAATGTTGTCGTCAACGGCTCATACACGCCTTCGTCTTCTTCGAGGCCAGTAGAGCAGCAACTGATTCTCGCGGGCAAAGTCATGTGCTGGAGGAAATTTCGACACTGCCACTCCAGTGCGCGGATGAACATCTCACTGACGACCTCTGAGCCCCTGGTGGCCTTGTCTAACTTGGTGTACAGGATGGAAAGGAATATCTGGTCGAGTATCTGCAGATCAAACCGCTGAACCAACGTCGCATCAACTTCCTTGAGCACACTGTCCCGGTTCATTTCGTTGGACAGTGGCACAAGCGGGATGGCACCTGTGATGGCTTCGTCGAGTGGTGAGGTTCCGATGCGGGAGACGAATGAGGCACATTTCTCGCAACAGAGGAATGACGAGATGATGTCTGTTTCCGGGAAGTTGCCCATGGCGAAGGGGTATTTGATCATGCAATTGCTGCCTGGGTTGGGAAAACCGCCCTCGGTCTCGTAGTCGTCGGGCTTGGCCTTGAGGAGAAGGGCCAACGGTGAATTGTCGTCCTCGCACAGATTGCAACGGCCCTGGAAAGGAGGTGCAGATGACGGGCCCGAGTTCAGCTTGTATCCTTTCATATACAGCAAGTCCGACACATCCGGGTTTGTAAAGAAGGGTGACGTTCTGTTATACGACTGATATGCGGGACTGCTTGGGCTTGAGCTTGATCTTGAGGTGAGATCTTGGGCCCGGCCTTGATGTTCTGAATACGAACCCTGTGCAGGATAGAAGTTTGCGAGCTTCCCCGAGCCATTGGCTGTTCCCTTTCGGATTGGCAGATGTAGTTTACGATGTGATAGCCTCGGTGGGTCGGGAGGGACATGAATATCTTTTGTATGAGCATGCGACCCCCAGTCCGCATATGCTTGCGAAGTCTGTTCCCGTGGCCCAGATTGCCCGGGGCGAGGTGAGACAGGGCTCATCATGATTGGAGAACCTGGACTCTTTCTGTTCAATTTGACTCTCTCCAATGCATCGCTCACGATTGTATTGCGTTGACGGATCTTCTCTTGCTCACGGCGGACCGATTGCATGAACCAACGCAGATTTCTGTCGTGCGCATCTCTCAACTGCTTCCTAAGGTCCTTCTCCAAGACTGGATCGCGAGGATCTGCCTTGGTCGCCTCCAGGAGTCTCGAGATCAATTTGGAAGCCGCACCGTCAATGTCCGGTCGATCAAGATATTCGGTCGCCCTTTTCGACATCCTTTGCTTGGAGACCCAGTGCTCAATCTCCCTGCTCTTCCCTCTGCTTTGGGCAGCAAGCAACACGGATTTCAAGTTGTCATCGTTACCGAGGATTTCGTCTGAGACGTCTTGCCCAAGGCGTTCACCGTACATGTCTTCCAGGTTGACCACTCTGCCGCTCGCCAGGAAGACTGCGTTCGAGGCGATCTGACGTGGTTTGGGGATGGAGAGCTCGGCCAATCGATCATAAGAGAGTCGCGGCAGCTGATCCCAAGTGGTCTCCGGAGTCAAGATGACCTCCATGTTCTCCTCGGGGAGGAGAGAGCGGAAGCATCCTTTGCATTGGAAGACGAAGACTTCTCCGTTCGAAACGTCGTGGAAGAGAAACGCGCAATGCGGAGCAAGCGCGAAGACGGATTGTCCGACGGAAATATTACACTGAACGGGCCGGTAAGGTCGATACCCAAAGAGGATCACCACGCAGGCCTTTCCGTGCAGACCATTCTCACCTATCCCAACTGCAAATTCCCTCACTGTGGGCTGTTCAATCATGCCGTCGGTGAGAAGGAACCAGAGGGAGCACTGTTGGAGTATACGTTGATGCGGGTCGGCGGTGTTCAGGACAGTGGGATTGGTGCCTCCCATCGGCCTCAGGCTTTGAATGTCAGACAGCCCGACGGGCGGAAGTGCAATCGAAGTCCATGGAAGTATTTGCGCCCGATCCCTTGCCGGAGCCTCTAAATGGGCGCCGAGCTTCAGTGTTGCTTGCTTCTCCTGCTCGAGAACACCTCCTTCCGTGCTGTAGGAGACATCTATCGCAAACGCAACCTGCACCTGCTTGTAAGGGGTCGATGGTGCGGCTTCTGGGGTGGCACCGCTCCCGGTGACAACATGTTCCCTGAGCACGCGTTCAGTTTCTTGTCCAATGGCTTGAACAGACTTCTCCTCTGGGTAGCCAACGGAGTTCGGCTCTGACGGCATGCTCTTACTGGGAGGCTGTAGCCGCGCCGTCGGACTGTACTCAGACTGGTTGGCCCTCGAGCTTGTCTCTGAAGCTGGCCTCTGGTCCCTTCGTTCTGTAATGGAGCAAATCATCAGTGATACTAATACTGTCTCATTGCCAGCGTATACCCACTTCTCAAGTCTCGGAGTATGGAAAGATCATCGCTGGTTTCGAGAGGTTTCGTCTGAGCCGTGGGCGTCGAAGAGACATTCTTCATTGTTGTTCGATGTCGGCCGTCTTCTAGCTCGCTTGTCAAAGAGTCAACTCGAAGCTACTGTGGAACTCGAATTCAACGTACGGAGTATTTGAGAGCAAAATATATGGAAAAATTAAGAAATCACACAAGATGGAAGTATCCGGTAGTTCATACTTTCTACAATTAACACCTTCTTGAAGCACAGCCTTCTCTCCAGGTTAGTCCCAGGGTTTGCACAAACCGCCAGAAGAGAAAAGGTCCCTGTCAACGTCAGCATGCATGTTACAGCCACCGCCCATTTCGCTGCATGCGGTCTGGAAATTCACAGCCTTTCGACATTTAGCGAGGTGGCTGTTTGGGCAGATGAATGAAAGCCAAGCTGTCCCAGTCCACCAACAGTGATCAAAAGGACTGCATGAGCAAATAGAGGTGCGCGCAGTGGAGTCATCCATGCAACTGTTCATGTCTGAGACTCTGGAGGGGAGTTGGTAAGGGTGATTTTGGCGAATGTCACAGGGCACTGTTCGCTTATTGCTTGTCCAATGACCTTGCTAGGGTATGCAGCCATCGATTAATTGAGCCAGTGACAAACAGGCACAACACACAGCCCGCCACTGACCTCGTCCGTTTCTTCTACGTTGTCTGAACGCGGACCTTTCTCGCACGCCCAAGCCGTAGCGCACCAACGCCAGACAGTGTACCCAAGACACCACGACTTTATAGTGTTGGTTTAGAAAATTTCGCGAGAACTCTCCGAGTTCAGATTTACGATCCATTCCTATCTTCTACTGCTTACTATGGTTTCTCTGCTTCATCTGGTTCCTTGCTTATACAGCACGAAGGCGTCCCTTTTTTTCCTGGGCTTTCTCCAGCTCTCGTTTGTTCCGCAAGTAGTAAACGGCATACGCCATTGCTGTCGTCGGCAGGGTGAGAACGATCCAAATCCACACGGTTCTGCCATCGGACAGGTATTTGTTGGTCGCAAAGAACGGCATCGCAAGGATGGCGGCGAATGAAGTCGCCGGCAAAAAGAACATGGTCAGGATTGCTATCGTCTTCATCGACACACTGTCCTTTTTCATATCTTCCGAAAGCTGTTGAGACCGTTCGGCAATCTGACGAGAGTACGCCGCCTCATCTTGGGCGGCCTCCAAAATGGCCACCATACGGCGGTCGTTTGTGATTTGCATGCGGTTGAAAAGCTATCACTTGATAGTCAGCAAGTTGATAGCACCAGCACAGCAAGGGTTCGCTCAGTGGAGAAGACAAAGACGATGTATTAGTACTTACCAGCGCGAGCAAGTTTTGAATCTTCTTTTCCAATTCACTCACGAAGGATTTGGTCGCCGTGATCTGGCTCGATAGTTGGGCAAAGTTTGCAACGGCGACGCCGTCGTTTCCGTTCAGCGCTTCGAGACACAAGCCAGCCATCTCAGAGGTTGTGCTCTGTATGGAGTCCATTTCGGTCCCGTATCGATGAACGTGCGCCGCCATGGCGTGCAAGGCCTTGCTGATATTACCGTAAAAGATGTTGGGAGGGCTGGCGTCCTCGGATTTATCCTGCAGCTCGAGCTCGTAAGCGATCAATTGCTCATTGACAGAATGGAGGGAGTTGTTCCACCATCTCGTGACGGTCGTGAACAGGATCAAATGTATCCACATGGGACCTAGGTGGGCCGAAGAATGCATCAGAGCCTCCAAGATACGAGTTTGTGGCTCTTCGACGAGCACGCGCCATCTGCCGTCCATGAAATTGACGCAGATGGCCGTCGTCACATCCGTGTGCTTGTTGTACTCGACGTAGACGGCAATCTGGGATCCTCGAATGTCAACTTCCTGGTTGGGTAGATGCAGATAGTGGAAAGGATTCATTTGGTTCCGCCCTGTTCTCGTGTTTTCGTGGCTATCGCGCATATCGGTACAGGGCACTTGGACTCGAAATGGGAGGAAATACCACTGACTGGATACGCTGCTGCTGCTTCTGTTGTTGTTTGTGTTGTTACTTTCCTCGTGACGGCGCTGGAAGCCACGTCCATTGGGATAATAATAGCGACTGAGAGCGAACAAGAAAGACGGAGGTACCGAGCAACATGACATCAACAGTTGGAAAGCATCCTTGGATATGAGAAGCCGATGAGCGTCGCTAGGGACAGGCTCTCGAGGATTTTGAACCAGAAATCGATTGATGAAGAACATGTCGTAGAGGGGCCGTTCTTGTGCACGACTCTCCAGGAGCTGAGACAGCCGGGCATCGTCGACTTGACCTGGATGTATCGTCCGTGTGGATCGTGTCGCACGTACAGACCAGATTGCGGTTCGTTGTGCAAGCAGGTTCTCGTCGAAGCTTTTCAATGCCTGACTGATGGACCTGCCATGTTCAAGCTGGGGCGAGTATGTGTCCCTCGTCTCTACCCATTGCCGCCATGCGGTGCCCGTCGCCATTAGAATCGACTAGGAAAGATTAAGATGTATGGATGGTGAATGAACGGGAAGGAAATCAATCGTTATCGAACAGGACGTGCAGAGCTTGAAGTTGAGTACTCTGTAGCCCTTTGATGGCTCTCTCGATGTAGATTGGGAAGCACTGCCACCGCCTCTGCCATCAGAACTAGGCGAGGGGGTTTTTGCAGCCTCAAATGCAGCCTCAAACACAGCCTCATGGTACGACGCTTGCCTTGACCTGGGGCTCTGGGGCTGAACACTGCTGTGCTGTAGATGCTTAAGCGAGGTGTGTCCGGAGTGCACACACCCCAGACTCCCCAAGTAACACTGGCCGGCTCGTCCTATTTGAAGAGCCCAAAGCCCACTGAAGCGTCTCCACTCTGATTGACACCTCAGGGTAACCCATCCAATATATCATTGCTTCTTCCTGTACACGCTGTCAGATCCTCCGAGTATCTGTATTCACAAAAACCGGCAACTCAAATCAATCACGCAGTCGTAAGGCAGATCGTGCAAACGCAAATAATCTTACCTAGCAACCTCACGGACGCCTTTTGCGAGCCAGAATCTCCAGGCCACCAAACATCATCACCTATCATTTGTGCAGTCGCGATCAGATAGTCCGTGAACTCTTAAGTCCAACAACATGCCCGAGGAGGGTGGCTGCGTGGTATTAGTTGACGATGTCTACTCCGAAGCACCACTTCCAACACCTTCGTCGACGAAGCCTACACTCTCTTCCTCGTCTGCATCTTCATCATCATCCCCTCGACCCAAGTACACTCCGAAATTCAACCAGAAATGGCTTCTTTCGCCATCTGAAGCCGTTAGTCGATCACCTCGATCGAGATCGTCGTCGAAATTCCAAGGAGTGTCCACCGCTTATCATCAGCTTGACACGTCGCCGTCTCAGAAGTCGCAAAAGTCTTTCAAGAGGGATTCCTCCACTTCTTATTCTACTTCTCCTTCCGAGGATCCATCGACGGATCGGCCCGCCACTGGATCATCTTCAGGTTTAGCAGAAAGCGAAGCGCTCACTCAAAAAGAAGACCACCGCGACAGCCACAGCGTTCCTCGAAACGAAAACGACGGTCCACAGATTCGTCCACAGAGTCTGAGTTCGTTTAGTTGTCCGCCATCGGCCTGGAAGACTTTATCTTCAGCTGTGGCGGCACTGCCGCCACAAATGCCACCCCCGCCCATGATGCTTCCTAGCAGGTACGGCTACGACTATGACTCCGTTACAATGTCGCAGACCTATCATCCCGGAGGCGTCACGCACCGTCTCACGTTCCAGACGAGTCCGACGTTCGCGGGGGCCCCCACAAGTACAGCCCCAGTCCTCCCTTTGGAGGTGAGGCTCGGCATCGCGTGCCGCTGGGCGTGAACCCGTCCCCTCCAATTCACCCCCCGGGCTACAAGAAACCCTCTTCAAATTCTCCCGCCGCGGTTGGGGCCAGAAACGCTCCTCCTACCGTGTGCGAGCAGGCTGAAGGCCCGGAATCGGAACAACAAGGAGCCAATACAACTACGGACGGTATGCCCGGCAATTCAGCAGCTGGAACGCTCTACCATTCGAGCGACTTGACCGAGCATGCGTCTGGTACCCGTCCAGATCGTCAATCGAAACCCATGGTGAAGAGAACATTCAACCGCATCTTTAAAAGTCGCACACGACGGCGGGAAAAGTAAACCAGGGTCCTCCTCCAGTGAAGATGGAGATGGAAGTTGAAATTGACAAATTGAGAATCTAAGGGAAGGACTGATGGAATGGAAATGGTTTGCGTATATAATATGACCCCTACCCAAAGGTCAACCAAGGTATATTATAATTCTAATTGTAGTTCAGCAGGGGAAATTGTCAAAAGGAGGCAAGAAAGAAAATTCGGGAACAAATTGAAACAAATTTCTCATCACTCTGAGCGATTCGAAAAAACTTGGATTCTGTCCAATTGCATTTCTGCTCACTAGGTGGCAGAGTTCATGTAGTTATGTACAGATAAGTTGTTGTATTGTGTATGAATATACCAATTGCTAAACAGGGAGCCCTCCGCGGTACTGTTGTTATCTCATTGTAACAGGACCAGCCCACAATGCACGTAGACACGTCCTGCACTTTTCTAAACTTGGCTTCATTCTCAAGGCCATGATCATAAATAACCTAAGCCAGACCAGATTCAAGGCCTCAGCCAGTTCGAATAAACTATTCAATACGGAGTACATGCATGAATCAACGTCAAGGATAAGCCGCAGCTATAGAAGGTTCGACGCACCTTCACGTGCAAATGCTAGCCCCCCCCCCCCTATCCCCCCCTCCCCAGCAGGCGTAACCCAGCCTCGCTACCTTAACTACTTATATATGCCTGATCGACCAGGCAAGCCTTGCCCTCCCGCAATTGAACTATCTGAAAAGGCAACTAGGCCCATTCTTCTGAGGCAGAATCAGTCCACTCTCTTTTCTAGGTCTGGGCGTTTACCCTGATACCACGCCTTAATCCCGTTCTCCACCTTGTAGAAGTTATGCTCTTCGTTGTCCCATGTCCAGCCAAGCTTCTTCAATTTATTCTTCCAAGCAATCCAGGCTGTAATCTCCTTATCTTGAACTACCCTCGCCATATTACTCAACTCAATTGCCTTTTCATCCTCTGGAGCGTGTTAGCTTAGTCTGCCAAAGAACAGGAGTCAATTTCCAATGCTTATTACTTTGGGTGTTTTTCCTGACCGCACTAATGTCTAGGTTTCACAGCGTTGATCTCCTCGAGCTTGACCTTCTGAAAATTGATCTTCTTGAAATCGAACTTTTTGACATTGACCTTTTGTTCTCATGGCGGACATATTTTCGGACCTATTTAGATAGAGAAGAATACCCGGGGAAACTGGTGCAGAAGAAGTGGACCTCAGGTCAAGACTGAACGACTCTCTTATACTTCTGACTTGTGTAACTCCTAGGTCATGAGCTGCACGATTCTGAGTAGGCATGCAAAGCCTACCAATGCCCAACATGTACGCTGTTCGTGGCTGGTCGTTTTTCCTATCAAGGGCAGCACTGCCCGCCTCGCAGCCAATCACGAGAAAATTGTTGGCGAGACATTCAGAGATGGTCCTGGTTTAAAATCATTGCGCAAAGAACAAACACAGAAGCGGACTTCCACAAGGCCGCCACAATGACATCTTTCGGAGGCCTAGATGGGTATGCCAAAAGTTGCGCATTTGATGTCCCGCCACAATGAATATGCCATCTTCCGCAGCTTCAAGGGCTTGAACTTCCAGAACCTCCTTTACTTCCAGGCTGAACTCACGCAACTTGAGCAGGGGTTGAAGGAGATCATTCGAAAAGACAAGCTCTCCAGGTTCCCGCCCGGAGCTCACGGACAAGCCACTGGCCCTTGTTAAAAGAATCAAACGATGAACAGTTCAAAAAGATCATGGAGATCAGGGCTGTGCTGAAAGAATACAGTATGTGGCATCAGCCCCAAAAGGGTCCAATACCCGTGTGCCGCCAGCAGCACATCTTGGCTCGATCGCCATGCTGAATCCTGCCCACCCAGATGAGGCTCTCCTCCAGCAACACAAGCTCTCATTATTGGAGAAGCCTACCAAATACAAGGTCGACCTCTTTCGTGACTGGCGCGAGCACCCGAAGTTGGGAGGACGGCCGATCAAAAGCGACGACTGCCACGCTTGGAGCGAGGTTCACGGAAACGACCTCGTCACGGCCACCGATAACAAGTTCCGATACGACTCCACCAGTACATGGATTGCTGGAAAACTTCTTCCCTACTACCGTCGCACGAGGCCTCGGTGGATTGGGACCCCGTCACGGGAACCACAGACTTACTCCGACTGGAAAATCATGAGAGCCGTCAACATCTTTGCGACCGTGGTTTCTTGCCTGTTCTCGGTCTTGCCCATTGTGGCACTCAAATGCCGTCCAGACCATCTCGATCCGCGTCGGCTTGACGGCGGCCTTCACCGCGGTGTTTTGCCTCTGTCTCGCCGCCATGACCGAGGCCATTTAAGTAGTTGTCACCTCCCTGAAAATACATACTCGGGACTTATTTCTCTACCTACGTGGGATGTTTGCACTTACAACCTGTTCCTCGTCCCAGATTTGTTGCGGTTCAAGTCGTCTTCGTCGGTACGACGGGCGACTTGTTCCTGAAACTAGCGATCGAAAGTTCTTGACAGGGGACACTTACCGAACGAATCAGAATCACTAGCAGGAAGACACAACCTGGACAAGGTCATGAACGAGATCGGGTTCTATTCAATCTCCAGAACTACCCGCCAAAACTACGGGGGAAAAAGTCCTGGCGTCGTATACAAATGCAAAGGGTCGTCCACGATACCATACATTGGGGACTGGCCCACAGCACGCAGGCATGGCTTTGCACTAGTCCAGACTTTGAATTTATTGCTGTGTGCTCAAGGCTATGATAATATTCGTCAAGAAACCACATGACCACATGCTTGCTCCTCATGTCCGCAGGGAAACCCATTGCAAATTGCTCGTTTCGTCAGAGCTACCTTGGGAATCAACAGTAAACAACAAACCTCCCATCCCAAAACCTCATTCATCGTGTTTCATAAAACAGAGTCATAATCAAATCTGCCGATACCACCAATCAAGGAGGGGTTATCTCGAGATCAGACCATCAAAACCGGTCACGTTCGGCGTTCCTTGACTTGTCATTGGGCGACAGACACCACAACCCTGCATCATTGATTCTTTTTTGTCTTCATCAGAGAGAACAAGAGCAAAATGTTCAATATCTTGTTGTGTGTGTGTGTGTATGTAGAGGACATAGTAAGTCGAGTTTCTAAGCTTTGCCCTCGAATACAATTGTCCTTCGTCTCCATATTATACCGGCGTGGAATTCGTCAGGGACATGCTCCATTTCATGGTGCGTCGAGTCCTTTCTCAAAGGTCCCGGAATCGTTTGATCTCTTGGGTAGGAGTGTCTTCTCCACGGTGGTTCTTCTTCCTCAACCGGCATCGGTTCACAAGGTTCAGAAAACGGGCTCTTTTTGGCTTGCGTTTGCGTTTCTTCTGCTTCAGGTTGTGTCTCTGCCGTATCTGCGTTCGTTTCGGTGTTGTTCGCATTCGATCCATCCCTGGGTCGAACTTGGTTCGTGTTGTCGTCATCCGGTCTCGCAACACCGCCGGTCATCTTCGTTGACGGCGACTTCTTTTCCGGGGCCATGGTTTCCCCTCCGACAGGTTGCCACCCCAGATGATGATATCGGAGGTACGCGTTGTATGTTTTGTCGTTGCCTTTTGTGACCGTGTCACTTTGTCCCAGGTTCCGGTTCAAATCTTTCGACGTGGTTGGTAACAAGCTATTTTCGGCCTGGAGAGACCGTATGGAGCGAGGCTCGCGTCTTTTCAGTAGCTTGACGAGGATCCCGATACAACAGCAAGCGACGAAAATGAACAAGGCGTATGACGACCACAAATTCCCGGGTGGTTGTCGTTGTACTGATTGTAAACGAGTGGTGAGATTGTATAGTTGCATCGTGAACCCTTCAACTTGTCAACAACAACAGCAACAATCATCCATCAAAGACCGATTGGTGGTGTTTTTCGGCAAGGATGATACAAAGTACAGGCAAGGTATATATAGATGTAAAAAAAAAGAGAGAAGAACCCAAGTGTTCTATTCGTATCATGGAAGGATTCAAAGAAGAAGGCCTGGCCTGGCCTGGCGCTTGCTTGGGATCTTTGTAGGTGATACAGGGATAATTTCGTATCGGGGAAGGCGACCGGATTGACCGATTGATCATCCAATGGATACGAATCTGATCAGATCTGTCGGGGAGTTTTGTTAATTTTTTGAATTTCACAAAGGGTACGGGACACAGGGGACATTATTATTGACCAAGTGATTAATTGACAGGGGACAATCGCAGCTGACGAAGGAAATGTTTCTCTGTATGGGCTGCTCTGGATCGTCGAATGTGTTTCGCAGAATGCCATCTCCCCCCCCCCCCCCCCCTTTGGGCCCGGAAAAATAAAATGGAGTCATGAGGTCTGATGGGAAGCGAAAATAGACGGGCGGCCGGGCCTGTCAAATCGGGGCGAGGACTAGAGGCTAGCTGAGATCTGAAAGCGAAAAGCGAAAAGTCGTAATACAGGATCCTACAAGTACCAGAGGGGCGACCCAAGCTTCTCGAATCGAGTGTGTTGTGCATGGGCGACTTTGTTTTTCCTTTTGGGGTCGGCGGCGATAGCCGTGGAACTATGGAGTGTGACAGTCAAGATCGTAGCCAAAAAACCCCCAAGATCGCCGGCCAGAAGCCAGAAGCTCAGCTCGACAAGGCTCGAGCAAGGACCCTCCGACGACCAAAGGAGCCCCTAGTACCGCAAGTGCGGGAAATTTCATAGGTCTTGGGTCCGTTATGGAGCCCAAGCCACCATTCTGTCAATCGTTGTATTTTTTTATGGGCCGAGAACCGAGAAGACGCGGGAAAATACGAAGTACAGTAGCAGATGGTGAGACTTGACTCAGCTCGCTTGTTCACCACGCCACAAACACTACCTACGAGTACTTGTACCGAGGACAAGTATGTCATTCATTTAGTGTGAACCACTCTCGGGTATCTTGGGGTGTACTGTACGGAGCACGGAGTACCCGTACCACCTAGTGTTTGGTACTCGTGAAGAAGATGTCATGACGATTGGGATTTCACGTAATGTTTTTGCGATTTGACGGAGAAATGAAAGTATCGGTACAAACATTGAGCGTCACCCTTTGCTGCTGAAGCTGAAGAAGAAGAAGAAGGAGACTCCGTTTTGGTACATACACACAACACCTACCTACCTTAAAATTGGTGATGGATTTTCATGTGCTCGTACGAGGTACTTTTTGGGGGGAAAAAACCCGACTGGTGAAGACGGTGGCGAGGTATTGACTGAATGGATGATACAATTGTGTACCTATAGGCGGTGGTACTACTAACTATTCATCGCCACATCCTCTCACCGCATCATAACACGAGGAAGCAATTCCAGAGTTAGGTACGGAGGACTTGGTATCAATTCACAACCTGGAAGAGACTATATTGGGATAAAAAGGCATGTGCTTTTTGACAGGCGAGCCACAAGCTGTACCCTCCAGTATACTCCGGACTCCGGACTCCCTACACACCTTTAGCACACAGAAGTCCGGAAAACAAAGGTACCATTTGTCTGGGTAGCTGAAATTGTACTAGTTTCCGACACGCCACAAACATACTTTATCACTCCGTACAAAACGTATATCATTACTATAGTCATATTGTCCGGTATCTGTATATATGCAACACACTCCATACTTGTACTGGTACCGTACACACACTGCTCGACACTCTCCCAACCGGCTTCCCTTTCTCAAGAGGGTCGAAAAAGGTTCTAGACCGTTCCACGACCTATCCCGCGACCTTCATGGCCTTTTCGTCCGGGGTGGGAATGACGAGAGCCTCCTTCTTGTCACCCGTCCTCGTGGTAGGTCCCCTTTCAAACTCCCCGCTGCTCCTCCTCGACACGTTCTCGACCAACTTCTTCAGTACGTCCGGAGCATCCTCCTTTCCCATCACCACCTCTACCATGGTCAGACCTTTACCCGCTTGTACCGTTGGGTCCGCCAGGATCAGGTTCATTTCACCCCAAGTCTCGGCCCTCTTTGTCAGTACCGGATAGGAAGGGTCATCTTTGGGGGCACCGAAATAATCCAACGATTCCAGGTACCTCCAAGGTTGACAGTCGTTGTAGTCTGCCTTCATCCCGTGGATCCACCTCTCGATCGTGTAACCATCGTTGTTGATCAGGAAAATAATCACGTCGAGCCGGTTCCGGATCATGTCGGAGACCGCCTGGGCCGTCATTTGGAAACTCCCGTCCCCCTCGAAAAGGATCGTACGTCCTTTCTTCGCCGTCTCGACAACGTCAAGACCCTCATCGGTCATCGTCGTCGTCATCCCATCCCTCTGGGCTTGAGCGGCCCCGGCGCAGGCCCCCAACATGTAACCGATCGACAACCAGATCGAAGAGTTGATGAGAGTCGTGTGAGGTGGAAGGACAAAGTCACGCCCGCCGATGCTCGGCGTGCCCGTCTCCGTGAGGATGATGTCTCCGGGCCTGAAAAAGTTCGACATGCGTCGCCAGTAGGTGTCGTGTGCGATGATTTCGTCGTCCGCGGTCGGTGGCAGGTCCGCCAGGATCTGTTTGGGGTCCCCCAGGTCCATGGTCGGCGTGTACTTGGGCAGCGACGACCTGTCGAGTTTGGACAGCACCCGTCTCAACAGATGCTTGACGTGGATGTTTTGGTACCTCGTCCCGCAAATGTCGACGCTGTCCCGTTCGAACGTGATGGACGTCTTCGGGTCCGGGATGGTACTGAAGCCGAACGTGTTGACGTCGCTGTTCAACGGGCCCAGGCGCAGCACCAAGTCGCACCCGCGCGCCCAAGGCATGTAGACCTGAGGCCCCGCGATGCCGGCGTAGATGCCATAGAAGTTGGAGTAGGATTCGTTGACGATGCCCTTACCAAAGGGCGTGGTCGACGTCGGGAAACCGGTCTCGCGGACCAACTCGTCGGCCTCGGCGCTGATGCCGTACCGCGAGGTGAAACCGTCCACGAGGATAAAAGGTTGTTTGGAGGCGTAGATCTTGCTCAGGATCAAGTCGGCCTCGGTGTCTTCGAAGCCCTCGTCGGTCTCGATCGAAAAGTCGAGCGGCTTCCCGAGGCTTGCGCGTGACACTCTGGCTTTGACCATGTTGGTGGGGAGTTCGATGTAGACCGGCCGACTCTCCATCACGCACGTCCTCAGGCACCGGTCGATCTCGGACGCCGCCGTGTCGGCGTCCACGAGGTTGGTTTGTGCCACCGTCACCCTGGCCGCCATGTCGGCGAAGAGCCTAAAGTTGCCATCCCCCAGAGTGTGGTGCATGCAGAGCCCCTGGCCCTGGATGTGCGTCGCGGGCGTCCCCACGATGTGGACCACCGGTGCCATCTCGGCGTACGCCCCGGCGATGGCATTGATGGTCGAGAGTTCGCCCACGCCGCCCGTCGTGACGAGGGCGGACACCCCTCGGATCCTGGCGTACCCGTCGGCCGCGTACCCCGCGTTGAGCTCGTTGGCATTTCCCACCCAGTCGAGGCCCGCCGGTGCCACGTAATCCAATGTCGTGAGGTTGAAGTCCCCCGGCACTCCAAAAACGGATTTGACCCCGATCTGACGGAGTCTGGTGAAGAGGTATTCGGCAAGGTCGACTTTGGTGGAAGACATTGTTTTTTGTTTCTTGTCCCAGAATCAACAACAAAGGTTGTCGATACGGAAGAGGAAAGGGGGTGTGAGAGATGTAGGAATTAAGCAGAGGAAAAACAGGTCTTCACTGGTACTCAGGCTATAGGATGTATATGTATCATGCGGAATAGATGGGCCTTATCAAGTGAGTTCAAGTAGATGTAACCTTGGATCGCAAAAAGTTGTACATTCCAGCAAGGAAAAGGGTATTGATAGGTAGTATTCATACGGAAGAGGAGGAATTTCGATGACTTTAGATAGATGCATCAGCCGCTTACATACTAATAAAAGGTTCAAGTAGCCCCATGATCAAGGCGGCCCGCGACGACATGATGACAAGTTGTAAGATTGAGAAGGATTTCGATGTGATGGATGGCACTGATACGAGTAGAAACAAAGCGAACGGGCGCGTCACCATCGATAGAACGATGTTTTTGTCGGTTGGCTTCGGCTACACACGGATGTCGACGAACGCAATCAATTCCGCATTGAGGAATTACGGAACTGGCGGGGGGGGGGGATTCAGAGATACCATCAGAGATACCATCATGTCAGCCATGACAACCAATTCGAGACGGGGAGACACAGATGCTGCTCGGTTGATATTGCCGGTAGAGGTTGATTTGATACATTCCAGATGCATATTTTATTCATCTGGTGTGAATATCCCGTGTCTCTATGTAGCCGCATATAATCCACCTCAAAACTCCGTCCACCATGCATGATCCAAATTCATCGCTAAAGTCATCTTAGGTTTAGAAGCCAGCAAAGGGACTGTACACTTCCTTTCGGCATCCATTGCAGTTTCGTTCCATCACACTTTTTTTTACTCCTCTCTCGCTCTAGCATCCTCTACCGCCTTCTCCCAATTGGTAAACTTCATGTACGTAAACATAATCAAGCTTGCACAACCGAGACCACAGCAAGGACCAATCCACATCCCACCAAGTCCCATATGTGGTGGTCCAAAAGCAAGGAAGAAAGCCAGTGGAAGTGCAAACAGATAGTATACTCCCAGGTTCACCCATCCTCCAATCTTTTGTCTTCCCATTCCTCGGAGAAGGGCGTTTGAGATGGCTACAAGAGCGTCAAAGAGTTGTGCAGCGGCCATGATAGGGATGACTTTGGCAATGATGGTCCGCACCGATTCCTCGTCTGTAAATATAGCAGCGATAACGTGTCGACATGAGGTCAGCAAAATGACGTCAAATAAGCCAATGCACACAAAAACCAAATAATGTGTTCTCCACGTTTGTCGAGCAGCGTTGAGAGCACCGTAACCAATCAGGTTGCCAAATCGAGTCGAGGCAGCAATCGATATTGGGAAAGGAAGGTGATAGATGGTCACCGCGACTGTCATGAGTACTGATTGAGCTGCAAGATTGGCCCGACCGAGGTAGCCTGCTGCAATTGAAAGAACATCAAAAGCAAGCCATTCAGAAAAGGTCATGAGGACTCCCGGCAAGGCCAATTTGACCATCGGACCCCAATTTTGGCAAGCACGGCGAAGCTGTAAGCCCGGCCAACATTGGAGGTTCGACCTTGCAAAACAGGAGACGTAGATGGCGAGGACAATGGGCTGAAGATTGTTGGAGATCACAACAGCCCATGCCGCACCTGCGAAACCCAGGTTCAGTCGGAACACCAGGAGCCAGTTCCAGAGAATGTTGAGGGGTGCGCAAACAATGACAACCACTAGTGAGGCAGTAAAGTCCCCTTGTGCCTGGCACAATCTCTTGCCAGCTTCGAAGATGGCCCACCCAGGAGCACCAAGAAGGTAGATCCTCATGAATGTGCCCGCCAACATTGCCTCAGCTTTCTCGGGCACCAAGGCTGATAGGATCCATGGAGAACAGATCCAGACTGCACCTATGGGGATCGTGACGACGCACACCAGCAGTGCCATGCGTTGAACATGGAGACCCACGAGCTGTTTCTTATTGTTTCCAAAAGCCTGAGAGGTGAGAGTATCAAGGCTGGTGGCTAGTCCCTCGTAGACACATAATCCTGTAACGTTGGCGGTCATGGTAGCAAGAGAAGCGGCACCCAATTCTTTGGTTCCTAACCGTCCGGCGACAAACACCGTGACCAAAGAAAATGAGTATTGCAGGATATAGGTCAAAATAAGAGGTCCAGAATAGCGAGCCAGGATGGCGGTTTCTGCTTTCCATGTTGTCTCAATCTCAGTATTCTTGATCAGAGGCACTTCTTCCTCTGTGGAAGTACCGTAGACTCTTTGATCGACTTGAGCCACCGACTTTCGAAAATCATCGATTCCATGCTCGTTGAGGAGAGCACTACTTTCTGAAGGACGTCGACCAGCCATTTGTGTGACAATAACAAATTAAACAGGTAGGATCTGTATCGTATTCTCGGTATTCCCTGCGCGTACGTGCGTGCGACAAACCCCACGAAAATTTCCCTAACCAAAGCCACACCCAGTTTACGAATCAAATGTCATGACTTGGGGAGCTTTACATCAATAGGATGAGGCTTCAGCTGAATGACTTGCTGAGAGGATGATGGATGACCAGTTAGAAGAGAGGCTCGTTGGTTGTCACTGTCAAGCTGTAGTTGGCGGTGAGAGAGTTCTTCGTGGGCTCGAAGAATGGGACCTAGAGAAACACCCACCCGAGGGTTGCATGGGGTGAGTCGATCCATTCGCGCCATCGGTGGAGGAGAGACTAGGCAGTACAGATGTTGGAGTCGCCTGTGCGCTTCTTCATCAGTGCAAGCCATTGTGCATAAGCGAGTTTGGAGGAGGTGGATGACTGACTGAAGCTCACCATCAGTATTCCGTATTGGCCATGTGCGAGGAGGATGATGATGCTGACCCCTCGACCCTGCCATACATTCTTCCTCTGTCCGGGTATCCCTGTCATCAGCCCTCAAGACGCGTGCGATGGCGTGAAACTTGGGCGTCAATTAGCGGGGCTGGAGGCTGGAAAGCGCAACACCAAAAACAAGTCGCCGCAGCCATTTCTACCAATTCCATCGTTTCACCTCACAACATACAGTAAACACTAACTCTGCCGCTCCCAACGCGTCTTCCCGGTCAGTGAAGCACCTTGTACCTTGCTCACCATGGCGACATCATCCGTTTCTCCCCTCAAAATCCCAGGCCGTAATGCCTTTCTCTCCCCTCTCGATCCTTCTGCCGTCGGACTGCCCGAATCACCAGAAAAAGGCAATGCACTGCTCTCTACATTCGACCAGAAACCACGAAGCCTTCGCAGATTACAGTCACACAACCAACTCTTCTCTGTAAACATGGGTACACAGTATTCCAATCTAAAGCCTCGATCTGCAGTTCCGACGAGACCCTCGCGCGAACAGCTGAATCAACCCACTCCCGCTACTACCACCACCTCGACTTCCCACATCTCCTCTCGAACTCGTGCAAACAGCGATGCCCTTCTACCCTATGTACCGCCGAAGTCTCGCAAGTCAGGTGTAACGTCTCCTCCATCCTCAAATCACATTGCAAACCATGCCCGCAAATCCAGCTTGGAAATGACTCTGAGGGATGGCCCTCCTCCCGGGACAACAGCAACTACAGCGTTGTCTCTTCTTCGCCATTCGATCTTGACTAGTGGTGTCACTGCGACAAAAGAGGGAATGTCAGATTATCGGGTATACTTGTGGTTGACGCTCCTGAATGTTGCACCACTGCCGACAGATACATATCTTGGTCTCATCCACCGGAGTCGGAGTCCGGCGTACGAGAAGATATCGAATGATGTGTTTCGCACACTTGCTACCGACACGTTGTTCAAGAGACGAGTCACGGATGCGAGTCTTACAAGACTTCTGAATGCGACGGCCTGGCGGATACATGATGAGCAGAACTCGGATCCACCGAGTGACTTTGCGCAACGATTTCCTCAAGCCACGTACCTTCAGGGGATAAACGTGCTGTCGGCACCGTTGTTGTATGCGTCGAGATCTGAAGCACAAGCCTACGCACTCCTGAGTTGCTTACTCACAGAACACATCCCGACTTATCTCTCGCCCACCATGTCTGGTGTGCATAGAGGTTTGGAACTCATCGACCGTATTTTAGCATACATCAACCCAACCCTTTCAGCCTTTCTTTTGAGCAAGTCCTTGCCGGCCAAGATCTACGCTTTCCCGTCCGTCCTTACACTCTGCGCGTGCACTCCGCCACTCCCCGAAGTGCTAAAGTTGTGGGATTTCCTGTTCGCTTTCGGGGTACACTTGAACGTCATCTGCGTCGTTGCTCAACTATTATTGCTCAAGGACAAATTGATGAACGAGCCAAGTCCAGCGAAAATGCTCAGGAGTTTCCCCAACCTCAATGCCGACGAGGTTATAAAGATGACGGTTCTAATCGTGAGGGAGTTGCCCGAAGATCTCTATCGAGACATTGTAACTCACGGAAGGGAGGTTTCTTGATGATGATGGTTATGTTGGCGATGATGGTCATGAAATGAGAATGTAACAATAACACACAACAACAACAGTTGAATGAAGCTAGCTAATGGGTCGAGGCCTTTGCTTTGCGACGACTTTTCACGATATGATTTGCACACCATGAAGACATGTACGGATAACAAAAAAAAGCTCATGGATCTAGCCTTTGGAACAGACAGATGGATTCTGGACTAGATAGCGACGGAAAAGATAGATGAAGAATTTCAATTTCTTTATGTGCTGCAACGCTGACATCGGTGACATTTCATTTCGTTGGCTTTATTGAGGGCTATAGTAGATTGGGTTGGTGCAAGGTATCTAGACAGTTCGGGTTTTCTGTGGCATACGCTGTATAGAGTTGACCATCAACAATCAGATACCATCGACTTGCTACGACATGTGGTCTGGTCTGGTCGATGGAATGATGTCGACTTCTCTTTCAGTTTGGATACATGATATCTTAAGTAGGGTAGGTAGGGGGAGTTTCATGATTGTTTCTGCTCATCTTTCCCCCCCTCTCATCTCATCTGATAATCTGCTTACGATAGCTCTTGATGTACTGCGTTAGGCATAATGCTGGGCCTGCTTTTCTCATGCATGACCTTATAGCTTGTGGTCCAAATCACCATTGACATCGCCATTAATCACCCCGATCATGCCCGTGTTCCTCCTTCCTCGGCGACGTCTCCCCCAGACCTCGGTCGCCCACTCGGTCAGCTGGAACATCCAACCTCCGCCGACGATGACGCCGCTGATGACGTTGACTAGCCTCACCAACAACCCGAGCAGGCCGCTCCGACTCTCACTGACGATCAACAGGATGGGTTCGATGTCGTACTTGAAGAAGAGACCGGGGACGGTGTTGCCCGGGACCTCGCGGCTCTGACTCGTGGCGGCGTACTGGTTGGTGAAGACGCTCTTTTTGTCGCGACCTTTCTCCGGGTTGACCATGTGCTTGACGGGGCCGGTGGCCGTCTTTTTCCTGCCGCCAGGCAGGTCCGGGCTCATGTCGAGCGTGACGGGTTGAGGGATGGCCGCGGGATCCAGGCTACCACTCTTGGTGCTCACCCGGCGTTTTGTGAAAATCGTGGGCACCACACTCAGGTAGTACTGGTACCGCATGAAGTGCACCTCGGCCGTGTCGCCCGTGCGGTCCAACGGGTTGAGGATGCCCGGGTAGTGGGGGCCGAAGCTGAGTTCGTTGATGTGGTGGGAGAAGTTGAAGGTGGAGTGGTCGAGGTGCTGCTGCATGCCAAACTCCATGTACCCGTGGCCGCGCGCCGTGATGTGGAAGTCCCCCTGCACCTTGTTGCCCTCGAGGCTGCCGTAGATCCGGCACGCGTCCGTGGGCGCGCCGCGAGGCACCCGGGGGGATTTGGGGAACTTGCGAGCCGCGTTCTCCCTCATGTGCCCCAGGACGTGCGAGACGTGCGAATCTTCCTCCTCGGCCCTCTTGCGCTCCCGGTCGGCCTTGGACTCGTGCAGGCGTTGCTGCCGCCGTCGCTTCCGCGGGTCCGTCCACACCCCAAAATTCGTGTCCTCTTTCGTCAACAGGTCCCCGGCCATGATGCGGTCCATGGCCGCGTCCTGCACGTTGACGTGTAAATCGGCGCAGGACATGGCGATCACCACGTCCAGGTTCAACTGAAGTTCGTGCCCGACTCCCCGCTCGACAGAAAAGTGATGCGTCTCGGTGCCCGTCCACCACGTTCGCAACTCGGAAAAGGTGAGGCATGTGCAGAGGATGATGATGGCGAGGGTCCATTGCCCGCCACGCGCCGTGGACGACGTATAGTTTGGTTTTGTTTTTGCTGCGCAACGAGAGAACAGTCACAGTCAGCAGGGCGAGCAATAGCCATGGACGGATTGCGTACATACGGAATGCATCAAAGGTACGTAGACTTGATATACCCTTGTCGCCGAATGCGTCCTCATCGAGCCCATGTTTCTCGAACGAGTCCATTGCTGCGGTAATGGAGCTGCGACAGCTCTACTCGTGAATTGTTCACGACATGTATGACAAAGTGAAAAGCAACACCGATAAAATGTGTGACGTCGTCTTCGTCTCTCCGAACAGAACACGAGCGCGAGGAATCTAAAGTGGTGCAGTTTAAACTTGATATGCCGCAGAGTAAAGGGTTGGCAAGTTATTGATTTGGCCAGATCTGTATCATGCAGGGTCCAGCCTCGCGTGTGGGTTGGCGGTTTTAGCGCAAGGCTGTACATTTGCCACTGGCACATGTCAAATGTTAGACGTATTGCAAATAACTATGGTAGTTTCTACGGCACTATGTCGAGACAGCCCTGCGCATCCTAAATGCTATACGTTAAGGCCTACTCTGCAGCTTCTGTCTCTACCTTCGTTCGGTGGCGAGGAAGTGAGTCACTTTCGTCGACCAACGAATGCGACTCGGAGAGCGATAGAGGCTCTACTGGACGATCAGAGACGTCGCTGCACGACTTTGAGCACTTTGTCGCCTGGGTGCCTGTCTTGCTTATAATGAGTGTGCCGCCTGAATTAAGGACAGAAGGTATGAGATTGAATCATAATTAGCATCCTTGTGCAACGCCAGCTACACTTATTGTATACCAGAACATGTAACAAATCCCCTTCATCTACCTCGTATGTCGGATAGAGGAAACCGGACCCACAAAAACAGAAATGCGCAGAAATGCTAGCCTTAGTCGACATCAATGCTTTCCCGTCTCCACGGAATTCCTAGTGGCTTTACCTCTGTTTAGATTGGGCTGATACATAAAGACATTGAGACGAGCACAGTAAAGAGCCTGCCTTCCGTCTTTCTGGCGAATCGTCCATTGCGAATCTTTCACGAAGATGGACTTATCGCCGTGCTCGATGCGCCATCCCAAGTCATCTCCATGCCGCATCCGCTCTGAAGTAACTTCAACCATGGGGCGTGTTTGACGGCTCCGTCTCAAGTCCTGCATGTTCGGAGATTGCCTGGAGAGGTCTGAAGGTCTCTCCACAGATGATCCGTCCGTTCCATTCGGTGTGCTGGGAGTTGAATATGATGTGCTCCTCTCCGCAGAAGGCCGCCCACTGCGCCTGGACGACATCGACCTGTTGTTCTGGGGCGGTGCCATGGGGGCTCCGAAGGCAGGACGACCTTCTCGTCCAGTTGCAGAACCGTAGCTCATGGATAGAGCTGCACTTGGCCTCAGGCGCTTAGCTGGGGTCGCTTCGTCACGAGCCAGCTCGTCTTCAGAGGTGTCCGACTCGGTAGCGGCGGCCGCTGACTGGGATGTGCGGCTTGTCGTGCGAGCCTCCTGGTTGGCGCGGGCAATGGAACTGACACGCTCTGCCTTTGCTAGGTCTCGAGTGTTGCGGTAGGCCGTCGCGCCTTGTACGAACGATTCTCTGTCGCTGGTCAAAACGAACCCCCTTATCAAGGTCATGTGATACTCTGGGTCCCCTCCAGGAGCGGGAGGCTTTGTGACGTGGTGCGCATAGGTCTGAAGAATGCCGTCTTGATAGGTAGCAGAAAAGCTGCGTGCTCTGTTATCATATATTGGCTCCGCAGCTTTATAATTCTGGAGCTGGTGCATGGCTCGTGCCCCCATAGCCCCATCAAGCAGGGCCTGTCGCTTTGCCACATCTGCTCGTCCTTGAGCGCTTTTGCCCTCGACGAAAAAGTTCGGAGCGGCCGGACGACTCGTGTCGACCTTTGAGGGAATGATAAAATCTGCCAAATCAGCACGAACCCGCGGATGGATGCTCGAGGGTGCCGCTCCGTGATAGACGTCAGGCCTCGGGTCGCTGAGACCTTTGTCGAACGCTTCCAGCTTGCTCAACGGCAGGCCCATCTGGGAATGATGGGTCGCCTCATTTCCGGCGATTAAAGGGAATACAGTACACATTCCCGTAGTCTCGCCTTTTGCCTTCGCATTCGCCCGCCGAAAGGCTTCAAAATCTTTGTCAGTGAATCGCGATGGTGAGAGAGATGCCCGAGGGACGCGTTGTGCGGCCTGAATGTCACCCAGATTCGTCGGGTTTTGTGATATATTTCCATCCAGGTACTCATATACATCGGGGTAGATACCGTTGTCAATACACTTTTGCTCAAAATTGCCACTATACGGGGTGGTCTTAGTGGTAGTGGTCTTGGTAGAGTCACTTGGTTTCGAGGAGGCTGAAGACCGCTTCCCGCTTCGAGCACTGTCATGATCGCTCATTTTGTCGAGGATCGGAGGAGGCAAGTTGGCAAGCTATCACAAACTCTAGTCAGTCTGCGAGGTGAGCTCACGTCGACATGGGAGAGACATACCCCTCGAAGGTGTGATAGGTCAGGCCCACCACGTCGAGCAAATCTCTTGAGCCGTAGGCGAGAACGCCCTGTGGGATATTCGATCTTCGTGGTGGGTGTATAAGGTGACTGTATCTTCTTTCCAATGTTCCTACGTTCAAACTCTCGAAGAGAGCTGCGACTCAATCGTATCTTAGACAATGTGTCCCAAAAGCTGGGAGAACGACGACGATGACGAGGGACGTCACGGCATTCCGAAAGGGATTTCTGTTTCTTTGCTATCGTTTCCGGCTCAACATCCCAAGGCTCTTGTGAGGACAGTCGTCGCTTTCTCGACTTGGGTTCTTCGAGGGCGAACATGAGTAAAAACGGAGAGAGTCGAGGGAAAAGGTGCGAGGATGTGGCCTCAAAAAAGGACACGACATAACGCGACCGTTTAGGCAGCGTTGCATATTGAAAGGTGAGGTGTGGCAGGTCATCGATGCAGCACTTCGCATCAAGTCGATGGATTGGTCGTATGTCTGCGTTGGATGGAGGTTGACACACGATGTTAAGCCACGGGCGCTAAAGAATGGTTAATTGGACGAGAGACGCCGAGAGGCGTTTAGCGTGTTAGGGGCTAATTCTGGGTGATGCGGAGTATATTAGGCAACCACGGGGGGCTATTAGAGCCTCAACATGTTTGGTAGCAGGTAGGGAGAGCACCGAAAGACCCAAACCCTCACGAGAGTCAACATTAACCCAGGACCATCAACCACAGCATGGACAGCTTTGTGCAGCGTGTACATGACATAGCCATCGGTGGCAGATATCACTTGGTGCGAAAACTAGGATCTGGTACTTTTGGCCATGTATATCTAGGTATGGCCGCATAGATGGGGGTCTCATGACTTGAGACAAGATCTCACATTTTCCCTAGGTCTTGATAGCGAGACCGGCAACGAAGTCGCCATGAAATTTGAACATCACAGTGTTGCACCGTCTCTACTGGAAGAAGAAGCGCGAATCTATCGATCTCTACAGAAATCTGGCTTTCCTCGGGTGCACTGGTTCGGACAACAACATGACTTTATGGTTTTGGTTTTTGAGCTACTCGGTCCGAACTTGGAAGACTTGTTCCGATATTGTGGTGACCAGTTCTCGCTGAAGACGACGCTGATGCTCGCCAATCAATTGCTTTCTCGTTTCGAGAGTCTTCATTCGAACAATTATCTCCATCGGGATGTCAAGCCTGAAAACTTCCTTCTGGGTACGGGTGAACGAGGCAATATTGTCTACATGACCGATTTAGGCCTTGCGACCTATCGAGATCCCGACCGGTGGAGGGCGAGCAGCCCTCCTCGTCGTGTTGGTGTGCCCGCACGTCCTCCTCAATTAGTAGGCACATGCAGATATGCGAGCATCAACGGACATTTGGGCGTCGGTAAGTGACGTGTCAACTGTGTTCAAGCATGCATGCAAGAAGCTCGGCTGACCTGTCCTCGTAGCACAATCTCGGCGGGATGACTTGGAGGCACTAGGCTACATGCTGGTGTACTTCCTGCGTGGGAATCTCCCTTGGCAAGGTCTCAAGGCGAAGCGAGATGCCAAACACCTACTGGTTCTGGAAATGAAGCAGGCGACCAGTGCGAGCGAACTCTGTGCAGGGCTACCGACTGAGTTCGAGGACTACATGAATTACGTGAACAAATTGCGCTACGAGGATCGACCCGACTATCAGCACCTCCGAAGGATGTTCAGCAAGCTTTTCCGCCAACAAGGGTTCGACTACGACAACGTCTTTGACTGGACGGTCCGAGAATTCCTGAGATTGGAGCCTGACCCCCAAGACCGCTCGCGTGGAAAACATATGGACGAACAACGGGGCGAAGATGCTACGAAGCCATTAGGTAGCGCGGCACGAAAGAAGACTAGGGCCGCCCGTCGAAAGAGGACGTGATATCATCAAACATGGATATGGCAGGACCAAAAGACATGCCAATGATGACTACCACGCCTCCCGTTTGCGTCTAACAGTTGTTGGCCAGATCCCAGGGTCGGTGCCTTTTGTGCAACTCCAGGCTGGCTGCTATCGACCATCGAGAACCAGTCATTTTGCGGCAACAATATCGACAGGGAAGCAGGAAACGGTGAATGCTCAATTGTTGGCTGGTATTGGCACAACAACCTGCAAGACCCCAAATTTCTCAACGGTTGAGAGGCCGGTCACAGTTGCTGCCTGTGCGGCGACCGTTCTGGCAACCACCCTCGAAGGTCAGTCGACCCTCGCAGCTCCCCACAGTGATCACGCGCTCGCAGTCTGATCTTTCACAGAACGCACATCCTTGCTGGTGCTGTGGTGGCCATCAAACTCTAGCACAATCCAGACATCAAAATTCTCACTCAACGAAATAATGTTTGATGCTGTGACGGATCAGCTCATCCCCTTTAGGTTGAAAGTCTCTACACGCGAGAAGGAAAAAATCCCCATTGCGACGGCAAGTCGACGCGCTCTGGGCGAGCGTGCCGACACACCAATTGCTGGCATTGTCATGTGGACGAGGACGGCGCGAGACCATGGGAGAGACGATAGATTCCAGCCACTTTTGGAGGGAGGGCCAGGTCAAATGTTGTGAGATTGATTCTCGAATTGTTATACGGAGTAATCGAATGAGACTACGCCTTCTCACCGGTTTTCGGGCAAGAACCAATTCGGTTGACACGCCCCGAGCTGGAACGACAACAGTTTTTGCCTACCTAGGAAGTTCCCAAGACTGCTGCATCGCTGACGATGGAGCTAGATTAGATCTGAGACCGAGATCTTTAAGAAGTGGAAAGTTTGGCATGGACGCCTGCCTTTCAATGGAATATTGATATCAATTGGCGGAGTACGCCCACGAAGAGCGTAAAGCCCAACTCATCAATATCAAAAGCACTCGTGGGTTCAGGTATGTACCTTCGCAACACAGGTGCCTACCTAGGTAGGCAAATCAACAAACAAGATACCAATCATGTGTTCATAATCATATCATTCATCATAGCATGTTGCCAGCGTTGACTAGAGACTGTGTCAATGTCGTGTAGCTACTATCTAGCCTTGCAAAAAACAAAAAAACCCACAAATACAAGTACAAAGCCCATGGGGTATCTCATGTTCACCTAGGATCTTTTGCCTGAGTCATTGTTCCTCTGCAATCGAGAACCCATAATGTTGGTTCCCTTGCATTGCCGATCCATACTGTTGTAGTTATTGCGCGCTGCTCAATATCCAGCGCGCAATCACGGCTCCTGACCGGGCCGAAACTCTTGTTTTTTGATCATTCTTCGATAGGCGCCAAAGAAAAATCCGCTCTTCTTTCAGCTCCACAGACAGACCATCGCTTTCTCTCCTTGTTGCTCCGTAAGTTGTTTCCTCGTTGTTCCATCGAGCTTTTTCGTCGAGACTCGAAAGTCTCCGCATCGTCGCCTTTCATCTTGGCCACTTCCTCTTCCAGAAGCGCCGCTTCCTCGGCATCTGGACTGTCTTCAATGGTCTCGAGAGAGCTAATGGACGGAGATCGAGACCGTAGTGACGTAGGTGTACTTGGTACACTTGATGCTGAGCTCACCGAATAATTTGGGTACGGCTCATTCGAGAACTTTTGTTGCACAAAAGACGGTGAAGGTGACGTTCTGCCAGACATCGGGCTGGCGGCTCGGGCATATAGAGCAGGTGCACTCGCACTTTGATGCAGAGGAAGATTGGTCCGCCGTCGAGACCTAGGGAATGTATTGGAGAAGGACGACATCAACGAGGGTTGGGACAAATCCGCATCTCCAGACAACTCCAATTCTTCGTTTTCAGGAATGTTCGGCTCGATGTTGAGTCCGCTCCACGTTGGATCTCGGGGGTAAGTATCCTCTGCTGTTGATCTCAAAGGGCTCGTTCTCCTTCCAGAATGTAGAGGTGAAGATGGTCGTCTGATATGACCGTATGGAGTAACATAGCGTCCGGAGGCGTCCACCCCTGGTGATGAATGGGCTCTCTGCATAGGCGGAGCAATAGGAATACTGCCGACTGAAAGCGGTCTCATTCTTCTTTGTGGCGAAGTTCCTCGATTTCGGGTAGGTGTGAGGTTCTGGGTGAAGTACTCGCTGCGCCTAGGACTCTTGTCGATAGGAGGTGAGGAGATGATTGGGGGTGAGTGGAAAATTTTTATATCCTCTTCGTTCGGAGGAGACGGAGGTAACGCGATATTCTCAGCAGAGATCTCCGGAAGGAGTGTAGAGTCATAGGATGAGGCAGAATCGCGGGAGGGCTCGGAGAGCCTCAAGGGAAGGCTCGTCAAAGGCGGCATGGTCAAGGGTATGGACGTTGAGGTGTCGAGGACCTAGAGTGTCAACCGAATGTCAAGGTGTTCGTTGGCATAGTGTCGCAAGAGGATTGCATGCAAATTTGCTGGTGAAACGTCGATTGTGGCCAGAAGGAGGATCAAGTCGCATTCCTGGCGCAGGAGGTCGGAGGTACTGCGGCTAGGGGATTGTTGTGCCTCGAAACCAGCAACTCTCGAGGCTAAAGTGCCTCTGGAGTTGCTGGTGGGTGGTCTGTGGTAGATGTAGTCGTGGGGTTGAGGGCGATCGACAGAGGACGAAGGAGAGGAAGAGGACGCCGACCGAATTGAGGGTTGCAGGTTCCTCTAGTGAGTCTCGATGTTTCCGAACGATGCAGATGGCGGAGGCCAGTGAACTGCTTAGCACCTGCTTAGTACAGACCCTGAGGCACTAATAAATCACACCCAATAACAATCACTTCTGGGCCTGGCGCTTAGGCGGATTTAAGGGCCTGGAGCCTCGGGACTTAAGCAGCTTATGGTTAAAAGCAGCCACTGGCTGGGCTTGTTTGGGGCCACAAGGCTTCGTCGTAAATCCTTCGCACCCGTACGAGCATTACTGAGATGAAATGCTGGATTCTCTTAATCAAATAATCTTTTGTTGCACTGCTCACTTTTATGTACTATTGTGCTGTGTTGTTCCTGCAATGTGACATGCCCCTTGATTTGAAATTGACCATTGCCCACTGTGCACAGACACGGTTTCGGTTCCTCTTTACGTCGATTTCCCTCCAGGACAAAAGGGTTCGTGCACCCAATAACTCGGACGGCGAGATCCATTCCGCTGAGGTTCTGTCCCTATAAGGGCATCATTGCCGGCCATTCTCTCCCAAAGTTCTGGTTCTTACGTCCGCTACCACGTTGTTCGGGGGGTTTCCCACGTGGGAACAATGGCCGTAATTCAGAATTTGGTCCAGAAGAGTTCGTCATGAGAACGAAGATCAGGGGTACCGGAAGACCCTGAGACCTATGATGGTCATTGTGAGAACAAGTATTGCTATTGTACCTACCTTAATTCGGAGAGTATTGAAAGAGCACCTTTCCCGATCTCACTGTTTAAGAACTTCCACGGAATATGCCGTGTGGTGACCTTTAAGACTCTTCCAGCCCAAAAGACTAGTCAATGCTGGTGAATATGGTCAGCAATAAGTCGTAATATACGGAGGACTTGGCGTCGATACTCCTACAACTTTTGATCATGTCTTCCTTCAGAATGCCTTATCCTGAGTGGTGGTTCCAGATGCTCTTAAAAGCTCAAGGGTTCTCCATAGCAGGCGGCGTTGTTGAGTTTTCCGCCTCTCGGATGATTTCCTACCGTTCAAGCAGCCAATGCCACCAATTGTAACGCTCTAGTTAAGACGTCGTGGTGAACATGGAGACTGATCGATGCTCAATCTGCCTAAAATGAGGGAAGACGACAATAGTCAGACAGAAATCTTCACCGCCAGGTTCGCCTACATTTTGCAGGACCAGTGTTTTTGTCAGACAATATAATATATAACACCAACGATACAGCTCTCACTGCGGAGTAGCTTCTAGGGCTTCCACCGTGGGGTTTCTATATTCACTACGATGGAGCGTTAAGCATACTAACAATCCTCATCCCACATATACGCACAGGTTGCCAAAGGTAGGTAAATCTGTCCTTACTGAACATCTTGACCTGTAAACCCTCTCTGCTGCCGAACCAAGTGCCAGCTTCTCAAGGTAGGCCGTTCCCAGACAGATTCATATTTCTCATCGTTTAGCTTCACCTTGGAACCAGAAACGGGCAGCCCAAATGAAGCTCACAGATGGAATGTGGAAGAACCGCAATGGGATGACTCCCAACTGGATGGGCAATGTCGAAAGGGCCAATGTCGGCGACAAGAAGGTCGACCTCCTTCTCACGAAACCACAGCGACATCGAGGAGATACATTAAACGTCGGCACAGTATCAGCGACCATCCGCTCTCCCATCGAAGGTGTCACTGCAGTCAACTTCTCACACTGGACAGGCGAAGAAGACTCGGGTCCCAACTTTCCACTTTTCGAGACAAATCCTCAACCCAAAATCACTCACACCCAAGGCAAAAGCCTGGACTTTTCAAGCGGACCCCTTGACCTGGCCATCAACACGGCTCCAAACGCCCTTTCCTTTGACTATTTCACCAACTCCAAACGCCTGACTGGCCATTCGTTCCGCTCTATAGCCTTTGTCACCTCCGCTGACACTCCCAAGTACAAGATAGATGAGGGTCTGTACGCCGAGCAAGAGAACTACATGCTCCTCGAGCTCGATCTCTCAGTTGGCGAGAAGATCTACGGTCTCGGTGAGCGCTTCGGCCCCTTCATCAAGAACGGTCAAGTCGTCGACATCTGGAACGAAGACGGCGGCACATCCTCCGAGCTTGGCTACAAAAACATTCCCTTCTACATTTCTAGCCGCGGATACGGTGTGTTCATCAACAATCCGGGCAAGGTCATGCTGGAAATCCAATCCGAGCGTACCACGCGCATCAACATAGTTGTCCGGGCGGAAAGCCTCGAATACATGGTCGTGGCGGGCCCCAGTCCTAAGGACATTCTAAATCGTTACACAGCACTAACCGGACGCCCTGGCCTCCCACCCTCCTGGTCCTACGGTCTCTGGCTTACGACCTCCTTTACGACCTCGTACGACGAAAAGACCGTCACATCGTTCGCCGACGGGTTCAAAGAGCGTGAGATCCCCCTGAGCGTATTCCACTTCGACGCCTTTTGGATGAAGTCTTTCCAGTGGTGCGACTTTGACTTCGACGGCGAAAGTTTCTCCGATGCCAAAGGATACCTCGCCCGACTCAAGTCCCGCGGTCTCAAGATCTCCGTGTGGATCAACCCGTACATCGCCCAGGCCTCGCCCTTATTTCTCGAGGGCAAACGCAACGGCTACTTCATCATGCGCTCCGACACCACCCGCCCGACCGTGTGGCAGTGGGACAACTGGCAAGCCGGCATGGCATGCGTGGATTTTACCAACCCGGCGGCGTGCGAGTGGTACGCGGGCCATATGCGCCGGCTGATGGGTCTGGGCGTGGACACTTTCAAGACGGACTTTGGCGAACGCATCCCCTTCCTCTCGCACCAGGTCAAGTACCACGACAACAGCGATACGGCGCGCATGCACAACTTCTACGCGTACCTGTACAACAAACTCGTCTACGACACCATGACCTCGGCGGGCAGGGACGCGTGTCTCTTCGCGCGCGCCGCTACCGCGGGGACCCAGCAATTCCCCGTCCACTGGGGCGGTGACTGCGAGAGCACGTTCGAAGCCATGGCCGAGACGCTCCGCGGCGGACTGTCGCTCAGCCTGTCCGGATTTGCGTTTTGGGCGCACGACATCGGCGGGTTCGAAGGCCTGCCCGACCCTGCACTGTACAAGCGCTGGGTCCAGTTCGGTCTGCTGGGGTCCCACTCCCGCCTACACGGCAGTTCGAGCTACCGTGTACCTTGGATCTACGACCAGGAGAACTTCCCTGGCGAGGACGAAGCGTGCAGTAAGGTCCTCAGGGAGTCTGTGCTCCGCAAGATGGCATTGATGCCTTATATCCTCCGTCTAGCGCTCGAGGGACACCAAAAGGGGACGCCGATAATGAGGGCAATGTTCCTCGAGTTCCCCGACGACCTGAACGTCTGGACGTTGGATACACAGTACATGCTCGGGTCGGAAATTTTGGTTGCGCCAGTGTTTTCCCAGGATGGCCAGGTCAGTTTCTACGTGCCCAACGACGACGAGCGGAACAAGGCTTCTGTCTCCTCTTCTGCTGGTGGTGGTGGTGGTGATGGTGCTGCTGCTGCTGCAAAGTGGAGGAGTTTCTTCGATCGTACCAAAACGTACGAGTCCGGTAGATGGTACACGGAGACACACGGCTTTGATACCCTGCCTATCCTGCTGCGGCCCGAGGCGGTCGTTCCGTACAACCCAGAAATGAAAGTCCCCGAGGGAGACGTCACCAAGGGATTACAGCTGTTGGTCAATGGTCCCTTGAGTGAATCACGATCCGTGGAGATCGTCGGGACAAATTCAGTGGACAAGATATCTACTTCTTTCACGGTCAACGACAAGTTACAGGTCAACGGGGCCAAGGTTGATGTCAAGATTGTGGACGTGACCAAGACGTGAACTTGCCTTGATAGTTACGAGAGACGTAACAGGCTCTCAAAGACTTTTTTATAGTGTTACTTGCGACCTAGGAGTGTAGTAGGTAGTCACAAACAGCTCGTCTTGCGAAAAAGCTCTCAGCTAGCCAGCTCAACGCTCAAAGCAAAAATTCAGGCAGTTTTCTTTGCGGTTATCATCAGAGCAACCCAGTTCCACTTGATTTCACCGTCGCCGTACTTTTCCGTCATGTACTTCTCGATGGCCACCCTCGCGCGCTTCTTGAAACTCTCCTTTTCCTCGTCGCTCCACTCCTTTTTGATGAGGAGCATGATGAACCCTTGAAAGAGGGACATGAGCTCCGTCACGCCCGCCAGCGAGGTCTGATGGGGGATGGGGGTGATTTCGACATTGACGAATCCGTTCCGAGACACGAAGTCGGAGATCCACTCCCTGTCGTTCCAGTTTCCATCGCTGGAAAAGGTCTTTAGCATTTCTTCGTCGCTGGGCACCGGAGGAAGCGTCGGGTCTGTGGCGAGGGCGTCGCGGATATCCGACATCCAGCCCACGCTTTCCCACGAATTCATGGCCAATACGCCGCCCGGTTTCAGCATGCGACGGCATTCATCCAGGCCCTTTTTCGCGTTCGAGAACACAAAGGGTCCGAAACTCAACGTGATGTGAGTGTAGTGCTCACTGGGCAGTTTGGTGTCGACAGCGTCGCAGTGGACGGTTTTCGTGTTCTTCCACCCGTCGGCCTTGATGCGTCGTTCCAAGGATCTGAGCATGGCTTCGGCGTAGTCGGCGCACGTGAGCTCGAGGTTGTCCTTGGCTTCATCGCTCAGGTGGTCCATCAGGTGCTTCGACACGATGCCCGTGCCGCACGCCTCGTCGAGCACGACCAGCTTTTCGTCGTCGGAGACATCCCTGAACACGGTCTCGACGAGGATCTTTCCGTAGTGACCCGTCATCTTTTCCGCCGAAGAGTACATCTTGACAAACTCGTCATCGTTGAACATGGCCGCGGCCGGGACTCCTGTGGTACCTTGTTGATTGGTGGTGGTCATGATTCTTGATGATGATCTTGTCGAGATATGGATTGGGTGCCTGTAAGATAAGCTGCGGTATACTTGTCGGATGCGCGGCAGAGCAGTCCGGGCAAGGTTTCTCATGAAAGAAAGTAGTAAATTAGGGGAAGTTGTGGAGGGACGAGTAAAAGCACCAAACTTTGGACTGTGCTCCATCACACCTTATATGCATTCATCCTGGTTAAGCGTCTGGGGCATGGTCCATGAAGCTTACATGTCCTCGCTTTCGGAGACATTTGATATGTCTCCGATCTCAGGGCGCCTGAGTCTTCTTACTGTTTCGGCGCGTCGAGACGAGGCCTTGCACGGTCAGAATATTTCGGATCAAATAACAGATGCGTTTCGAACCCAGATCTTGTCTTCAGAAAGCGCAGACGAAGAAAGTGCCCGAGTGTCGTCGTGGGCGTTGAGATTAAATGATGCGGACGGAGACTTCTTCATGAGTTGCAGCGGACTGAACGCGTCAGGCATCGCAAGCTCGCCATGAAGCCAGTCCGATAAAGTCGCTATCTTGGACAACTGTAACCCGAGTAAGATATCCCTCGAAAGGCCACAACTACCTAATAAAGTATCTGACAACGTCCTGTCCACCGCGTTGGACACAATGAGGGATGCGTTTGACTGTCCCGGCTGACCTTCCATAACAAACGGCGCTAGTGTTTGGTGTACTACGCGATTAAAGGGCCAGCATCAATCACTCACCGCGTATTTCGCATTGTTTACTCTCCTCCACTGATAAAGCCAACGGCTGGAGCTCAGGGACAGCGCAATATGCCTAATGGCTATCCCTGTTCTGTCTAGATCCCCTTCGAAAGCAGGTAGGCCAGTTGAAGGTCCTAAAATCTCGACTCAACATGAAGTGTCGCGACCTATGAGTGCAGGCCGCGGCCATGTTAGGCAAGTTACACCTGCCCCCAATGGCCAAGGACAACAACGAGATGGCAATCCTACGCTGGATCCCGTTGGCTCTAGGAGTCACATTCCATCGTGTGGAGCTTCGTTAAGCCATGCTCGTTCGAAATCGACAGCGGAAACGTTGCTCACCTCGTCAACTCCCGGAGGCATGACTCAAGGAGCGGGCAATATCACTTCGATGTCGAGACCAAGATCCATCCAGCCCACGAGCGCGATAGGCAAAAGCCAGGCACCGCCGTCAAAGCCCACAAGAAGTCATTCCACCGCGACTTCAGGGTCACGAAATCACACCGCGGTTAAAAGTGTGCCATCGGCCCCCACCTTCAATGCGTCGAGTGGCATTCGTTCGACGACGGCTAGAAGCATCCCCTCAACCTCGATCGCCACAGCACATAGCCGAACGCGATCAAATGCCTCGAGGCGACCCGGGGTAGATGACACTGGTCGTCCGGCTGCCTCAGGACGTCAGACTGCCTTTGGAAGGTCCGAAGCAAAGCCCGCGGCGTCTGGATCAGTCCATGCTTCAATTCATCCAAAAGCAGCTCCAGACGTCGCGCCCACAATTCGAAAGCCGGCCTTCAACACCTTCAGCCAACACTTCAGCCCTAAGAAGAATATTGCCGGCCAAACGAGGACGGCAGCAACAGTAAAGCCCGGATCAATATCGCACCCACCTCCACTTCAGGCCCCACCCTCGTCTGGTCATGCATTCCTCTCGGCAAACCCGGCCGATGGCCTAGGAAGCAATATCCGCATCTGCGATGAGCTTATTCAGTTAAACCTGGTTCATGACAAAGCTGCATCAAATTTGCATGCGTACCGAAGCAGTGTCGACCTACATATTCAGTCGGCACGTCGAGATGTTGAAACTCAGCTTGCCTCTTTGAGTGCGCTCGAACGGGCGGAACAGCAGAAGCTCAACACCTTGACGCTTAGAAAGTGGCTTCGCAGCACCAAGGATGTCACAAAGGTGGATGAGGGAAATACTGCTTTGTCACTAAAATCATACCGTGCCAAGGACCAAAATGGACGCGGAGGCTGGGGCATCGATCAGAACAGATGTAAGAGTGATAGCCGATTGCTTGTTCTAGCCCAAATGACAACCCGGGTGGTCGAAATCGCGCGGCAGCATGGAGAGCTCGATACCCTCATGTCAGAATTCGATCAGTGGTGTCAATCAACCTTGCCTCATCTCCCAGGCGGCTGTGACTATCCCGGTGGGGACATGGACCCTGCTGTGGCACATAGTCTGATCCCTTTGAACCCACAGTGGGCATCTTTGGTGTCTTCCATCGAGACCACGGTAAATGGATGCAGAGACAGTCTAGGTCACCTGTCCACGATCGGGTCCGCCAAGGACGATCAATCTTGTATTGTTGCATTGATTAGAACGCTATCGCAAGTCTCTGAGCAAATTCTTGAAGAGATCGCGATGTGCAAGGTCGTGGAGGGCCTGATTTCGCGGTGTCAGAAGGATCGGGTCGATATGGTCCTTGCAGATGCTCTCGCAGAAGCTGCCCAGGTTGACATGGCGCGTGATGAGTGTGTCAGCACTCCCCACAACCAACCGCGAAAGGGTGTATGGGAGGACGTGTGACACTAGGGAGCTCGCAAACCACCAAGAGCTAGGGGGTACGAGTATTTCTATCCTGTAGGAACGATCATCCTTCCTTAGATCTTGATGACCAAGTAACAACAGCTTCTTTGCAGGTCCCGGAGTCGCTTCCACAAGATCTACCTCGACGCGGCTCTCTCCATACCTACTTTTGGCAAGCATTTCACAATTACATACGACTACTGTAAATCGATCAGCAAGACTCCGGAGTCGTCAATATGGTCGACAAACTGCATTTGACGCCTAGTCGGTTTCGACTGAATGGAATGCTTGCGATTGAGATCGTCGGTCGACACAGAAAGACGATCACCACCAATGTCGAAAATCTGAACCAATATGGCTTAGTGAACATGAGTCACCAAACGCCCTGATACTCGTATGTGATGCACCCTGCCGGATGACGCGGCGAGACACGCAACCACCGGACAAGTTCCAGACGCAGTAGAGTAGAATACTATATCTAAGCCTACAAGCAGGGCATTCTTTACCGGCAGAGTTTAACCATTGTCAACTTAAAAAGAAGTCGCGCCTACAGTATGCTACTGGACGTCTCACGACAGGGACTGAATACGACGTACTTCTGTGGTGTGACAGACACAGGGAGAGGGGGTGAGTTTGTCAGCTGGCCAACCTCTACGGACGAGTACGCGTTGTATGGACACCTTTGCTCACTCATTGACTCAAGACTGGGCGAATGGAGCAAATGCAGTGTCCGTGGCCAGGGGTGATCACGAGATCTATCCATATCTCCTCCAGTGACTGGAAATTACATTCTTGGTGACCTACGCACCTGAAGATCTTGCTGTTATTGTACTCGTAGAGTAGACGAGGGTACTTGCTGTCGGAGACCGAGAAAACCCCCTTGGACAACACATTGGGCCACCTCGGCTGTCGAAGCGAAGGGATGGTGCGGTACAAATATCCTCCGTGCCCAAGCATGGAGTACGGAGATACTGGTACTCGGACCATAATAATACCTTCCTTTTGCTGTACAGTACAGAAGGTCCACGTGGGGCCGTAACCGAACTTTAGCGAGGAGAACGGAGACCTGATCGACAACCCACAGAACTAACGCTCCCGAGAAGTATCATTGTGTCATGAAGAGGTAGCAGGAGATCGGGCAGGTTGACCACGACTGGGAGAAGTCGGAAGATGTGCGGGAGCATTGCCTGTTGAACGGCGGCTTACTCGGCTTCCTAAGTTCCGGACGACTGATCAGCTTCGACGGAACAATGGGCAAGGAAAGAGATGACAAGTACAGGCTCACTAAGCTTCATGCGAAACGAGACTCGCGGGCCGAAGCAGGCCAAGGAAGACGTAACCCCTGCACGATGCAAAGCGTCTGGAGATCGGGCGAATGAGAGGGGCATGCAATACTTGGGTACTGCAGTAGACTCGCTTTACCGTCGTCCGTAGCTTTGTCACTAGAGGGATCCCTCGTACCCGTATTTGGGGATGGATCGACTGTGGATAGACTTTCGTGTCTTGATAGCTAAGAATAGGTGAGCCTTTTGAGCAACAGGCATCAGGTATCAGAGATCAGCAAGAAAATACTACAGGTCACACGGCGAATATCTATACTCGTGAAAGCAGGGATAGACACAGTCAAGAAGCTACTCGTAGAAAGAACCACACAATCACGCCTGTAATCCGGTCACAGCCGAAGACACCGGAAAACCCTCGTCGCTGGTGCTGATGTTGTGATTATATAATGGTGGGCTGTCCTATAGCGATACCCAAACACGAGGCAAATTGTGGGGCAAAAGAGGGTTCACCGAGGCCAAGGCTCCGAAGGGTTTCCGGTGTAAAGGCTCCAGAATGATGGATGGGATGGAAAAGGGATCATTTTGATTTGTGTCCGATCGCGATCTGTACTGTGCGGGTATCCGATGTTACGGCTCAATAATAGCATCTCCTCTCAGCGAGGGTACAATCGTAAGGTTCAAGACAAGTAATACAACCGTGGACTTGGTGAAGATCAACTCATGAAATACGTGATTTTTTGCTTGCCCTCTCCCAAATCTCCGATCGACTCTTCTGTATCTGTACCATCTTACCACGACATATTATCCATGCAACTCCCAAGATAGGATACAGGTCAATGGCTTGGCCTCCTTCTTTCCTACGTGTGATTCATTTCCTGGCGGATTTGATGCAAGGGCACGCGGGCTTCTCTCTGGTTAAAGGCCCATGCAGTTATCCTCCTTTGCTGCATGCTACGGCAGCTGTGCCAGGTGAAACAGGTGCTCAGTCCTGAACCTGAACACACTAGCACTGAGCCTCAGTGGGTCACAAGGTAGAGACCAGAGCTCGCCTTCGCCTCGTACTGTACCGTACAGTACAGTCAATTTTGATCCGGGCACCTCGGGACAATTTCACGCGTTCACCATGGAATTACGCTTTTGCCGAGAGTAACGATGAGATCAAACCATGATGCATATACGGGCCACAGAGCACTATACTCCATATGAATATACACATATACTAGAGCTGCTTCGAAATGACGCGGATCTCAAGGCTCAAACACAGGCAAAGCAGATCGTCCCCGGCGCATCCACATTGGGCATGAGGCTGGCAGCTGCTGGCATCCCGTAACGAGGGTCTAACCACATGGATCAGTTCGCTGACACTGCCCATGCAACCCTCCCATGGTTGGCCTTGATTCGTTCCTCTCGCCTTTCTCGAAACCCGGCTTCTCACCTTCTACGAGTACCACTCCCCCCAACTTTCTCTCTCTCGGTGTCTGTACGGAGTATCTTTTACTCGTACTAGCTTTGCGCTCCATCCACATCCTATTTGTAATGGTTACTGTGGTGGGAGTCCTTGTACCTTGGATCACCCTCAAAACCCACCTTCTACGCGCCAGGCCAACCTAGGCATGTACTTGCACTGGCCTCGATCGCACACCTCGCGACCATGCACTCTACCTTGTCGTCCGCATGTACTCTGTCCCGGCGATAAGTGACCGTCCCAGAGCTCGGTCTGGCGCATCGACGATTTCCCCGTCTTGTTGCTGCCTCTGCTACTTATCGCGAGCTTGCCACCGCCACGCCAGTCTTGCTGACAGATTGCCGTGAACTCGATGCGGCCGTCCAGGACGCGCCTGCAACCCGAGGAAAGGATTCGAAGTTGGTGGGCGATTGATCGGAGGAGGTGATGGCCCCTGGACCACGCAGCCCGAGCATTCTCGATCATGTGAATCCGGAAACGCCAGGACCCCAGGTCCTCCCACCACTGTCCCGCGTGACGAGCGCGCCAGAAACACGGCACCCCGAAGAACCATATCCTGCCTTCACCGATCGGATCCCTCTCAAGCGCAGCTCGCCCATGGATCGAGCCTACGAAAGTCCCCGGAACACCTCCTGGACATCGCCGAGCACTTCTTGGTCACGCAGGAATTCGAGTCCACGAGGTGCTTGGGGAGAGCCACCGGACAAAAAGGCGCGGTTGGAATATGTGCCCGAGCTGGAGGAAGAAGAGGTGGAAGCGTGCCGGCGAAAAACAGACTATACGGTATGTTGGTCCTACGGCTACAGTGCCTTAAGCAGCGTCGAGATGTGTGACTGACGTGGGCTTTGCGGGCAGGCCAGTTCTTATATTTATCCGCCCGACCAGCTGCCGCCGCCACCACCACTGGCATCCTCTCGAACAGGTTCTCGGTCTTCGTTCGGAAGTTGCGGAAACTGTTCAGACTCGGATTCTCTATTGGCGGACCTGGTGACAGGTTTTTTCGATCTGCAGTCTCAGGTCTGCCAAGTGCTCAATCTCCCGCTGCAGCAGCGGAATGCAGGACAGGTAGGCTGGGGTAATGGTTACACCTGTCGACTGTACGCTGACTTGATCGCTTCCAGCAGGCAAAGCTCGAGTTGACTAAGCTAGGCCTGAAACAGTCACTTGCATGGGCCATCGCCGAGTTACGGCATACGATTCGTCTTGTCCAGGATCATTCAAGCAGTCGCCCAGGATTGCCCTCTTTGTCCGACGTGGTGCCGCCGCCCTTGGGACACGATATACGACGGCACTCAGTCCATGGCGAGTCGTCGACCGCTCCCACATCTATAAAGGATTCACGCCGCATACCTCTCCATCTAGAACCTCCCCGAGGTGACGATTTCTCTCGCAGACCTGTCGACCTCGCAGATCCAATGCCTCGACACTTTGACCAGTCTCTTCCCTCTATTCTACACGGCGAAGAGCCCAGACGTGCTCAGCCCTACGACCAGATCGTGCCCCCTTTGACCGGTCAGTCGCCACATCCCTCCTCGACATCCTCGCTGTTTACGGCTCAGTCCCCTATCCAGTCTCAACCCTCGACCAGAACTCTACCTTCCCCTCCAGGTGGGCCGTACCCCAGGACAGCCAGCTCTGGTTCCGCTCAGTACTCGCCCATCACCTCTCAGACGCCGCAAGGCAGTCATCTGCAGGATCTCCAGCATCAGATATCTACCAAGACTTTGGCCCTGCAGACCCTCCAGCGCGAGCACGACCAATTACTCGCTGCTTTCTCCCGCTCTCAGATCCGATGTACCGCCCTCGACAAGAAGTCTCAGGTGTCAGACCATGAGATTATCACCCTGACCGAAGACAAAATCCGGCTCCAGCAGCAGGTGGACACCCTTGATGCCCAAGTGCTCGAACTGACCAAGGCGCGCGACGAAGTAACACAGCAATCGACGGCAGATGGGGCACAGTGGAGACAGATCATGGCCATGTCATCGCAATTGCAAATCAAGGGTGCCGAAGAGGCCCGACGCTTCAAAGCCGAGCGAGACGCCTGGGATGAGGAACGGGTCGTGTTACAGGGACGCATTAAAGAGCTGGAATCCGTCAAAGACGGATCGCCCGAGAGGAAAGCCGAGTCTGGTTCCACCACACCGGTGGCGAGCGACTCGATCCTGGCTTCAGACTCGGTGGAGGTGCTTCGTCAGGAAGTTGTCAGACTGAGGAGGCAATGTGTGGAACTGGAATCCAAGTTACAGGAATTGGCCGGTGAGGCTGAACAGATTGACAACGCCATCAATACTATGGAGAATGTACGAAGGAGTTTGTCAGGTAAAAAACGAACCTCGGACGAAACCTAGGCGAGGGCCAATGTGATAAGTCAACTTGGGATAGATCTATTCAAGACTTGACGCAGGCTGGATAAATTTGCTGCAACTATACCACTGGCGATTCTGGCAACTCGCTGGGCTTTCGCCGACCACTTCGCCACCACGGAGACATTTCTGAATGGGACCCCGTCTTCACCACCAAGGGGGCTTTGTCGATATCGGCCGTATGCCTGCATGCATGTCCGTCGGCTACGTTGCAAGCGTTTTGCGACCGAACCACTTAAGGTACATCTATTTCTAGCCGGCGAAAGAGTGAACCTCGAGTTGGTATAGCTTGGCACAGTACGGCAAGACCAGGTATGACCACCGGAGCTAGAAACTCTTTGGATGTGCCGTGGTTGCGCACAGGCTCACAATCTCTCTCTCTCTCTCAATCTACGGAGGCGATCGAGACTTGTGTTGTGAGAGCGAGGTCAAGGAAGGCGAAAATGATGTCAAATCACCAGACCATGGGGGGATTTGTTCGTGGAACACATTGTACGGCTTGAAGAGAGTGGTACGGTGTACACGTAGTGTCTTTTTTTTTTCCTTTCTTGCTCTGTCAGAAGCCTGGCATCAATTTCGAATTTATTAGACGTGTTAAGGCTACCTCGTGTACGAGTCAGAGGCAAGCCGGCAACGGTCCGCACGGATATATAACATCATGTTTATTTGCAAGTTGAGTGGTTTTCTTACAGTTGTGCCCCGGCGAGTTTGTACTCGGACTGCCTAGAGCCTAGACACTCCATGTAACTCAGCCTCGTCGGTGGGGTCGTTCACTTCTAGACAAATGCTACTTGTACAGGCAGCCTACGGTGTATGTAGAAAGTTGTAATGATTGCATTGAATTGGTGAGAGGAAACTACCTGGGTACCAACAAATCGAGGTTTTTGTAACTACTGGCACAAGAACCCATCCCTACTACTCCGTGATTAGAGGTATATTTGCCTCCCATCGTGCTGAAGTAATGTCTGACTGCAACCATCCTGCATAGCCGTACTCCGTAGAAAGGTCGGATCGAGATGGCGACCCCATAAGCAACCATTGTAGCCTCATTACCCATGGCGGAGAGAGCGAGCGAGATACGGATACTGTGCATCTAAGATGGATGGATGAACGGATGGAAACCCCTCTAATCCCTCTGGTCCCTCCTGGGCCCTCCCCGGGTCTGTGCGGGCAATTGAATTACACTCGTCCGTATCCGTATGTCGTAGTGACACCATCTTGCCGCACCACATCAGCAACAATCACCACCTCATCTCATCAATCATCTCATAATTCATTGAATTGTTTGCAAAGAACTCTACATTCTACAGTCATCCACTCATCACCGACACCCGTCTCTTGCTCAGCTTATCCCTCGCCGCCCTAGGCCCTCAGTCTCTTTGTTGGATTGCCACCGGTGCGAGTTGCCACACATGCGTCTACTAGTCTACATCCTCCATCTCGATAGCCTCCTCCTCTCTTCGAACTCGAACCGATACTAAGTTTCACTTCCCGCTCTACCTATTGTATCCACCGCTACGGCCGCTTCACCGCATTCCGACAACCTCTGATCTCGTCGATGGTGCTGAGCTGGCCGGATGCCGATCCGACGGCCAGTGCATTGCTGAACGCACCACGCCGCTTACCTCGCCTCGCCCGCCATAATGGACAAGGTTGACGGGAAGCTACTGCGATACAGAATCGGGGCCGCAGGGGGAAGTCGGACGGTAAAATCCCTGTACGGCGACAAATCTTGGGTCGAGGATTTAGACATTGTCAACGAGTTGGGCGCACACACCGGATGCGTCAACGCCTTGAGGTACGGAGTCCATACACACACGCGCACACACATGGCCCAATCGTGTCTTGCCCACGTAATTCTTCACCTAGCTGACTACTCTCCCTAGTTGGTCTACAAGTGGAAGCTTACTGGCCTCGGGCTCGGACGATACCTATCTGAACATCTGGGGCTACAACCCTGCATCCGATTCCAAACCCTTTTCCTTGAACACGAGCGTTCACACGGGTCACGTAGCCAACATCTTCTCCGTCAAGTTCATGCCACACTCGAGCGATCGGACGGTAGTATCTTGCGCCGGAGACTCGGAGGTCCGGGTGTTTGACCTGGAATACGCAGGCGTGGCTCGAGGGCCCACGACGGATCAGGGCCATTCCACGAGCACAAGAAGCCGGAGGGTCAACGCCTTCTTTCGGAACGCACGATGGTTGAACGAGTCCAACACCAATGCTCGCGTGTACCGAAGCCACGCCGACCGGGTCAAGCGGATCGTGACCGAGTCCAGCCCTCACCTGTTCCTGACTTGCTCCGAAGACGGCGAGGTACGCCAGTGGGATCTCCGCCAACCTTCTTCGGCGTATCCTCGTCCTCGTGGAGGAAGCGGCTATGGTCGGTATCGTGGCGAGGGAGCCCTGGTGACAGGAGATGGATGTCCTCCACCACTGATCTCGTACAAGAAATATGGGTTGGACTTGAACACCATCTCCTGCGCGCCCAGTCAACCACAGTATATTGCCCTTGGCGGGGCCCATCTCCATTGCTTCCTGCATGACCGACGTATGCTCGGCCGTGATCTCGAGGCGGAGAAAGGTCGCCCTGCTTCTTCTGCCCAGAAGCCTGTGGTGGGCACTCACGAAGACGAATCGATGGCCGGAGCGACGCGATGTGTGAGGCGATTCGCACCCAACAACAGACGGAAAATGGGTCTCACTGATCATGGTCATATCACGGCCTGCAAAATCAGCAACGCAAACCCGAATGAGATGATAGCTTCCTGGTCCGGCGACCACGTCTACAGTTTCGACATTGTCAAGTCTCCAGACGCCAGGGAAGCCGAGAGCAGAGCTGACAGGGCGTTTCAGGCCGCTCGGCTGCGAAACCGGTCTGAACGTAAGAGAAAGAGAGCCAGAGGCGATGGCTCTTCGACCAGTTTGGCAGAAGCGGCCAGCGCCAGCCGACGTCTTCGGAGAGTTCCAGACGACAGGCAAGAAGAAGGCCGCACTGCCCTTTTGGCTAGGTACAGTGACGGGGACTCCGAAGTGATATCAATACCGCGTGAAGAATCTGTCGAATCCGCTTCGCCCCATGAGTTCCTGCTAACAGAAGCCCAACAAGTGGCAGAGCAAGTTGCGAGATCTTTGGTTCAACTTCGCAAGACCTTGTTCGATTTCTCTGCTACCCTGAGTGAGGAGGTGGCCGCCGTCATGGAAAATACTTCCGAGCTGACACCTCACACTGCGTCGTTTACCGCCGTCCTGGGTCTATGTGCTGGCTTGCTTCCACAGATGGATGAAATCATCCGGACATGGTCTTATCCCGTGAATCCAAGTGAGGAGGATGTGATGTTCCAAAACACCCTTCGGTACAATCGGGAAGCAGCGTGGAGGTTAGTTCAGGGAGCAGGCTGCCTGGCACGCAGCATGGGTGGTCGTCTACAAAGTCTGAGTTCGGCCCCTGATGTTCGCCTTGCGCGATTCAGTGCGGTTAAGCCTCCCGCTCACGAAGGTAAGAACATTGGCAAGGGCTCTCAGTTCTGTTATGATTTCCTCAAGGCCATCCTTCTTTGGATCGACGGAGGCCGAGAAGCTGTGCTGCGAGAATTCAAGAGACCGGCTCATGTTAGTAACGAAAGCCGTCGATTTCCGCTCGACGACGATGATACCGTAGAGACCTGTGTGCCGAAGCTCGAAACCTATTTCCTGGAACTCGCAGAAGACGACGTTCCCGTGGTAGATATTGACGCCAATCGATTTGAACGCGACGACAGACGTTTGATCTTCCCGAGTCAAGTATCCGCCGTGCAAGCTTTTATCGGAGCATTGACGAACATCAAGCTTGAGTTCAACCAAGGAATGTCTGCTCCCAGTGACGCCACTGAACGCATCACTCGCATCATGGACAAGGGAGCAGCTGCGAGGTTCTGGGGGGTCAAGGTAGGCCGATCATTACTGATGCGTGCCGGCGAAGGCATCAACTTTGACTTTGTCAATCGAGCCTTTGGAGGCATACGATCCCATGTCGTTCCAGACTCGGACAACGAAAGATCACAAGAAGATGTTGATCCTGATGAAGCAGACCGCAGCGTGGAATCTCTCGATGTGGTTACTGGTCTCAATCTCGCCACCCAGCAGCAGGCATCCGGCTCCTCTGCGGAATCTCCAGAAACGGTACGTGGCACGACTGAAGGGTCGGACCGGTCAGATATCGAAATAGACATGAATCCTGCAGTTGAAGTCGAAGATGCCAACGCGGACGAGGAGGAAGATGAAGATGAAGACGAGGACGACAATGAGGATGATCAGTCTGATTCTGATCACGATGACGAGGACGATGACGATGACGATGCAGGCGCATACGCTATAGAACGTATCTTGTTCCGTCGTCGAGCCGGCTTCAGACGAGGACCTCGCGAGCGTGCCTCGGTCAACCTCCACGTTCCATATTCATCCCATTCCAAGGCCTATAAGGGTCATTGTAACGCGCGAACGGTGAAGGATGTTAACTACTACGGGCTCAATGATGAGTATGTCGTCAGTGGATCGGACGATGGAAACTTTTTCATCTGGGATCGCAAGACGTGCAAGATTATGAACATCCTCAAAGGCGATGGCGAAGTGGTCAACGTGATCCAAGGACATCCCTATGAGCCTATTCTCGCTGTCAGCGGCATCGATAGTACGGTGAAGATATTTGGGAATGGAGGTGACAGCCGAGAACGATACGATGCCGCCCATGGGATCGACGTAGCCAACCCAAGCGGGGTTGAACACCCTTCGTTGCGGTTTGGGCCCCGGCAAAGATTTAGGCGTATGCGGTATGGTCTGATTGAAGATGGGGACGAGGACGAGGACGAAGAAGAGCCCACGGCGGCGAGGAATGGGACGTCGTCGGCCAACGGAGGGTTGGAGAGCCGGAGGGCATTGCAAAACGAATACGCCATCACCAGTCAAAACGACGCGGCGCGAAGGCAGGGTGGCGGCGATACATTTGTCACGGTAGGTACCATGGAACAGCTACTGGTCAGGTCATGGTTCCTGGCCGGGGTACATCTGATTTGATTTGCTTTGACTTGACCCGGGGCTGTACTGACTTTTTGTCTCTCTGTGTGTGTCTTGGGGTTCGTGCAGGAGTCTATGATGAACAGAGTTGCTTTGGCAATTCAACAAGGTGAACTTGACATTATTGTGGGACAACTAGTGGAACAGCTCGGTGGTCAAGAGGAAGCTAGGAATGCCGTGGATGATAATTGTGAGGTGAGTACGGTTTCTATTCCTAAGGGCCTGATGGTGCCCATCTGTTGATCTGTATGATATGCTTCAGGTTGGCTGATTTATACTGTGGCTAGGTTATGTGAGCTTACACGAAGCATTTACATGGAGCAAGTAAACAAAAAACAATTGTTTTCATCTACAATGGTGAGTGGGTGATACAAAAGGATTGGACTGGACCGGACTGGAGGTATCAATCAGCACTCTTGGGGGGATTTTGTCTATGAGAATCCTGAGACATTGTTGTATGAATTGACGAGGATGAAAATACATATTATCACGACGTGAATTTCCTTTGGCGTCAAGGGGACATACCAATCCATGTAATGAATGAATGAATTTGAGATATATATCTGTTGGTGTTGTGTATATCTTACCGATCTCTGGTTGAAATGGTGGACACTCTACTTCACCTCATTTGTCTCACTATGGCATCATAAACTTTGCCAGATTGTAGCAAAAGGTCCCATCAACAGGTAATTCAAACATCGAAGAGAGATCATATCCTCATGAATTTATTTGTTTTCAGCTTCTCGTCGGTATCCGATGTTTAGCCGTACCATTTACTTGGGGGAATGAAATATTTACATCATGATCATGAGACTTTTTTTTCGATACCAAAAATAGTTGACATCTGAACCACAAGAGTGTGAGGAATGTAGCTCTAAACACCTACTGTCTCTCTTTTTCGTCTCTCTGTTCTCTTCCCGCTCTGGACACACACTCCTCCCCTTTGCATTCCTATCCATCATCTATTACAGAGTGAAAAAAGAAAATGAAAACTATGGGAAAGTTACCATCCTATCTAGGAAGAATGTTTGATCAATTATGTATGGACGGAGAGGTTACCGAGGATATTATGAATTTTGTCAAGGGATTGGACCGTAACGATGATGTTGATAATGAGGATAATGAGGACGACGACGACGACTACAACACACCCATACAAACGTTGAGAGAAATTAGGGCCCTACCCACTCGACCTCTACAACATGCAAGTTTGTTATTGGCTCGTCATGGTCTCACCCGGAAAATGGCACAACTGGATGACGGACTGTGTCCGAACTTGATCTTGCAGAGGGCCGAGGTCTATGAAGCGTTGGGGTACAGTGAACTCGCTTTAGCTGATGCCTATGTTTCTTACACTCTTTGTGAGGTCGTTCTGGAAGGTGGGCATGTTTCGGATCTTGAACCGGTCACAGAATCCGGAGAGAGGTGGCCGCCTAGGATCGACACTACTGACACAAACACCGAACATGGGACCGACGATGAGGGTGAAGATGAGGAGGAGGAGGAGGACGACGACGACGACGATGATGATGACGAACCGTTGACCGACGACCAGAAAGACTTAGTCTTGAAACACAAATATCATAGTTTGATATTATTATCTCGAGCAGCATTATTGTTGGGATGTCAATATCAATCGAAAGTTTGGATTGATGAATTGGTAACCATCAAGGGTTGTTTACACGTCAGTGACGGTGAGACTGCAACAACAAACACACACGAGGATGGCAATGCAGAAGTCACTACCGCCGTTGAAAGCTCAAGTTCAAACTCAAGCTCAACAACGAAGCCAGATACAATGGTCAGTGATTTTTGTAATTTCTGGTCGGTTTGTCAAGGCGAAGGTGATAGGTTTCGAAAGGCAGTCAGTGACGTACGAAGAAATGGAGACAAGACAAAAATGTTTGGATCAAGCCAAAGGGTCGTGTATCCTTGGAATGAGATGGAACCGGATCGAATGAGCAAGGAGAGTCTAGGGGAGATTAATGCCAGGTTGAAAGAGGTGGCTCCTGATCTGGAAGTGGAAATTTCAGTCCTGCCCAATCTATTGACGACTGAGACGAATGAGACAAACGAGACGAACGATGTTGGATCTCATAGATCGACAACAAACACGAATGGTAGTTCAGCAACAACAACTACAAACGGCGACTCGACAACAAAAGCAGAAGGATCATCACAATTGGGTCTTTACGCTAAAAAAGATCTCAGTCCCAACTCGACAATACTCCAAGAAAGATCGACCATCACAGCCATACGACCTCACGGGGAAGCTCTATGTGACGCCTGCGCTGCGGATATGGAAACCATACCACATGACCAAAGACGGTATTGTGACGGGTGTAATCTTCCATTCTGTTCGGACGAGTGTCATGACCTAGCGACCCGAAACTACCACAGACAAAACGTAAACGACGAGGAAAATGACGAAGGTTATCCACCTGCCGAGACTCCATTCTGTCCAGGGTCGAGTGGTAACGAGGATATACATACTCTCGGAAGGGCAGAAAGCTCGACAACCCCCGAATGGGATTTGTATTTCTTGTTGTTGTCCAGGACGATGCAGACGGCAGAAACACAAGCTAAACATCCACTGGATCTATTCGAGATCAAGTATCTCTGGGGTGATTTTAGTCCGGCGCTTTTTGGGACGGGTGGTGATGCGACGTCGGACAGCAAATCAGGTCAAACTACACCCTGGACACTCCCTTACAGTGTCAGGCATCATGTCGAGTTGCCGCTCCAGTGGTTCGAGGTGTTGATGCATTCGCGCGAGGGTTGTCGTCCGTACAGCAAGCACTGGTTGGAAAGGTACGATTGGTGGATCGTCCAGACGTTGTTTGCAAAGTTCAGAGGGGTCGCCGATGCGCAGCAGAGTACCTGGACCGGCAAGCCCGAGGTGGCCGCCGTGCATCCGTTGTGGTGTTTGGCGAATCACAGTTGCAACCCCAACGTCACGTGGAAGAGTTCGGGGGTGAGGAACTTGACAGCCGTGCAAGAACGGGCGTGGAGGGACATGGATGCGACAGACACGGAAACGGAGTGGAAGGGGATCAAGGCCGGGGAGGAGATTTGGAATCATTACACGGATGTTCAAGAGAAGGATCACAGGGAGAGACGAGCTAGGTTGCAGGGTGTATTGGGAGGTGATTGCAGGTGCGAGAGGTGTCTCGCCGAGGAGGCGACGGCGAGGGCGGCGTCGTGAGAGAAGCATCTCGACACTCACACACATGACTGAAGGACCGGCTACCCGAAAACGAGAATCCACGACGATTCTTCTCAGCTTCACGGTAGATGTACCTTCCCGACAGATCAACATTGTGCCTCGACCAGGGAAATCGTGACTGAACATCGTACCAATAACACATTTGGCCAATTCTTCACCTTCACCCAGACTCACATCGAGCTCATATTCAGTTCACTATATCATAGCAAGAATACCTTTATCGACTTGTCAACAATGCCTGGCCTGTCGGTCATCCGCAGAACCTTTGCACGGTCTCGATTCCTACGAAACCTCAAATTATTTGCCAGAGACTCGTGGAGCGACACACTTCTATTGATTCTAGTGTCAGGTCTAACCTTGGCCGTGTGTCTGTTCTTTTTCTGCAATGCTACAAGATGACACTGACATCCCTCTCCTCAGATCTACTCGATCCCCTATCGACCACCGATATTGATTCGAGTCTATGATGTCGAATATGGCCGGGTCTACAACCATCACCTCGCATACCCGTACCAAAAGCCAATATTTTCTAGCCTCGTCGCTGGTCTCGTCGCCTCGTTGATCCCCATGGCCGTCGTCATCATCGCTCAAATATGGTTTCGGTCTTTTGCCGACGCAACTGCAGCCATCAAGGGCCTTTCGTATGCCCTCACTGTCGGCACATTGTTCCAGGTTGTACTGAAAAAATTCATTGGAGGTCCCAGGCCACACTTCATTGACGTTTGCAAGCCCATTTCTTTACATTACGGCCTCGGTCCAGGCGCCAATCTGTACACGTCGGCCATTTGCCGGGGCAAGGACCAAGGCAGAACCAACTATGCTCTGCAGACTTTTCCGTCCGGACACTCTGTGGTGGCTTTTGCCGGTCTAGGGTTTCTCGCAATCTACCTTTACACTCATCTGAAAATCGGAGATCCGAGGATCGATTCAAGCATGGGATTCTAGCGGATGATGTTTGTGTTTGTTCCCATCATCTTTGCGACGTACATGTCGGCAACCCTGTACCTTGCCCACCATCATTTTGCGTTCGACTGTATATTCGGCGCAGGGATCGGGGTTGCGTCTGCATTGTTGGGTTATCGATCGGTATACCGTGGGCTGTGGTCGCACGAAACCAACTGTATACCTAGACTTGGCCAGAAGATGAAGAAGGAAATGGAATCAAGAATTGCGAGGTCCAAGGAGACATTACCACCACCAGCTACGGCACCTCACAGATCTGGTCCCGATGGAATCATGGACGGGACGGTTGAATCGTCTCATGGTTTTGAAGGAGGAGGAGGAGAAGACCGCCAAAGCGAGTTGAGGAGAAGGAGCAGGCTTGATGATGAAGAGATGGGGTTTCGGAACACTCCATTGAGTTCCACTGGAAGTGTAGCAGAGTCTGCTGGCAGCAGCGGTTTGGGGTCTTCTCGGGTCGCCGAGAGTGTGTCTCAAGCTGTCGCGACAAGTGGATTGCCCGGCAAGAATGACACGACTGGTACGTTTTCGACACTACGAGGACGAGGAAGAGCGGCGGCAGAGCGTGTAGAAAGAGCCTTTTATGGGGCCGAGCGCCGGTTCCCGCGGTCGGGAAAGGACAAGACGGGGGGAGGGGAGGAGGACGGGGCTGGAAGATCGTTGAGTATATCTTGAGACTTGCTCTACTGGGGACTACAACTTGTGCTGGAAGACCTGGAACACAAGTATAGGACGTTGCAAAGAGTATATAATGAGTATGAGTATGAGGATGAGTGCAAAGATCATTGTTGATTGTTTTGCCTTGAATAAATGTCTGAGTTTGGCTTGGTTTGGTTTGACGTAGAATTGTTTTCGATCAGATCGACTGAAAATTGACCATTGACTGCCCAAGCATCTTTGATGGCTACCTAGATATCTAATCCTTCCTGCATTGTTGACGAGGATCCTTCTCGCCCAGGTCCTCCTTCTTCTTCCTCCGTTTTGATTTTCGTTTTGGTCCTGTTGGCACGAGTATTTATACCTAGACCCAGACCTGGGCCCGGACCTGTGGTGGTGGCACGGTCATTCTCAGTCTTGATGCCGGTGCTGACGTGATCAAAAGTGTCGTCGAACTTGGGCGTCGTCGGCACACTACTGCTCGCACTCGCTTCGTTTGCGTCATTCTCCCCCGAGAGGGCGAGTCTCTTCTCTCTCGCCGCCTCCCTTTCCCTTCTCCTTCTCCTCCTCTCTTCTCTTTCATCCTCCATCTGTGGTGCAGTCGTCATGGTCGTCGTCGTCGCCGTATGAACCGTCAAGGGACTCAAGCCCGAACCGTCCCTTCTGTCCTTTTCTCCAGTGGTGCCGGAACGATGTTTGTTGTTGCGACGGTGAGATCCACTGGCAGTGCTACTCACACTGCTCCCACGACGGACGCGCTCGGAAGAGAGTAACGGTCCACCACCACCGGTCGAGGACGACTCCAAAGTGTCGAGGTGTGGTGTTGAAGATCTCGAGGATTGACGAGACCGGCTTCCCCTCGCACCCGAGAGAGGATTGTTGTCCGAATCCAAGACGGCACCTGTTCGACGACGACCACCGGTACTTCCCATCGAAGCCGTGACCGATCCGTGTCTTGACGTGGTCGATTGGTGGTGGGTGGGATGGTGAGGATGCTTTTCTAGGTCGTGATGATGCCGACCTCCGTGTCGATGTTGTGACGCCAACCTCCACGCTCCCGTCCACCATTTCCATCCACCTTCGTCCTTTGCGCGGGTGCGGCGTTGGACGTCCAACTTCTTTCGCATGTGCGACCTCCTCTCGTTTTCCTTTTCCCAGTATTCGGTCCTGTAGGACTCCCAATTCTCGCGGAACTCGGGGCTGAAACTTTTGGGGAGGAGAAGAAGCATGACGCCGTCACCGCCCGGAGCCAGGTCTTCTTCTGCCGTGGTCCCATCTTCGTGTTCGACCAAGTGCCAGTCCCCGCCGCCACCGGATTCGCCGCGCCACAAACCATAGGGCAACAAGAATGACATGTGGCCCAACATTTCACGCCAGAGCTTGTCGCGGATTATGACCACGCGAAGGTTGAAGCCTCGTAGACCCCGGTTGGTCGTGCCCAGCCATTTGCGAGGCCAGCGGACTCCTCTATCCCATTGACCCGTGGCGTGGACGAGGAGGACGGTCACTATACCGGTTATGAGGGCGAGCTTTTGCGTCGTCTCGACCATCCAGTACACCGAACCCCCCCGGCCGGTGCCATCTTCGCGGGGGCGGAGGAAAAGCGCGTAAGTGAAACCGACGTTCCAGAGGGCCAGCAACAACAAGAAGAAAGTGTTGAGCCGCCGCCGGGATACCAGGTGGAGGTATTGCGCGCGGAGGGACGTTTCGAGTATCAACAGGTTGAGGTAGATCTGAGGAGGCGAGGAAGGGAGTGTCGCGAGGGTCGGGTCGGTGGTCGAGTCGAGGTGTGGGAGTGGAGGTGTCGGAGGAGGTTTGACCTCGGCGGTCGGTGCGCCCTTGACCAGTTGGTTGAGGGTCTTTTCACTGGGCATCTTTCGAAGTAGGAATTCGTTGTAGCCAAGCCCAAGAGGAAGAAGAAGAAGAAGACCGGAGAGGTGGTGGTGGTGGTGATGGGTGGATCAAGGTAGAGACATGGAGGTGGGTTCGCTCGGTTGTGGTGGTGTTAATGCACGCGCCGGACGAAGAATGATGAGACACGTCTTATGTCTTGTAGTCGTAGTATTGCCGATTTGTAGTATTCTCGACTTGAAAGGTATGTAGTCGTCGACGCTTTGCGTAATGGGTGGATAAGGTAGTGGGTGAGTAAGTGGGATGACGAGGCTGAGGTTTGAAACTGCGCAGGTAACGAACAGACAGGTATCAATCGGTGATGTTCCGTTTCGGGTGACTAGGTAGGTAACCTATGCAAGGGCTAATAAACAACAGGCAGCTGTAATAAAATATTGGACTCCGTAAATCTCACTTCATGCAAGGCTATACACAGAATGACGATGGATGATGGACTTATGAAGAAGAACGTAAAGTCCGAAAATGATGCAGAAAGGAAGAAAATCAATGACATCCATCGACTGCGCGTTTCTCGGTAAAACGAGGGACGGACTTGAATCTTTCCGAATTCAAGCCACCATCGTTTCTTCACGCTCTCTATCTCTCTCCTTTCACAGTCTATTACGATATCACTCACTTATTACTGTCGCTAATTTAGTTCCCTTCGAATTGTGCTGCCTGGCTTCTATCCCAAACTCCCCTGACCTTGAACCTGAACCAATATTACCCAGTATAAAATCGTCCTTTTGTCGTCCCAACACATTTCTTCTTGTATGAGACGAACTTTGCCTTCCACCCTCCTCGAGGCAACTTCTAGATCTCCCACTCCTCTGCGGCCTCCTCCTTTCCGTCAACAATCTACCTTTACTCTGAACGAGTCCGAGAACCTTCCTCCCACTGCTCACCGTCCGCCCACCATGTCGGCGGACGCTGCCGACTCCGACGGTGAGCTACAAGGCCGTGGCCAGCAGAGTCCTCTGGCCAGACAACGAGCCAATGCAGAAAACCCTCGCCGGAGCCGATTTGAGAACCTGTTTCCTCTCGGGTACAAAGAAGGCTTCAGTCAGTGGTGGAGCAATATTCCCGCCGCCCACGCAGAACACAAGGTCCTGTCCTACATCCCTTACCTACAAACACCTCCCACACACACCCAAACGGGCTCGGAACCTCCGTCGCAAAACCCGTCGACCTTGTCTGTAGTCGACACGTCACCCTCGGCGAAAGCAGCGCCCATCACAACCAATTCCATCACAGACCCCTACGGCCCTCGGACGTGGTATTCGCGCATGGTCACTTTGTCAGGCAAGAATCGAGCCCTGAACGAGTTCTCCGTGGAACGAACTGGCGAAGAAGTCGACCAAAACCTGGTCATATTACATGGTTATGGAGCTGGCTTGGGATTTTTCTACAAGAACTTCGAAGCATTATCCAGGGCCAAAGGATGGCAATTGTACGCGCTAGACATGCTGGGAATGGGTCGATCGTCGAGACCACCGTTCAAGATCAAGGCCAAGACGCGCGAGGAACAAATAACAGAAGCAGAGAACTGGTTCATTGACTCGCTGGAAGAGTGGCGGGTGAAGCGCAACATCGAAAAAATGACTCTGGTCGGTCATTCGATGGGTGGCTATATGGCCGTATGTTATGCGCTCAAGTACCCGGGACGACTGAACAAACTTATCCTTGCTTCGCCTGTCGGTATTCCGGAAGATCCCTATGCCACCCACGCGGCGATGCCCGAACCATCTGAGTCGACCTTCCAGAGCGAATTCACCCAAGATCAGGAAACTGAAAGCACAGCAAGCAAGGACAACAACAATTTCCTGAACGCTCGTCAAAAAGCAGAGCAGGCTCAGCAAAAGCCCACCCCGAACCGTCTTCCGGCAGATCAGACAGGAGGAGCCACGCCTCCGAGGCGGCCGTATCCCAGGTGGCTAACATATCTTTGGGACGCCAACATTTCCCCCTTCAGTTTCGTCCGGTGGACTGGCCCATTCGGTCCACGATTGGTCTCAGGCTGGACGAGTCGACGTTTCTCGCATCTTCCATATGAGGAGGCCCTTGCGCTGCACGACTACAGCTACAGCTTGTTTCGGCTCCGGGGGAGTGGAGAATACGCTCTGGCATACATTCTGGCACCTGGTGCTTTCGCCAGAAGTCCGTTGATTCGACGGATACACGGACTTGGTCGGCAACCTCTTCAAACCGAATCTCCAGCCGAATCAACCTTCGAAAAGGGTCTACCGGTCGTGCTTATGTACGGTGAGAACGACTGGATGGATGTCAAGGGTGGTTACGCTGCTAAGAAAAAGATCGATGCTGAACGTGAGCGAGTCCTGAAAGGAAAGTCGAAGGACGAAGTGGCCGAAGACCAAGGTGGTGCCAAGGTGGTGATTATCAAGAAAGCTGGCCATCATGTTTATCTGGACAGTCCAGAAGAGTTTAATGATGTTATGCTTGCTGAGATGGAGGATGTGAGGAAACGTAGTGAAGGACTGAAGACTGGTGGCATGAGTGGCGTCCAGATTGTGAACAGAAACAGTGACTGAAGATTGGTTTACATGGACAGCATCTAACGTGATTGCACTTTTAAATCATCCAACAACCTTATCAACTACGGTTTATCCAATAAGGCCAATTCCCCTTGGGAAAGCAGGCTTCGTCAAGTCAGAATCTTTCGACATATAATAGATCACGCGCCATGCAAGTCGCATATCGACCAAAGCCGTGGGAATACACTTTCCAAAGGTCCCCAGTGGTTGCCTACGAAGAGGCCTCTGAGGTTTGAAGCATTGCACCCAAGCTGTCGACACTTGTTCGATAATGGAAATATAAGAAAGCATCGGAGCACACGGTTGTGTTGAGCTTTATGGTTGTTCGGCGTCAAAATGATGCCCGCAAAGAATCGCTTTCTGTACAAATACATGGTTTGCACTGTGGCGACTCATCAGAAGCATGTCAAATGATCAATGAAGGACTCGATTGCTTTGTATATATTATATCCCGCATTTCGCCGGGGTCATATCGCCTGGGATGCGCAGGTTATAGAGAGAGCAAACCTGGTAGCTTTGCTTTCCGAACCTCTTCTTTAGCTTACACGAAGACACACAGATGAATAACTAGATGAATCCCAAGGTGGAAACGACTTCTCCCAACATCCATTCACATCGTTCAACCTTTTTTATACTCCTTCAAGTCAACAACGTCGACAACTTTTGGCTCACGTCTGTCCGGCTTTCTCTTTTTGGCTTCCTCCGACAGAAGAGAAAAGACGCCCTCTTCTCACTCTGAATCAGAAAAGGGGAAGAAAGAAAAGTGGTGGTGGTTTGAGCAAGATGTTTTGCATATGAGGGATTTTCCCCCTTCGGGTGTGTAGAAAGGGAGAAAATCAAGTAGGATTTGATAAATATCATCCCCGAGAAGAGAAAACTTCCGGTCTGGCTTGTCCTGTCCGGATCCTTCTTACAAGTGTACATATAATACTGCAACATTTCCAAAATTTGCATAATAGCCAAATCAGTTACAACTTGTTCATGATCCATCCAGAGGAGATACATGTAATCCATTCCAATCACCATCTCGGAATGTCTGTCCGTCTGTCCGTCTGACTATACCCCCACATGACAATCAAAACCTATGCAAGGGTCCCATCATGATGACAAACACAAGTGACCACAGTTTCGTGGCCGAGTGGGCTTTACGAACAAGAGATGAAACCCCTCCGCCTGTGTATTGCGACGTCGGACTTGTACCGTCAGTGTCAGTACCTTGCGGCGGCGGCGGCGAAGAAGAAAAAGAAGAAGAAGAAGAAGAAGAAGAAGAAGAAAAAGGAACATGCGTCGAGATTGTAGGTGCTGCGTACGAATCTGATCCACCACCAGCACCAGCAAAATCATGGTAAGTGGTTGAAGTTGATAGAGGAGTAGCATCAACGGTGGTGGGAGACGAGACCAGAGAGAGAGTGGTGCCGCCGACACCCGAAGGCCATGTACCAATATCATCTCCAGACCAGTCTGTCCAGGTTGGTTTGGGACCAGAGGTACCGATAACGGTACCAGTCACGTCAGCTGACCAGTCTGTCCATTTCGACTCTGTATCGGTTGGTATGGCGGTAGGTGTCCCTTCTGCATCCGTCCAGTCTGGTGTTACTGGAACGGGACGGAATGTGTCAGTCAGGGCAATAGGCGATGAAGTCGTATCTCTCCCCGACCAGTCGATCCAGTTCGACCAGTCTGCCGAGGCTGGCGTCGAACCAGCTGTATCTTTCGGGTCGTTCAACCAATCCACCCAAGTCGGTGACTCTGGATCGGCATCATCTTGACTCGGTGTTGATGTTTGTGCTGTCTTTGACCTGTCCATCCGTTGAGTGGTAGGAGATGCCCAAGGCTTGGGAGCACCGTCCGTCGCGGACCCGGTCAAAGTAGAACTGGGTTTGAACCGAGAACCGTCAAGGCCAATGTTACTGGCGACGACCGAAACACTTGCTGCCGTGGTGGCTGTCCATGACGTGCTGCTTTCTTCTATGTCGTGTCCATGAGTAGTAGTAGTAGAAGTAGTAGCGTCGCCGCCACCGACATGTGCGTGTGGGTAGGATGATACGAAGCTTCCGGTATTCATACTGTCGAGTGTCGTCGAGGAACCGCCACCTGGTGTAGGATAATTCGCCCCGACGCAAGTCCAACATGGAACGACGCCGGTAATGGTCACCGTCGATGCTGAAAATGTCGTGCTGTAGCTTGGCTTTCCGGCTTCGTCATAACTCGTGTGTACAAAGGGGCACCGCGTGACCGAAACAGACGTGGTGAAAGAAGGTACCTCATCCCCTGCCGTAAGATATTGACTGTGAATTCGAATACCTGGTGCGGCAGAGTGTGGAGAGTACGTCGGAACCGGGGCCGTATGGGGCCAGGACATGATGTTATGCCACGACGACGACGACGACGACGTATCCCTAAGCCAGGACGTGGATGAACCAAACGACAAAGATGAAGTTCGAGCAAATGTTGACGATGTTGTTGATGTCGACCAATCATGATTCAGGCTTGTTGCCCTCGAAGAGCCGGTCGAGGAGTGGTTGTACCACTGTGATGTTGTCGTACTGAATCTGCTCGTGGTCGTGACATTTGTTATCGATCTAGTACTTGAATGACTGGTCGAAGTGGTGTTGACGTATGTCGGAGGTGTGCTGGTCGTCGTCATCGACGTGGATGTCGATGTCGATGTCGAGGAGTTATTATCACTTGGTCCCAAGCCAGCAAAAATATCCGTATCGTTGAATCCGGTAACGGTCGTATTGCTCAGTATCGGTGTGAATACTGTCGACAACATCCTCAGAAAAGGTGCACCGGCCGCGTCGAATCCCGAAGCATAAACATAGAGAACCCCAGAAATGAGGCTCATCTCTCCATAAAATGACTCGGGACCCGGTTGTCCTTCTTCACCCGAACCCGCAGTCATGTTCGCATCGAGCACGTGGTTGTTGCCAGGACTTCGAAGATCGAATGTAGCCGAGGAAAACGATCCGTCAATACGAGCCACCGCGGCCACGGCATGGTCGTAAGCAGGTTGTCCGGCGATGGGGTACTGAGAGACACACAAACAAACAGTTTAGTAGAGGGTCGATGTCATAAAAGTGTAGAGGAGGAGCCTTGGGGGCGGGTGGCCAAAAAAGAAGAGAAACTCACGTAGCCTGTGTGTCCTGGTCGACCATCCAAGGCGACAAAGTCGAAAGCGGAGAAATGAAGAGGGCTGACTCCCGTGGCGTCGCATTCAAAACTACCACCACTGCTGCTGGTGCTAACAATAACAACCTTCCAGTCTCCAGAGTCAGGGTTCTGGACATCTAGAAATTGGCCGTCGGCCACCGTTGTCCTCGTGACGGAGGTCGAATTTGAACCCAAAGTGGACCCATCCGGTTGGATGACGCTCATGGTGAATCCCGCGCCTCGTAGAGAGACGCTGAACTCACTCATCATGGAGTCCACCGGCAACACGTACGATACGCTGCTGGTACCGTTAAATGTGTCTGAGATCCTGAAAATGGCATTGGCCTCGCTCAGCGTCAGGACGTCCAGAGAGTTGGATATGCTGCTGGCTTGGTCGCGCGGAAGTGAATAGTAGGCGCCACCGGTGGAAGAAGCCAACAGGCCATACACCTCATTCGAGGCCGAATCGACTCGTTTGGCGAGACTTCGTTTCTTTGTCGAGGTGTCTTCATCATCACAGCCGCTGTCGAATTTGAAGATGTGGAGGTTGATGCGTTTGTCGAGAGCCGTGCTTATGACTTGAGACGACAGGTCGGCGTCTTTTGCGGAAGCATCAGTCATGACAAAAAGGTTTGCCGGCCCGTCCATGACATCCATGGCGTCAAGCATCCCGGTCAGAGCGAGCTCCGGGCAATCTCCGCCGCCGCTGGCGTAGAGAGAATTGATGCCGGTTTCGAAACTGTCAAAGTCGGTGGCCGTGGCCACAGGTCCGGTGAAGGGATCGTTGAAAGGCGCGACGATGTACTCAATGGGTTCATCCGGGGTGCCAAGTCGAGCCGATGCAATGGAGATGCTCTGCTCCTGAACCGCGGCGATTATATCGGACATGCTACCAGTCGTGTCAATGACGAAAGCCATGGTGGTACCCACGCCAAACAGGAGTTTCTTTTCCTTGTCACTGAGACCGCCGTCGGTGAATATGTCATCGATATATTTGGCGGACGCTTTGACGGAGAGCTCGACTGCCGAGGTGTGGGCAAAGTAATGAGGCGAGAAGAAGCAATTGAGGCTGTCCTTGTTGATGCCCATGGGCACATCCCGGAGCACATCGGCGTATATAATGCCTAGAGCAGCCCCGCTTTCCGAGTCAGTTGCACCTCCTATAACAAAATACCCATGTCAGTCTGTGAATCCGAGCATCATGGGTACTAGGTAGAACGGACCATGGTGGCACTTCCAAGAAGGAATATCTGAACCATTCGGTGGAGAATCTTCATTGAAATAGTATCCACTCGTAAGCTTGTTGAAGCCCTTCGTGTTGCTTGCGCAATTGTGGCAGCCAAAGAGGACTTCACTGATGAAACTTGAAGTGCAACTGTTGCAGGTAGTCTCCTCGAAGGCGGCATGATCAACGTCGACACCATCCTTCCCCAGGTCCTTCAGGATATCCGTGCGGCCTAGTTCAACCCAGTTCGAATGAGCGTAGAAGTCTTGAAGAGAGTGAAGTGCACCACCGAGGGATTTCCGAGCGGTATCAGCATCTCCGGCTTGGAGGGCTGCGATGCAATCTTTTTTCAGTTGTATAAGTCTTGTTTGTCCGCCTTCGAAGTTTTCTCCATCAAAGTGCAGAGCTGAGTGGTCTTGATCCTTGTCGACGGCCATATTAGCTTCTGCAATAGTAGTCCGAGCCTTGATCATGTTTGTGGTGAGATGAGTGATGGAAGGGAAATATTCTGCGGCCTTTTGGTTAAATGCTCGTCTGGTCTGTTCCTCGTGAGAAACGCCAAAGTTGCCGAACGCAGCCTCACGCCAGTCAGAAGGGAAGAAACCTTGAGTTACCGCAGCCAGTAACAGAAGCGGCCATGTTGACCGGGAAAGGGCAGAAACCTTCATGGTGGAGAAGAGACTAAGGAGATGCGCTGTTGGATTGACTCAAATGTCCCAATTGACAGCAGAATCGATATAAGAATGGGCTGAAAAAGATAGACAGGAGAAGAGTTCCCGGGAAAAGCTACTGTTAGCCACGAAAAGAATGACGGAGGCTTTAAAGGAGCCTTGGAGTGGTGGTGGTAGGAGGAAGACAGGGTGAAAAGCAGAGAGGTGAACATTTATGTCAGTCCTTACTGTACTAGATAGCAAGAATTTTCTGCTGATACTTGCATTGCACTGAGACAATGTGGCACTGCAAATACTCGTATTCTCAAATTGAGGTCTTGTCTTTGACCAATATCGTGCCAAACAGGGCAACGAGGAAGACACCTCCGGAGTGTGAGATTGAGTCGACCAGCATGATGATCACGTAAAGTCAACTATTCCAGTCTCGCCGGAAGGTACATTATGGTGTACCGCAAGCGTCGTTTGCAATGAATGTCGCTGGCGTGGCGTGCTGAGTCTCAGATGATTGGATTTGGCGAACTTGAAGACGAAAAGGCTTTCGTATTGCTCTAATTAAGCCCTTGGCATGACAGTCAAACCAGACTAAAGCATCCGAATCTCAGTACCTGGCCACAAGGTGTTAAAGATAGAAATACGATAGACGCGAATGTGGCATCAGTTAACATGATGGTGTAGCGATGAGGCTGAGGGGGGCAGCTTACAAGATCTATTGCCCCTGACCCAAAGGTGGCCTTGCCAAGCCTGGCCTTTCCTTTTTGAGATGCAAGGCTGAATGAGGCTAATGAGGCTTGTCGCCAAACATCACTTGACGGAAACACAACAATGTTTGGAAGTATTATTTCACGGCGCTACACCTTCAAGACTGCGGAACAAGTATATTACTGACACCTTGTGAACTTCCTAAGCAGCAGCTAATTGTCTCTACGTTCTTGCGAGATCAGCTCAGGGGCTCAAAACATGTACGATACCTCCACGATAACCCTCAGCCTGATGGGCTGTGGTCCAGACCATGTTGTGGCGCATATATTGCATCGATATAAGCCTGCTTCATGCACCCCTGAAGACTCATGCGTCTGTACCTGGTCGCCTAGATGCCCAACCGTGTCAATGTTCATCTGCACCTCGAGCAACTAGCGGCTCCCCTCGCTTCGATAGACCAACCTCGAGATACCTTGATTCTACTGCAAGGCTCCTTATGTGGAGTCTGGTGCCTGCATAAGTCTGACTAGATACGAGGGTTTGACCATTGAGCATTCTCTCATGATGGTGAATCTCGTGTTTATCTGCCAATGTTATTGTGAGCACTAGCGGTGCTCTGGAAACAACTTGTGTGATTGCTCTGAATCCTGGATATACCGACGAATCCGGATGTCACTATTCAAAGTGGTGACGAAGAATTATCGGCATTTCCCAAGCCGTGAAATCAGCTGTATGTCTTGTGGATTTGTTCATGGCGTCCGCCGAGTGTCACCTCTGCCACCAGGGCGAACCTGGCCTTATAAACAAACCATCCGCAACCTTGGTCGACAAATGAGACATCTCTGAAGCCCATTGTTGGCCACCTGCGCATCATACAAGTCATCAACATGCAGATCTCATTCCATGTGCTTCAAGGTGCCGAAATGCCCAGCAGAACGAGGAAGCAGTATCGACCATTTATGACTAAGGTGCCAGTGCTAGTTGCATTCTTCATCACCGCAGTTCTTTGTGTGGCACTATTACAAGACATTGTTAACAGTGGTGACCCCCTGAACACGCAATACAACCATGAAACCGAAAGCGAATACCAAAAGCGTTCTGTGCCCACTGAAGAGGCGACAACAAATACCACAAGGTCTATCCTTCCCATAACAACATCCGAGGGCAGCTCGACTACCATAACTTCCACGTTTTCAGCGCTCTCAACTATTCCCGTCTCTTCTCCATCAGGCATACCTTCTACCGCAAGCGTCTGTGGGGTACAGGTAGATTGCTCCTATGCGAACAGTTTCTCGGTCCTGTCATCAATAACTCGCCGCGACCTGCTTGATTTTGACATTGGCTATGACGACCCGAGTCCGTGCCTTGTGAACTGCATATCAAAAGATGGTTGCAATTCTATATTTTTCTCCTTCCCTGACAATGTCTGCTACATGACTACCGACACTTCTGACGTACTGAGGTCGCTGCCTCCCGCGCCTCACGACAGTGGATACTTTTTCTACGACACGGCATGCCATGATCTTGACAGCCTAGAAATACCGGGTACCGAAGGACTGACGACAACATGCGAATCTTATGATGACTCAGATGATACATTGTCCTTGACGAGGACGACGACGACGACGACGACGACAACTCGTACATCCACCCATACTTCTACCTCCACTACATCAGTATCGAAAACGATAACTGTACAAGCAATAAGAACCACGTTTCCAACGACGAAGACGATGACGCCGACGACGAGTCGTAGCTACATTGTGACAACTACTACTGCGCCATCAACGCCAATAGCAGGAAATTCGATACTACCAACAACGGTAAATGCTGCTTCTTTATCCGAAACAAGGTCTAGCAGGGCCACGATTTCAATTACCCCCACACCGAAGTTTCAAAATACAACTTCTAGAGCACATGAGGCCGTTACCACCCCGATATTGAGCATCACAGCGCTCAGTACTAGCTCAGGTTTTCTCACCTTTACGACAAGTATATCTAAGAGCGCAACGATGCCAATTTCTAGGTTCAATGAGACGCTCATATCTTCGGCATCCACTACTTTCTCCAACAGTACAAGCTTGATCTTGACCACGATGAGTGTGACCACAAGCTCGTTACTAGTTGCATCTAGTACAGCGTTACGTGGTACTTCAACTGGTGACTTTGGGAGTATCTCCTCTGGCAATACGACTTCGATAGCTTCCGATATCATCGATCTTACTAGCACTTCCAGAACGTCCCCAATCATCACCTCGTCGACTGAAAGCGTGACTTCGATTGTGACACTTGACAAAACAGAGTCCAGCACGATTTATATCACACCAACAAATACCACCTCACTCCGCACTTCTCCCACCGTCTCCTCTGATGTGCTTGCCACCGCTCCTGATACAACAATATCGAGTCTAGTGAACAGCTCAACCACGTTTGTGGTTCCTCTCACAAGTTCAAGTAGCAGCTCTGCATCAGATATATCTGAGATTGCGTCTGAGTCTGAGAGTGCTACTCTTGCGCGGTCGGATGCATCAACATTGGCGTCTTCTTTAATTCTAGCTTCTGGAAGTACGGGACTAGCGTCAAGCGCACCATGATCTCTAGTCACTGCTGCGACAGGACTGGCTGCATCATCCACATCGAAAAACGATCCAACCATAACGGAATCCTCGGGTCTTCAAGACTCTTCCATCTTGATAGACTCCTTGACATCAACTACTACCTTGGCAGCATCAGAAACCGAGGCGTCAACGAATACTGCAGTAGGACCAGAAACTTCAGCTCTGTTGAGCTCAAAGACAACATTTGATGCTTCATTGACAACAGATGTTTCAGCTTTAGCACCAGCTTCAATAATCTCTGGTGTAGTAGGGACAACGGACTCGGCAGCGAAAACGAACTCGATAGCAACACCAGCAGCTGCCGGATCGACAGTGACAGAGTCTTCAGCATCGGCTACTACCTTGCCTTCCACTGCTACATCACCGGTATCAGTTTCATCAGTGGCAACAACACTTTTGGCGTCAGCTTCTTCCGTATTGTTGAACTCGGTGGCAACAGGCTCTTCAGCTTCATTGGCAGCTGCAGCTACTGCTAGCGATGGAGTGAATTCTCAGACAGCAACAGACTCTTCAAGTGCAGCTAGCGCCTCAGCCTTGACAGCATTGTCAGCATCGTCGGCTTCGTCTGCGGTCGTCTCAGACGCGTCCACTCCCACAGCAACGGCGACAAGCAATGAACCGAACTCTCTGAGCGCTACATCTGCCTCTGCCATAGAGACACAGCCTGCAGGTGATGAAAAGACTGATGTTGCAGCAGCAGAATTGGCTTCGCCAACCAATAGCAGCGATCATACAGCAAACTTATCTAGTAAAGATGCAGGTACTAGTGCTACTGCGCAGGCTCTGTCTGAGTATCCCCAGCCAACTGGGTCACGCGCAGATAGCGGATCTGACCCTGGTTCGGGGACCTCTGGGTCCGTCTCAGGTCCAGGCTCGGGTGTAGGTTCAGATGGACAAGGAACTCGACCCATTCACGATGGCAACCCTAATCATCTGGGATTGCCCGTCAATGTCACCAACATCGTCCTCGCAGGAGCCACATTTGCTCCTGTGACAATGTCAGTGCTGTTCAAAAGCTTCTGGAGCGTCGTCTTTGCCTCTGCACAGATGATGGAACCCTTCTACCAGCTTGCAAAAGGTTCACCGGTAACGGCAAAGGCGTCTGTGCTGCGACCCAATCTCAAAGGAGGCATCGACTGGTCATACCTCAACCCTCTGAACAAGCAATGGGTCATGTTCCTGACGACTGTTTTGAGTATCCTGTTCAGCGTCCAGGCCTCGATCGCGTCAGAGGCGATGACTGTACAAGCCGGAGCATCTTGCGATACCAAGAAAGGACGAAAGCTTTGCGATCCAGTTTGGGTGGTTGATCTTGCCGTCGTTCGGAGCCTTCAGACAACCCTCGTGCTATCGGGAATTCTGGTCGCGGCGTTGATTTGGCTGAATTGGAGCCGCCCAAGTGGCCTTCTCTCATATCCTTGCAGCATAGCTTCCATGGCATGGCTGTTGGGCAATTCAGAGGACCTCGCGAATACGCTGCGAAGCATCGAGCCAAAAGCCAAAGTCCACGATGTAGAGGCGAAGCTGAAACACAAACTCTTGATGTTCAATGAAGTCCATTCCCGGGACAATGAGGATGTGGTCAGCGTCGTCGTGCGGCACAATGAACAACCTGACAACGACTCCAGTAACGGCCAGGAATCCAGCCGCGACCTAGGATCGGAGGTGCAAGCAGCTGCTTCAGCCGGTAGTGCGCCTTCATCCTGGCTCGCTCGACTGCCTTGGGGGACTGCACAGATACTCGTCGTTACGATCCTCCACGTGGCCCTCTTCGGGGTCATTCTTTCCTTTGTCGTTTCCGGGAACGACATCTATGCAATCAACCTACTCGGGTCAGACCACAGCAAGCACCTGACCGCGGTCAAGTGGAAGTTTCTAGATGGAACAAGATTCGGACCTCGATTCTTCATGACCGTCCTCATCTCCTTCCTCTTCAACCCTTTCTGGGAAATGGTTGAGTTGAAGGTCAGAACAATGGTGCCGTACCGACAACTTCGTGATGACCAGTCTGCCGCAGTTTCTCGGTATCTGTGTACCGGCCACCTTCACGGCGTTCCGTTCACCGTCGTCTTCAAGGCCTTGTGGCATCGAAACTGGTACCATGCGTTCATCGCATTCACGACCGTCCTGTCGTACGTGCTTTTGATTCTCATTGCGGGTGTGCCATATAACTATGGCCAGGTCAAGGATGTCTCGTTCTACAGCTCGTTGATCAGTGTGATCATCCTGGCCATCATGATGGTGGCAATGGTGTCGTTGATGTTCTGGCATTTGGGGAATCCGAGAATGCTTCGCAACCCAGAAACGCTCGCCAACACGTGGTTGCTGATGTGTTCGAGTCGTTTTGTGAAGGATTACAAGGGCCGAGAGCTGGGTGAGGTCATCGAGGAGATCAGGAACGGTCGCACGCAACTATGGTTCGGAAAGGCTTTTGACCATGAGGGCAGAGAGAGGTTCATGATCGAGGCCGAGGAGAGTCTGCGGACCCAGCAAGGCGACGGATTGTTGGGCGGGAAGACCGATCAGGGGCGTAGAGATATGTATCTGTGATGGTGATCATCCCGAGTGGTAATTACTCGTCTGGGGCTCGAATCTTTGCGGAGAATTTGGCTTGAGGGATAAGAGTATCAGGAGTCAGTGGGTCAAGTTCTGCGAACAAACTCTTGCTTGCAACTCTTCACCTTCTCTCTAACATTCCGGCTTCAAGAATGTCACAGAAGTCCTCCAATCACGTTCCATTGTTCAGGCTCGTAGCGCCTTTGTAGCTCCTCAATCTTGAATTCGATGAGACCTGATGGGGACTAGGAGACTTTGGAGAGAACGAGATCGAGGACGAACGTGATCGAAAGCGCTTCCCACCAATTGGCAGGCAAAAATATTGACTCCCCTGAATACGTGATTATGTGTCTTCTTTGACATTCTAATGCCAAGGATCGGAGATACTTGTTTCCGACGACTCCGTGGACATGATAAGCGGTAGCTTAGGTAAGATTGCTAACCTACTCCGGACCTTTTGAGAAATGTTTCTGAGAAACACCTATAGTATGGGCTTGTACACCGCTCGAAAGCCTTACACCCTGACGTACAGTATATTACTTTTGTAGACCAATGACCCAACGGGCCGAGGGGTGACCAAGGCCTGGCTGAAAGCAGACTAATCATAGCTTGTATATCAAGGCGTGATGTTGATTCCAATGGCATTCTCCATTTGCAACACGTCCAACAACTTCTACTGCTAAGACTACTTTCTCTGCACAAATATCTCCATATCACTCACTGCCAGAGGTCTTTGTGCCCATTAAGATTGAAAATGTCCCACGATCCACGATTCAGCGTACAGCGTACAACATTCTTCCTCCACGCTTTCATCTGGAACCGGAATGTGCTCCATCAAGGGTTGCCAGGTTTCGGCATACCATGCAACATTCTACATTCTTACAACATCACCTGGGACTGGGATGTGCTCAAAGGGTTACCAGGCGTCATTCGGAAATTCGCAATTCATGATCTGTGCGCCTGCTTCGTAACATTCTACATTCTTCCGATATCATCTGGAACTGGAATGCGCTCAAAGAGCTGCCGGGTTTCAGCCTACCATGCAACATTCTACATTCTTCCCTTGAGACGCAACTCTTTTGTTTCGGTACCCGGTCATATCTTCTGTCTTCACAAAGGGGAATATGGTTGGCCCTTCACCGGAAGACACATGAAGGGGGAATACAGGCAGCAAAGGTAGTGACCACTGCACTAAGAGTCTTCGTCACTCCGCCATGGTTTTCAACATTCTTTGTTTCACATTCCTTGCGATAGAAATCCACACTGGCCTCATCGGGTCTGCAAGGTTGCCCCTTCCGAACACACTAACTCACCTCACCTTTGTCGCTTGTTGAAAAACTATATAACACCGCCACAATCTCCAGCCGGGATCGAAACATTCTCCCACAAACAATGCAAACCAGCAATCATGCCGGACAAAAACTTCCAAGACATGGACAAGAAAGAGAAGCAACCAGAGAAAGGGATGGACACTACAAATATCGTCCCATCTTCCCAAGGTCCTTCACCTTCCACACAGCCACCAAGTACCACATCTCGCTCCGAACCAAATACTGAGCAAGCACCAGACCCTGATCATCCGGTTCACTGTCAAAGCTGCGGACTGGAATATTACTACGTCGGAGGACTTTCCCACAATCACCTCAAGGACTGGAAGCCAGAACCAAAGAACGACACGAGAAAAGACAAAAAGATGGACCACGGCCAGCCCTCATCGCGCTTTGCAACATCTGACGACACGAATAAGGACGAGATGAACCACGGTCTGCCCTCACCGCGCTACACAACATTCTCTGGAGTGACTCTTGACCAAGCACTGCCTGGACAAATCTCTGCTTTCCATTTTCTCGAAAATGACGGCGATAGGCTTCACTGGAGCGAGGAATGGGACACCGTGGCAAATAAGGTTGGCGGATTGGAGGTAATGTCTTCACCCAGTCTTTGATCTCATCACCCACTAACACAACGGGCCGCATAGAGATTGCAACAATTCCTTCGAATAGGCCTGGCCGCTGTCCGGGTTAAAGTCGAAAATAACCATCTGTCAGGGGAAAATGCACAGACGACGCATCTCTCTGGTTTTCGCCTATCTCGCGACCTAGTTGTTACCTGCGCTCACTTCACGGAGTGGGAAGGTGGAAACGACGTCGAACACTACCTGACCGAGAAAAACGGACTGTGCCATGCGATCCAGGCCCAAGATGTTGCAGGAGACAGTAAGTACTCTCGCATGTGCACACACTATATCGGCGCAACTGACAACGTCTAGACCACGTCAATCGATTCGTTCTCCGCCTTCACGCAATCCACAAAGAGTGGGATATAGCGATATTCCGTATCACGTGCCGGCCGCAGAATGACCACAAAAACGTTGTTGTCGAAGTCTCGGATCTCTACTTGGATACTCCACAGGGCCGTGGTAGCTTGATCAATGCTTCACAGATGCCATACTGGTCAGTTGGTTACAATGTTGTCCAAGATATGGAAGAATTCAAGACGGTGTTCGGGATGTTCTTCAATAGGCGTCAAGATAGAGAGAAGGCGAGGATTCGTCAAGATTACGTGAGTCTGATCCTAGTATACGATCCTTCAACTTCCTAGCTAACCATTGCCGGACAGAATTTCAGTGCTGATAACCCGCCTGAATCGACATTCCTCAAACAAGACCGGCGAACTGTCAGCTTCGGCACGCATATTGGACACGCGGAAAATGCCAAACCATACCAGAAGTGCGTTGAATTGAGTGCGTGGCACGGCCGTTCTGGCTCCATGGTCTGCACTGTGATAGGTGGAAAAGCAAGAATCATAGGCATGAGTAAGTTACCTCACCTACAATACCGTAAAAGGCGAAGCAGAGATCTAACACGCGATTTCATCAGTCCAAGGAGGTAACCCAGAGTCTGATTGCAACCATTTCGTATTGTTGAACACGGAAATGCAACAGTGGCTGAATGCAGCTACCGCACCCTGTGTCAATGCAGATCAACAGGAGAAGAATCGGCGAATTGTCATGAAATGATCGAGGCTGGCAGAGACTCAACGGGATCTCCTATTTTGCTTTCGGTCGGCCTGAGGGTGTAAGGAATTCGGCGGTCTAGTTGATGTATTGTACCAAGGTTGTGCATGATGCTTTTCTTTATGTGGTCAGTGTGTTCGGGGAGCTGAGATTTTCCTTGTATGCCTTCTTGCGGGGAGTGTCATCGAGGCTTTGTGGATTGGCTGCTTTTTTTTGCTCTTTTTAGACGGCGGCGGTATGCTTTTCATGTCAAGGATCGAGGATAGAACGAATAGTAGGAGTCATGTTTCAAGCCCTGTTCAGTTGTGCTGTGAGGAGATACGTTTCAAGCCCACCTTGCCATCGATATGCCTCGACGTTCAATGTGACATAAGGAGGTCAACGATGGCAGAGGAAACCGTCTCAGTGACGAAAGAACAACAAAAAATTGAGCGGTCGACGGTGGTATGGCAGTTTCTGACGAGAGAAAAAGAAAAGAGAGTGAGTACATGAAAGGCAAACAAAAGATATCAGCCGCAGGGAAAGGACTTCCCCGGGAGGGCTAGACTGCGATTTTCACAGCAAAATCCTATTACTCCCAGACCTAATTTCCAGGTTTGGGCCACAAAAGATAACCACAGCATGCTGTAATCATTCATCTAGAGTAGATCACTGCATCTTGTTCCAATTATGAGAGCATGTGATAGATCAGCATGAAGAATGATCGCAGAGCGCATTGGTTATTATTACTGGGAGTAGAGAGAAGAGTGAGTGACTAGGAACCAAACGAAGAGAGAGAACGTGGTAAGATGTTGTTACGGGGTTGAAGACCTATATGGATGTAAAATGAGGCCTAAATGTTTAGGGCCCGGCGCCCAGGAGTCCCCTAGAGGTTCAGGGGACACTTGGTGGACTCATAAAGTATTCGCGCCTATTTTTGATAGCTATGAAAGCGCCTAAAGATGTTGGAAATGATTCCTGATGATGAAAGTTACCCGACGGTGGGCGTTTTACCAGTTGCCCCCTAGACACGTGATCGTATTGGTAGGCGGTGTCCCTGGTCCAAAACACCCTACGAGTACTTTGTTGTACCGACGTCAGGTGTGTAAAAGTTCGACGCTCTCCTGTGTGAAGTGTGACGAGAATAACCACAGCGAGTCAGTCGTTCGACTTGTCTACCTGCTTACGAGTTGGGTCACTACTATCTGTTTTCGTGTCGAGTGGACACACCACCTGTGAGGACGTGCCCTGGAGTCAACGGGGTCCGATCAATGCACACAACAGAGTCAATTTCTCCTCAAGGTCTATCACTTGCGTGGCCCGTGCCAAATCCCACAAAAGGGCCTGAAGCCTTTGTATCCCGCCGCGGCCGCTTCGAGAAGTGCGTTGTTGAGGGCACCCAACCCCCCTAGGAAGAACAAAACCCTGTGGCCTTTGCCCTTGACATTGTCTCCCCAAAACCAAGACTTTGTCTCCCAATACAAGGTCTTGGTACACAACTCTGTGCACTTGTCAAACCAGTCAGCTTCGGCCTCCGGGAGGGCTTCCAGTTCGACCCTCCGTTTGATTGCTGCCGCTGCCGCCGCCGCTTCTCCATTATTCATTCCGCTCGTGCCGTTGACTCTCCCACCGACCAAGTCTTCTTCGACAAGCTCCTTCGCCCGGGCAATGATGCCGGTGATGAACTCAACGTGCATCTCCAACGCGGGAGGCACGTTGCTGAAGGCGGAGAGGGGACCGCTGATCATGAAGAAGTTTGGAAACCCAGACACCGCCGTCCCGAGGTAGGTGGAAGGGCGTATCGCCCAGTGGTCTCTCAAGGTTTCGCCATTTCGACCTCGTATGCAGACGCGATTGTAAGAGCCGTCGAAAGCGTCGAACCCGGTCGCCATGATGATGACGTCGAGTTCGTGCGTCTTGCCGTCGGACGTTTGGATGCCGTCCTCGGTGAGCTCGACGATCGGCGTGGCCTTCAGATCTACCAGCTCGACATTCTCCCGGTTGAACGTCTCGTAGTAGCCGGTGTCGCACAGCGGTCGGCGAGCAAAAGGTTCCCAAGGGGTGAGCTTCCGCGCCGTCTCCGGGTCCTTGACGATCGACCTGATCTTGTTGCGGATGAAGACGCAGGCCGCCTCGTTCGCCTCCCTGTTCGTCGCGATGTCGGCGAAGAGGCCAAAGTTGAACCGCAGGCCGTTCCCCGTCCGCCAGCACTCCTCAAAGACACGATTGCGTTCCTCTTCCGAGACGCTCAGCGCGGACACCTTGCTCTCCTCGAACCCCATACCCGACGCGCTGGTCTTGACGTGGTCCCAAATCGCGTCGTAATCCTTGTTGATGCGGTCACGATATTCCTTGGACACCGGACCGTCATTGGCAGGTATGGTGTACTGAGGTCGCCTCTGAAAACAGGTGAGGGTCTTTACGTCCTTTGCGATGGCGCTGATGACCTGGACGCCGGTGGAGCCGCAGCCGACGACGCCGACCCTTTTCCCCTTGAAGTCATAAGTCTCCGGGAACCTCGACGTGTGGTAGAGCTCCCCCCGGTACACATCGATCCCGGGTATGTCGGGCCAGTTGGTGGCGTTCAGGATCCCGAGTGCGGTGATGAGGTAGTGGGCCTCCATGACCCCCGACGAGGTTTGGACCCTCCACAGCCGGCCCGCTTCGTCATAGGCCGCACCGAGAAACTCGGTGTTGAACTGTATGTGCCTCCGAAGATCGTGGCGCTTCACCACGTGCCTAAGGTAGGCCAACACCTCTGGTTGCTTCACATACCGTTCCGTCCAAGGGTAGTGTTGAAGATCATCCTTGTCCCAGGAATAACGGTACGCGAAAGCCTCGGTGTCACTCATGGCCCCGGGATAGCGGTTCCAGTACCATGTCCCGCCAACATCACCAGCTTGATCAATGACTTTCACCGACAGGCCCAGTTTCAGAAGACTGTATAGCTGATAGAGCCCCCCAAATCCTGCACCGACAACGAGCGCATCAAGTTTGGTAACGGCCATTTGAGCAAACTATTCAAGGGCTCAACTCAATAGATGAGATTTGACGAGTAGCTGGCTCACTCAGATTCGACCCTCTTGGTCTTGAAATACCAAAAAACAAGAGGAGGGTGGCAGCAAATGTCAATTTCAGCAGATTCTTCCTGAATGGGGTGTCCCAACTCTGTTCTGGAAAGAGACGTTGTCTGAGACGGCGACCGGGAAGTATTTCTTGGTCTGAGGATGGAGTTTTGTAGCCTTTCTCGACGGGAGTGATGCCGGCGGAATCGTTGATTGGTACGCAGCATTCTCACTACGAGTGCGGATCGTCCTACCAGGCCAATAGCACCTGGTTCGAATTTTCGGCGCCCTCGTTCACGGAGGTTGTTTTGCCGAAAATTGATTCTTGGTCCACCTTCCGGCGTCTTGACGTTTTTCGTGACATTATGGGTGTCAAGAGCTCAAAAGCCTTTCCCTGCCGTGGCCGATGACTGTTTACCTCCTTTGTCCTAGGACAATGCGCGAGTATCTTGATCTGTAAATCTGATTTTCCAGAACCATCAATTTTGGCGACCAGCAATACAAAACATGTCACGCTCTATTTCTCATGATCAGCGGAATATAGCATTCCGTGAAGCCTTTTTTTCAGCCGAGCATGCAAAGAAAAGAGCCCAGAAAACATCAGTGGTGGTGGAAGCGCGAGCCAAAGACCTGGGTCTTGAGCACCAGGTCGAGGCCGTGCCTGATAGCAGAGGTGCCAAACTGCACTGGCTCGGAGATCGTGGATCAGAAAAGGTGATATTGTACTTCCACGGTTAGTGTGTTTGTCTTGTTCGTTTCCCAGTTGTTTGACGACTTGATGGCAACAGAAAGAGAACTCATTTTCATATCTCCAGGCGGCGGTTACGGATTACCGGCCTTTGACGGCCATATTCTCTTTCTTGGGCAGTGTCTGGCCCGCTGTGCTTCAGCGAAGGGAAGAAAGAATGTTGCTGTAGCTTTTCTAGAATATAGTAAAGGGCCTCATCATCTGATTATTTTTTCTGCTTTTGGAAAGTCATCGATTGCTGACGAAAAATTGCATGCCTCACCACCGAGACCAAATTCCCTGGCCAACTTCTGCAAGCTACGGAAGCTTTACGTCTCCTCTTATCGAGTGACTACAAACCATCAGAGGTACTCGATAATCGCGGAAACCGCGCTGAGCCCTCTGAAAGAGAGAGACACAGACAGAAGCTGACAACACTCACAGATCGTCGTAGGTGGAGACTCAGCAGGTGGCAACTTGTCGATCGCTCTGATTTCTCATATCCTTCATCCATTCGTTGGGATCCCCTCGTTGAGTCTCGAGGCCCCCCTCGGAGGACTTCTTCTCATCTCACCGTGGGTCAGTTTCGGTACAGAGACACAGTCCTTCCGAGACAATGAGCTGCGAGACATCTTCCCCGTCTCGACAATGTCCCAACTCGCTACAGAATTCGTCGGGAAGGGCGGCGAAAGAAATAACTGGTCGGAACCATTTCTTGCAAGTACATCATGGTGGAACAATGTGCCAGTCAGAAAGATTCTAAACGTCTGGGGCGCTTTGGAAATGTTCAGGGATCATATTGCGACATTTGGACAGCGGCTTCAGATGGCGGGCAACTCGATTAACAACGTCGAGTGCCCCATGCAAGTGCACATAGACTGTATTCTGGATGCGCAGACCGGCTTGGAGCCTGGGCCCATGTCCGTCAAGATATGGGAATGGCTGTTGGAGGTCCTTTGAAAAGCCCATTTTGATGATCACGGTTGAGAACGTCCGGGTCAAGATACAGTAAATCTCCTTGACAGTCCCGTGATCCTGCTGCTGGTGGAATTGTTATGCCATTATTGTTGCTCAGCCTGTCGGGATGGGATTTTGCAAAGTATCAAGATGGCTTTGGCCTCACCCAAACAAGTGCCTCGTTTATAGAGCCGTCCAACTTTCTTCCTAGTGTTCACTTGTTTGCATGTTTTGAGTTAATGTCAGCGAGATTGCCCCAGTCTTCCTCGAATCCGATTGAGGAGTTTCAATCTGACGGATAGGCGTCTCCTCCGACAGCCTGATCAGAACAGTCGGGCTCGTTACTCGTCGTGAACCACAACGTCACGAACGGGTAGCTGCTGAATTTTCGGATGTCGAGTGTCGCATGTACGGGCGAGAGAAACAAAGCAGTTGTACAGAGTACCCTGTTTGACATTATTCGGCAACTGATTTCCGAATCCTCCGATCAAAGATCAACATGGATATGGGCTTGTCCCCAGAAAGACCACCGATCAAAATGATCAGCCCAACAAGGCTTGCTTGCTCTGCGATTCTCAATTTTCGGGTTTAGAGGTCTGTGAAGGAGACTGTGGCTGAGGAACTGTCCTCGATGATGGCTGCACAGCAACATGTCGAGACGTAAATAGTCAGTGTTCCGCACCCTGCAAGAGTCCAAACACCCTCAAGTTGTTAGCCTTTGTCCGTATTGACGACGAAAATGGCACAGATCAGACTCTTCAATCTATTCATCCACTGCGTGATCTTCTCTGGAGGTCTGACGTATGGCTTTGGGTTTGCCGGGTTCACAACCAGTATCGGACAGCCTTCCTTTTACAAGTATTTCAAACTCGATCGTAAGTGGACCCCCATTTACCCGTACCCATTTCTGTAGAGATGAAGCCATTAACGAAGAGAGCGATAGCGACGGACGAGTACACTTCGAGGTAATGTCCATCTCGCTCCTGGCTAGTTTGGGGTTGCTCGACTAATAAAGGCCACCTGCATAGTATCCTGGGAGCTGTCAATGCCCTGTTTTATGCAGGATGTGCGTTTGGCTCGATTGTGCAAGCATACCTGGCCGATTGGGTGGGTAGGAAAAGAGCCCTCATGATTGCAGCAATCGCGGCTTGCATCGGGGCAGCCCTTGGTGCTGGCTCGGTCAACGTTCCGATGCTCGTGACCTGTCGTTTGATCCACGGCTTTGGACTGGGCATGGACATCCCTCTGATCCCTCTCTTCCTCACCGAACTCGCCTCAGCCAGGCATCGGGGCTTCCTCTCGGGCCTCACCACGTTGAGTTTTGCCACCGGCTATGTCATGTATGCCATATACTCCTATAGCACCTGGGGACGGCTAGGACAAGAAAAGGGGACTGACACCATTATTGCTTGTAGCTGTGGGTGGATCGCGGTCGGTACCTACTTTGCCACGAATGAGACCTTCCAATGGAGGTTTCCGCTCGCCATTGCTTGCCTCCCACCATTGATCATGGTGGCGACTATACCATTCTTGCCTGGTCAGGACACAAATCCTTTGTTCATCCCCTCTCCCCCGGTTTTCTTTTTCCCCGACAAAGACTGACCTGTGTTGTCTGCAGAGAGCCCAAGATACTTGGCCTGGGTTGGGAAACACGATGAAGCCTGGAAAGTCATCTCCAAGATCCATTACGACCCTGAAGATGTGGGAGATGCTTCAGCCGCTCGAGCAGAGTACACCCAGATCGTCCGCCAGGTAGAATACGACAAGGAATCTAGCACATCAATGCTACAGATTTTCAAAAGGCCCACGTGGAGACGCAGAGCCTTCCTCGCAATGTTCATCTTGTAATCCTTCCTAAACCGTTTGCTAAGTTGATGCAATGAGGACTGATCTCTATGTGCTTCAGATTTGCCTCGCAGTCGACGGGGGTAAGAACCTTTCCGGAAATATTTCAAAGAATGACGTCTCACTGAGGTTTCAAAGGTTTTTGGCATTGCGAACTATCTGCCTATCATCGTGGGATCCATGGGAGAAACCGGAGTAATGCCCTTGGTCTTGTACGGTAAGAATGAGCGTCCTGCCAGAAGCATACCCTTCTCACACTGGCTGGTGTTGATCTGGTACAGGGGTATATACCACCACCGGGACCTTGATGGTCCTTGTAGTGATTTCTGTTCTTGATCGAGTCGGTCGCCGCACCATGTTCTGTAAGTACATAAGTACACTCCCCGGTTCTCATGACGGCGTTTCAAGTGAGTCAAAATAACGTTAGATATGCTAGTGATCGGTTTCCCGGGAATGGCCTTGTGTCTTCTCGCCGAGGCCGTACTACAGTGGAAATACCTGGGCACTACTAGCAGTGGTGGGAATGCCGCCTGCATCCTGTTCATTTTCGTATACATTGTCTTTTACCAGGGTGTCGATGCGCCCTCTTTTGTCTGGTACTGTCCCCTTCTCCTTTTCTGAGAATTCGAACGTCATTGCTGAAAGCCACATCAGGGCTGCCGAGATATTTCCCACCACTATACGAGCCAAGGGGATCGCTCTGGCGTTTTTCAGCTACTTTCTGGGTGCCATCACGTATACCACACCTGCTCCAACCGCACTGCGCAACATGTGTGTAGTATCAGTTATTTCCTCCTGATTGAACAGAGAGGCTGACAACAGCAACAGTGGATACCGCTTGTACTTCATCTACATGGCACTCTGTATCATCTCCACCGTCATCGTGTATTTCTTCGTCATGGAAACAAAGGGCAAACCGGTCGAAGAGTTGGGGGCACTATTTGGCGACAAAGTCGTGGTTCACCTCACCAGTGATGGCCATGGCATTGTCGAGGAGAAATTGATGGCCGAGGTGAAGGAAGACAAAGTCGAGGAGGTGAAGATTGACGTGACTACCGTGATCTAGGTTGACTCACCAAAACCCTGAGCCTTATGTACGATTTCTGGTGAAGTCGATATATCTGTTGATTTGTATCTCACATACATGAGACCTGCCATTTTGAATGCATCTGGTTTCCATTGCGGCCAAAAGCTCTCTGAAAGTAGTCCGTACCGAGTACATCTTGTTAGTTTGGACAGGGGACCCGCTTCTTGATCTCAACTCTGAACCCATTGGGGAACGAGATAGAAAAACACGAGCCAAACTGTCTCGTGGTTGTGAGCAAAGTTTGAGCCCAAGAGATCACGAGGTCTGGAAACAGTAGCAGAATATGCTAGATCAAAAAAATAGACCTACAGTGAGCCTAGAGCCAAGGACTGTACTGTAAACCAGGCAAGCCACCCAAGGAGTCCAAGGACCACCCCCCCTCGCCTCCCCTCCCCCGGAACCCCGCGTGAAAACAAGCGAGGGCGTCCAACCCCCCCAGGGAAGGGCAGCCAGTTCTACTCCCCATCATAATGGCCCCAGACATCTGGTTTTCCTTTGGGAGAGAGACAACGGCTAGTAATACGAGATCGAAGGGACTACAGATAGCGTATCCTTTCTCACAGTTCAAACTTGATAAACAACGCCATAATTATCTTATCTTCCCTCAAGTAACGCAACCATGTGTGCTCGCCCAAGCACTGATTCAAGCCCCGACTCATCCAGACGAAGAAGTGGTGGTCCGGCAAGAGGTCGACCACGGGCAACTTTGGCGTGTCTCACTTGTCGACTACGCAAGGTGAAGGTGAATTTTGTTTTGTCTTCTTACTTTTGCGGGATGTGCTTCATCGATCGCAAAATTGGCTGATCATTACTCTCATATGGATATATAGTGCGATTTTCAAACGGCCGAAGGAAACATTTGTTCTGCTTGTCGCTCATCAAACACCAGATGTGTGCTGAACCGAAAGGACGGCCGGCGGTGGTAGGTTTTTCCCTCTCTCTCCCTCTCCTCCAGAAGAAAAGCAGCCCGTGACTCCCAAGCTCACATCTCTCACGAAGTCGTGAGCCTCGCGAGGATATAACCGTCATAAAGTCACGTCTCGACATTCTGGAATCACTATTGAAACAAAACACCGATGCTGAGAGCGGCCACGACATAACATCGCGAACTCGGACTTCTGAGGATGATGGAACAACCTCATACGGCGAAACCAATGGCCACGGCATGGACAACGTACTTTCGTCCCTCAACCACCATGAACAACAACCATCATTCCCACCAGAGCTCTATTCACCATCGGAAATCCAACGGGTGACTGACACTCAACCTGATCATGAGATGTTCAGTGGCGACGTCGGCGGAGACGGCCTGGCCAGCACAACCTTCGAGGCAACGAACCTGAACGACGATGAAGGAGAGCCTCTTTCCTCAATATGGAACACTCTTGGTCTCCCACCCGTTGTATCTCATGAGCAGCAACACAGATCGTCTTCCACGAGTGCGCCGCCGCCTGACGTGCCGCCGCCGCGGCCCCTGTTCCACGCAGAGTCCGATCGGGCACAATTGGGCTTCTACGGCCCGACCTCCCAATGTTATCTTCAGTATCCATGCCATGGTCCGGATCTGGACGATCTGGAGATCGACCCGTCACCACCACCGCCCCTGTTGTTGAAGATTGATGCCGACTCTCCGAGCGCCAGGAAGGCCGTGCTCGAATCATACTGGAAATCCAACGAACTTTGGAGTAGTATCGTCGACAGATGTTTTTTCATCGCCCACAAAGCCGCCGGCCACGCGTCGCAATATTACTCCCAGGGGTTGGAGGATGCCATGCTGGCTTGCGGTTCTCGCAACAGCACTTCGAGTGCCATCAGAAAAGTCGGGAGGGAATATCTCCGACGGGCAAAGATGAACCTCCAAATCGAGATTGAGAATCCGACAGTTGCAGCCTTGCAAGGGTGTCTACTGGTGAGTAACTATGAGGCTGGAACGGGACAAAACAGGATCGGTTGGATGTTCATGGGTAAGGCCTACTCCGTCCCTTGTGTCCATGACTATTGTTGCTATCGCTTGCAAAGGCTGATTATGGGCCCAAACAAACACAGGAATGGCGGTTCGATTGCTCCTGGACTTGGGACTTCACGAAGACCGTTCGACTCTGGTGGAGAATGGAGCCATCTCGGTAGAGGAGTGGAGGTATCAGAAACGCCTCTTCCTGGGGACATTCCTCTATGACACCATTTGGGGGTGGTTCATAGGCCGCCCTAGAGGTGTCCCACTCCTCAGCGTCACCGTGGTAACTTCCACCAACACCGTCGACGATGGCGATCAGTCACACCTGTATGAATGGACCAGCCTTTGTTCCCAGATGGCTCGGGCCCAAGACATCATCAATGGGCCTCAGCCCCTTGACCCGAACACCATGGACCAATTGTACAGAATATACCTGGGATTGGAATCCGAATACGACAACTTGCCTACAGATCTGGCCTTGAGGGAGGGAGAAACCGTCACTCTGGAACCTTCAGCCTACACCCTCCACACACAGTATCTGGCGACTCAAATCATGTTGCTCCGTCCTCCAGGTCGACGAAACAACGGTCAAACGACGACGACACAGGCTGGAGACAATGATGATGCCACCGCCTTCCTACTACCGGGACTGACGTTGCCAGAGGTCTTGGGTCTTATCCGTCAAAAGGCAGTACGGATCGCCCGACTCGTTCAACTCCTCACTCAGATCCACGGGGTCGAATTGGTGGTACCCACAATCCTGGACAATGTATTTGTCGCGGCCTTGAGCCTGATCCGAAACGCCCTCCGCGATCCACTGGCTCTGGAAGAAGACGAGCAATGGCTACGCTTGTTCGCGAGGACCTTGGGCAGCGTCCAACGACATTACCACATGGCGTGCCGTATCCGAAAAGCTCTGACGAGCATCGTGGAAAACACGACCATGGAGGAGATCTTCAAGGTGAAAAGTCCGGGATCGGATTCAACATCAAGCCCACAGAGATTATTGGTGGGACAACAACGACAACAACAACACTTGCTACAAGGACAACAATGTCGGGAGTCACCTCCTTCGTCGATCGGCAACTATCTTTGGCCTATTGCGAGCAGTGGAGATGATGGTTTGTTGATGGACGACTTTCACAAAGATCCTCAATTGCCATCGGTGGTGGGCATGAATCCTGGCGGTGATTGTCTACCAAATCTGGCCTGGTTTAGCAAAGCCTAAGACTGGTTTGGGCGGAAGCCGGGGCAAAAATGACTTGAACGTGTGATTATCCTTGTTGGAAGTTTTGTTTCTTCTTAGGTGTAGGAGCAGGGTCTCGATGGGTTGATATCACACTCACAACCCCGTGACTTCAGCCAGAAACCCCGTGATCCTCGAGTACCGTAAACGGCAAAGTATCCATCGGTACGTGAACGAATTGCCTTGAACAACAGATGAGGTGTTGTGTCTTCGCTCTAATGAAAAAGCATACCTAGGACTAGCTTACCGTAAAATATATCCATGTCGAAGCTTAACGACCAACCATGAGGGTCTTTAAAGTGGTCTGCTACAATACCACCACCCTTGCACCTACTCTTTACAGTTAGTACCTACTCCACCGGGGCTTTTGGATCCACGTCATTGGCCGACTCCCGTCAACCACCATGTGGGAACGTGGTTGTTGATGGATCGATGGATGGGGATAAAAGCTACGGCCATAACGATATTGTCCACAGATGCAACCGTTGTTGAATGTGGACAGTTCGTCCATTCACAACCCAGAACCTATCTCACAACGATTGGCCATGGCTCGGACTTAGTATCGGTCAATGCGGCCGCAGTTGTTCTTTTGCTCTACAATACGGGGTACAAAAAGTTGGACGATGCCATCAAGGGACGAGATGTAACGCGGTCGGTTCTACCCAACCAGACAGTTTGTTGATAGACTTTTGATGAACTTTATCGACTCGTTTACCTACGTTCCAAAAGCACAGAATAAATACTTCGTCGTCTCATAAAACATGAACAAATTCAACAAGACCCCTACGGCCGATGAGGTATGTAGGGCTCTCTCGGATCATATACGAGGCAAGACAGGCAAGTATTAGGTTGTCCGACCTCGAAGCTGACCCTCCAAGGAAGTGGGCAAACAGCTGACGTTCGAATCTTTCGTTTCCCCCCCAGTTATCATCACGGGTACATCACCTGGAGGTTTGGGTGCCGAGACTGCCCGAGCCATCTGTCGAGAACACCCTGCCCTGGTGATCCTCGCCGGTCGTGACGTATCCAGGATACGGCGGACACAGTCTCTCATCACCGACGAGACGCCCGAGGTCAATGTCAGGATCCTCGAGATCGATTTGGGGTCACAACGAAGCGTCAGAAAGGCGGCACGAGAAATCAACGAGACTCGAGAAAAGATTGACGTTTTGATCAACAATGCCGGGGTCATGGCCTCGAACCCGTTCTCCACGTCCCCAGAAGGGATCGAAACTCAATTCGCCACGAACCACATTGGTCATTTCTTGTTCACCAACCTGATCATGCCGAAACTGCTCTTTCCAGGACCCGGCGGCGGTGGCAGGGTGATCAACGTGAGTTCCTCGGGACACAAGCGTGGACCCGTCAGGTTCGACGACCACAACTTTCAGAACGGAATCGTCTACGACAAGTGGAAGGCTTACGGTCAATCCAAAACCGCCAACATGCTCTTCTCGGTCTCACTGGCCGAGAAACTGGGCCCGAAGGGCTTGAGGTCTTACAGCCTCTACCCGGGCCGGATCTTGACGAATATCATCCAAAATATCACCGTCGATGAGATGAAGAGATTCGGTATGATTGTTTTTCTTTTCCTTCTTCGTTGTCTTTTCATAAACATTATCATCCCCTGGCCCTTCCCCCTTTTGATGCTGTCTGTGTGATACATGGGCAAGTCCCCTTGACGCCGACGCTGACATTCATCCTTGGTTTATCATAGGATGGCTCGACGAAAATGGCAACATGATACAAGACCCGATTCTCAAATGGAAGACGCTCGCTTCGGGACCTTCGACCCAGATTGTGGCCGCCTTTGATCCGTCAATTGAAGGTGCGTCGTGTGAAGATTCACGCCCCATGTTATCCTCGAAACTACCCGAGGCTGAAGCTAATGAAAAAACCTTTCACGCGTGTGTAAGCAGACTATAACGGATCGTACCTCGATGATTGTCAAATTGCAGACGATCATGCCGAACCTTATGCTCTCGACAAAGACGGCGCCGAGAGATTGTGGGCTTTGAGTGAGAAATTGGTCGGACAAACTTTCAATTATTAAATAGTACCTTACCAGGCACACGGGTGGGAGAAATTTGGAAAGAATCGAAATGATGCAATGCTTACCATTCGGCATTCCATACTCGTACAACAGAATGAACTCATCGCATTGTGATCAGTCCACCCATTCACTATTCCATATTTCTTGTGTACTCATGCTCAATGTCCTTTTCGCCAGCCTCGTTCATCCTCCAAACCATTTCATCCCAGGGAATAAACGTCATCGCCTTGGCAAAGTTCTGGCTGATTTCGTCTTGTGTTCCCGCTGTACTGTCTTGGTTCTGGTATCGATACTGATGATAGTAACCGCGACCACTTCCAGCATTCATGCCGAGTTTCTCACGGCGTCGCATCTCGGCATTCTTTTTCTGCTGCTGAACCGCAAGCCGTTTTGCAACTTCGTTCGCGTCATGGAGACCGACCAGCTTCCTCTTGGCGGGGTATTTGGCCACGAGAGATTCGACAAGTCGATACACCTGCCAATTGATGCTTCGGCCTGAGCCGTCATCTGCTGCTTCTCCTACTTCTTCTTCTTCCTCTTCACCATTCTGCACTCTCTCGTGCTTGCCTGCAAAGTCCTTCGCCGGCACAGTTTCAACGCTCCAACTGGTTGAGTTCACCAGCTCTGGTGGATGTTCGATTTGTGCACCAAGGTCCATTGCCATTGCAACGTCGAGAGGGGTCATTCCCGTTGCATTTTCCCAGTGGAGAAGCCCAGGCCTATACTCAACCAGGAACTGGACGAGCTTGAGAGATCCACGACGCACGAGGCTGTGAAGAGGATAATCACCGGCCCCGTCCATCTTCTCCAGGTCTTTGCCCAGTGAACAAGAAAGGATGATCCTCACACTCTCTTCCCATCCAGTCGGGGAATTGATACGCTTGAGATACAAAGCAATAGGAGTGAGTCCGCCGGGATCGGTTCCCGTGCATCGCTCAAGCAGTAACGATCCGACGAGACTCTGGTCAAGCATACCAAGGACCGATCGTAGTAAGGCGGGCTTGTCGAAATCAAAAGTGTCCAAGAGGCTGTGCAAGATGTTTCTCCCCTTTTCGTCTCTCGTGGCTTGATTCGCACCGGCGGCGATCAATTTCTTCGCGGCGTAGTACCGATGGGCCTGAAACGCAACGTGAAGTGGCGTGCTTCCATCCGCCGACCGGAGCTCCAAGGATTCTGGCATCTTTTCGAGAAGATAATCAAAAGTCGGCTGAGTACCATCCTTGTTTGGTGACGAAAGAATAGCCAAGTGTAGTGCGAGGCCGCTGTGTGTTCCAAGCCAAGTTGTCAATGATCCTGGAAGGCCACCTCTGGCTTGTGCCAATGCTCGAATGTGCTTGTCATCTCGGAAAGAATGTGCGAAGTCGAGGTAGCGGTGAAGGGGGGCGTCGGAGAGGAAGTACTCTGTAGACTCAAGGTTTCCTTGGAACGCTGCAACAAGGAGTGGAATGCCAAGATCGAATTCGGCCTTCTTGTGGTGGACGCCCTTTCGACTTGCGTCTGCCCAGTCTTGTCGCTTCTTACCATGCACGGTCAACCCTTGATAGTATTGTGGCTTTTCGTCGAGTTTGACCCCAGAGGTCTGGAACATCTTCTGCAAAGGCAAACCGTATCCAGTAGTACGGATCATCTCACTTACCATCTCGACCCTGCCCAGCCTGATAGCCATTTCAAAGTCAAGTTGATCAATAGTCATCACCTTCAAAGTGTCTTCATCATCCTTGTTAGCAGCTATTGCCGTGCCAGTCTTGATCAGAAACTTCAACAAAACCATGTCATTGGTGAATATTGCATATCGTACAAGACTGGCTCGGCGTCTGTTCTGGATCTCATCGAAGGCTCCATGAAACCAGGACCAGGATTGAGCTGAGAGGTTCCCACCTAGCCAGGGAGTCGGTCTGCGATAGGCGCCGAAGGCGTCGTTGACTCTTCGTTCGCCCATATCTTCAGCAAGAGCACGATCAACGTTGCACGTCCACTTCACCAGGGTCTCAGGGGAGATCCTCGACTTGACATTTTCTGCGAGAGCAACTGCATCATCAATAGTGAAGGTGTCATTCACCAGCTGCGCCAAGACTTTGACTTCACGGCTGTCTTGAGAACTCACACTCTCGCTGTAATCACTGTCATCGTCGTCGACTTCGGTAGCCTGGATGGTGTAGTGATAGTGTTCAGATTTCTTCTCGGGCTGATACTGAGCTGTGGCTATTTCAACGATCAGGGTCGCCAGGTCAAGATGTCCCCGCAGCACCGCAATGGAGAATGGAGTGAACGAGCGATAATCCGAGATCGCCACTGCAAGAGGCTGCGAGCCTTCCAAGCAGAGTGACCGAACAGTAGCGGCATCACCAGTCCAAGCCGCCTCAAAGAGCTTGATGTATTTGGCATTTTTCTCCGGTGTAAGATCAGCAACCCTGAATGAGATCTTTGTTTCATATGGCACATTTTTGAAGCTTGGTTCGGAATGGTAGGCATAAATATTTGGCCTCTGATTATTCTTCGAGTCCTCAACCTTGTGCAACTCGTGGAAGGATTTGCCGCCTTTGGCGACAAGTTTTTGTTCCAATTTCGTCAGCTTTGACAGAGTGTCTCTGATCGCAGCATCCTTCTCCTTACTTCCGTCTTCGGACTGTTTGGAAGCAGCGAGTTGCTTTTCGTATTCCTTTCGTTGATACTTTTCGGCGACCTTTGCCTCACGAAGATCATGATATGCCATCCAATATTGATAGGTCCCTTTGTCAAAAGCCAGATACTTTTCATCATTCCCTAATGATTTGGGTTTTTCCAATTCTGCTTCGGTTGCCGAGTGCAGAGATTTTTCCAGAGATTTGATTTTGTCCCGGACGAGATCCAGTAATGCCTTGGGCTCTCCTCTCCAGTATTGAGCGCCAAGGAACTGATAGGCAGAAGTGGGCAAGGTATTGACATCTTCTCCCATGTCAACTAGCTGGTCGACAAGATCTATCATTTCCATGTTGAGAGCAACAGTAATTGGTTGTTCCACGTGTTGTTGGAAGATTGATTGAATCTGCTCGGGGTCGTCTATTATACGTCCTGTGATGCCTCGTTTGAAAGCTTGGACAAATGTCTCCAAATCAACATGTGGATGCGCCCCAGCCTTTAGTAAAGTTTGAACAACTTCCATATTCCGGGCCCGAATGGCTGTGATGATAGGTGCCTTGACTGACGGGTGAGAGTACCATCCCGAAACGGCCAGGAAATTGCAAGCCTTCGAAAATGCCGTCGAGTCGGCGGCTTGTAGCGTCTCCAGAATCAGTGTTTTGGCGTGACTAACTGCGAAATGAAGAGCTGTGGTATGGCTCATGTCTGCCTGGACTGCACTTGCGCCATGGGAGATAAGACTCTTGACTGTTTCGTTGGCTCGTTGCAGGGGAAGTTCAAGGGCGAGTACAATTGTGAGGATTGCCGCACGTGCTGATTTTCTGTCATAGCTATCCAAGATCTTTACCGGCAAGAGAACGTCAGCACCATATTCGTCGATCAATAAATCGATCATATGAGTGTGGCCAGCCAGGATAGCGAGGTGAAGGGGAGACAGAGGACTGTCCCAGGCAAGCACGTCAATGTCAAAGATATCTGGCTCATCTTTGTTTTCTGCCATGGCATCTGGCGTATCCTCGCCGCCACGGACCTTGACGAAGGATCCTTCGGTCATGTCTTCGTCTTCGTCTTCGTCATCCTCGTCTTCGTCCATGTCTTCATCAGACTCGAACGAATTAGTGCTTTCGCTGTCTGGCTGCGCTGGTTGCTCATCTGCGGCTTTAGATGCTGCGGCTCTGCGCTGTTTCTTCCTAGCCTCTTCCTTTTGTGATTCTTCTTCCTCATTGGCTGAACTCTTCTCTAGAATATCTTTGACCATTCGAGTATCACCGCGATGAGCTGCAATATGCAAAGCTGTCATGCCATTGTACAACCTGGAAACAAGACGGGCACCATGTTCAATAAGACAATGGACTATCTCGGGAGTTGAACACATAGTAGCCAAATGCAAAGGTGTCCGGCCTGTATGGTCACGCCGATTCACGTCGACCACTTCGGGAGAGGAGAACCAGTCCCTGACAGCTTCTAGATCTTGGTCGACGATAGCTTGGCAGAGTCTTGTGGTGTTGCCAACATATGCCATTTCGGTCCAATCATCATCAGTGATTGGATTGAAGCTGCCAATAGCCTGTCTTCCAGGGTCGTCTTTGAGGAATGTAAGATCCCCAGCGATATAGATCTTGCTCTCCTCTTCATAGGCTGCGAGATCTGCATCTGTTGTTGGCTGAGGACAGAAGCCGCAACAGTCATGAATCACATCATTGACAAAGCCGAAGAATGCTGGATGGCGATGCAACTTTGTCTCGCGGTCCTTCGGTCTGTTCCACTCGGCATTCAGCAAGAGGTCCTTTGTGAAAAGAAGCTTTTCGATCTTTTTGGCGTTGTATCGTGGACCATATGGGATCCCTACGGTGTGGTAGTTAGACACTTCGTCTTCTTCCACCCACTCGGCCACGTCATCTGGCTGGGCGTCTTTGATGTTTCCTGGCAGTTCATGCCGAAAGCGCTTTTGCCATGGCAATGGGGGGCGGCCTCTTTCCTCTCGACGTTGGGCAAGGTAGGTATCTCGATCGTTCGGGTGCGGGAGCTTCTCCAGGACAAGAACTCGTGCTAGACCTTGGACTCTTGTGAATGACCGTTCAAATATTGTGGGATCGATTCGAGTCCGGTCGATCGCCGGCCAGTACACTTCGAAGCCACGGTGAGAATACTTTGAGAGCCGATTCTCGTACGATGGGGATCTTCTGGTCAAATCGATTGTGTTGATTTGGGTCATGAATGCTGCCAGTGCTCTCGGAGAGGCCCAGACTTGTTCGCCGTCGTAGGCTACACACGAGCAGTCGACATCGAATCCAGTGAGGATCTCAGAGACGCTTTTGTACAAGCGGAGCACAATTTGCACATGGCGAGTCGGGTACTCCGAGACAATGGTGATGGCATTCTTCGTGCGGATCGTAGTAGTCTCGGCGAGGATGCTATCGCGAATTTTGGTCTCGATCTGTTTGATCTTTTCAATGGCCTGATCCTCATTCAACCCATAAAGGAAGATGTCAACGTCAGAGGCAGGTGCGAGGTCTTCATGGTAGTATGATCGAAGGGCTCTCTGGGGTTGATGTTAGATTCTAGCTCCCCAAAAGTGCTCTCGATTTACCTTGGACTCGTTATGAGGTGCATCCACCGGTAGCAAAGACGTAACGACAGCGCTTCCGGCAACGACCACATTGCTCCAGTCCAGGTCAACCAACGCTGACTCCGAGAAAACATTGAAGTTGGTTTTGAACTCCTTGAGCGATTGCACAGTAGCCAGAGAGTCGTGCTTTCTCCGGAGCTCATCGGGAAGGGATAGCAAATACTTCTCTTGTCCGGCTGCTGACTCTTGGCTGAGGTCTCTTGCTCGTATGGTGAGGGGTGCACTGTCAAAAACGGGAACGAGATGATTGGCAGTTGCAGCAGGGTCAGTAGGGAATTGTGCGTAGACTTCTCTGAGCTTGCTTTCGAAAGCTTTGAATGGTTCGACTGCTTTTGCAACACCAGCTTGGGAATTTGGATGCTGGTTGACATAGTCAATGAATTCGGGAATCGAGACTGGAATATCAGGAAGCTCCATGATGTTTTCCTGGTTGTTGTAAGAGCTGCTGGATAATCAGTAGAAGTGTTAGGGAAGTGTTATGATGTGTCCGGTCAGTGTTCTGAGGTGAGTATGCGTTGTTAAATACCCATTGGCCCCTTATCGACCAAGGACAAAGGTGAGAAAAGAGGGCAAGGAATGGTGTAGGCAGCTGCTGGCAGCCTGAGACGAGCGTGGCACTTCTGCAGGCAGCTCATTCATTCATTATCGATCAGACGGCGCAGTGGTTTTTCTCTTGAGGGATTCTCTGGATCAACCACATTTGCGAGCGGAATTGAGAGTCACAGATCGTCGAGCTTCCCCCTTGTACTCCTCCTTGCTCCTTTGTGCTAAAGGTGGAGACGGATGCCTAGACTGCCTAAAGACGCAGGCCACGGCAAGCCTTGGTTGGACTCACTAGGAAAGTGCTGCATCGCCAATCAACGGCAGAGCTTCTTACCAAGACATGGGCCACTGCGACGGGCTCATCTGATGGCTTCTCGAGATTGGTACATGTTTCAGAAAAGGAATCTCTGTGGCTGAACTCAGGAAGCGTTTGATTGAAATTGTTTTCTATTTGGTCCTGAATCATGAGAATTCTCACTCACAAGCTTGAAACACCACGCGCGACAACGCTCAAAGGTCCACCGTAGCAAGACTTACGGTACAACATATAACCCATTTTCCTTGGCTCAAGACCTCGCTCCCTTTCTCTTGTCCTACGTGGCTCGCCGCTCACATCGAGAATCATGATCGCTTAATGAGAGAATCTGTTCCTGTTCCATAGTCTTTATCAGGTTATCAACATGTGGAACCGCGAGATACTGATTCGATACGTACTCTTTTTCATTGTCTGCAGAGGTATCCAAAATGACGCTAACCCAATATGGCAATCCCACGGGGTAATTGGCTGAAATTTTGAGCCTTGCGAACGATGATTAAATATCAAAAGTCGACAAATCCCACATGTACAAGTAGTCCATAACCTCACCACGTTTCTTTTAGAATCTGAAAAGTCTAGGGTCTATAAACCTCGAGGCCTCTCTTCTTTTTCGAGGCTATGGTCCTACTGCTCCGATCGGCAAGATTTGCTTGTACAGCCACGACACGACCGAGACCAAGGCCATCCTTTCGATCAACACCTCGCACTTTTGTCGTTAGTGCTCATCGCCTCTGGTCTTCGCAGAAACTCTCCCCGCCGTCACCCATCCTGACCAAAATGGCCAACGACCACATCCTCACGCTGTCCTGTTCGGACAAACCGGGCATCATCCACGCGGTGACGGGCATCTTTGCCCAAAACAGCCTGAACATCTTGGACCTGCAACAATTCAGTGACCGCGACTCGGAGAGATTCTTCATGAGGGTACACTTTGGCCCCGCGGAGACGACGGACCACCTCACGCGGGAATTCGACGCCCTCTCCACGACCTTCAGCGAAATGGACTATGCCTTGAGGCCGGTCTCGCAGAAGCCCCAGGTCCTCATCATGGTTTCCAAGATCGGCCACTGCCTCAACGACCTCCTGTTTCGACAAAAGACGGGCCAACTACCCATCGACGTCCCCCTGATCGTTTCCAACCACCCGGACTTTGAACCCCTGGCGAAGTCCTACGGCGTCGCTTTCCACCACCTCCCCGTGACCAAGGACACCAAGCAGCGACAGGAGTCCCAGATCCTCGACCTCATCCACGCCCACAACATCGACCTCGTCGTGTTGGCCCGGTACATGCAGGTCCTCTCCCCGAAGCTCTGCGAGGTCATGTCCGGCAAGATCGTCAACATCCACCACAGCTTCCTGCCGTCCTTCAAGGGCGCCAAGCCCTACCACCAGGCCTACGACCGCGGGGTCAAGATCATCGGAGCCACCGCCCACTTCGTCACCGCCGACCTCGACGAGGGCCCCATCATCGAGCAGCGAGTCGCCCGCGTCGACCACAGCATGACACCCAAAGAACTCGTCGACGAGGGGAGCAACGTTGAATCCCAGGTCTTGGCCGCCGCCGTCAAATGGGTGGCGGAACAGAGGGTCTTTCTCAATGGGCACAAGACGGTGGTCTTTAATTGATTTTATTGGTCTTTTGAACGAGCAAGTCATCTGAGTAAACTCGCTAGACCAAGGCAAAGATAAAAGCACGAATTTCTTTGTTAGTATATTTGTAGGTAGTTTCACGAAAAAGACTAGACGTACAAAGGACATGGGCATCACGATCGATTTCTCGTTTTTACTGTACACTCCTAGTGTACCCATTACTATGTACAGGAACTTGAGTGAATATATAAACAACGGGGCGGAAAAGCCACCTCAAAGACTCAAGGACTGAAACCCAAAACAGCAAACAAGTCAGCAGCCATAGAAATATCTACTTCAGAATCTTCAGTTGAATCTCTCTGCTCTACTATCAACATTTAGTCAAGTATGTTACTTGTCTGAAACATACCTATGTAGGTAGGGACCTAGGTAATTTGCTAGTTCTCCTTGATCTTCTTCAACAATCACGCACAAAACCCAAAATAACCTTCCCTTGATGACTTGTCATTCAATCCGTCTATCATACAAGCCGGCGATAGCACTGGTCCTTAATGGTGGGGTATCATAATGTCGTATTGTCATGTCCAAAAAGGACAAGATGAAAAAGTCTTTGCGAAGACTTTTCTCTCCGTAGGTATTCCTTACAACGTTCCTCTCTTAATCAATTCCCCGTCGATACTCGTTAGTAGATCCTGGTCCACTTCATTGATCTCGGGAGATCTTTGCCGCCTGCTCAGCTCCGTCCTGGTGGCTTGTGGGGTTTGATTGGACGTTGTGATTGCTTCAGTACGTGCTGCTCGCGTCTACGCATCCAGACTCCGGGCGGTCGTTTGTACGTCATGGTTGCCACCTTTGACTCTTCTCTTAAAAGGCTTCGCGGATACCAACCGCGGATGATGCTGAGACTCGAAGTGAACCCGTAGTTACTTTCAAAATCAAGTCGTTTGGCTGTCCCATTCCACTCAACGTGACTGTCTCTGGTACATCCCCATAGGACATAGCTCTCCAGGTCCAATTCCTTTGCTTCTATGCCCCCGCCAAACCGAGATTTCAATTCAATCGTGGTCGTCAACGTTAACGTGAATTTCAGATTGATGACCATTTCACCTTTGCCCAAGTCGATCACCCGTCGAGATTGTCGCGAGTTGACGAGGCCCAAAATGTTGTCGATCTAACTTGAATCATTGGTCTCGGCGGTGCCAGTCTCTGCAGATGTTTTCTCATGATCGTCATCGTTCTTCTCTTGTCCCGTGCCGGTCGGCTCCTAACCACCAGCAGATAGACAATCCGCAAGTACATTCTGCAGTCCAACGCGCTCATCTTCCCCGGCACCTTCCCATCCATAGTTGTCATTAGCACCATCCAGGTCCATGCCGTCCTCCAGCTTATCAAGGATGTGACCCGTGATGTGCCCATTCTCCTTTCCACTTCCGATGGACATTTCTTGCAGCTTGGCCTGCCATTCCTCATAGTCGTAGCCGGCGCTTGCATTTCCAATTGTCCAATCCACAAGAGGCATCTGGTTCCACGGAATCGGCCCGGTAGCTCTCGCGAGTTGTAAATCCGGCATTCCAATAGGGCGTCTCGAGTATGCAGCAGCCGCCTCGCAGGGTAATAATTCATCATCCCTTGTCCTCGACAACTTGCCCATCTTGACTTCCGTCTCTTCTCGATCGATCGCTCTTTTATAGCGGGAAGTCAAAATACCACCGTTTGCACTATTCTCGTCGTAACGTGGGCCGTTACTCCTAACCCGGTCAAAGACTTCACCAATCATACTCTTGATGTAATTTTCGGCCGATATAGCCACATACTCGGCACACTGAAGACTGCATCCGCTTGCAACACCCTCCTCATAACACAGCGGGACGATGCGGGCATGTATCGTGTTTGGGTCCGGGAATTCTAGCGTCTCCGCGAACAAGGGCTGCATGTACCGTTTTCGTATTTCCATCTCCCAGTTTGTCTTGGTTATACCGCCGGCCACAGTCCCGCCCGCGGAAACGTTCTCAGGAGCTTGGATTCGGCCTGTCATATATGACTCTTCGTACTGATTTCGTTTCGCTGCTGCAGATGCGGCCTCCTCCTCCTTGTCATTCGTAGCAGCCTTGAGGCGCCGCCTATCCCTGGCCGGGAGGGACATGACCTCGCTCTTCAGACGTTGCTCTCCAACATCGCTCGTGACTGCGGGCTTGTTCGCGGTGGCGAGCGCGGACTTGTCGGTAGTAGCGCTGACCCATGCTGCGAGCCCTGGCTCCGGTGGATCGCGGGATGCGTTGCACAGCACGGCAAGGATGAGTGAATTATGTGCGTGTTCCGTCTGGGGAGAGGTGTAGATGAAGGCGTCGCAAACATCACCAAACTCGCGGGCATTAAGTTCACCTATTACAGCAGGTCAGTGTCGCTGTAAAATTTCATGCTAGGGAATTTCCCGCTTGCGTACCCCGTATGAATCTTGTCAGCGTCTCGTAGTATGTTTCCCAGTCATGTCCTATTAACGACTTGAGTTCGGCGTAGAGGGGCTCAAGATCGACTCGAGGGTAATTTGGCGAGGGTTTCGAGGATTTGGAGGAGGAGCCGGGAGGCGCTTTCGCGTTACTCGTCGCTGATGTGATGGTATCAGATCGCGCGAGTGCCGCTGGGTTGAATGTCTCGTCGAACGTGGCCATCTCGGAGTGGTGCGTAATGGATGTAAAGGATTCACGGCGAGCGCTTTCGGGGCGCGACGCAGGACGAGATTCTGCGCATCCAGGAAGACGGCGACGTACCAGAATCAGGCGTTCATAGTGTGTGAAGAGGACAGAAGGAGGCTTGCGGTGGTGGCCAAGTTGAAGTGGCAGTTGGTGGCAGTCGAAATGGAGTCGCAGTCGGCAGAAGGTGGAGTCTCTCGAATAGTCGACCTACAACACAGATCAGATTCAGATCAGATCCCATTTCACGGTTACAACTTCCCTAGTGGTACGAACCACATACTATATTGTTCAGCAAAACCCTGGCAGTCTTATTGTACATGGTTGAACCAGAAGACAAAGAAAGCAAACTGGATCAACGCGCATTTGGCAATCAATCAGTCTGCGCCTGGACACAAAGGACGCTGCATTCAGAGCCTCATGATCGTAATCCATTTCTACCATCAGACGCCCAGGTTGTTTCAGGGATGTTCTAACCTAACCTAAACTATCTGGACCTTCCACTTCTTCACTGTAGCATCTGCGCCAGTGCTGTAAACTGCATCACCGAGCCAAACAAGACCATTAACCCCTTCTTTGTGAGCGTTGGTCTCCTTCACTCGTTTCCCGGGCTCTCTGAGGCTCCAAGCAAATATGTTGGTGTCAAGACTTCCTGAGACAGCACCTGTACCCTCTGGATTCCATGCGATGCATGTGATTTTGCCTGTATGAGCACTCCAACGGTCTATCACAAGATCAAGGTTTGCCGTGCCTGTCACAAGACCTGTAACTCCACTACTTATCTTGTAAACATAGATCTTGCCAGCTGCTGTGCCGACAGCGACCATGGAACCATCCTGAGAAAAGGATATTGCTGTCAAAGGAGCGGCGGAGACTTTTTCGACAACTGCGGTCTGTTTTGGTGCCTTCCCAGGTGTCACAGAAAACAACCGCAAGCTCGAATCCTCAGAACCGATGGCAACCGTGCTTCCAGATGACGAGAGAGATGTCGGTGTGGACTTGAGCGGAAGCTCTCCGTCTTCTTCGCCGTCTCTGTACACAATTACACTCTCCAGCTGAGCAACAACGACCAATGAATCCGAGGTGCAGGTCAAGGCTTTTGGCTGTGAAGATAATTGAGTCGCCTTCCCAGTAAAGGTCTTTGCGCCGGCATCGACGGTCCTGAGCGAGTCATCCCAACCCACTGAGAAAATTTGAGGGTGCTTGCCAGTGGACGTTGCAGCAAGCCCAGAAATAATATTCGTATGTCCATCACCTTCGATGGTTTCTGCAGTTCCGTTTGCAGGTTCCCATGCACAAAGACGACCTTCGTAACTTCCCGTCCACAGCGTTTCACTGCCGGCCTCGCCTAAGGAGGTGAGTGCTGTGATATTCTTCTGATGTCCAGAGAGAACCTTCGTCGGTTTACTCGAATTTGTGTTCAGATAGTTAAGGTCTCCGCTAAGCGATAGCGAAATGATCAAGCCATCTGCCCTGCCCGAAGGCCATACCACGCCAACTTGCTGATCTGGAATAGCAATGCCATCGCCAAAAGTCCATGTGTGCGTTACTTTCCCTGCCTCTACGTCCCAAGTCTTGACGGTACGGTCGCCGGAGCACGTGACGAAATTCTTCGAATCCTTCGACCATGAAACACCAAAGATACTGCCCTTGTGCCCCTCTGAGCTGTCGACAATCTCCGTCTTCGCCTCTCCTGTTTTGCCATCGTACAGATAGATCTTCTTATCACCACCAACGCTGAGTAGATGACTTCCATCGGGTGAGAAAGCCACGCCATATATGAAATTAGTATGGTTGCCTCTGCCTGGAATATCGTTGAACTTGAAAGGTGCTCCGTGGTAGAAGACCAGGTTCTTATCGTCACCGGCTGTTGCGGCTCTCAATGGCCGTTGCTGTCGAATACTAACTGCGTTGACCTGCGCAGAGTGCCCGCTGATTTCTCCTACCGTGTTGCCTGAATCCGCAGTCACGCAGTGTCCGTAACGTTGTTTTCCGTCGCCAACAGCTATTATGCGTTGACTGTCGCCGTCCCAGGCAATATCATTGATCCTCCCAGATATAATGGCATATTCTCCTTTTGTGGCCCCTGAACCATTCGGTGAACAGTCCCACACCCTGACAATTCCTGAAGCATCGCCTGAAGCGCAGTAGAAACCGGATGGTGCAAATCGGGCGACTGTTGTTGCGGCTGTGTGTTGCGTATACTGTGTAGATATGGCAGGATCGTCGATCGACCTCAGGAAGATTGACTTGTTCGAGGCGTAGGCTATTCGTTCGCCTTTTGAGTCTGCAGACAGCGGGGTAGGTTGCCCTCTCGTAGTCGTAGGTAAGGCGGCAAATATGCCATCTTCTTCTAATCAGTCTAGTTGTTGATCGAGGAGCGGATACTAACCAGCAATAAGAGACATTTCGCCGCATCTAGTAGGGCAAGGGCAACGAGTTAGCAAGGGCTTTGACTCTTGTATGAGGTGGGAGCAAGTGGTTGAATGCGAAACGATGTTCGATGCGTTGACACGAGGCTGACAAGGCTGTAGTCGGGGCGGAAAGCGGGCACTTTGCCAGTCTCGCAAAACGGGGACCAAGTGCGTCAATAGAGTAATTACTAGTAGTGCGGTTCCTCCGCGTGGATTTTTCCCTTGTGATATTCAGTGAGATGGTCGCTTTAATTCTATCGCTAAATTTGTACATAGGAATGCTAGTAGACATGGCTCTGACCAATTTCGGAGCCACTCTGCGTTCCCAAATAGTTACAACTATGGTACACCGTACTCGTACAGATAATCTCTTTTGAGCTCATTTTGCCGTTCTCCCGACTCAAAAGAACTCTTTGTATCTTTGGCCGCAAGATCAACACATTCAAGTGTTTCTGGAGATGGTCTGCCTGCTCTTGGCATCTTCCCTGCGCTCCGTATAGCTTGTATATGTTCGGTCTCAAGTGCAGCGGTTCTGCTAGCAGACTCTTCCCGCCTCTTCTCGGTGCATTTAGTTGTATCGGTGTGTTTTCGTTGTGGGATTGGTGTATTCCTGTCGTGCCTAATGGCTGTATTAACCAACTTTCCGCTTTTGTAATTGGGCCTTCAATATTTCAGGATGTCTGTGGACCGAGGGCATTAAACCTAGTGATATCGCCCGTCGGATAGCCTTTGCGATTTTTCTTTGATTGACTGGTCGCAAGCCGGTAGAGCTGGAGTGTCGAATTCGACCCATCTCGGTCATGTATTCAGACATGATTGCAAAGTTCTGAATCAACATGAGTCAACGGAATTACATGCTCAAGGTGGTCCACAAACCTTGTACAAGCTCAGGGGATTCACCGATAGGGCGTCAAAGACATCAGTCGTAGGCCGCGTTCGTTGCTTCCACTTTCGAGCTTCGGCACCACTCAAATCGTGAGGAGCGTAAACATCGCCAACTTTCCAGGTTCGCGTCATTTGTCTCGACAATGCTAGGCTCTCCTGTGCCTTTTGGTCATCTTTGCTGTGTACAGCGAGCCGCGTTGCACTTCTCGTAGGTATCACTGTACCAAGTTAGCGAACCGACTAATATTTCCAAGCAATTTCTCTGAACACATACGAGTAAAGGACTGTCGCAGTGGCTGCGGCTTTGCCAGCCGTAGCTCTAGCCCCAAGTTGGAGCCCAATCGCAGGGACATGGCGCTTGCTTTTCGTCTATAGCTCGTTGTCGAAGTAGGTAATGTCGGCGAGATACAGACTGGGAGCAGGTCAAGGTTGCTTTGGGTTGGAGGAAGATACTGTAAAACGGCAAGAAAAAAGCGCGCGGACCACCCTCATCCCGGCGAAAAAGAGACGCTGCCTTATAATTTTGTGATCGTGAGCTCCTCAGCGCCCTACATTTTTGATCGTCGACCTATTTAATTCCACTCAACGGATTCTTTATATCATCATTGGGAGCGCTCTTACAGCAAGAGCGTCAATTACATCCTAGTCATATCATATAATCGTTCCTTACATGGCTCCGTGTATTCTCCCTCAGGTGGCCCATAGCCTTAGAACCTGACCTCCCTCATTTCCCCCTTCTGCCTCTGTACATCAAACTCAATCCACCTGCCCACTCCACTCCCTCTAGAACTTGCTCGACTCATGCCCAATTCATCCACAATGCGTCCTGGATTCATGACATGGCAGCCTTCGTAAGTGATTGTGAACCCGGGCATTTCTGCGTCTGCAAGCACCAGTGCTGTTGGTAGAGGATATAATGACAAAGCGCCGGCATGATCCCAGAAAACCGGGCGAATTGAATGTGCGAATGGTGCGAGATGAGCCTGGTCAAGTACGGTCTTGATCAGTTTGCGCGCAGCCTGCGTCGAGTGTGCCGTATTTGAATGAGCCTTTTTCTCGACGGGACCAGGAACATGAGAGGTCGCCTCGTGTACGCGCTTGTCGAGAGTATCGCTCATTCCTGTAACATCCTCCTCATGACCGTCATCACGCTCTTCGCCCAACTCAGTATTAACATCATCGTCTTCTTCGACATGAGGGTTGGCCAATGTGACAGCAGTTCTTCTCAACCGACCAGTGATATCATCTCTGAAGAGAACGATCTCATCTAGTGGGCCAAACAAACTTAGTCTGGCCGGATTGCTAGCCCAGACTGCTTCACCAGCCAAGCTGCTTTTATCCTGCCGTTCGGAATTCGCACTGGCGATGACTCTGCGAATTCGGCTAGTGAAAACCTCAGGTACTCCCTGACGGGGCAGCACACACGCACCACCACCAGAGAAAGAACTTGCCCATGGGTCATTATCACCGGGCACAAAGACGAGCGTGGTATTGGCCAGGAGAAAGGGAAATTCCGCGATCACTGAAGCTAGAGCATCGAAAGCCTCTTTATATTCTACACTGCCGCCCTTGGTGCCGCCCGCCATACTTGCGGCAGAGATAAAATTCCCTATCAAGACCACGCTAAGAGGGAGATCGTTCGTATCGGTGGCTGATGAGTTGTACGTCGAGAGAATGGCGCGAATGGCTTCAAGGATACGGGGACTGTCCAGTGTACACTCTGCTAAGATGGCAATTTTCGTCCGTGGTAGATGTTGTGCCGTGATATCGTCTCGGTCTGCATTGTTATCCGATAAGTCTGCGATGTGTGAGGTGGAAGGAGCAGATTGGGTGTATACTCGTCGTTGAAGCCGTCGCATTTGGGCGCCTATGCCTTTCTCGCTGCCGACACCCAAGAAATCGATCCAGCCGAAGCTAGCCCCAACGCTGGTATGTACATTCATTTTGTCGGACTCGAGACCGTTTGAAGAGCCGATTGTAAGGCTGCGTCTCTCAGCAGGAGGTCCCGCCATGGTTTCGGTGACAAAGTGTCCTTTAATCTGGCCGCCTACGCCAGCGGCTGTGCCGAGATTCGAGATGTGAGAACCATCCTCCTCATATGTTCCTTCGACAAGGACGATCATTCCAGGACAAAACCAAGCACCACCCACTGGGACAGGGCGGGCTATGGACAAATCCAGAGTGACACTGCCGGAAAGATCTGTCAATGCAATATCGCCAGCTGCAGAGTACACCAGCATGCCGAGAAGGAGGTGTGACGAGCCGGAGCGGCCCAGGAGGTTTGAGATAGGGGTGATTTTATATGCTTGTTGGAGCGTGGCAGCGCTACTGCCAGAATGAAGCAGACTGGGCGGTCTGGTCGATGTAGTAAATGATGGCGCCTGAAAAGATTCATTTCGCATGAGGCGCTGGTGCACCAAGTGGTATCGGTTTCGGAACATGGCTACCTTGTGCTGTGTCGGTGGTAGCAGAGACGCTTTCCCCGAAGCAGTCTCTAATGTCTTCTTGGTCGTTGAGTAGGTGAGCCTAGGCTGCTCAAATGCAGTTATGACTTGAAGGTAAGTTCTTATGTCCAGTTGTTGCTCGTCCTCTGTTTGGGGATCTGATTCTTCAACGTTCAATCCTGAAATGCCCAAGCTAGTTTGACTGTCCTCTCTGCTCACATTGGGTCGGTCTGCAAATGAACCAGACCGAGAAAGAGTCGGCGCCGCTACTGAACTGTTCGTCCGAGAAAGCTTTCCCGAATCGAGTCGGCCACCAGACATACATGGTTCGAGGGTTTTGAGAATGCCTGTTAGTTTTTTGTCTTGGCCATCTTCGATGATCAGTCCTCCGCCATTTCTTTTCCATGTTTTTGCGATTTCGTCAAGGACACGCTCCGCGAGGCCCTCTTCTCGCCATCCACTACCACAGAACTTGCCTATAAAAGTAGACAACAGACCCAACCCAGAGGATGTGAGGGTCAGATTATGTTTCTTCGTGAGGGTTCTAAATGCGACCGGTCGTAATGTCTGTGGGGGCAATAGGATCGGAAGGACCGTAGGGACATTATGCGACGTAGCTGTGTTCAGCTGTGCTGCGAAAGGCTGTCTAAGTGTCGTTGGTCGGCCCTTAATTGGATATGCAGGAGTTCCGAAGCCAGGCGATGAGGACAGAAGTTGGTCCTTCGAGCCTGTTGCACTTGGCTTGAAAACCGGTGCGGGTAGTTTGGGCGTTGATACGGGTTCCTCCATTGTCCTCATGAAATAGTACTGTGTATTGTAGTTAGAGTATCGCGGATTTCAAGATTGCAGATTCACATGCACATACAAAGAAGAGTGTAAAGTGGTTTTTTGGCCGACGCGTGAAAGCGCGACGCGTCGGAGAAGTTTTGGAGAGCGGGAGTTACTTCCTATATTCCAAGAGAACGCAGCGCAGGCTATAGATTTATCCTTCCCTCGCTGTCGCAAATCACCCCGTACGACTCACATACTCCCATCAACGTTTGCGTCGACTGTCTCAGTACCGTGCATTCTATCACTCTCACACCGCAACATCTCTTGCTATCACTGGCAAACATGTCTACAGCACGCGAGACTGGGAACGAGAGCGTATCAATTCCTCATCCCACGGACGAGGCTTCAAGTCTGTCGCCTCAGGAGCAACTGGCTGAGCTCACAGCCAAAGCAACCGCCGAATATGCCGTCAAACACTTCTCGGAAGCTGCTGAATTGTATTCGCAGGCAACAGAGTTACAGGCTGAGATCAATGGAGAAATGGCTCTAGGGAATGCAGATCTACTGTATTCATATGGAAAGTGTCTTTTCTTCCTTGGTCAACAAACAAGCTCGGTGCTGGGTGGCACTGCGGCATCAGCACAGCTGTCCTCAAACAGGGGCAAACAAGGGTCCAAGAAGAGAAAGCCCGCCGCGACCAACACGACAAATGGAAAGAGTTCGAAATTGCCCGCCGTCGCAGAAGAGGACACAGTTGCCAACGTAGGTGATGTTGTTCCAGAACAGAATGTCAAGCCGGAACAGTCCACCTCCGACAAACCCTTCTTCCAGATTAGCGGCGATGATGAGAACTGGGTGGAATCAGATGAAGAAGAAGCGGATCAAGACCAGGAGGCGGAAGATGAGGAGGATGACGACTTTGCAGATGCTTACGAAATGCTGGACCTCGCCCGTGTTCTGTATTTGAAGAAGCTGGACCAGGCTCAAGAACACGAACTCGAAGAATCGGAAAAGGGAAAATATGTCGCATCGATAGACCTGACACCAGAGGTTAAGAAACTGAAGAGTAGTGTCGCCGACATCTATGATCTACAATCAGAGGTCTCTCTTGAGGGCGAAAAATACTCAGCGGCCGTGATTGACCTGAAACATTGTCTTGCATTGCGAGAAGAATTGGAACCACCAGAGTCCAGCATTCTCGCCGAATGTCACTACAAGCTCAGCTTGGCCCTTGAGTTTAGTTCACAGACACAACAACGCGATGCAGATGGAAACCCGACAGGCGAGCTCCAGATTGACTGGGACATTCGAAATGAGGCCATTGCACAACAGGAGAAGGCTATTGACTGCTGCAAGCTACGTGTATCCAAAGAAAATGCGGCAATTGAACCATTGGAGGCTGGGCCACAGAAGGACAAGGCCATGGTTCAAGTCGAAGACGTCCAGGACATGATAGGGGAAATGGAAGTGCGATTGGCCGAGCTTCGCAAGCCTCCGGTCAATGTTAAGGAGGAGACGGAGATGAAAGAGCAGCTCTCGGGTATCTTGGGTAGTATCCTGGGAAGCGGTGCCACGGAACAGGAGAAAAAAGACAAGCTAGCCCAAGCGTCAGAGACGGCGACCGACCTGAGCGGACTGGTCAAGAGAAAGAAGCCCAAGACGTCGCTGGAGAATGGGGGAACAAGTGGTCTGGGATCTGCTGCATCCACGCCAATCGCCATGGCCGAGACTCCTGAATCAGGACCAACGAAGAAACGCAAGGTGGAGTTTGTTGACGAAGTACAAGCGTCCTCACAAGAGAAGAAGTCGAAAGTAGAAGATGTTACCGATACATGACAGTTACGAAAAACATGATGGGGTTCTTCGATCTGGTGTGAGAATTTGGATTCGGAGTTTCTAAGGTGCTGGATTGAGTAGGAGGCCGGGCACAATGATACCAGCAGGGGAGGGTCTAGGTATAGAAACATGTGTGCACTACTTTCTCTCCTTCCGGCCTCACTTTTGATGTACAATAGCCATGGCTTCGACTTCATACAGTATTTCTGGTGCCGCCAACTTCTCGACACCCAGCAAGGTGCTCGGTGGACGATGGTCGCCAATGAACTTGATATATGCTTCGGCTCTGGAGGTGTCCTTATAGTCAAGATTCACGACAAAATGAGTGGTTTTGATAATGTCTGCGGGCGTCGCGCCAACCGATTCCAAACACTTTCTCAGGTTCTCCAAGGCCACCTCAACCTGCTCGGCGAATGTCGGTGGTGTTGTCCCTGATTTGGCGTCCATCCCGATTTGGCCGGCGATGGTGATCAAAGTGCTCGTAGAAGAGATGGGTGTAGTCTGTACATGTGTATATGTCGGACGTGGTGCGTGGACGAAGGGTGGGTTGATCAGTTGGGATTTGGAAGACATTGTGAGAAATGTTATTGAGGAGTATACGGAGTATCAACGGGATATCAAGAGAAGAAGAGAAACCATCGAGCAGAATTTTATACAAGATCCTTTTTGACCCAAGAAAGCTTTTGGTATTTATTACTTCAGAGTTGTCGATCGAGGAACGTGGGGTTAGGGAATCTTACCCAACAATGGAGATGGCCGCTGATGTTTATGGGCATCATTCCTGGCTTGTTCATGGACGTAAGCCACTTAATCGATTTTACCCTACTACGAGCCACACCTGGTGGCAGACAAAGATTGCTTGTGGTGTTTCTCGACCCGTGATCTTGACCTTGATCTATCGATAGGATGAGTGTTGGTCCTTAGGATCTCGTACTCGTACAGCCTAATTGATTGGAATTATATTAATCCGTTCCATGAGGCTGCGGGGGCTGAAGAGGCTGGTGAGACGTCAATGACAATGGACTGTATCTCAGATCTTTCCTCAAGGAGAGAAGTCAAGGACAACCTTGATTTGTTCGCAAGTCTGTATTGATCTCGATCTGTTTGCCCCTCGGGCCATCGGATGGAGGAGATCACCATCAGTACGAGAGCCTGGGGCAAAATGCGGGCGAAAAATTGTACAGTAGTGTGAGAATGTGGGGTCCTTGTGCCGTCTGGCCATGGAGGTTCGAAAATTGACCATCAAACCCCGAGCTCGGTCTCTTTCTCCCGGAGGTTTCTCCTCTTACGAGCCATCTTTGTTCTCGGCATATACATACCTAGATATCCACAGCTCCATTCAATTCAACGCGCATAGTCTGTGGAGCATCAACAAACAGCGAGGTTATAAACATGGCGACGCTCAATGCTGACCAGACTTCTCCCACACCCGCCTCCGAAGAGAGAGCTTCTTCGGTTTCGGGAAGCGATGGCGAAAACGACAACGACACCGTAAGCGGGACTGCCGCCGATGGCAATGCGAGCAAAAAACGCAAGAGGTCGCTGAAAATATCGTAAGTCCATTTACCCCTTTCTCCTACGATCTTTGATTGACAGCGAAATCAGTTGTGAGCTCTGCAAAACGAGAAAGGTCAAGTGCGATCGCGTAGAGCCGGCTTGTGGCTGGTGTGCGCGGAACAACCGAGTATGTGTTTACAAGGAAAGGCAAAAGCCAGGTCTGCGTGTCGGTTATGGCCGTGAGCTTGAGGAGAAAATCCATCGCCTCGAAGCTCTGCTCCAGCACATGGGACGTCGGCTGGAAGAGCACATTACTGAGCATGGTGACCCTTCTCAACCTCGACCAGGGACCGTGCGCATGACTTCACAGCCAGTACAATATCCAGTGGGCGCACCGAATGAACCGCGTCCGTCAAATGCGAGTATTGTATCTCAAGATACTCCCGGTTCCGATCCCCGGTGGGCACCTTCAAACGCCTATGAACGGATGCAATACCCTCGACCGCAGGATGCCATGTCCATCCGCTCAGTAGTTGATACTGGGATGCAAGACAGTGTTTCTCAAAGCGACCCTGCCGCTTCGACAGCATGGTTCCCGACATCAACACCGGCACCGTCAACATCAGAGTCAGAGCTTCCTCCGTATGATCTGTTGTACACTCTGGTTGACCTGTACTTCAAACACGTCAACCCCTGGTCGCCTATTCTCGATCGTAAGAACACATTTGACGCATTCTTTGGTACACAGTCGATGGATGAATCTGACCGAGTACTCGAGCATGCGGTGGTCGCCACAAGTCTGCGATTCTCGAAGGATCCACGCTTGACAGCTGAGTCACGATCTCAATTTTACGAAATCTCACGCCAGAAGATCATGCTGTATGCTCTCGATCATCCAAACGTGAGAGCGTTGCAAGCTTTGGTCATCCTCGCTGTTGACGTCCTCGGAACATCAAACGGCCAGCAGGGCTGGAATCTTTTGGCCTTGATAACTCGAAATATTGCGCAGCTCGGCTTAGACGAAGAAAAAAGCGCATATCTGGAATCTACAACATATCCATCTGCGACATTGCTGCAAGCCTCCCAGCCAAGAAATTGGATCGAGAGCGAGGAACGTCGGCGCTTGTGCTGGATGGCGTTTGTGCTTGACAGATACGCTACTGTTGCGACAGAGGATGCCTTCACCCTTGATGAAAGAGAGATGGATCGATGCCTGCCCTGCCGGTATGATCTGTTCTCGCGAAATGAGCCAGTGGAGACACGTTGGTACAGACGAGGAGCTGTAGGCGAGATGCTAGTCAACAAGCCCGAGAACCTGGGTAGCTTCTCATACCATTGCGAGGTCTTGGGAATTCTTAGCCGCATTCACCGCTTCCTACACCAGCCTCTTGACATCACTAGACATTCCGACATCCAACGATGGCGCGAGACATATCGGGCGCTCGATGGCGAGCTGAACAACTGGCTTCAAAATCTGCCGGGTGAATACGGCAAGATCTCGCAACTATGCCATTCGGATCCTGGAAGTCGAATCTCGAACTGGATCATGCTCCATGCAGCATTTGTCACGTCGGTCATTCGACTGCATTCGTCGGCAGCTTATCCAACAATCAAGTCCCCCGTTTTTACACCGTCTTATCATGCCATACAACGATGCCTTGGGGCAGTGGAGAGCTTGAGAGAAATTGCGCAGGACGTCCTCAACACCGGCATGCTCGCCCTTTTAGGGCATCCCTTTGCATTTGCATTGTGGGTTTCTGCTCGACTCTTGCTCGTCCATGCAGCTACCATGGAATGTGAAGTTGATGCCAAGATTGGCTTCTTCATTTCCACCCTCGACCAAATGGGCCAGCATTGGCAGGTTGCACGAGATTATGCTAGGATCTTGAATGACGTGCTGCAAGAAGGCAGTACTGGTGCTAGCAGAACATTCACGGCAATGAGAAGGTAAGTTCTGCTACTACCTTGGATTGCGCATTTGACTAACACGAGCAGGACTGCTTACGAGCTCAATCTTCTGATCTCACAACGCCCTCGCTCTGTCTTGGATTCAGCTACGACTCATAATGCACCACAAAATGAGATGGAATATCTCGAAGTGTTTGACTTCTTCAACTATCCACGATTGAACGCGATATCCGGGAATGGCTTTGACCCATCTGGAATTGTATCCCCGATCGGCAACAATGCAGGAGCACAAAACCAACCGCCGTCATATCGAGCCACACCGGCATTTGTCATCCCAAACCCCGAATCCGACTGGTTAATCTTCAAGCCACCATATGAATAAAACACCTTTTGAAGGGTGTGCGTCAAGTCACGCTCTGAAGGAAACATTTTCCACGACCAAGTTATGGGTACAACGGGATTTCAGATATTTCTGACCTCATCTGGGTTACTAAGTAACAGACTACTGTTCTTGTGAAGGTACATTTGCCCTGTCCCTATCCACCCGCATTTCAGCTATACCCTCAAACTTCTGTGCCGACTCTGAGCTCTCCAACCCAGCAACGACCGCATGGCAGTCCCTGGAAGTATCACTGGCCCCGATAATGCTATCTCAGACTTATGTTAAGACCTGTTCTATGGGCACACTCATCTTTTTGAAGCCAGCCTTGACGGGTTCTCGCGCGAGCATTCTCTTGAGCCAGTCATGGATCACCGGAAACTCGGCAAGGTCGAAATCCTCCTTGGGGGTGACCAACGGCATGATCACGTAGTAGGAGAGAAAAGCGAGGTCAGCATATGAGTACTTGTTGCCCACGAGCCAAGGGCCGTCGCCGCCGCCATGCTTCCCCGTCTGGGCCTTGAGCAAACCCTCCAGAACGCCACTGATACGCTTCATCTCGCCCAGGTAGCGCTCGGTAGCGCTCGGGAGCTTCTCGGGATGAAACTTCTTGAACCAAGAGTATTGCCCAAAGTACGGCCCCTGGCCGGAGACCTGGTAAAACAGGTATTGTCTGGCATGGTAGAAGTCCGAGGTACCTGGAGCGAAGCCGAACTTGTGCTCAGTATCATACTTCTCGAGCAGATATTCGATGATGGCACCGCTCTCCCAGATAAGGATGTCGTTGTTGTTGGGGTCTTTGATGGTAGGAAGTCGACCGTTGGGGTTTATTGCGGTATATTCTGGCTTCTTGACATCTGCGAAAGGGATGTCAATGATCTCGTAAGGAAGGCCTAGTTCTTCCAGCAAGGTGGCGACCTTTGGTGGGTTGGGGCCTGATTTGCCCCAGAGCGTGAGTGGCTTAAGTCCAGATGCCATTGTGTGGGTTGTGTCGATGTTGATTTTGATGCTGGAAGTGAAGACAATCTTGTCAGGGAGAACCAACTGCGAAATTTATCTTCAGAGAGGGACAATGAAGCTGAATGAGTCGATGAAAATCTTCAAGCAATGCATGGGTAGGACAGAGAGATTTATACATGTTATCACGACTTGCGATGTGATGCAGTGCGTACGAGTCCATCCCCTGGCATCTTTCTACATGTGATTCACTCCTGTTTCTCGTCACTCCTCGTCGATCGAGCATTGGACCGTCCACGAAGGCTGAGGCAGTTCGGTTTGGTTTGTCAGGGACATAGACATAGGCCCACAGCTGAGAAGCCTGGCCAATCATAGCAGCGAAATGTTCGCAGTGTTTCTTCGGAACGGGAATAGTTCAAACCCACAAAGGTCCTCATTACTCAGCGAACATCGGCGCCTCGTATGATTGTGATCGCACAGACTCCATCATTGACCTTTAGGTTTACGACATGGTGGACATAAGATGCACGTTCCGGAAATCGCCTTCACTCTCGATTGACCCTCCTCCCATATCAGGACAAATACCACGAGCGCTTCTGCCCCCACGCACACCACCTTTTGCGTCGTGAACCCTGCCCGGGGCAAAAGACATCCGTTTCAGCATGGCAATCACAAGCAAAGGGTGCCAGACCTGCAAGCTGCGACGAATCAAGGCACGTTTCCTTCTCCCTTCCTTGTCGCCGTCGCTCCTAACGAAGCCTTCACAGTGTGACGAGGGCAGACCAATTTGTGAGCGATGCACCAAGTCCCGTCGTGTGTGCCTGCCCACGGATGCGGTCAAGCAAGCGACGTTCTCGATCCATGTCGAGAACCGCTACGCGAGCGGCGAGGTCCATCGCCCTCGAGGCCCTCGGTCGAGTTTGACCATGCTCCGACCGCAGATCAACATCCAAGCCTGTGCCCTCGCGTTCTACCTCCGCAATTACGTCGAGCCCACGGAAAAGCACCCACGTTTAAGCACCTGCGTGGCCGAATCGCTACTGGCGTGGCGCGAGTCCAGCCGCCACAGGACGTGCCCCATGGTCGACGCCGGGCTCTCGTCCCTCGCGCTGGCAGTGTTTGCGAGGACACAAAAGTCCGACGCGGCCGCCACAGGAGCCTCGTCAGCGTACCACCGGCTTCTGGGCTTGGCCAGGGGCCGCATCCGGACCGTCGTCGGGCCCGACGTCGACCAGAGGAACGTCGAAGCTTGTCTCCTCACGGTGTTGTTGATGGGTCGCTACGAGGGATCCGTGCACCGTCCAGGCATGCTGACGACTTCATCTCCTTCTTCTCTTTCCGCGCCCCGAGATTCGTTCATGAGCCTCCGAAGCTGGCTGCACCACGACGGAGCACTGGCCATCCTGCACGTGTGGAACGACCACCTGAGCCAGTTGGACGACGCGGCGAGCTGCATCATCAAGCACACCCGTCGAGGCTTGACGCTGTCCGCTCTCCTCAGAGGCATCCCGCTGGCGGATTGGCTTCTCGACGGCGAGCGGTTCGGAGAACGGGATTTGGATCTCGACTACGACCGCATTCTCGTGCCGACGGTCAATCTACGCTACGCCGTGAATCGGCTGTTGCTGAAGGGGCAGGCGGGTCGTGACGCCGCCGCCGCCGCCAGCGATCTGTCCACGGCTGACGAACTCGACGCGCACGCGAAGAAGCTAGACACAATGTTGGAAGAGTTCGCCACCAAGATCCCCTTTGCCGGATCCCGACGGCGCTTCTTCCTCGGTGAACAAGCGCGAACCTGGTCGACTTGGCCCCAAAAACACTTCTTCACCCCCTTTGTGACAACGTACGAGGATCAGGGCTACGCTGCCCTCTGGGCGCTGTACTTTGCGGCCAGGATCCTGGTGAACAGTACACGTCTGAAGATCCTGCGGTTACATCCACCCTCTTCCGACAGGGAGATGAGGTCGGCGTACGATCAGGCACGAACAGAGTGCCTCAGCAATATTCACCTCATGGCCGGTGACCTGGCCTCGGTACACCCGTTCGTCTTGGACAGGGTGGTCGAATCCACGACGACAGACCCCGCCACAAGCAGGTGTGGCTCGGATCCGCCTTCGTCTGCGTTTTCGCTCGTCGTGAAGACCGACGAACCCGTCAGGCCGCATTTGGCCACGTTGATGGTGTGGCCGCTGTCCGTGGCGGGGAGCGTCGAAGGCGTTGGTGCGGACCGGCAACGTTGGTTCCGCTCGGAGCTTTCGGAGATCGGGAGGATCGTGGGAGATGGGATCCTCGAGTGTGCAGAGACGGAGCATTGGGTAGTATTGTGAAGATGAACTTGTGGATACCCTGTTCTCGCTCCTACGACCTCTCTGCCACACTTTGTCAGCGAACGAATCGCACGGTGGCACACGCCGACGGGGACGACAGCATTTCTTCATCGGGAAACATTTTTGATTCACGATCCCACAGTGTGAGGCAAATTCGGAGAAGGTCATCATCATAGGGCACTACTTGTTTGTATGTCGTACAGACTCTTTCCCCCCCCCTGTCTCTCTGTCCTCCAGAGTTCTTTTTGCACTTGCAAACACAAAAGGGCCCCTGAAAGATAAGAATCATGCCGGGAAATCTTTTTCGTTTTTGGCCAGTCCCGATTTTCCGTTACAACGCCAAACGCTACAATAAAGAGGAAAACAGGTATCGCCGCTTTCCACACCGTACTGGGAGAATGACAGAAGATCAGTTGGCCCAACCCTTGCTCATCTCCACGGCCTTTTCCCACCGAGCAAAGCGCGACGCACTCTCCTCCTTGGAGATGGCAGGCTTGAACGTCGTGACGCCCTCGGTGTTGACGGCCTTGAGCTCGTCGATGCTGTCCCACACACCTACGGCGAGACCGGCCGCGATGGCAGCTCCTAGAGCCGTGGTCTCGCGCATCGCCGGTCTCTTGACGGGGATGCTGATCAGATCGGACTGCGTCTGCATGGTGAGGTCGGAATTGCACATGCCGCCGTCGACGGCCAGTTCCGTGAGCTTGTGGCCCGAATCCTTCTCCATGGCCACGAGAATGGCTTTTGTCTGGAAGCAGGTGGCCTCGAGTGTGGCACGGGCAATGTGCCCTCTGTTCGTGAACGCCGTGATTCCAAAGATGGTCCCTCTGGCGTCATCGATCCAGTATGGCGCGAACAAGCCGCTAAAGGCGGTGACGAAGGTGACACCGCCGTTGTCGTCGACCGTCTCGGCCAACTGGCTGATCTTGCTCGAGTTCTCGATGAAGCCAAAGTTGTCGACAAGGAACTTGACGCTGGACCCGGCGACGGCGATGGACCCTTCGAGCGCGTACATGGGTTTACTGTTGCCGCCAAAGTCGAAGGCCACGGTGGTCAACAGGCCGTGGGTCGAGATGACGGGCTTCTCACCCACGTTGTAGAGGATGAAGGAGCCCGTGCCGTACGTGTTCTTGCCCAAGCCGGGGGTAAAGCCCTTTTGGCCGACGAGCGCCGCGGACTGGTCACCAAGGCAGCCGGTGATTGGGACGCCCTTGAGCACCGTGGAAGCAAGAGAGCCATATGCGGATGGGTCGGAGGAATGCACAATCTTGGGGAAGTGCACCTTGGTGCGGTCGATACGGAAGAAATCGATGAGTGACTCGTCGTACTTGAGAGTCTTGATATTCATGAACATCGTCCTGCTGGCGTTGGAAGGGTCGGACACAAAGATGTTTCTCTTGAGGCCTGAATGAAGAGGATTAATGTCAAAAGCCCAAAATGACACAAGCTAGTTATGATAGGAATAAAATTGCTTACCTCCGTTCAGCTTGAAGACGAGCCATGCGTCGATGGTTCCGAAAGCCAAAGTGCCCTTCTCATAGGCTGCCTTGACTTTGGGCTCGTTTTCGAGGAGCCATAGAAGCTTGCCGACTGAGGGATATGTCGATAGGGGAAGGCCACAGATGTCGGTGAGTTTGTCAGCACCCAGGCGTTGCTTTAGTTTGCGGACTAGACCCTGGGTACGGGTATCTGTCCAGACGATTGCGTTGTACAGAGGCTCTCCGGTCTCCTTGTCCCACACGACGGTGGTCTCACGTTGATTCGTGATGCCAACGGCCTTGATGCTGTTGATGTTGTGGCCTTGATTCTCGAACTGCTTGACCGCTCCGTCGATACATTCCTCGACTCCAGCCACGATCTCGAGAGGATCATGTTCGTGCCAACTAGAGGTCATTCAGTCAATTTACAGGCTGTTCTCAAATTCAACAGATGGCCTGTCCTTACCCTGGCTGAGGATATATTTGCTTGAATTCAAGCTGGTGAGAGGCCACAGGCTCGCCTTGTTTGTTGAAGATCAAGAACCGAGAGCTGGTGGTTCCCTGGTCAATAGAACCAACGAAGACCTCTTGAACACTGCCCATATTGATTACTGGTTGAAGGACTTTGAAAATGAATCGACACGAGAACTCGGAGAAAGAAGGTTGGAGGAGAGTCTGGAGGGTGAACTGAGGGGTCTGGAGAGCTTCTCTGGGGAGGGGGGAAAGAGACGTGCTTTATAAAAATCGTTGCGGAGATTGTTGGTTGCTCGACATGTGCTCCGTCCACAGCTGAAGCGAGGCACATGGTCGTATGACCCTACCCGATTCTCCCTGGTCCCAGTAGACCGGGGCGGAGGCCGAGATGCTCGGTATATTGTCTGGTCATGTCGAGTCGTGTCTTGGTGGCCCTCGGTGTCGTTCTGCAGGCAAATTCCCGAGCATGGACTGTTATCACCCCGAAACTCCACGAAGTATAACCCACACGTCCCGCTTGCTCATCCTATTTCGGCCCATGGGACCGGGAGGTACACGCGGAGTGGGCTGGGATGATTGCGAGATTGCCAGGGGACAGAGCCACATGGCGCGGGGAATAAGGCTAGAAGTGGAATGAGCACGAGGGGCGACCCATGCTACAAAATGAAGTACGAGTAGCCTGACTTGTATTCCGTACAAGTGGCTCAGACACAACTAAAGCACCTCTGGACTGGATCTGTGTAGCATCGTCTGTGGAGAGAGAAACCGGGCGGAGGGGAGAAACTCGGGGTTGAAAGACCGAGGAAACTGGAGATGCAAATAGAGTTATGGCCAAGAGACTAAGCCAAGAAGCGTGTCATTCAGTTGTCTGACAGTGACTGACAACGCCTTCCGCTGTGTGCCGGGGTAGGGATGGGCCAGAGATGCACCCAAATGATTGTGTCAGACAACGATATGTACCTTCAATACGTAACCGGCCGGACACTGGAAAATCAGAAGTTCCGGGCTGAAGGTAAAAGGGCGTTTCCTCGGCGTATTCCGACTATGTACTGGTGCAGTATGACGAATCTTCCACCTTTTGCCTCTGCGCCTTGTAACGACTACGATATTACACAATCTCCAGTCAGCAAATTCATAGGATAGCTGAGTCTTATGACCGTCAGCATGCACTTTCTCTCCGCGACCATGGGCACAGCTCTGAGATCCTAGCGTACCCCAAAAGCCTCAAATCTCAAACCCGCATTCTGCGCTCCAGCTGAAATCAAAATGGCGACTGCGCTCAAAGGTATTATTTTACATACAATAAATCAAGGGTCTTAGTGTCCGAGATATCCGCAATTGACGCTTAGGTATCTCGGTATCACAGTCCGACTGTACATACTTCGCCTGGTAACACTGTTACCTGCCTACGGGCCGCTTTCTCCCAGGATGAGACTGGTCGTTTCACGGACCCACCATCCATTCTTGTTCTAGACTTCATCCGAGCCTGTAAGGGCCGAGTGTCTCCTAGACATGCCTGTCAGACCTTCCCTGCACCGGTCGCACAACCCTGGAAGGCGGAATGAACGTGGCGTGGTATGGGCACCCAGCGTGGGCGGAATCATGGAGATGGCACATCTCTCCCATCTATATAACATTGCTTCCCCCTTCCCCCATGGGCTTCCATCATCACTCTCACTCCATCCCCCACAAATCCACGTGGCAAAATCCTGAATCTTTCTAGCAAAGGGTGCGACTTTGCTTTATGTCGTCTTCATCAACAGCATCCTCAGCCTCCGTGGAAAAATTTTCAGTCGCCATGCCCAAAACCGCCCACGAGGAGAACCCTCATCACGATATGCCTCAGCCTGCTAGCAGACGAACGTCTGTTATGGGCGTGCCGGCCTTTGCTGAGCACGGCCCTCTGGTCGATCATAAAATTCCTCAGGCAGACGCCGTCCAGCAAGAGCCAGATCTCACATGGAGTCGTATCCGACACTTTCTGCGAGAACCCTTTTCGGAGTTCTTTGGAACTTTCATCCTTCTCATGTTCGGAGATGGTGTCGTCGCTCAAGTGGTGCTCAGCAAAAACACCAAGGGTGACTACCAATCCATCTCTTGGGGCTGGGGGTGAGTTTGTACTCTTTTTACGTGCGCTTTCGGTTTTACTGACCAGCTTACAGTCTCGGTGTCATGCTCGGTGTCTACTGCAGTGGCATCTCAGGAGCGCATCTCAACCCCGCCGTGACTTTTGCAAATTGCGTTTTCAGGAAATTCCCATGGAGAAAATTCCCAATCTACATGCTCGCTCAGCTTCTTGGTGCAATGACAGCCTCTGCGGTCGTCTATGCCAACTACAAGTCTGCGATCGATACTTTCGAGGGTGGAGCAGGTATTCGTACCGTAACTGGCGAGAATGCTACTGCCGGCATCTTCTGCACATACCCAGCGGCTTTCATGACCAGAACCGGCATGTTCTTCTCCGAGTTCATCGCTAGCACCCTGCTCATGTTCCTCATCTACGCTTTGAAGGACGACGGAAACATCGGAGCGGGTCCTTTGACACCGCTCGGCCTCTTCTTCGTCATCTTTGGCATTGGTGCTTGTTTCGGGTGGGAGACAGGCTATGCCATCAACCTTGCCCGTGACTTTGGTCCTCGCTTGGTTTCCTATATGATCGGCTACGGTCATGAAGTCTGGTCATTCGGTGGATACTACTTCTGGGTAAGTGACTTGATGTCCATGGCAATTTTAGGTTTGTGACTGAACCTAACTGTTCTCATAGATCCCAATGGTTGCTCCTTTCTGTGGCTGCACTTTTGGTGGATGGTTATACGACACTTTCCTCTTCACTGGTGAAAGCCCAATCAACACTCCATGGATGGGCTTGAAACGATTCACTCAGCCTAAGCGCTCGGTTTGGTCCAACACTTATGAACCCAAAGACGACGAGAGCCGAGTGTAGATGTGGATATCTTATTCAGGCGTTGGAGGTGGCAAAAAGGTCTTCTACCTGAAGAAGTGATTTTGAGCTATGGGTGGAGTGAGAGCTGGAGACCGATGTAGATATTTGGGAGGCGAACATACATGGTTTGATGCATTGAATATAGCAAAGAACATGGAGTTCGCTCAATAGGGTATTTTGTACATACGATATCGGAGCACAGAGTATAAGTGTGAGATGAGCAATGAACATATGAAGACCAAGACCTTCTTCTGAATGTATCTTTTTTTCACGTCGTTCTGGCTGAATTATCTCCAAATAGTATCGAGAATCTCGACCTGAAGTTTTTAAGTTTGCATTCCTCAAATATTTCATGCTATTCCTCTCTCTTTCTGGATCAGGCAGTCGTTGACTCTCGACGTTTGAAATCTTCACATGAAGATATTTACTGGCGTTATGCAATTACTTGTCTTTCAGGCCTCATTTCCAGGCGAGGCTACACCTGGAAGTCAACCTTTAGAAGCGACATGCTGCGGTCATTCGGGTAGGGGGCAGGATAGGGTGAGGACGGATGTCCAGAAGAGTTGATCTGTCACATTTGATCAGCTGGACAAAGGGGGCCTGTGTTACCAATAAAAAAAAGACTAGGACACTGAAGCCTGTTCCAACGACCCTCTTTAGACAAGAAAAGATACGACATTGCCATCTGAAATTTGTAATTTTATGAAATTGTGTGATCGAGGTGACTAAGTCATGTAGCGAGGCTTCACGGATTGATATCGGTAGACACGAGAGCTGTGCCAATATCAGAGGTGCAGGGATGCCATCAACTCACGAGAAGGCTGGCAACTTTCGAGATCAACCGGCAGCCCTCGTTATATATCTCAGCATAGGGGTACCGACTGCGCGTGGTATCTGACTTGCTCAGCTTATCTTTACTCGACCTGAGAGCATGTGGAACTTTTCGCGAAGAGACCCATGCCTTTTGACACTGGGACTGCGAAGACTGCATGACCGGGAATCGTGTCTCCCCTTTCTTCCCAGTAGAGAGAAGATCCTCGACTACAGGGGTATGACTGGCCATGGATGCCGTCTTCCTCGGTCCGATATGGGTGTCACAGCAGATTGCCGAGCATGGATACATACCCTAAGATCATACCAGGTTGGGTCTTTTCTCTTCTCAGGGGATCCATCTCAGCCGGACTCTCCAAGCACTACGTTTATTGCATGCTTCTGATGCCAGGAGGACTCGGGGCCCTGTTTACCGAGTGTCCGTCAATTCCTCCATCCGCTGAGCTTGCGGAACAGCGCTATGCTTGGCAGGTATCTCGTCTGAGGATGATCCGTTCCAGTCTGCCGGTAAAGAAGTACTGTATGAGCTTAAACGAGACGTCGTGTATACCTCACACCACAGAACCTTACTGGTCTCGCATACACATAACACTGCATGAAGACGTTGTAAGCCGCAGTAGTTATCAGCCGAGGGATAATGTTCCGAATTGCCTGTATTGCCTCTTACAATACAGTACCACAAACCAGACGTGAACGATGCATTGACCGCCAACATGGCCCCGTTATGGTTGCGACGCTGTCAACTAGTGGTATTGGAATTTTTCCAACTAGTGGCCAAAATAGCCAAGATGGTAAGTAGATCCGGGCTATTCCTGATCTCCGCCTGAACATGTGTATTGTACTTCGTACTCGTATCTGAGGCCAATGCAGGTCGGTGTCTCTATACCGAGATCACGTGTCTGGCCAAGATGCTCAGCCTTTCGGGCCTCAAACACCGAGACGCTTTTCACTTTTCTCCGCAGTTTTGGAACCACCATGGACCATCGCCACTTGCAATCTGCATGCGCATCATCGCACAGCTTTCGCAGCCTCCAGATCTGGGGAAGTTCAAGCTCGTTACATCTTGAACCCTGTCTGTCCACTCTCGGTCATCGATATGCCCCGAAATCTCTCAATTATGATCAAGGCCTCGCCCACGTTGTCTCCTCTTTCTGGACAGGTGATCGTGTTCAAGAACTGATACAATTCATTCAAATTACTTTGCCTCTACTTCTTTCTCGGGGTCCTTGAACATCTTCTAATCTACTCTGTACACTTCTGCCCAGCTATCCATTTTGAGCGTGCTGTGCATTTCTTCCTTTTTCCTCTCTGCACCACATTCTTCTTTCTGAAGGACTACAACACCAACTGACAACAATCCTAAGCTTGCAACTGACAATGGCTTCTCGGTTCTCTCCGCGGCGGCTCTTGAGGCCACTCGCCTATGGCACAGGACTGGCCGTCGCAGGTACGACTGTCATGTACATAGCCTACCGCCCTAGGAATGTTCCCGGCGCAGATACGCTCGCTCCCAAACCCCCACGAAGAGACGCAAATGGCGTCATCATTCCTCCCAAATTTCCCTACATCAAGTCACGAGCCGAGCAGATTGCGGATCTGAAGAAATCCTCGTCTGCATCGCCGTCTGAAGAGTACGATTTGCTTGTAATTGGCGGCGGAGCCACAGGAACCGGTATTGCGCTGGATGCGGCTACAAGAGGTTTGAAGGTGGCTCTTGTGGAAAGAGATGACTTTAGCAGTGGCACAAGCTCAAAATCCACAAAATTGGTCCATGGAGGCGTCCGATACCTTGAGAAGGCTGTATGGAATTTGGACTACAATCAATATCAGCTAGTAAAGGAGGCGCTGAGAGAACGAAAGAGCTTCTTATACACGGCACCCCACCTGAGTTCGTGGCTCCCCATCATGCTGCCTTTGCAGAAGTGGTGGCAGCTTCCCTATTTCTGGGCGGGAACAAAATTCTACGACTTCCTGGCCGGTTCAGAGGGTATCGAAAGCTCTTATTTCCTCCCTCGAAGCAAGGCGCTAGATGCGTTCCCCATGTTGAAGAAAGAGAACCTGGTGGGAGCTCTGGTTTACTATGATGGCCAACACAACGATTCGAGAATGAATGTTTCACTGGCGATGACTGCTACTCTCTACGGCGCGACGACGGTCAACCACCTCGAAGTGACAGGTCTCGAGAAAGACGCCAATGGAGTGTTGACGGGTGCAAAAGTGCGAGATCTGATTGCCGACAAGGATGGGAAATCAGGAAATGAAGATTTCGTTGTCAAGGCCAAGGGCATTATCAATGCAACCGGCCCCTTTGCAGACGCCATCCAGCAAATGGACGAACCGGGTACGAGAGACATTGTGTCACCAAGTTTGGGAGTCCACGTTGTTCTTCCTGGCTATCTCAGTCCTCAGAACATGGGTCTGATTGACCCCTCGACTTCCGATGGACGTGTTATCTTCTTTCTCCCTTGGCAAGGCAATACCATAGCAGGAACGACAGACGCACCATGTGCGATATCACAGAATCCAGTGGCTGGAGAAAAAGATATTCAATGGATTCTGGACGAAATCCGAACGTATCTAACGCCAGACATCGACGTTCAGCGGTCCGATATTCTCGCCGCATGGTCAGGTGAGTTACCCACAAGACACTTTACTCATTGTTCTAGAGTTGAATGGCTAACGCAAATCCTCAGGTATCCGCCCTCTTGTCCGAGACCCGAAATCCAAAAATACCGAATCTCTTGTTCGAAGTCACCTTGTCACTGTATCTGATTCTGGTTTGCTCACATGTGCTGGTGGAAAATGGACCACTTACCGCCAAATGGCTGAAGACGCGGTTGACGAAGCCATTAAGGTGTTCAAATTGCAAACCAAGCCTGTTACTTATGTTCCTGATATTAGCGGTGTCAACGGTATTGACCCAACTGCGAAGATCCTCGACGGTACTTGCCAAACCCATCATATCCGCCTGCTCGGTGCCCACGGTTACTCTACCACGCTTTTCATCAATCTAATTCAACACTTTGGTCTTGACATGGATGTCGCGAAGCACCTCGCAACGGACTACGGTGACCGCGCCTGGGATGTGGCCGCAATGGCTACCCCCACGGACAACACGGAGCATTACCCTCGACGAGGCCAACGATTGTCAACTCTGTACCCTTTTATTGACGGCGAAGTACGTTATGCGGTCCGGAGTGAATACGCTCAGACCGCAATTGACGTCCTTGCACGCCGCACGAGATTGAGTTTTTTGAATGCTCAGGCCGCTTTACACGCCCTTCCCAAGGTCATCGATATTATGGGTGATGAATTAGAATGGAGCCAACAGAGAAAGGAAACTGAATGGAAGGATACAGTTTCTTTCCTCGCCAGCATGGGTCTACCGAGCGACCTGCTTCAAATCACAAGAGAGCAGGTCTTAAAGGGGGAAATGACGACAAGCCACCTTGCCCCTGCCAAGGGTGCCTCCAAAGCCGTTGTCCCTGTCAGACCTTCGCTTGAGCCTGTTGCCGAATCCCACGGACCGGTTCCATGAGTACGGCCATTGCATGACGAACAGACCAACGAGAAAAGTTTATCTCCGGCGTCATGATCTGCATTATCTACGAGTGCATTGGATTAAAAACGCTGGACCTCTTTTGTATGATACCATATCTATGATCTGGCGCAGGGCGTTGGGGGAGCTTCCAGGTTCATCGACCACATGTTTCAGGAGTGATTGAGTATTTTCGGACCATTTACATCTATATTTCATCCGGCATTGTTGCTCGGAATGACACTGGGCACGGCCCCGTGGAGCAAGCTGCCTAAAATTTATATCAATTATTTACATATCAATTTTCGATTTTCGTGTGAAATGTCTGTTCCACGTCAGCATTGGGGCTTACCCAGTTGTCGAACTCGGCAGTAAACATGCGATGCCACTCCTTCTGCACAAACACCACGTGGATGAGCGCAATTTATTGCCGATCTATGATAATACTCCCTATTGATGCTCCAACCTGGAGTTGAGGATCGACCCCCAGGTTGCTGAAGATGGATTGCAGTTCTCTTCTCCAAAAAGGTCATTCCGATCGCTCATCCGGATCATCCGAAAAGACTGCAACGATCCAAAAGGGAGAGAAGATTCTTCGATGGAGTCATGACAATAATGAAGGCTTTGTGCATCGGTGTTTTGGATGAAACTCGTGAACGATCGGTCATACATATGGGGATATCATATCCAAGACCAAACCAAGTTTGGGTACAACTGACACCCCAGTTCCCCAGGGACTCCTCGGATACCCAGTTTCTGTTCCTCCGTGCTCTGTATACGGGGCTTTTTTGGAGAACGTGGGGCGCATTTTGCTGCCACCATCCACCCATCCACCATGGCACTACCTCTTCACTATCCCGATACGGGCCTCGAGCCTCCTGGTCGTCGGGGAACCTGATGTGTCGCAGTACACCGTAGCGAGATTTATTTTGCTGATGCGTTTTGCTTAATTATTAGCCTTTCGTATTCTGTCACTCTGTCAAGCAGCAAGCTTTCTACTAGAGCTGAACTCTTTTTCTATTTTGATATTTCGACCATCGAAGTATACAGAACGACAGCAAGCCGTTCGTTATCCATACGATCAGAATAGACCATCACAATGGTTTTTCTAGGAATCATCGACGATAACAAAATCCCGCACGTTCCGGGCACCGTTATCCTCGAAGAAGCATACGCCCATTCCGAAAATGTCACCGGTGGCCTCAAGCATGGAACAGGGCGCAATGCCAATGTTGTTTTGGTCCCTCAGCCTTCCAACGACCCTAACGATCCCCTCAACTGGCCGACGAGCAAAAAACTGACCGTGTTGGGCATCACTTGTTGGGGGTCGATTCTCTATGCGGCCGTTGTGAGCGCCATGCTCAACGCGGCATTCGCCACGATGGCTGTCGAAATCAACACCACGATTCCGGATCTCGTTCTCACGTCTGGGTACCAAACGCTCGTGGTGGGCGTCACAGGACCCATGTTCTCGGCGTTGGCTAGAAAATGGGGGAAGCGTCCGGTGTTTATACTCGCGTCCATCATCTGCCTGGTGGCGGACATCGTCGGATCTTGCGTCAACACTTACGAAGGTGTTCTCACTTCGAGAATTCTTCAGGGTTTCGCGATCGCACCGTACGAGTCTCTGGTGTTTACGTTGATCAGCGACATGTTTTTCGTGCATGAACGTGGAATCTACGCATCTTGTATCAACTTCATCCTGGCTGGTATCTCGAATTTGACCGGTGTTGTAGCTGGTCCTATCGCCTCGAATATCGGATGGAGATGGCTGTGAGTTACTCTTACTTTCCTCCCCTCTTCTGGATTCTGTGAGCTAAGAACAACTCTCGCGACAAACAGCTACTACCTTTTGGTGTTATTCGGCGGTATTCAACTCATCCTACAAGTCCTCTTCGTTCCCGAGACGAGTTACAACCGCGACCACCGATACGACATTGACGAACTCAAAAACGACAACCTCGAAGGTCTTACGGCTCTGGAAATGCAAGAGAAACTCGACATGGAGAAAACCGGCTCCGGCGGCGATACCACGCACGCCGAGGAAGGGATCGCGCACACGAAATCTCAGGACCCGCCACACGCGTACACGAAAAAGACGTGGCGACAAGAACTGGCACTGTTCAGCGGCACCTACTCGAACGAGAACCTGTTGCAACTCTTCCTGGCCCCATTCGCCGTCGTCGTCAACTTGGCGGTCTCGTGGATCTTGATCGTCAACTCCATGTTTGTGGTCTTGTACGTCGTCATCGCCTTCGTCCTGGCCCAACTCTTCGCCCCGCCGCCTTACTCCCTCAGCCCGGCCAGTATAGGCTACCTGTCGTTTGGTCCGTTCGTCGGTGGTATCTTGGGTACCGTCATCCTGGGTGCCCTGTCGGACCCCTTCATCAAATGGTGCGCTCGTCGCAACAGGGGAGTCTACGAACCCGAGTACCGTCTGATCCCTTGTCTCGTCGGTGCTCTCTCCGGGGTAGGCTTGATGCTGTTTGGACACCTCGTGTCCGAGGGCGCTTCCCCTTACGCGACCGCGACGGTCCACGGGCTCATGCTGTTCGGCGTCATGTTTGCCTGCATCGGCACGAGTAACTACGCCCTGGACGCCTACCGAGGCATGGCCAACGAGATTTTCATCGCCTCCATGGCGGTCAAGAACACCATCTTGTTCGGGTTCAGTTACTTTGTCAACAACTGGACGGCTTCCGTGGGTCCCCAACACGCGTTTTACATATGGGGAGCCGTGGCCTTTGCCTTGATCGCTACGGTGCCCGTCATGTTCTTCTTCGGCAAGAAATATCGAAGTTACTGGGCGAGGAATAACTTGTTGGAAAAGATGCATGTCCAGACTCACGAAGAGTGATTTTCTGGAAAGCCCAGGGACAGGTTCAAAGAAGACCTTCTCGAGTGTCGAGTAGTCCGGATTGACTGTTGGGCCGCAAAGATGGACAACGTCAACGACGACTACAAGAGTGTCATGATCAGGAAGCGACATAGATATAGATTGGACTTGGACTTGCTACAAAGTTTTGTTTTGCTTTGTTTAACAGAATAGAATAGATTAGACTAGACTAGATTAGAAGATGGGACACTTAGCTACAGTTACAGAGAGTCATACTTTCGAAGGAGTAGCACATACTAGAGCTAGAAAATAGTAAAGCTTGTTACAGTATAAATAAATGTGTTTTGCTCGTGCTTGTGGTACACATGTATGATCTGGAATAAGAAGGGGTCCGTATGAACTTTTTGTCCAGCCTCGCAATAGAGATTTGTGACAGGGTATGTAAGGTTTGTACTCGTGATAAAAAGGCCTGTCCCCAGGGTCAATCTTTCCTCCTCTTCCCTAGAGGATCCTAGCTTGATGTTGGGTGCTTTCCGGATTTCATGTCTCGGGCACAGATCTACTAATTGTATGAGTTGCTACGTACATATTCGTCCCAAGGTTGAATTCACCCTTGACGAGTGACGAGTCTGACAACGCTCGTTTCGAGGTTGCTTTGGTGGGAGGTGATTGATACCCAGGTAGTTTACGGGATAGATTTATATTTTGCTCCGATGATAGTGTCGAGTGGAAACAAGTTGGGGAACTCTCTTTCGCCAACTCGGAAGACCGCTCCCCTGGGGGGAATTGGACGTTTATATATTGCCGGGGGAGGGAAACAGTTTCTTTTTGGCTACTTTCCCGTAACTTACTAGTTGAAGCTTGGAATGAGAAGGTTTTGAAGGTTCCCAAGCCTGGGTAAGTACCAGGTACAGGGGAGTATGGTATTGTATATATTTCCATGTTACTCTGTAGATTTTTCATTCACCCATGTCCCTGATCTGTTTGTACTGTATTTGCCGTACATGACTCGGTCATAAACCCTACAAACCCATCTGGAAATTCCTCAAAGCTTGGGAGATGGCGTCAAACCCAACCTCCTTGCTCAACTCCAACACGGTCATCCTTCTCCCGGCCTCGGGAGATTCGGCGTCGTCGATGACTCTCGTGACGGCGTGACCTTTGCCGAGGGACGGTCCAAACACCTTGGCCGCCCTGTGAGAGGGGGTGTTGTTCTCCCAAGGGGCCTGTCCCGCGACGAACCTCATCAGGTCCAAGCCGAACCCTTGGGCGGCCGCCCTTTGCTCGGCCGACAGCTTGTCGTTGTAGTTTTGGAACAACAAGGCCACGTCGAGGACGTGGGTCGTCTCCCCTTGGTAAGCGCCCGGCCAGGGGTTGGGCTCGTTCAGGAAAAACGTGTACACCGGTTTGCCCTCGGGCCAGCCCCGTGCAAAAGTCAACGTGGACGAGTAGAAGCCGATGTCGTTGGCGAATCTCAGGAAGTTTTTGAATGACACTTCGTCGTCGTCTTCGACAGCCTTGCCGCCGAGGGAATACGCTTCGATCAATGTTTCGGCGATCTTGGGGTTCGATGCAAACGTCTTGCGGAGAGAAGTTGAGAACTTCTCGCGGCAGTTGGGTTTCAAATGACCCATGAGAAAACCTAGGACGGAGGCCTGTACCGATCACAAAAAAAGTAAGCATCACGTCCGGGAGTTTTTTGGGTATTGTGTCACCGTCTCCGGGGAGGGAGTGGGGAGAGGGTGGTCGGCTTACATCAAATTGACTATCTCCAATCATGATAGCGTCAGCCCAGTCTTTACCTGGCATGCTCTTGTCCGACGGGTCACCGATGGACGCATAGGTGGGTCTGACGGGGACAATCTCGTCGTCGAGCATGGGAGCAAATTGGACAAACGGTGGAAGTTTGGCGATGATTTCATCGGCGGGGAGGGTGAGCAGTTTTTGGATTCGTTCGTCGACACTCAGAGACTCAAGGCCCAGGAAACCCAGCGCCTTGGTGTACATGTCCTCGCATGCTTCTTTGGGTAAAGTGGGTGTAAGGAGACACGATCCTCCGGTCGCAATGACTCGGTTGAAGATTTTTTCTTTCGAGTAAAGTTGTAACGTCGTAGCGGCTGTTGGACCGGCATTAGTTTTTGAGACGTCAACGAGGCAGAGAGATGGGAGAGGGAGAAGAAACATACCAGCTCCGGCACTTTCGCCTATGACGGTGATATTGTCGGCATCTCCTCCGAATCCTTCGATATGCTGTTTGATCCATCTGTACGCCGCTCTCTGATCTCGGAGTTGATTGTTGGTCTTGAATCCCTTGGATCGTAATTCTTCCGAGGTCATGAACCCGGCGAATCCAAGACGGAAGCTGTCAAGTTACCGTCATCAGTCAGCCCGACATTTCAACCCTTGACCTGAGCGAAGAAAAAGACACACAAAAGTGAACAAACACCACTCACTTGATGCCAATGCCAATAACAGGAACACCGTTTTCATTTGCGAGTTTAACAATCTTTGCGTGATCATAGTGTGGCCACGAGTTGGCACCCAATACGAAGCCACCACCATGCATCCAGACAAAGACGGGGATTTTTGTGTTTTGGGTCGTCTTGGGCACGGTGATGTTGAGATTCAGACATTCCAAGTCCGAATGGTTCGTCGGCGGTTTCGGCACCGTCTGCTGGATGAAGAGCATTTCATTGTCAAAGGCCGCGACGGGACCGTAGGACGACGGGCCATGAGCGGTGGCGTCCACGGGTGTCGAGTAGCTCGACTTGACTTGAGCCTCAGCCAGACGGTTCTCGAGAGTCGCGTATTGGACCCCAAGGAACTGGGTGACGCCGTCGCCGTCGCGACCCTTGATCTGGCCGATGGTAGGGTGGTTGATCGTCGCCGTAGTCATTTTTGTTGTTCGGTGGGGTCGTTTCCCTCACAAGATGGCGAGATGACCAAACAGCCAGACGACTAGATTTTCAACTGAGATTCGGTCAATAGCTCAACGGACGATATATCAAGGACACACGCTTGAGGGTGCCGTTACTGCTTTGTAAAATGAAAAAGTCGGTCTCTCTTGACAGCCTCGTTAAAGGTGTTTGGGGTGTTCGGTTTACCCCACATCATCTCCTGGGAACTTCGGAGAGCCCCACGAATAAGATCCCACATCCGAAAAACGAAGGCAAGGTCTCTGATGATCATGTAAGCGATCTGGACAAGGACGCTTTCATGGGGGAAGCCTCACTAGACTCAGAACTTGACAGTAAGCTTACTGGACTCTAGAAGAGACGAAGAACCAGCGATCAGGGTGAATGCGAGTGGAGGTACGAAAAGGAAGTCTAGAGACAGTAACGACGGTATTATGTGATCTTCGGACCTCCATCGGCCTCAGGTTTCTCTACGGTTCGCCTTCTACTGAGTTAGTCAACTCTACCACCTCAAGAACGTATCTACACACGTACACAAACACCTTGTTCTCGACGTCAAAGCATCACCAGGGCACCCAACCATCTAACCCCTGCTTATTCCTTTGGTGGGAGGTGCTCAGTCTGACTAACCAGCTCCTTCTCCTTGTTGATCTCCACCTTCTCCTGACTTGATTCTGGAGCATCCAATCTAACATCCGTGGTCTCATCGTTGAAGAGGCGAGCGATTTCTTCCAATGACAATCCTTTACTTTCCGGAAAGTAAAAGAAAAGAGGTATGATGAAGCACACCAACAGACTCAAGAATACGAGGTAAAACTTCCATCCGATATCCGCAAACGCAGTAGGTGCCACTTCGAGGTAAATGAGGAGGGAACTCCAGTATGCCACGATCGAAGCCGACATTCCCTTCGCTCGGATGTGGTTTGGGAAGATTTCAGATGTGTAGACACTACAAAAAGAAAACACACATTCGTCAGAACACAGTCTCCGCATGAACCTTCGAGGGAGAAGACACTTACTAGGTGGTAACGTCAATGTTGAACGCAAACAGAGCAATGTGCAAAAACAGGAAAAACACACTAGCAACAGCTGCAGCATGTGATCCAGTCCTCTCAAAGGTGCTGAGAGCGGCACATTCGCCAATCAGCGCCAACGCGTCTCCGATCCATCCGATCTTGAGTGCATTGACACGGCCAATCTTGTCGATGGTAAAGGCGTTGAAGAAGTTGCCACTCAGAGCGAGAGTGGCATAGCATCCAGAAAAGAGCAGTTGCATAGTGGTACCGAAGCCGAGGGCACTGTAGAGTTCTGGGCCGTAGTCTATTTTCCAGGGGGAAAAATATCATGGTCAGTCGTCTTGTGAATCTTGATGGTCGAGACTTGACTTACTTGCAATAACAGTGGTACCTGTGGTTTGTGATCCGAACATCACAATAGCGCCTATGATCATTCGTTTTCTGTATGACGCTCTGACAAACATCTCTTTCCAAGACACCTCATTGTGCTTGTCAATTTCGTATTGTTGCTTGATTTGCTGGTACTCTCGGAACGCAAAGACATCGTCCGGGTCACTTTCGTCTCGATGTAGCCTTTGCACAATTTTCAAGGCTTCTTCGGCTCGTTCTCGAGAAATCACTATTCAAGCATCAAATGTCGTCAGTACTGTCGTCTAATCCTTGAGACTGACAAATTAGGACAAACTTACACCATCGAGGGGATTCCGGCATCCAGAGTATACCGACTGCGCAGAACAAGGCAGGAATGGCTTGGATGGCCAAAGGGAGACGCCACTGCGCACCACTGGCGTCGACGAAATAAAACCCGAAGCCGGCCCAACTAGAAATTCATCAGTCAACTTGTCACTGTGTGTCGACACAAACAACATCTCGGTTTCTTTGGGCCCACTCACCTCGCTGTAGCATAGCCGATGGTGACACAAATACCATGGAACCCAACCATCATACCACGAGAATGAGGAGGGGAAACTTCACTCTGGTACAGAGGAACAAGAGGTAGCAGCATGCCTGTCGTAATCAATCGATTTAGTATCTATTCAGGGCCAAAGTTTCTGCGAACATCAACGAGCCACGACTTACCAACTCCGAGTCCATTGATGAATCGGAAGATGAGAAAGGCAGCGATATGCTGAGGACATCCAGCCTGCAGAGCGCCTCCTACAGTAGCGAGGACGGCACCGATGAAGATTGATTTTTTGCGGCCCAACTGCTCGGCTGACCAAGACGCAAACAGGGCACCCAACACTTGAGGCGTTGTCAGTACAACTTCTTCGTCACCGCGGGAATGTGTTATGCTGGGCGTTACTCACAGCCTCCACCGGTATAGATACCGTTTGTTGCACCGGCAATTTCATTCCTGTTGGAACTCTTATCGAGACCAAAGTACGATCTGTGAAGGGCCCGGTCAGTATTTGATCACCGGCAAAATCCTCAATATGACGACCTGTCAGTGCAGGTTGTATCCAGACTTACATGAATGAAGGTTGCGCAAGGGTCGTACCAATAATGGTATTCGAGTATCCAAAGGCAAACGATCCCAGAGCCACAAAGGCCACAATGAGGATGTTGTACGCGTTGCGTTTCTTTTCAACCATTTTTGCCAATCCCGGTGCTAGAACCAGAGGGGTGATTGTAGAAAGAACCGGAAAAAAAAATGGCAATGAAACAGAAATATCAAATCTCCATACTCTCGCTACCCCAGATATATGAAGGAAAACAAGGGAGACCTGTTGAAATAAAACTCCACTGGACCAAGGGCACATGGCCATGACAAGTACCCATAGACGCACCCCCGGGAAGAGTACAAGAGTGGCATGTCTGTCCAATCACGACTATCTCGCAAATCCAACGTCTCCGAATTTTCTTAGGCTATGACCCTTCGTCTATGTCGACGGCTGAGAATTACCACAACGGGCCACATTCTCGGAATTGCATCGACATATTGGGCATAGTCTTGGTCTCTTCCGGAGTACCATCTTGGGTTTTTGGTCAGTGGTTAGTGGTTCGTGCTTCTCCGATGAAGTGGAACCACAAAAGAGCGGGAGAAAGATTCGGGTTGGTCTGTTGACACTTCGTCCCGGCGCCCGTAAGGGGTACAATAGTATTATTACTGTTATGTCAATAACCGACTACCACGCTTAGGCAAAACCACGTAGCTGGGAGAAGAAAAGTGTCCGCAAGAGATTTTACAAAACAGACATCAATACCTTTTGTACCGCTGTCCCAAAAAATCTGGCAGACACCCACACGGTTCGGCTTGGATTGAGAGAGCCGCCATTACCATGACCTCCAAATTTGTGCCCGTCTCGTTACTTTTGCCTTTGATTTCCCTTCTCCTCTACACCCAATCAGTCCACCTCTGGAGACTGGTGGGCAAGGTGGACATTGACCAAACCCGGCTCGTGAGGTGGGAAAACAGCACTCCCTTGAACGACGACCAGTGTGTCGTCCACCACGAGGCCGACGCCTGTGAAGATGTCAAGATTCACTACGCCTCATCGACGGCGTTTTTGGCGTGCGGAGATGCCCGGGAGAGGACAAACTGGTACCCTTGTGCCGGCGTGAGGACCGTCGAACGTCGTTCGGAATCCTCGTTTCGTGAGTCTCTCTTCAAGTACGACATCGACACCGGCAAAACCACCCAACTCGTCATCAAGGGGTTGGAAGGGGACTTCATCACTCATGGGATAGATGTTTTTCCTCTCCCCGAGGACTCTTCAAAGGTAAACAGACACCCGCCGATACACCATCATCGTCATTGGAAGCAGAAATATTGTTTAATCTCTTTCACTCCCACGCAGCGCCTCTCTCTCTCTCTATCTCTGACAAGATACTCGATAGATTCATATATTTGCCGTCAATCATGCTAGGGATGGGGACAGTATCGCCATTTTCTCCCATCAATCAGGTTCGGATGTTGTGGAGCTGGTCAAGAATGTCAAACATCCCAACATCAAGACTGCCAATGGAGTAGCAGCCACTGGACCTCTGTGAGTAGACCCAGGGCATAGTAATTTTATTCCGTGGCAACTTTTTTGTTTGCTGACCATCCGATGATCCAGGGAATTCTACGTCACAAACGATCATTACTTTGCAGGTGGTTTCTTGCGTGACATGGAGGGAAAGTTTGGCCCTTGGAGTTGGGCGACCCATGTTCAGTTTTGTGATGCCAGTGATGAGGTACGGAGTACTATTACAATACAAGGCCCCCCCCTCCCCCCATCCTCACCACGACGACGATTATCGTAAAATGCTGACTTACTTGACCAAACCAGGTCGTCTCATGTAAACAAGTCACAGGCACTTTTCCAGGTTCGAATGGTCTCAATGTTTGGGAAGACCGTTTATTTGTCGGAGATTCCAAAAATGGCACCGTGACAATATTTGAGATCCAAGGGGATAAATCCTTGACTCAGCTTCAACAAGTGGTAAGTCGCCGAGCTTGCTGTGAGCTTCCACGCAGAGAGACAAAGTGTCGATATTAACGTGATGATGATCGACAGGACCTCGGTGCCGCAGCAGACAACATCAATATTCTACCGACAACTGGTGATTTAATCGTCTCAGGTACGAAAATTCCTATTTCCCCCCCCCTCTCCCTTTGTGAAAATGTGTTCGTACTCTCTCCTCTTTTACGGACTGACTGATTGTTTGTTGATCCCAGTTTTCCCGACCTTGGAGGATTTGCCAAAGTACCTTGCAAACGTTGAAGGTCTGGGTAAAGACTTGTTGGTTCCGGCTGCTGCATTGAGACTCCGCAAGTCGACGAATTACGTCCCCGAACTTGCTTACTTCAACGACGGTTCCGTCATCAGTTTCCAAACGGCGGCTGCCGGAGATCCATACAACGACATTTATATCGGAGCAGGTGTTTTGCAGATCGGGGGCTTTGCGGTCTGCAAAGTGCCTCACGGGACTTTTGCATAGTAGCTGCCAAAACTGAGCACCTTTCACTGAAGTGATGAGAAGGCGCAGGCGGTTGGCGCGTTTGGGTTTGGCGATACACACAAGGCCGAAACGATACAGGTTGTGTGCATGACAAAGAGCCGTTTTGAAATGCTTCCGGTTCATTCAGGGACTTGAGTGCCTTGGAAACGACTTGCATGACCCGATTCCGGTTCAAGTAGGGTCACTTGGCATTACCATCGGGTTCTGAATCGCCTCAAATGTGAGATCGAGATCGTCCCAGAATGTATCATCGATCCAGGCGTCCCAAGGTTCGCCATCCAAAAGAGCGGATTCGGATATAAAGTGTTGCTCTGGCAAAACAGTGGCGGTCTCGCGATCTTCGGTTAGATGCACCAAGACGCCAGTACTGTGCGATCGCGCGGCATCATCATCAGTGGTAGTGACGGGACTGGTCGGTTGCAAAATCATGACACTACCATGACCCGAGTCATTAGTGAGACCACTAAAACCGATCCCAATAGCTATAGCGAAAGATTTTAGCTTCGTTCCAGATCTAGTTAAGAGTAAACACGAAAAGAAAATTTTTCCAACTCACACTTTTGAGACTTATTGACCGTCCGCCCCGACATCGAATATTGCATCTTGTCAAAAAGCTTCTGTATCATCTTCGTGTCTTGTAGCTCGATGAGACTGTGCGGGTCGACGCTACCTTCGGCAGGGTCGGTTTCCTTCATGCCTTCGGCCTGTTGCTCCATGGTCGTAGTGACCCAGCTGACTCCCTTCCAGTAGGTGATGAGTCTGTGCAGCGTCCTCAGACATACTTCGTAGTTGGATCGATTTGTCATTCTCCTCAGCGAGTTCAGCGTTGCAGCGGACGACTCGGAAATGAAGACCAAGCCGGCCACTTCGACGGCCTGGTCGATAAACGGGCTCGAAACGAGAGTCTTTGCGTCCACGACTTCGACCAAGCTGAGGATCGAGCTCATGGTCCTCGCGGACGAGAGCGCGATCCCTCGACTTTCGGCAGTCAGGCAAATGTTCTTGGCTTGTGCTTCTTGTCCATACCGCAAGCCCGGTCGGTGAAGCAGGATTACTATCTGGGCCCGAAGTTAGAGTCGAACTGCAGCACGTACAATCTTTCGCAGAGAGTTCCGCACCGTGTGAAACCACAAATGTAGCATGATAAAAGTACCACTCTCTCCCCTTGCTAGGTATGACTGGAAATTGTTGATGTCGAATAAAAGCGCTCGCGGAAGATTGGCGTAATAGTTGATGAGCTCATCATTGAAACGAAGGAGTTTGTCCCTAGTCTCTGCCCTGAGGGTATCAAGCTGTTCGGCATTGTTGAGCTCGTCATGGACCAAGCCCAAAGTCTGCATGATGACCACCATGCTCGGAAATGGGGAAGGGTATTCTACGTCGGCGTCAATTCGCGGCCATGGCACATCAATATACTTTCGGTCGATACTGAGTGGTCGACCTGTCGCGAATGAGATGATGTGGTCCAGATGATGCACACTGAACCACGTTCTCGAGACTGTCCAATACTCTTCGGATTCCAGTTTATCGGGCCCAGAGATGGCGGCCTGTTGTCTGTCGGCGTTGAGCTTGCAGGCCAGAGAGGACTTTACATACCTTGTGCATTCCTAGGTCCATGGCCATACGACAAGCCATACCCATATACATCCAAACTCCCACGTCGTGGTTATTGGCTAGCTCCAGCCATACCAGCATTAAAATACTAGCAACCACATCATAACTCGGGAGGTTGAGTAGAGGAACGAGTAGTATCTTGGCCTTTTGTGCAAAAGTGTCGCCTCTCATGTAGGGCGGATAGGTTTGAAATTCGGCCAATGGGCTAAATCGTGCAGAGAGTCCACAAATACTATTCAGGACCAGGGCAGAGACTTTGCCAGATCTGACCAGCTTGGTAAAAGCATTGCGATGATAGAATGGAAAATGACAACCGTAGTGATCAAAGAAGGTATTTAGGAAAGGGTAAAGTACCCGCGAAGCTGGAGTGATGCCGTCTTCTTCGAAGAGAGATGGCGATTCCTGCTTAGCCGCATTTGCAATGACGGCGTCAAATCTGCCAGACAGTTGATGCGCATCGGGCGTCTGTGGGCTCGGCGCTGAAGGGCGCGTGACATCGAACAACATCTTCTTATAGCCTGGGGCGATCCCGGTCTTGCCAAACCATCGGAAGAAGGGGATTCTGACAGACCGAGAGTCCGCAGGTCTAACGGGAACAGTCGTCAGGTCAGCCTGTGGTTGCAATGTGGTAGAAATACGCTCCTCGTCGCCTGCATTGTCACTCGGCGTCTCGGGAACAGTCTTCGAAGGATGCTGCATTACAAACTTGATGCGGTTTTGTCGCGGGTCCCGATAATCACATATCGAGTGGCTTTGCACACAAGCTATCGCGCGAGTTGATCAGACGAGTTGAGGAGTCGTAGGAGAGAACAATTCACCTGTACATGAAGGCTTTGTCCCACTACAGCGCAACTTCTGCTTCCGACATCGACTTGATGGAGGATCAGTAGTGAGTGTGAACTTCCGCTACGCAGAAACTCACCAGCAAGCCAATGAAGTCCTCTTTCTCTTTCCGGAGCCCTGAGTGCCCTCCATTCTCGTTCCCATCCGCAAGACCAACCATCTGGTAATGAGGTTCTCCTATGTGTAGAATCATAATTGGACTCTGTTGACGCAGCGTAGAGTGAGGTCAAAGTCATAATGTTCCCGTTGATCCCAAGAGGCTGTACCGAGTTTTTGCTTGGCAGTTCATTCTTGCCGCTTTTACAGCAACTACTCACCCTGACCTCTCGATATCAAGTCTTTCGCAGGACATAGAGTGGTCTTCGCTCTAAAGAGGCGTGTCTTGAGAGAGGAAGAGAGAGAGCTATGCATTTAGTTTGATATAAGCATGTCTAGACGTCTGTTCCGCCAGACCATTGTTATGTTGTTGGGCTAGACCTTGCGGTACGTGTTGGCGGAACCCACCATTGTACTTGTGTGCTGTATGTCCGAAAGTTAGAAATAAACGTGTTGATACGGAGTGTCTTCCATAATCATAATAGATAAGAGGTGACCGGGTTGCCGAAGCACCGAGAACGCCAGGACGGTTTAGAATTGATGCGAGCGATAAGGGATTACCACAGAACAGGCCCATGGGGGCGGATTTAGCCTACAGCCGTTCCACGTACGACCTCTGCGAGTGAAAAGAGAACACGTCAAAACATCATATCATTGCTTTCTAACGACTCGGCCGAAGCTCTTGAATTGACATATCAGGGAGAAGCTGTCAGGAGACGGGTAGACCATGGTGGGACTGTATCAGCCGCACGCCGTGAACTGCACGGTAACTTGGCTGACGAATCTTTTGAAATCGAACTCGAAGTAGGGATAGCATGAAGCTCATTTTGGTGAACCTATTTTCAGTATTGATCAGAATATGCCCTATTTCACCAGCACTGTCCGACCGACAACTTTGCCTTGAGCAAGTGCTTCGAGAGCCTGGCCGGCCTGTTCCCATGGAGCCTCTGTCATCTGAATTGGCTTGAGTTTCCCTTCCTTGGCCAGACGAGCGACAGCTTGAAGATGATATAGATCTCCAGTGTTGGTGCCGACGATAGAGGCGGCTTTGAAAATCATCGTCGCTAGGTTCAGCTGCATGATTCCACCACTGAGACCGACCAGGACCAATTTCCCGGTTTTCCGAAGCACGTCGAGCCCGAGTGTCGCAGACGCCGGGACATTGACGAAATCAACGACGGCCAATACGGGGCCCCCTGTGGCGGCCAGCAAGTCCGTGGCGGTAGTTTCTGTCCCTGAACGCACCGTGGCTGTGGCCCCTGCTTCCCGTGCGACCTTGACCTTCTCCTCGCTGATGTCGACACTAATGATCGAGCGATGGCCCAGTGCTCTCAACATCGAAATCGCCAACAAGCCCAGCCCACCAGCTCCGATGAGGACGACTGGTTCGTCCGATGGCAGAGGAAGGACCTTTTCAAGGGCGTTGTAGACCGTCACGCCCGAGCACCCGAGTGTAGATGCAAACGCCGGGTCAACGTTCTCGACGTCGACGAGGTACCTGGGATGCGGAACCACCACATGAGATGCGAAGCCACCGTGCAGGTTGATGCCCAGACTCTGCGGCTTCAGACATCTGTTGTTGTGACCTTCTTGACAGTGGTTGCACATCCCACAACCCAGCCACGGGAACACAACTTGCTGGGATTGTAGAGGGACAACGCCTTCTACTTCTGGACCCAATGCTGCCACGGTCCCGAGAATCTCGTGACCCAATGCTCGTGGTAAGGGTAACGTATATTTACCTTCCCAGAGATGCACATCAGAATGACAAACACCGCAGTGCGTGACTTTGATCAAGACCTCGGTACCTTTGGGTACCGGTAGTGGTTGGCGGAGGCGCTGTAGAGGTCTATTGTGCTCAACTACAGCCCAGAGCTCGAGCTCCTCTCTATCGTCCTTCGGTTCGATGAGTATGCATCATCACAATCACGAGATACTCAACTTACAAGGCTCATTTCGGTCCTCTCGCGCTCAAGGCTAGTCTTGACAAAGTGTCCCCAAAGGGCGATTAGACCCTCACTCAAACCTTCTTCAAGAAGTCAGGGGAAGTAGTCAAGAGAAATACTGAAAGTTTCCTTTTCTTTTTGTTTTTGTTTCTACCTTTTTTTCTTTATTTAAGAGGCTGACATCTCTTAATCTTGGTGCAAGTATTCATGAAAGTGGGTACAGATCCAGACAATCTAGAATGAAAGTCTGAACGATGGAGAAGCCTCCTGCTGAACGGCCGAATCCCATGCTTTCGCGGAATACTCCGTCAAACGCTTCTTGACAACGCTCGTCTTCTTGATGTATGAAGAAGTGGAGAACCATTTCCCGGTTAGTGGCGAGGGTCTTTCATCGTCGAGTTCGTCGTATTTGACCCTGACTATAACCTAGCGTTCCCGGACCTCGCTTAACACCTTCCTTCCCAGAAATAGCTATCACAGCTGTCACTTATTGGCATGGAAATGTTTGGAGGACACATAAAATGTCCCATCAATCTTGATAAGGCATGAAGTGACTTCAGTGGAGATTGCTTTCCAATGTATGTATAGCGTAGAGTCTAACAGAATCGCATAGATAATCTGCCTGGAGAGCAAGATCCCACAATGAACCCAGTCTGGCACAGAAGGCTCAGAAAGTACAGTCAGAGATTGTAATGCTATCATCAATGTCTTTGGGCCTCCGTTACTGTTGCTCCAAGGGGTTCAAAGACCTCCTGCTTCACGACTTCCGTCATCGGCCACATCCAGTGGGTCAAACGCTTGATACCTCAGTCCTTTTCATACAATTCTGCATCCACGGAGACACACATGTACTCTGGGGATGGCCACGTCTCCAGTGCGAGATCGAACACTTCAGAGAACTTCTCTTCCTGCCAGGGGAAATCTCTGACTGGTCCAGATTCTGAGTCGCTTACCGTAGATGTAAAGTGGAATGGTTGTGGCATACACGACGATAGTGACGACTGCCAGAACAATGCACACGTCGCGTACGTTGGACGCGGCAAGCCAGGGGCTGATGGCGAAGGTGAAGCCGAAGCCCCACAGGTTTCGTATTACGACAATTCCAACAAATGCTTCAACGGCAACGGGGCGATAACAGTCGACAACATAGCCTGTGCGAAGTTAATTCCTAGATAGGAGTCGGAGGACCCGAAAGTTTGGATACACTTACTCATGGCTAATTCTGAGGCAAATGCGTACGAGAACGAAGTCATAGCTTCACCGAATACCGGACCCATCCAATGAGTTTTCTGGTAAACAAGGATTAGTTCCGTCGCGTCGTGAAGACACGGCATCAAGTGAGACTCACATAGTAGGCAGCAAATCCGAAGATCAAGAGCGCTCCAGGCATAAAGACAAGAGCGGCAAAGAATAGGGGCAAACGATCCTCTGCCTCTCGAATTCCTCCGCGTCTTCGGGCCAGTGCAGTAGCAATACGATCACTGAGTGGACCAGCAATGATCAATCTGGGGATTTCCTGTTAGTCAGCGAAGGGCCAAACCACACCGATCTTCAAAAGAGACATACGCAAGAATACTCCCGGTAATGGTTCCCACACGAGTAAGGCCAAAGGCCGAGGCGGTAAAGTTGAATGGGGGCTCAAAAATGACAACTGCCAGCATACTGAGGATACATGCGAACCAGGCCAGATTGACACCATAGACACAACCGGCCTTTTGTAAATATTACGTTAGCTATCCACCAGCTGCACTCGAGGGGAAATGTTCAGCTTACCCACAAGACTGCCGGGTAAGTCGACAGGACACATATTTCTTTGAGAAGTTCCCACGTTGATTTCCTTTTGCATATCAATCTACCACTGTCCAGGTGTTGGGGTGAACTGTCACTCACCTTGACGTTCTTGGTAGGATTTGCCACGGAGCCATCCTTTGTAGCCAACCTTTTCGGGTCGGATGAGAGTCTGCAACTCTGGTGTCACTTTGAGGAGCACTCATGCCCTCTTTCTGCAAAATTTCCTCAGAATTGTCCTCATTGTCGACGCGAGTGGCAGTGTAGGGTTGCGTGTGGGATGATCTCAGGTAACGCGTCTCCTCAAAGAAGAAGAAGATGACCAGAAAGGTGAAGCCGAATCCGATGGTGGGAATCCAGCCGGTCCATCTCCAATCTATGTACGAGATTGGGGACGAAGCAATATAACCGTCCATAATGGTACCCAAATCCGTACCCAGCAAGGCGCACAGGCTAGAATATGAAACATAAAGATCAGTACACGATGGGTGCGGAACGCCAAGAAGGAGGGGGAGGTGACTGACAAGATAACCGCCATGTAGGTACCGCGTTCGTGCAAGAAGAACAAGTCTCCAGCGATCGTCATCGTCATGCCTTCGTAAGGGGCCAGGAGGAACCCCAGGATGAGACTCCTGGCATAATTGCTTCCAGAGGAATCGTAAACGGCGGTCCAGATGGACGTACAAATGCCACCGATAGAGGCTATAAGGTAGACAGTCCTGCGGCCGAGTTGGGCCGATATCAACGTATATCCAACATTTCCGAATCCCAAACCAAGAAGATTTATGGCCAAGGCGTAGTTCAATTGAGTTTCCGTGATGCCGATGTCCTCGATAGTGTACGTCCACGCGGCGATCGGGCCTGTGACGACCACGCCGCAGAAGAAGGCGAAGCACATGATGCCGAAGATCGTGAGCAATTTCTTGGGGTACGTCCAGTTCAATGGATCGTTGGGATCCGACGTGGGATGAGGCACCAGGACAATGTCCTTGCGGTCTCCATGGCCATCGGCTAGCAAGAAAAAGAATCAGAAGCCAATACAAGATCACAACAGAAAAAGCCAGCAACTTCCTTGTCCCAAAAAAAGAAAAGAAAACACTTACAAGCGATCAGTTGTGAAGTGCCATAGATGCCGTAGGCAACTTCATTGACAGAATCGTTGCGTTCCGCCATTTTTTCGGACTTGTTGCACCCACTGTGCCTGATATTGATCGTCGTCGTGTTGACGTTCTGGGGTTCTTCTTTCTGTGGGCAACAATCTGGACTGTCTAAACGAGTGACTGACATTATTTTTTCGGGGACCCCCAATTCCAAGGTGTTATATATCTTTTGGCCTAACCGACTTCACCGAAAGGCTTCTCCTTTCAGGGAGATTGAAAGCTCAGTGTATGTGCGGTGCGTCGGAGTTTAGCGAGACTAGAATTGCGGGAACACACCGAACGGATGTAGACGAGCTCAAGAATATTGTAGATCTCTTATCACAATACTCCGTACGGAGTAAGGCCCTATGGATACACCGTACCGCCTCAGCTCCACGAGAGTGCTCGGTTCCTGCATGGGACGAAACCGTCTTTTACTTTGTCGGGGATACTTAAACCTGGGCATATTCTACAGAGTACTCGTATGGGTATCGCATGAAATAGTTGATAGATTAGCCCTTCTTGAGAGCAGTATTAATGAGGAGGGAGGGCATTTCACCCAGCTCCACTATGCGGGCCAATGCCATGCAAATGTACACAGCTTTGGCGTCTTAGCCTTTTTTATTCCCAATTGGCCAAGCTCGGTATACGGGCTTCTTAATAGTATTCAAGATGCGCCCCTCCTAGACAAGCTTCCAACCATTGGCACACTGATTACGCGGCTCTAAGGGCAACGTCCACGTCCCTCTCTCCACCACAGCAAGGCTTGAGTAAGGGCGGCATCAACTCTTCTCCACATTTGGGGTGAAGAACGAGGCTGAATTTGACTGGACAGACTGGCCCCATTTTCAATCCTTCATCCAGGAAGAAACACCGCACTACACACAAACATCGGTAGTCTTGACGATTATGAATATCTATTGTGCGACCAAGATCTAGTACCAGGTAGGTCAGTCACATATCTGATTTCTATCCTACGCTTCCGCAGCAGCCTTTCTAAACTCCTCAACTTTCCCTTCCAACACACAACCCACCGCCCTCTCCAGAGCAACGACAAACTCGGCCTGAACCTGGGTTTCCATCTCTTCACCCGCCAACTCACCTTTACTCAAAACACGTTCCTGAAGCCCCATGTCCCCTACGCGCTCCCAATCCACCAGACTCTCAATGCCATTCTGGAGTTCATCCGCATCCTCAACATCGATCCCAATCTCCCTGAGGCATTCCAACGCCTTCCCATCCGCATAGGGCCACAACGCGTCTCCCCATCCATACACACACTGGATACGTCTGCAGAAGATCTCCCCGCCTATCTTGCCCAACCCAGGCACCGTCTCCTTGATGTGCTCGACGACACCGTTGGGCCCTTCGTTGTTGGCCTTCTCCGCGAGGTCGAACATGGTGTCGCCGGCCTTGTCGGGCGCGTACTCCCGCGCCATTCCAGAAAGGTACCTCGCCGTCTTCTGACGGTGTTGCGTCTTGGCATCTTCGAGGGCCTGCCATACTTTGTCCTCTCCCGCGTCGACGATGCGCTTGGCCGTGCCAAAGTTGTACGGCTCGTTGAGCAACGTACGGATGCTCCTCAACCCCAGCGCGTGGCTGAGCGGCTTACTCAACAGGTGAGCGCAGACCAGATGCTCAAAAGCCGTCAAGGAAGTCGGCGACGTGAGCGAGTAGCACTTCAATCCCTGCTTCTTCTTGGCCGCTTCTAGTTCTTCGTCTGGAAAACAATACGGCAGCGCGTCCGCGGAGAGTAAGAAGTTCAACAGCTGTTTCAGAGTTGCACGGCCACTCTTCGTCCCCTTTGTTCGAGCCGCTTTTTTCGACCCGTTTTGGTCTTCTTCGCCTGTAGGTCGTTCCTCGTGCTTTCGCTTTTGTCCAGCGTGAGCATCTCCCTCGGACCCTTCTTGCTCTTGTCCCTCTTCCTTCTTGTTTGGTTCAGACTCTTCTTGTGCGCCGCTGTTTTCCATTTCAGCATCTTTTTCGTTTTTCTTGGTTCCGTTTTCCTCCTTTGTATTGACAGACTCATCCACCCCGTTTTCATGGTCCTTCGAAGGCATCTTGACTCCAATCAACGACTATAAAACTTTTTTATTCAAGTGAGTCGAAAAACCCCGACTCGTTTCAAAAACATAATAAAAGTCACTTGGCCGGGAGGGAATCTACCCCTCTTTGTACTCGTGCCTGAGGGACTCCATTATCTGTACATGACTAGCATCCTCACATCATGCAGCTTGGAGGAGTTGAGGTTCCGTTGCGGTCGATCTCAAAAAGTCATGACGTAAATCGGAAAACCGTCAACAATGGAACTCCGTATACCTCAAGGAAACCAGGCATTGCCATTCTCCACCAAGATTGAGAGATGTCATGGTACGGGTGAGTATTTGCTTGCTGAGAGATCGCATGTTAAAAATGATGATGAATCAATCGTCAGAAAACAACGGAGCGACTACGTCGGGGGACGCGAGGCTGGCGAGGCTGAAGTGGAGTTAGGAGTACAATATGTACAAGTGCTTTCATGACTAATAGGAAAACAGAAAAAATCGTGAATAGTTTGGAAATGTAGACAAGAGATTGTCTTGAATCAGTATTTTATTCTGTTTCTTCGACTCCCAGGGCCTGTGTCCCCGAGTCAAAATATAGACTACAAAACAAAGACGCCTCGATGACCACACTACCCCATAGAGTGTAGACAGTTTGTTCATGGCCAAATATGATAAATCCCATTCACCATCATTCAGCATGAGAGGTCACATTACGTATCATGACGGGGGTCTTCGTAAACTACCTTTCCCTTCGTCCTTCATAACTGGTAACACCCTTCCTTCCAAAAGGAACGACCAAGTTTGTGACCCATACCGTCCCCGATTACAACTCCCTATAGTCGGCCTGCCTCGCCCGTTTCTGTCGATTTTGAAATCGTTGAGGGTTCACTGGTTGTCGCATATACGCATTGTCCTCCTCGTTTCCGACATGATGCTGCTGATTTGCAAACTTCCCACCCGCCGGTCCTGCCGGTGTGTAACCACCTTGGTTCATCGACTTTGGACCCGTGGGGACACCGGCCATACCGGCAGGTTGTGTTGCTGGCTTATTTTGAATATTGTTATTGTTGTGAAAGCCGCCTCGTTGCTTGAAACCACCTCGATTGTTGTTCCTCCAGTTTGGTCCCTGTCCGTAGCCTTGGTTTTGGTTTTGGTTTTGGTTCCAGTTATTGTTTTGCATGGGTTGATTACCGCCGAAACCACCCATGCCGTTATTGCCGGGTTGAAACATGTTCATGCCATTCATACCATTCATCATGTTGAAATTCGGATTCATGAAACCCATCCCGTTCATGCCGTTCATGCCGTTCATGCCGTTCATACCCATGCCCATTCCCATTCCCATTCCCATATTCATGGGGTTCATCATAAAAGGGTTAAATCCAGGCATTATAGGGAAGTTCATGCCATTCTGCATCTGCGAGAAATCCGGGGGCATCATATTTTCAGGAAACTCGTTCTTGTCGTCAGATGAATCGACCTGGTCCTCGTCTGTTGTTTGGACGGCTTCTGACTTGGGGGTCTCCGATGCTACTGCGTCCCCAGACTTCTGACGCTTCATCGCTGGTACGTCAAGGTTACCCGACACATTGGAATCGTTCACTTCACTCGCACTCCGTTTCTTGGACTGTGCGCTTGACGAGACAGGTGAGGCACCAGCTTGTGAAGTTGGTCTAGACCCGGCAACAGAGCCGTTTGCCTTGGGTGATTCTGCTGTAGCAGTAGGACTTCTAGACTGTTGTTTTTCATTTTGCTTCTCTGCTTCATACTCCTTGATCTTTGCCTTCATGTCTTCATCAGGTTCCAGCCGTTCAAGGCTGATGTTCTCAGTCTCGCATCCGGGACAGGTAAGATCATTCTCAAGCAGGGCATTTTCAATACAGTCATGACAATATGTCTTCCCACAACAAGGTGTCTTCATTGGGTCTACAAACAAGCGCTTGTCGATCGAGCACTGCAGGCCTCGATCTTGCAGCTCCTTGTCGCCAACTTGTACTTTCTCTTTAGCCGCTTCCGCAGCCTTGACTTGTTCCAAATGTTTCTTCCATGCTTTTTCATCTGCCTGTGCAAATACATATTCTCCTTCGGCATTCACCATAAGCTTTTGTCGGTCGGCATCATCCAATTTATCGACATCCGATTGATCAATTTTCTTCAACATTGACCGAGGAATGCCGGTTGTGCGCTTGATCCGATTCTTGTTGTCATAATTTACGTCGTCATTCGTGGGACAAGCTTGAATCCAGTGACCTGAGGATTGTTAGTTTGTGTGATCTTGATATCAACAAGACAGGGAGACTTACCTTTCTTGCCGCAACGGTAGCAGATGTAGCCGTGTGGTGGCTCACCTTCCGGGACGTTGGCTTTTTTAGCGAATGATTTTCCGGGCATAGCAGCTCTAGTCTCGTGTGACATCTCTTCTTGCTTTTGTTGCCATTGTGCGTCAGTAAACTGCAGCATCGCCTTCAATCTCTCTTCTTCAGTCATGAACTTGTCCAAATCCACTGTTTTGGCAGCCCTATTCGGTGCACTTGAGCTGGGTTTGGCGCTAACTGGTGGTTTTCCAGAGACATAGCGAGCAGCACGACCTTTGCCAGGCGCGGCGGCCGGTAATCTTCGAGCGAGAACCGTCGAATCTTTGGGGATGATCTCGGTGTCATCTGTGTATTCTTCATGAAATGTTAGCTTTATATCATTTATAATCGGTACCTCTGGGAGTCCTACCTTCATTGCTATTCTCTTTGTAGATCTTGAGATCAAAATCGGTACCGTCGCCCAAGCGAGAGATGTTGATGATTTCACGTTTGAGATTCCAAACATCGGTATGAGGGCCATCAATGGTCACGCGTTGTGGTTCTTTCTGTGACTTGAATTTGAAATACACGTAGGATGCCATGGCGGCAGTGCCACAGGGGCAGAAAGCGTAGTTGATACCAGTTGAAGAGGCTTATCAAGGTCAAGTCGGCGGTGCGCGCAATGGTGAAAAGTGCTATTGACTCTGTTCCAGGGACAAGAGGTCAAAGATAACCAAGGCAAAGGGAGATGATATTGAGAAAAAAGGTAAACAAGTAATAGATCAGGCCTCGGGAGAGCTCTGACGTCCAACTCAGGCGAGAATGAGAAATCTTCACGACCTGCACCAATTGTGCCTTGTACCAAAACCCAATCGACCTGCTATTCCTCAACGCAAGATACAGTCTACCGCCGTTCCCAGTATCGACCGATTCTTGACACCAAAATTTCCCCCCTCACTGTGTATCCGAGTGATGAGAGCAAACACGATGTGTTCTGCCCGAGGTTTCACAAGAGAATGGACGAATTAGTCTGTCGGGTAACGCCTCCTCCACCGTTTGCGGTGATTCCGGGATCGGGAAGACAAAGACAATACCTAATAGATCGTCGGGAAAGTTATGATACAAGGTGAAAAGAAAAATGTCGGTCTTGAACAAAAGGCGATGAAATATTTGCTGAAGAAGGAGTGATGGATGAGTAAAGGTTGAGTGAGGGTGATGGAAGGTGGAAGAAAACCCGAGCGGCGCAGGCGGAACCATTCACTTAATTATACGGAGTATCGCGGGCGCCGAGGCAAGGAGCGGGCACGTTCACGTGACTTGTACTTGACTTCAGCCTGATCACATGACTGCAGCCTTGTCAGGACAAGACTGAATCGATTGCAAGATTTCATTTTCCTTTGACATGAACATATTGTAGTGGACGTGTCCATAATTAATTAAATTCAAGAAGATCATGAATAAAGTCCGGGCTGCCGAACCACCATGGCCGGGGAAAATCTAAGCAATGTCTTTGGCTTCCAATTTCTTCGTAACTTCCATCAACACCTCTTTTGTGCTCAAGTACGCATTCTTCGGGTCCTTTCTAACTCGCTGCCAAACTTCTCCATGCTTCGGCTCCGTTGCTATACATTTGTTGATGACGTCCTCTCGCTTCTCCTGTGCTGTTGTCAGTCTTAAGTCACCCCCAATCACGCAAGTGTGACGACTACTCACCTCAGTGCCATGTTGCATGAGAAACTTCAGATACCACGCCCACGTATCTCCAAGATCAGAATCCAATACAATTGCTTTCTCGAACCAACTCATCGCTTTATCGAGGCGTCGTTCGCTCCAAAAGATTCGCGCAATCGTTACGAAGAGTATAGCATCGTTATCCACAGCCTTGATGGCTTCTAGGGCCAAAGGCTTACGCTGAGTTCGAGGCTGGAGTGTCCAGATATTCTCCGACAACAGCAAGCCGGACTTTGGACACTCTTGAAGTGCCTTTGACATCAAGGTCTTCGCTTGTTGAGTGTTCGGCGGTTTGGTATTCAATTCGATCCTGATACTCTCCACCCAAAGCTCAGGATTTTTTGGGTTCTGCAGTCTAGCCCGGTCAAGCACTGATCGAGCTTTGATGATGATGCCAGCCTTCACCTCGAGTCGTGCTGCCAGAAGCCATAGTGGCACTGACTTTGGACAAGCTCTCGTGCCTTGCGAATATGCTTCGCGCGCCTGCGGAACCATACCTTTGTCTTCGTAAATTTGACCCTTGATCATCCACAGTTTCGCACTACGGGGAAATCGAGTCTCTTTCTTGTCGACAACGGTGGAAGTAAGACCTTGAAGAACCAGGTCAAGAGCAACGTCAATATTGCCCAGTTGTCGCTCATATGCAGCACTTTTGTACCACACACGCTCCGTCGACGCTTGCTGTCTTGCTGTAGAAAGTAATTCTCTGGCTTGGTCGACCTGTTTTGCGTCGGCTTCCAGCTTGACCGCCGCCAGCCAAATTTCCTCGGATTTCGGGTTTTGATTAAAAGCTCTCGCGAGGACACGGCGAGCGTCGTCGACGTTGCCTGCATACCATTGTTCCCGAGCAAGCTGCAACCATAGCTTCGTAGATGTCGGGCAAGCTTCGACTGCCTTCTCCAAAACCTGCCACAGCGCTTCCTTCGTGCCATGATGTCTTTCAAGGTCTGCCGCCTCGATCCATAGTGACATGCTCGTGGGAAAGATACGGAGTGCATAAGCATATATAGCGCGAGCAGTCTCGAACCGATCTCGGCCCATACTAGCCTTGGCGTCATCTTTGAAGATTTCTTTGCGGTCGTCGTCCTCGTCAAGTCCATAACCGAGTGTCTCTCGGATAATGGCACCGCAGGTGAGCACGGCGCCCTCTCCTTCGCATTTCTCTGCTTCGGCGATCCACTCTTCACGCTTGAGCATAGCCCCTTCTTTGACAAGAGCCTTGACAGCACGATTCATGATGTTGACCTTGTTCGCATTGCCCATCTGCTCCTGTAACCGCGCTGCAGCGATCCAGATTTCGTGACTGGTTGGCACGGCTTTTCGTGCTTTATTTAGCACAGCCTGGGCAGCCTCAGGACTTTCCAGACGTGCCAAAGCAAGCCATAGCTCGACTGAAAGGGGGATAATCTCAGTGGCTTTGGCAAGCAGCAACTTGGCGTCTTCAGGATCTTCTTCCAGATTCACCGCTTCCTTCCAGATTGCAACGGACTGGGGAATGTGATCGATGGCTTGCCGTAATACTCGCTTTTTGGCTCGAGGATCTGATTCTAGTTTCATCGCTTCGATCCATAGTCTCGTTGATCGTTCGTTGTTCTTGATAGCGTTGGCAGCAATAATCTTCGCGTTATGATTGTCGTTGAGTCGAATATTTTCCAGCCACGCATCCTCACTCTTGGGACACTGCTCACATCCTTGAGCGATCAATTTCCTGGCAGAAACAATTTTTCCAGCCAACTCATCCAAACGTGCAATGGCGATCCATCCAGGGGCATGTTTGGGGTTAGTCTTGATGACCGACTCGAGCAGAACTCTGACTCGCTTGACGTCTCCTACGGCCAACTCCGAAGCCTTGAATTCTGCGGTGTTCAGACTAGTCAAGTAGCCTTTGGTGTCGATTGCAGTCGCTGTCCCAGTCCCAGCATCTGCTTGCGCTGCTCTATCCAACCTAGCCTTGAGCACTTTGTCTCTCGCAACACCAATTGCAGCAAAATTTGTCATCGTCCCATCTTTATTGTCGGCCCTCACTGCACTCTCTGCGCCGTCATCTTCAACAGTCGTCTGCATTTCCGTTGAGTCTCTCGCACCAGCCAGCACACTGTCTGGAACGGCATAAAATCGCTGTCTCAAGTTCTGTTTCGATCTTCGATTCTTGCCCGTGAGGTCGCCAGGATCAGGGAGATTGGCCCACTCTTCGTCGGTTATCGCAGCGAGTGGTCTCTTGAGGTCTGCAAACTGTTCTGCTATCTTTGGGTTCTTTCGATTGTACTCTTCGATCTCTTCTCGTTCTCGTGCTTCCCTAGAGGACCGCGAAGGAGTTATGTCGGTAATCTGCTCACCCAGGAGTGGAAAAGATAAACCACAGGCTTCTCTGACAGAGGGCAAGGGTTGGGGGTAAAGAGTGTACTAACCTTTGGGCTTTCCGCCGTCTTTCCATCTTCTCCTCTACTTCCTGGTATATTCTATCCGCCTCGTCATCATCTCTATCGTACTGCCCGAAGGCGAACAGGCCAGTCTCGTTGTCAGGATCCTGAAATCGTTCGTCGTCCTCCTCTGGCTCGTCCGGCTTCTTTCCCGCGGCTCCATAAGCGGTAGGAGGCGCAGCGCCCAGTTGTGCTGCTCTCTTAGCAAGCGCTTCCTGTATCTGCTCTGCACTGGGGCCTTCTCTAGCGGGACCGAGATCAGATCGTGTGGTAAATCCAGTCGCGCCTCGACCTAGACCAGCGACATAATTTTCGGGGGCCTGCTGGCTCAAGAAATCCCGTCGCGATGCCATCTTCTTGGATGTTTTGACGACGATACGATATTGAAGGAGGGTCAACAAGCGCTTTATTGCCTCGAGAGGCTTCGCCAAATCGCTATGGAAAAATATCAATACAAAACACTCGCAAGTCAGGAAAGTGATTGAAGTCGCCGAAACGCAGGCAGATTTTCCCCACACTTTACGCTGTTTCTCCAAAGACAAAAAAAAAGTCATACGACTTTTGAACATGCGCGAGTTGTGAATTCGATCGCACGCAAACACTTCACTCTCTTCTCCTCGACATCGTCTTCTGCCTTCACTTGCCTTTTCGGTTCTCATATACGCTTACTCCTGTCTCACATAGCACCCGAACCCTCAAAACCTTGCCAACATGCCAAAAGCCCAACACAAAAAGCGGCCGTCCGCTTCCTCTTCCTCACCCTACAACAAACCCGGTGGTGCCAACGCCAACCCCTCGTCCGGTCAATCCAATGCAATCTTCAAAATGAACACAGACCTCGGTCAGCACGTCCTCAAGAACCCCGGCGTAGCCCAGGCCATCGTCGACAAAGCCGACCTCAAGCAATCCGACACCGTTCTCGAAGTCGGCCCGGGTAGTGGTAACCTCACGGTCAAGATTCTGGAAAAGGCGAAAAAGTGCATAGCAATCGAACTCGACCCTCGCATGGCAGCCGAAGTGACGAAACGAGTCCAGGGTACGACGCTGGGTCGCCGTCTCGACGTGATCCTGGGCGACGTGATCAAGACCGACCCCCTCCCCTACTTCGACGTCTGCATAAGCAACACGCCCTACCAAATCTCGAGTCCTCTCGTCTTTAAACTGCTCGCTACCATGCCCTCACCGAGAGTCTGCATCCTCATGTTCCAGCGCGAGTTCGCTCTCCGCCTGTTCGCCAAACCGGGCGACAAACTCTACTCGCGGCTCAGCGTGAACGCTCAGATGTGGGCCAAGATCGACCACATAATGAAAGTGGGCAAGAACAACTTCAAGCCTCCGCCGGCCGTGGAGAGCAGCGTCGTCCGCCTCGTGCCCAAGAACCCCAGGCCCAACATATCGTACGAAGAATGGGACGGCTTGTTACGGATCTGCTTTGTGCGCAAGAACAAGATCCTCCGAGCCAACTTTTTGGGCACCACGAGCATAATGAACGCCCTCGAGGCGAATTACAGAACGTGGTGTGCGCAGAATGATGTTCCACTTGAAGACGGCCCTGCGGACGACTCGACACCAATGACGGACGTGGAGAATACGACCGCTAACGATGACGAGGCCGAGGAAGAATGGGACGGATTCATGGATGTAGACGGTGACGACGATGACCTTCCGGAATTTTTCAAGCAGCAGCAACAGCAACAGGCGGCCATCAAGACGTCAAGGGGAGCCGGTAGGAAAAGGAGAGGCAAAGTTGCCGAACTGGTACGCGAAAAGATACGATCGGTCCTCGAAGACAAGACTCAACTTGCCGACAAGAGAGCCAGGATGTGCGACGAAGGAGATTTTCTCAAGCTGTTATACCATTTCAATCTGGAAGGGATTCATTTTCGGTGATTTGAGGATCACGAAGAAGGATGTCACTATATTTGGTTGACGCTCGATTCTCGCGAGACTTGATGATGATGATGACGACGACTATGATGACCATACATCACTTTGAGAGAATTTCTTTACGACGTGTTACGATGTGATATGTAACTTCTTTGATACCCCCACTTCATCACCAAGGAAGAGGACTATTTTGCCAGGTAGATGTGGAAAAAACAAACAAACAAAAGCATTTCTTCAATTACTTTTCAGTCCATGTATGGATTAGCAGCGCTGATGATTTCAATAAGACTTCATTAAACCAGGGACTTTTTTTTGAAGGAGATCTGGAATCTTTTGAGTATTTTTCAATCTTTTGCTTCTTCTTGACCTATCGATACCTAATATGTCGACCTTTTTATGATGGCCATCCATCCATCGCGGCAATGGTGAGCCAGATAACTTCCCTTGGAGTCTTCAGGTCGTCCACCACCAGAAGAGAGACTGTCCGTACATCAAGATACCTAACCTGGTCTCGTTCCAACATATCCATCGTGCCGACAGCAGCAGCAGCAGCAGATTGCCAGAGACACTCATGTCTTTGTGCCCCATGCACAAGATCCTTTCTCTCCACCCTGGAGGAATCCCCCAACTCAAACCATGAAACCAGCATGGTCGGTCGAGTCTCAAATCTCGACGATTCCCCCAATCCTCTCAAGAAAGGTATCATCGACCATCATCATCATCATCATCTCAATCTCTGGTCACTTTCCAAAGAAAAACGGGATACGATAAGAGTATAAGGTAATCTCAAAACCAACAAAAAGAAACAAAATCAGTGCAAGGTACATACACAAAAAAAAAGGAGTGGTCTCGTCGAGATCAAGTACGGAGGAAATTCTTATTTTCCCAAGACAATTTCAAGGCTTGTTCGTTTCCTTCGCTTGCTCGCTTGCTTGTTTGCTGAAGCTTCAAAACAACAACATGACGAGGCATCTTAACTTCCTCGGAGGCAACCAGAATGTCATAAACATCTTCAACAAAATGTTCAATAAGAAAACTTTCAAGCAGTTCTGCCGGCCCCAACTTTTGGGTACTCTCGATGTCCACCCTTGACTCTTTTTGGTGTCGTGAGCTTTTGTAGGCGCATCTGCTTTTAGGGAAGAAATTGAAGAAGAATTCCGCAAAACAAATCATTCCATGCCCGAAATGTGTAGACGATTGGGCCGTGTTGAAAAAAAAGGCCATCATCCAGTAGAACAGTACACACAGTAAGAACATAGGAGACTATCATATTCATAGGTCATCGCATGCGTTGTCCCCCAACTCGAAAGGAGATGAGGCCCTCGTTATAGGAAAACGACAAGTCAGAAAAGCAAAAAAAGCAAGACAAAGAGATAACCGCCCATAATGAGACTACAGCAATGTAAAGGATTTTGAGATGCGAGCACTGCATTTGCACCTCTCAAGGTCATGCTCCATAAACGGCATCGTCAATGTTCTTGCCATAGTCAACACTCTGCCGTCGGTAATCATAGCCACGGCCATTGACGCTTGGAGCCCGACTGGGCTGTGCGCTTGATTTCAAGCTTGGGACGCGGTCTTCAATATGAGAAAGTCGCCGCGAGGGATGAACTGGATCCCGACTAGACATGTTGCTGGACATGCTCTTACGAGATGCGCGACTAGCCTCACTTGGTGCCCTTTCAATCCTTTTTTGTTCTCTCACCCTAGGCACCTCCTTACCCTCGGTGCCCACCGACAGGACAAGACCGCCAACGCTGATGCTGAGTGGCCGACCCTCCTTGTCCATGTAATCAGTTGGAATGCCTATGTTGAGGCCTCCAGGAAGAGTGATGCTAGTTCTCGTCCCGCTTGTGTGGCTTCTACCACGGCCCGAGGAGTCCTTTGACGAAGACTGGTGGCTTTTATGGCTATAGCTACTACCAGTCTCAGATCTTGAGCTCGAGTTTCGTTTGTTCAGATCTCGAAGAGCCTCGGCAGTCAATTCACTTGAGGTCTTACTCCTTCTATTTTGGTATTGTTCGGCCTCAAGTTCTTTCTGCTCAAGGGGTATAATGGATGATGGCATTGTAGTTCGACGAGGAGTTGCACCGGCCTTGCTGGAAGCAACCTTTGTGGTGGCTGTCGGTGTAGAGTACGACACGGACTTTCTGGGAAGACCAGGCCGATCGCGGGCCTCGATATTCGAAGGGCCCCTATATGAAGTCGGAGGTCGAGATGGGGAGTGAGACTCTCGCCGTGACCTCATGGGTGAAAGAGGTGGTCGAGAGTCTGGAACGTCAAAATCGTCGTCTGGTTCGTAAAAGCGCTCCCTCAGAGGAGCTTCTGTAGGGTGGTATGTTTTAGACCTCCGAGCGCTAGGCCGGCGCACAAGAACAACCTCAGACGGTTGGGGCTTCGGTTGCGGAGGCGGTGGAGGCGGTGGCGGCATACTGATTCGATCTTCGTCCATAACTCGGCTTGATCTCCGAGAAGTCAGTACTGGTCGGTTCTCCTTTGAGGAGACCTTCTCCAGATTAGTCGTGCCAGTATCAGCGTAGGTCTGCCTGATTACTGGGTCTCCGTACGTAGATGATCTTCGGGCTGGACTCGAGCGACGACTTGCTCTGGCTGAATGGGGTTCCGAAGGAGGTGCAACGTCCATATAGGGTGGCATTTGCGGGAAGGGAGCAAAGGAGGTGCCAGGCATGGGCGATGGCGGAGGGTATGCATATGGGACGGAATTATAAGGGATAGAGGGCGTGATTGGTGTGCCCCAGCCAGATGTAGCGACAGGCGGACCATAGCTCATGTACTGAAGGGGAATTGCTTGGGGCATCATGCTCAGCGGCCTTGGTTGCCTGGACGTAGAGACGCGTCTTGATCTAACAGGTAGAGCGTCGTCATCCTTTGCGCTTCGCGGCGCAGTCTGCCTGGTTGTCTTTGAAGAAGGTGGCGGAGGAGCCACGCTTGACGCCCGAGACATCTCTTGCTTTATATCAATATGCTTGCCATATTGGTCACACACCCAGCAGGCGCCGGGCTGGTGCACGAATGACTTGGCTTTGGCGGGCCGAAGCTGGTCTACAGGAACCTCTTTGCTGTGAGATCCAGACTTGCGACGTGATACAGGTTTACCAGGTGCTGAGAAAGGTACATGATAAGGTTGCCGTGCCCTTTCTGGGACGGCAGCCGTGTCGAGCTTCAGTTCTGGCATCTTGCGCCGTGAGAGAGTAGAAGACTCGCTGACCAAGGTGTCGGCTCGACTAACGTATCCTGAGTCGAAACCATCGTGAGATGATTTCTGCTCTTGCAGAGCACTCAACTCTTGTTGGGATCGTTTAATGGCAACATTGGCAGAAGTTCGAGAGCCAGGGAGGGTTGTCTGAGCTTCTTCGTCCCAATCCTCAACTGTGGCTACTCGAGGACGGCGCCGTTCAATATCTGGCATGGACGCGGTGGTGAAAGATGGTTGTATTTGAGTGGGAGGAGGTTAATGCTATTTGTAGTGATGTCTGGTCAGGAATGTCGTCCTGAGTGCTACTCGTAGAGTGTAGAGGAGGCCGATCGTTCTGGGTGGAGTGACTTAAGGAGGGCCTCCAAAACCTGGTCACCAAGTACTTGATCGACTAATAAGCGAGGAGAGCCCGTGTTTCTCTCCCCTTGGCCGCAAGGATAAGCCAACTCTTAGGCGCGGGTCGTGGCTGGAGGCTCGTTCCGCACTGTTTCGTGGGGCGAAAGTTATTCAATTGTTCGGTTGTTGGTTTTTGAGTGTTTCCTGTTTTCTCAGACACTTTCTGCAGGTAACGTTCTTTAAAACCTTTGACATTCCGTGAATGGAACTGGCGCGGTGAGTCAAAATTGACTTGTCTCGTGTGGTTTGGTCTTAACTCTTCAGTCCGACTCGTCCTGAAGGGATGCCATTTCGATTCCCTCGGCCAACTTGGTCACCCAGACCTCGGAGGGTTTACTGGGTGGACTGAACGGCCTCAGCTTGGTATTGCCGCAGCTATGTTTCACCTCCCAAGTGTTGTGCCAATATGTTTGTAGAAATACTGCACCAAGCCGCTGATGCGCAGCGTTGTACGCCCAGTCTGTATAGTTGTATGGCTGCGGAGTATGCGCGAAAAGAGGTCCGACACAATCCCAGGTTCGTTTTGGCTGACGTCGTAGTCGTGTGCAGTCTTGATTTGCTCGCCGAGAGTGCGTGTGCCGAAACGAAGGAAGGCCGCAGAGATGTACGTCAAAGGAACAACAAGTAGTGGAAGAACAGCAGTTCTCACTCGAAAATGTCAGTAGAGACGATGAAAAGATGGAGTGAGTGGAGGAAGAAGGGGAGAAGAGTCCAATGCACCTGTACGAGTAGATGGATTTCTTTTTGACCGTTGGCAACGAGTCATCCTCTTCAACCCCACCACACCCTGGCTACCAGGCAGGCGACGCGGAGGGAGCAATGAGACGAGACGAGACGAACGGCGAGGGAAAGTTGTGAGCAGTCTCTGCCTGTTTGGCTGCAATATGACGAACAGAAGCCGGAGGCAGCAGCAGAGTGCTGCAGGCAGGGGTATCGTGTCTTCTAGGCTGCTGCCAGCAGCAGTGGCATTGGCGAATGCTGATCACTGCGTGTGAGCAGAATGTGCCAAAGCCAACCGGTGTCGTATTAGTTGCGTGATGTGCGGGTTGGTGTTGCTCGCTGTCTTGTGAATGGTCGATATAGGCCAATTGAAGCCCGACGAGCGAGAATTTGTAGGCACTTGGAGGCACTTGCAGACGCTCTATCGCTGTGCACAACTCCTCTCTGCGAATAGCCATTGCCACTCGAGGTGACCACGAGCTCGTCAACACAACCTTCGCATCCGTCTGGCTTGTGCCTCTCGCCTCCTCATATCGCAACGTCAGCACTCCCTCTCCAGAACTCGGCCACCTATCGCTCGCCCACGATGATCAGGGTTTGACGCTGTGATGATATCTGCATGATCATAATGAGCCATGGCCGTTGAGCGTCCTCCAGGTGTCACGAAACGTGGAGTGTGTCCCGCCAGGGATGGTAGTGTGATACGACAGCATGTTTGCCAGCAAGCAGTTGGCTGAATACGAACGCGGGGAGCCAGTCTGCAGAAGGCAATGCCGATAGCAATTGCCCCTCGATGGTCCGCGTCAAATCTATGCTAGGTCTATGTTACACAATGGACACTTGATGCTGTGTTGCCGGCTGATGGGATGACTGACCCCCGAGCATATCAGCCAACGAGACTTCATCCAGTCAGAAACCCTTTCGCATCGATGACCATATCAGCCTGAAACTCTTCGGAATCATCCTCAAACTCCCTAGATACTACTCGGTGTATAGAGCACACGAACACTTCCAGCTAAACATTGTTGACAGAATCTCTGAGTGCCATCGCTGCCCAACGCACTGTGACGTTAGTACCAGGCCCTGCCCTGACTAGCACCTCTTAGCCTGGACAGTTGCATGAACATACATCAGCGTGTGAGAGAACAAGAAATCGATCCTCTGCTCGACCTGCTTAGCAACATGGCTCCTCGGCTGAGAGCCCGGAAGTCCACCGCAGCAGTTCCCCCATAGCTCCGACATACCTGATCCTTCCTCATTCATACCCTGCATTAGGACCCTGGTCGCTTTGTTTCCCTTCGAGAGTCTGGAACCCCATTTCCGAAAGATAGTAAGCGCAAGCCACCCTCTGCAGCAATAAAATCCCGAATAACTCCGCTCGACTGATCTAGAGAGGCATGTCCAACACGAGTCTTCCTTCGCGTGCATATCGACAGCTAGGGTATTACATTCGCTGTACGGGGCTCAGGCCGATCAAGGTCATGCCATTCCACAAAACCTGCCGGGCAGCCTCGTACAGGGCCAATCGAGCCTTTTGTAGCTCGGGCTCGCTGCCCACAACCTGCAGATGATCATAACTTGAACTCAGTGCATGGGCCATTTTGAAGAGATAGGTCAGTAGCGTTGCAGGTTCGCGTGTCTTGAGCGTGTTCAGAACTACGTCAGGATACTGTGCCAACGACCGGGTAAGATTGATAGCATGGACTTCCTGTAGCAGCGACAAGTCGGCAGAACTCAAGCCACTTATGTCCGCGTTGGCTTTGCGTTCGATTGAGCATAGTCGCGCGTGCGCGTATTGCAAGTATGGGCCAGTATCTCCTTCGAAGGCAGTCATCTGATTGATATTGAACTCGTACCCATTGCGAACCTTGCCAGTCAAGTCTTGCACCATGATTGCGGTGATGGCCAAGATATCAGCCACAGCGTCAGGGTCGTCCAATTGCTCATACTTCTTCTCGTTCTTCTGCATCACTTCAAGCATGGTCTCTTTGACTGTTTGGATGATGTCGTCTAGGAATTTGACTGTACCTCGTCGAGTGCTCATACCCTTGACCATTCCGAAAGAAATGTGTTCACATTTATCGGCGATTTCTTTATGGCCACTGATCTCTGTGGTCTTGAAAAGCTGAGCCACGTGCTCATTTTGTTGGTCAGCTATCACGTATATCATCTTGTCGAAGTGGTACTTGTCGCTTCTTTCTAGGATAGCAGCCAAATCCCGAGTCAGATACAATGGCGTTCCGTCTCGTCGAACGATAATCGCTTTGTTCAGTTTCTTTGCTCCGTGTTTGGCAAAATCGATCAAAAGTGCACCGTCAGACTCCTCAGCAATCTTCTTTGCCAGCAGGTTATCAAGAACCTTTTTGATATTTTCGGCCTTTACCTGTGATTCACCAGAGTATACGTCAAATTCAATGTTGAGTCGTGCATACGTCCTCTGATATTTCTCAATGCTCATATCGCGGAATTGTTGCCATAATGCGAGGGCTTCCGGATCTCCATCTTCCATACTTTTGAAGTATTTTCGAGCTTTTTCGTCCTCACTGGCTTCAACCAATGGCGCAAGTTTCTCCTCCAGAGCCGTTACATCCTCCCCCTTGAGCTTCCTTTCCTTAATCTCCTTCTTGAGAGCATTGATGGGCTCATCTTGCTCGCTCTTGATCTTACTGATCTTGACATAGACATGGAAGAGGTGCTGGATTGAATTTTTGTCCAACTCTTCTTGGCTTCCAAATTGCTTGAAACCGTTAGCCAAGAGCCCATACTGCTTTCCCCAATCTCCAAGATAATTCATCCTGATTACCTCCCAGCCCATAATCTTGTAAAGCTTGGCAAGGAAGCCTCCAATGATCGTACTTCGAAGATGACCTGCATGGAACTCTTTGGCGATGTTTGGTGAAGAAAATTCGATAACGACTCGCTTTTGCCCTTTTGAGGGATCTGATGGATCTTTCAAACCAGAAGCGGGATTGGTACCGTACGCGTTCTTAGTGTGGAGGATTTCGGGGATAACGGTCTTGATCAGGTGCTCGGGCTTGAAGAAGAATTGAACGAAAGGACCAGCCTGGGTCGCCGTGGCAAGCGTGTCTTCCGACTGGGGGTATGCTTCGGCTATCTCCTTGGCCAGATCCTGGGGTGGTTTGCCTTTGACACGGAGGGCGGCGACCGGCAACATTAAGTCCCCCTTATCTAGCGTAGCGGTCCATTGCAACAAAGGAACAAGTTCAGTATCTTTGCGATTTACAATCGGAGCTATCCTCTCGGCGATATGCTGTCGGTAGAAGTCGACGGGATTCTTGGCCTTGGCCATCTCTTCTATAGAGAGTGAAGTTATCTTATCACTTAGTCCTGAAGCCATGGTGGACCTTGAAACAGCAGATAGGGAAAATCTTTGTCGATGGTGAGGTCTGAGGTCTGTAACGATATTCCAGGCTGTACTGCGATGTGACCCACAAGAATTGAAAGTGGCTGCTCTATGGTAGTTTCGGAAGTGAGATCTAGCAGTCGGTTGGAGTGAGAGGAGATAGTCAGAGGTCTTGCGAGAATGGACTGAGCGAAAACGAGACAGACACAAGGGCATTCTTTTTGTAGAGTCACATCTTCTTCAAGGCGAAACGCCCTTGAGCCAATTGAAAAGTTGATATCTTGGCATAACGGATACGGAACAACATTTCTCCAGTCAGCCTTATCCCAAATTGTGTCATTGTTCGACACTATTCGTAGATTAGTGCGCTCGAAGCGTTTCCCTCCCCCAAAGACATCAATGCAGCATTCTCCGGGGTCATCACTGTTCAGGTGATATACCTGGCGGCTTGGTCGCACCATGTCTGAAGAGTCTAAGGCATCGGGAGAGCCTGAGACGATGCACAATGACAACGCACACCACGAGCACCGGTCGAAGCGATTTCGATTCAAGTCGGCCAGGGACGATGAATCTGGTGACGATGGTGATCTGAGAAGACACAAGCGTAGGAGCCCGCACGATTCATCACACAGAAGCCGAAAGCGCCATCGGTCTTCCAGGCACAGACCTGATTCACCACCTTCCCACCATCAGTCGTCGTCCAACTTGCCTTCCGATCAAGCATTTCGCGAGTCACTTTTTGATGCTCTTGGAGACGATGAGGGTGCGGCCTTTTGGGAAGGAGTCTATGGACAGCCTATCCACAATTACCGTAATACCTACGAAGACGAAGAAACAGGCGAGCTGGAGCGCATGACTGATGAAGAATATGCGCAGTTTGTTCGGAGAAAGATGTGGGAGAAGAGCTGGGAAGGCATAGAAGCGGCCAAGCAAGAGAACAGACGACAACGAGAACAAGAAAAGCAAAAGATACGTGAAGAAGAGGCTAGGCAGCGGACACATCAACAATCGCCCCATCATGATTTTGCTTTCGACTCCCAAATCGAAGCAAGCCTCCGGCGCGGCCAGAAACGGAAAGATCAAAAGCGATGGCAAGCTTTGTGGCAGGACTATTTAAAAAGATGGGATGAGATGCACTCATTAGCACAGAATCGCCCAACATCAGAGGATGATGCTGAGCAAATGTTTCTTCGCAATAAAATTGCATGGCCCGTGGAGTCTGGCAAACGCAAAGATGTAAATGGAGATGAAGTGGAGCGGTTCATCAAGAAAGGGACAGCAAACCTTGATCCAGACGAAGTGACAGAAGACCTCTTCACCAATGCCATCAAGGTCGAACGAGTACGATGGCATCCTGATAAAATCCAGCAGCGCTACGGATTTATGTCAATTGACGAGAGCACGCTGAAAGCCGTCACCGCCGTTTTTCAAATCATCGACACTATCTGGAACAGGATCCGAAATAAGGCACCATGATATGCAAAGGGTGGCCTCCTAGCATAGGCGTGCCCACCAAAGGCAACCTATCCGGAGGGCGTCAGATTCTCTATTCTACTTGCAGAATCCTTTGCTGAAAGTCACTAGGTCTATACATTTAGTGGTTCCACGCCACCGGTCCATTCTTCAATGATGTCGTCTGGAATATCTCTCACAAGCACATGCACATGCTCCATGCCCGGGACAGATTGCAAGGCTGTCCAGTTCTTGAACCAGACGACTTTCTCGGCTGGACCTGGTAGATCATTCACTCGATCAACAAACCTGGTTTGTATGAAGTCCTCCACCTGCTGTCTAGATTTTGGCGTCATGTCACCACGGGTGGATTCAGACTCTAGCCTGACCTTCAGCCAGACGATAATGTGTCGAATGCCCTTAGCTAGACCATATGGCCAGTCGTTGACCAGGATCTTGTAATCTGCTTCATGAGCAAATGGGATGGGACTCTCGATGGCAAATAATGGGCCAGTCTGAGCAGTCGACGAAGGTAACGGCGCCCATTTGAGCCTCTCCCTCATTATGAAGTTTGGGATTGTGCCATAAGCTGCCTTGGTCTCAGCAGACCACTTGATGTACCGTCTCAGATCTGAAGGCCATCTTTTGAAGAGGCTTAGATTATTTTCAGCTAAGTTCAGTTAGACGTGATGGCGTCCTCGTAGAGTATGAAAAAGATATTATGCCAATCATACCAATGATCTGTTTCAGTTCTTCCCAGGTGTGTGGGTGAAAGTCGTCATCGCTCATAGACAATATCTCCCGGTCAAGCGCTGTCAGGGGGAATGGGGTTGAGGCCAGAGCTTCATCTGGAGCCATGATTCGCACCCTGGAGGCCGATGCTTATCAGGAACAGGTAATGCTCGCCGGATTGATTGACCAAAGCTGGGGAAAATACCACACACAATTGGCTCATGACCCAGGAGTTGTCCGTGACTTTTTCGTGTATTCACTTTCCGAACGACGGAATGGCCCCGCACCCATTGACCAGAAGTGAACACGAGATCCCGGGGAGTTTGTATTGGGAAAAGAGAGAATGAACCTGGCCGAAGTGTTGTTCTGATCCCGGCGCCGGTACGGGGGCGAGAGAAGGGCGTGGAGGGGTTGGACAAAGCAACGCAGTACAATGCCCCCCCGGTTGGCCCCACGTTAGTAGTTTCTTCGGGCAAAAATATTTACCAGACTTTGTGAGTGTTGAGGTCTCCGTTCTTCGCCGTGATCCCCAAATTCCGATACTCGCATCGTTAATTTTTTGTTTCTCTAACATCTACATCTTGACCTCCCAGAGTTGGTGGTGTTGGCTGAGGCGCGCTTTGTAGAGTGAATCCCAGGTCGATCAAGTAGAAACTCGGGGTTAAACACCACCCCCGATTTCTCAACCGGAAGACTTCAACCTCACCGCCGCCGTTGTCCTTCCTTCTCACTGCTTCCACGGTACCCTAAGCAGCCATCGACGTTTCTGCTCTACGTACGGTTAGCCAGATAACATCCCGGTATGTCTTGGGTTCCGGTCGCAGCAGCAATTGCTGCTGCACTCGCTGCAGTATTCGTGGGCTACAAATTCCTTGCAGGTGGAGGTAAGTAGCTGTGAAGGTCAAGTGGCCTGACACTTCTCCGCTCACATCGTCAACAGCATCCTCATCGCGAAAGATCCTCAAGCCAGACGCCTTCCAGGAGTTCCCTCTTGTCGACATCAAGAAGACATCTCACAATGTCGCAATCTACCGCTTCGCTCTTCCCAAGCCTACCGACATTCTCGGCTTGCCCATCGGACAGCACATGTCTCTTGCGGCCACGCCCAAAGGTGCAGAGAAAGAGGTGGTCCGTTCGTACACTCCCATCTCTTCAGATGAGGACAAGGGTTGGTTCGAATTATTGATCAAGGCATACCCTCAAGGCAATATCAGTGCGCATATGACCACACTCAAGGTTGGAGACACCATGAAGGTTCGTGGACCCAAGGGAGCCATGGTTTATCAGCCGAATCTCTGCAGACACATTGGCATGATTGCTGGAGGTACGGGCATCACTCCCATGCTGCAGATCATCCGAGCCATCAACCGTGGACGACCCAGGAACGGAGGCAACGACCGCACCAAAGTTGACTTGATCTTCGCCAACGTCAACCCTGATGACATCCTTCTGAAAGAGCAACTGGATGCGCTCCACAAGGAAGACCCAGATTTCAGCGTCCACTATGTCTTGAACAACCCACCTGCAGGTTGGACCGGCGGTGTTGGCTTTGTGACTGCAGATATGATCAAGGAGAAACTACCTGCCCCGGCGTCAGACATCAAGATCTTGATCTGTGGTCCACCGCCTATGGTCAGTGCATTGAAGAAGGCAACAGAGAGTCTCGGATACCAAAAGGCTCGGCCTGTTAGCAAGCTTGAGGATCAAGTTTTCTGCTTCTAAATGGGTGGTTCAAAGAGATTTCTGTGTCGGCAGGAGAAGAGATTTGACACATCATACCATCTGGGGGACATTTTGATGGTACGCTGAGCATTACTGAGCATTAAAGACACTGCATTGCAACTGTCAATACTCTACACCTTAGACAATGTGCGCGGTGGCAATTCCGGGTTGGTGATGATTGCTCCTCTGCAATTCCAACTGAATAGATAAACCTCGAGACCAAAAAAATGAAAGTGAGAAGAGTTGTACTCATAGTGCACAATCAGATCGATGTCAGAAGTGATATTTTCCCAGGCATAATCTTTCATTTCCCTGGTTGCTTGGAGCATGGTATTTTTCCTGACTAATCGTCCGACGAGGCTGCCAAACCCCTGGACAACTCTGGCCGAGCGTTTAGAGGCCGTACCTTTTTCTCGTTACCGAAAACAGTCCTACACATTTTTCAATCAGTCACCTACCTAGGGACCTTCGGGTGGTATCCCACTTGGTGATCGAGTGGAGACCTGCTCTGCAAGGTAGTGAAGGACCCTCGTATTGTAGGGGTACATATGGTTATTCCAGTAAAATTTACTTCAACAAAGGGACCGCCTTGATGGCCACTAAGACAGACTCACCGCGTCGAAAAGCGCGACTTTGTCCTAATTGGTTTGGAGGTTGGGCTTATCCTTGGAAACCCTGCTTTAGTGGATTAAACTTGGGAGTCGGCAGGGTTTCCATGACCACTGTAGCAAATCTCTACTATACAAAAAGAGGTTGTGAAGGGGGTTCATAGTCGGGATAAGTATTAGAAAGAGCCTGGGTTCGAACCTCCAAACTTTTTGTTTCTCGAGATATATTTTTCCTAATTTTGTCCCCTTTTCTGGCGGTAGTGAAGGTGGTGAATGTGACGATGTTCCCGGGTTGAGTACGGATGGCTGATGCCCTTCACATTCGCCTTCACTCATCAAAGTCCTTGAATTTGGAGCTGTGTTGGACTTCCCAAGCAAATACGGAAACCACTGAAGCTCGTTCTCTCTCTTGGAGACATATGAACATGATTCTTGTGTTAAAAAAAAGAAGTTCCCCGGACCCCAGGGGCATATATTTGTATACTACATACTCTCCCCACGACTACGACTGGTGTAAATGTCAACCCCACAACTACAAAGCTACTGTATGGCACTATGACTCCGACTTTCCCAGCTTTGGCATTTCTGGACATGTTGTGAGAATATCACAGAGACCAGTGTTCAAGTCTCATTCAACATACCACAGTTCCTGATGCTTGTCGGTGGCTGTGGTGATGATCGTTAACCGGAGGATTGATCTTCCTCTTCCGAAAATCCTTGACCCCTGAGGCTCAATTTCGTGGAGAATGACCTCATACCAAGATCCAGACTGGCTGATCGTTATCGTGGCTTACAACAATCCTTGATCTTGCAATCAAAAACAACCTGACATGAGACGACAACCGGCAGTCCATTTTGCTACAAGGGACACGTCCATCCTATGGCCGACCCAGAAAAGGCTATCCTTACAAAAATGTCAAGATTGACCTCTTGAAAGGATTCTTTTGAACATAAAAATATCTATGCCCTGTCACGACTTTGCACGAATTTACACGACTTGTTGATCTACATATTTGAATATTTTAATATTTTTGGGGGGAGATACCTTGAGATTTATGAGCAAAACACCCACACTGACAGAGTACCGAAGTACCGACTTACCTATACCTATACGGCAACATCCAAGTATATATTCAGTTATATATGGTACACTCCTCTCTACTACGGAGGCACGATATACCTCGGACACGAAAACGAGAACACGGTTTAAATCACCAAACATTCAGCACTCGACATCAAGAATCCCGACACAATACAACTCAATAAGCAATGTTATCACCCACAACACTACCACTCCGGGCCCTCCTCCTCCTCCTCCTCCTTCTCCTCCTGTGTCTCTGGCCACAACTCACAACCACCGCCTCCACAAACTCCACATCCAAAAGAGGTTTGATCTACATCTACACCTCTCACTCATCCAAAGACGATTCAATTTTCACCCGATCCGGTTCCCCATTGACTTGGTACTACAACTACTCACCCTGGCCCACCGACAGTCTTTCCGATGACGTCGTCGAATTCGTGCCCATGGTCCACGGGGCCACCAACGCCCACGAAGACGTGGCGACCATCAAGACTCTTTCGAACGCGACTCACGTCCTGTCGTTCAACGAGCCTGACATTTCATCCTCCGACGGCGGGTCAAACACTTCCCCCAGTGACGCGGCCAAAGCTTACCTAGACTTTGTCGCACCACTGAGGGAGGAACCATATAATTTGAAAATCAGTTGGTACGTCATCTTACTCTCTCTCTCTCTCTCTCTCTCTCTCTCTCTCTCTCTCTCTCTCTTTTGAATCTATATATCTTCTACGACCAATGGGGGGTTTCATCTTTGACGGTTTGTGACGCGATATCTGACAAGGTACATACAGGCCATCGACATCAGGGTCCGCGTCTGGACTAACGTGGCTCTCCAACTTCAACAAGACATGTCACGGTCTGAACAGCACCCACGGGTGTCCGTACGACTTCCTAGCCACACATTTTTACGGACCCTTTTCAGGTCTGGCTTCGTGGTTGGGCAACCTCCACAGTTTGTACCCCGACGCCAAAGTATGGCTCACCGAATTCGCCGTCCCGGACACCTCGGCCACGGTCGCGTTAGCCATGATGGACCAATCACTACGGTACCTCGACGGGTTGGACTACCTGGAGAGGTACTCTTGGTTCGGGTCTTTCCGGTCGTCCGACGCCAACGAATGGACCGGTGACGGGGTGAGCATGCTGGACGGCCACGGGAAACTCACGGGCCTGGGAGCTCAGTATCTGGGTGGGGAGGAGAACGGATTCGAAAAGGGACAAACAGGCCAAGGTAGTAAGAATGGAGGGGTGGCGATGAGGGACAGACGCAGTTTCTCAATGACGATGCTTGCGGTCGTGACGAACGTCGTTTTGGGTGGTCGGGCTTTTTTTTAGAATGTTTCGGGAGATGGAAAAATACAGAGTTTGAATACTTGGGATACTTGAAATATATATCCGGACTTTTTGTGTGCCATGATGCATCCGTATGGGCGATGAAAGAGATGGCTGCAAGGATACGGGTAACCCTAGCCTGATCATGCAATAACATGAGAGGAAGCCAAATTTTGCCCCTGTACTCCATACGAAACGACCCCCTTTGATTACAACGCCGAGTCAAGGTCATGAATCTGACTTGATACCAGAGGTAAGTAACAATGAACCAAAAAAACACTTGTCCGTGTGGTATGTGCAAGGATAATATTAAGCTATAAATCTACCAGTTTCTCCCCCATATCGTGACGAGTATATCCGTCCCTCTCGTGTTATCAGGTCACCAATCCAACCCCCAGGCTTTAGGAAAAAGCCCCACGCTATGCTTGTTTCAAGGAGAGTGAGCCCCTTCCCAATCAAAAGTCATAATCTTCGGCGTATCAAGAGAGATGCCCGATGATATATACATATATATATCAAAAACATCCGAACCAATTTTCGCATGAGCCGCAACAACGCTTGCTGGATAACAAAAATCACAAAAGAAACCTCGCCCAACCTTTATTTGTGTCTGTACTGTTCAAAAGCGAGATCTGGCAATCTCGGGGTCCGGGAGAAAGGAGGAGGTGGACTGCCGCCCTCGGTGATGGAATCTTGTCCGTGGCTCAAACTTCGATAGCCCGTGTATCCCATGCCGGCCGCGCCCTTGACGAGGGTCTCTTGGCTGTCATCGCGAATGGGACCGAATCGAGAGTACGCGTTGGCACGCATCGGTTCGTACCCTTGGGCCGGGTCGGAGACTTTGCCCGTACCCCGAGACGGCGACGAGGTATAAGGGTTCGGCTCCATGAGGAACGCGTCCCCTTCGATGTCCTCGTGGATTTGCTTCTCGGCGGCCTTGCGTCGCTTACGGTGAGGGTTCTCCTTGCAGCAGGTGATGATGCTGTTGATGAAGATCAAGAGGGCGAGGATCGCCGTCAAGCCGGACTGGACGGCGATCAACACCACACCGGTGATTGTCTTGGTCGTCTGGGCGATTCCGAGCTCCTCCACAAACACCAAGATGCAGATGACCGAAGCGACTCGGACGATCTGAATGATGATGTTGATCCAGTTGCCGGACTTGCGGTTGTAGGGTCGGCTCCAAAGCAGCAAAATGAGCATGAGCGACTCGATGATCAGCTGACCAACGGTTTGGAACATGCCGTGGCCCTCGCCGGCAGCCAAGACACACCCTTTGGCAAACATGTAGACAATGGCCGGCACGAACAGCCACCAGTAGCCACGCTTGTAGTTTTCGTAAAAGAGCTTGTACTTCTTCCAGGTTTCTTTGTTTTCGTAAAGAGCGTCGGCGTTGCCTTCCAGCTTCTTAAGCTTGTGGACAACACTCCAGATCTTCCAAGTGTAGAAAGCGAGAAGCAATGTGAACGACGCCAAGGTCAAAGCAGCCAGAAGCTTAGCAGCCCACGAGTCGCCATGGGTGAATTGGAAAATACAGTACAGTGTCCAGACACCATACAGCAAAAGAATGAGAGAAGTGATGGTCTGAGCCATGACGCGCCAGTATTCCTTGCGGAAAGTGGCGAGGGCCTTTGGGAATTTGCCAAAGAGTGCCCAGGCTTCGAGAATGACCTTGAACAGTAGAATGCCAACAACAATCGCGCCAATCACTATAGCGAATATGAGAAGAACGGTCATAAAGGTGTTGGTTTCTGGAATGGTGAGTTGTTCGACGTAGCCTTGGATGCCCTTGACAAGATGCGATGTCGAGTCCGAGTCTGAGCCAGAGCTAGAGTCATCGGTGCCGTTGATCTTGGTGCTGACGTCTCGCAGGAACAAAAGAGCACGTTTGCCGATGTTAGTAGTAGTCTGGGCCGTAGACCCATCGGAAAACACCAGGGTGGTATTTTTGAGGTCATTGTAATTCTCGTTGGTCAGATTGCCTCCAGTATGTGATCGGAAACTGTCAATCGACCTTTGGAGGCCGCCCCAGGAGACTAGACCCGTACTGAAGGCGAAATTTTTGGCGAAGCTCCGATAGATGCTAGGATATGGCACTGAATGCATGCCGTTCATGGCCAGTCCCTGGAACCACCACACAACCTCTGAGAATCCAGGGCTTGAGGAGCTAGCACCAGGATGACCGCCCGCGGCAGCGGCACCGACAAGTGACACACCCAAGGCTGCCGCCGCAACAGCTGCCGCAACATATGACACGGCAGGCACCTCTACAGACTTGCCATTTGTGACACCAGATTGTACGCACGCAATTTGTTGTCCTCCTTTATTCTTCAGGGTCAATTGAGCGTCTCCGTCAAGATCAGGTAGCGAGTATGCGATCGAGGGAATGAGTGAGGTATACGAAGAAGGGATCTCTTGACTTCCATTGGCGGAAAATGTTCCTGCCGGTACTATGAAAAAATGTTAGAATAGGCCAACAATGTGAACTGTGGGAGTTCACCTACCGGGACAGAGTTGATCGACTCTCGTATCTGGTGAACAGGGGTCGAACTCTTTCTCGTATACTTGTATACCATATGCCTGGACCACCAGGTGCGCCGTCACATATTGTTTCTGTTCACTGGTACCTGAAGCATCGAAATTGATATTGTTCGTCGAACGATCGAAAGAAATGTCGAGTTTGTTGACTTTGATCTGAGACGACCCATTGTTGCAATTCGACACACCACTGGTTTTCAAGATGTCTGTTGCAAGGACGGAGGGAAGGAGAGCCAGAGAGGCAAAGACTGCCACTGAAGGAGTCCACATGATTGCCCGTATGTTTCTGTACCCAGGAATGCTCTGTGTTGCCGTCGAGCGGCGGGGTATTCCTCTTCGATCGACTCCTTGACCAAAATTTTATCTTCCAATTGTCGAGATGTATATAAATGCCTTCTAGGAATGGGGTGAAACGAAAGGTGTGTGATGATGGTCTCGGGGGGATTGGTAAAGCGAGTGACTGTCCAAAGCGTGTTTCTGTCGAGAACGAAGGTGAAGAATAGCGAGCGATAGTAGAGTAAAGATTGTGATCTGCAAGATACTGATAAATGATATGCACCAAAAGACGAAAGGGACTCTGATTTTCAGTTGGGGGAGTTCTCGAACAAAAGATATGCCGCCTGGCGCGCGTGGTAGTGAGCATGGGGATTCCACAATTGGCAACACCGTTTCAGAGCATACGCAGCCTCAGCATATGAAAGGGCTTTTTCGAAGCGTCGATGGAGAGGCGTAGTGGGTCGACAGGGGGAAGCGGGTGCAGGGGCTCTTCTGGTGGGCTCATGGCGTTGGTCAGAGCCGGGGGGACAAGTGGATATCCAGAGGCTCGCTTCTCGATCGATGGCCTGTCAGGGGTCGTTCAAGTCCTGCAACTCTGTGCGGGAGGATTCGCATGGGATGGAGCCAGTCGTCCGACAGTGGTGGCTTTGCTTCTTTCTTGTCAGCATGGCCACAATTACGTTACCTTGGGACATCGGCCATGACGGGTGGAAAAATTCGAAACCTCAAGTGTGTCCAAAAGCGATGAAGCTGATGAGCAGCCTGAGAGGGTGCTGTTGCTGCTGAGTAGATGAATAGGATGCATTTGTAGCCTCCTGTCATCTTTCCGCCCGTATCATCATTCCTCTCATCGTTTTCTCACAGACATTAATTCATCGGGATGGCGGTGTTGATTGATGCCATAGTATCCGTACACACGAAATACTGCAAGGGGTATAGACTGACGGGTGACCCTGTGGAGGGGAAAGCCAGAGAGTTCTGTGCTTTGGGTGGGATTTGGGGCGCAGTCGAGACATCCAGAGACCCAAAAAATCACCCGGGGGAGTTGGGTGATGGTTAGAGGACTCCGTATCTTGAATAATGGGCATCTCATTGGGCTGAAGATTCTTCTACTGACGCGACTCTCGCCGAAATCCTTCGCGTCACTACTGTACTTCGTATTAATGCCTGCCATTGCGATGATGAACTAATACAAGTATAGCAGCCCTTGCCAGACCCAGATCTCTTTCGATTCTCAGGCCTTCTCGTACCTGCAGCGGCAGCAAGGCTAGTTTCATTCGTCGAGTCCACTGTACGTACTTCTATGGCGAACCCCGACTGAAGATATTCTTCTTCATCCGCATTATTACGGAGTATTTGTTGATATCAACGGCTCGCTTGAGTCTACTACTGTTAAAGGCTTAAAGCCGAAAAGCACAGATGCCCCCGGCTTCTGGCACCGGCGCGTCCCCGTTTTCCTAATTATAGCCCGTAACTTGCCCACAGACCACCGACTTTCAAGGCACAGCCTCGCCATCAAATTTCCAACAACTTCACTGACGTGACCACTAAGTAGAAAGACAGTAATGTTGGGAATATCATGCTTATAATCCCAAAACTTCAACATGGAACTTTGGTAAACTAGAAACAACACGTTCCTCTGGCACGTGCTGATACTCCGTATCTGGCCCCTTTATCATCACGGACGACCAACTGTCAGCAAGCACCCGAGAGACGACCAAAAAGTCGCCTCCTTATAGGCCCTCAAAGTTGCGCCAAACCTCGATCCCATGCTCAGGGCGTCCTCCTCGGTGCGAAAGGAAGGAGGACGTTGCAAACGATCGACATAGGGAAGAAGCCATTGCACCCCAGATGCCCTTCCTTCTCAACCCCAATCGAACAATATCGTAATCGATCGTAACCACTCTTTGACAAAAAAAGGAAACTTCTCCTGATTTTGCTCTTATTACCGAGATGTATCTGAAGAGTAGCCTCGAAAAGACCTCGAAACAACCACCTCTTCCTTTCGGCACGTTTGATATACCACCAGCCAGCCTCACTCTCCAAGGAACCGACCCAGCTCTGCCTCGGTCCACTCCCAGGCCTTCCTCGCCAACTCGTCATCTTGGGTGTGTTTGCTTCCCTTTCCCATCACACCCACGGGTTCAAAATACTCTCCATTCTTGACGAGGTCCTCCTTGGCCGTGGCAGCCCACAGTTGATTCCTCACGCCCTTTTCGACACTACTCGTCAAACCCATGGCCCTACCCGCGCCGAAGACAGCCTTGATCCATCCCGGAGACCCCGTCGCTCCGTTCAACAAATTCGTGCTGACAACTCCCGGATGGACACTGACCACCTTCATCCAAGGGTACCTCCTACTCATCTCCTTCGCCCAAAGGATGTTTGCAAGTTTACTCTGTCCGTATCTTTCGTAGGCACCCAACTTCGCCCCGTCGGTTTTGAGACTCTCAAAGACAACACCCCCCTGGGGCCCATAGACGTGTCCGTGACTCGACAAACTCACGATTCTCACATCACCATGACCATGACCGTCATCACCAGCAGCACATTCTTCCAGTTTGGCAGTCCTTTCGAGAATAGGCAACATCAACCTCGCAAGCAACGCGTGTCCGACGTGGTTCGTCCCCCATTGGACCTCGTACCCGTCCACCGTCATGCCCGGCGGAGTCGCCATTACGCCAGCGTTGAGCATCAAGATATCTAATCTGTCGCTCTCGGAGAGGAACCTCTCCGCCGCGACCCTCACGCTCTGCAGCGACGAAAGGTCCATCTCTAGCACTTTGACTTTCGTCGTCGTCGTCGTCGCCGTCGTGTCTGACACTACTAATTGTCGTTGAACAATATCCTCAGCTGCGGCCTTGCCCCTCTCCAAGTTCCTAGAAGCGAGCCATATCTCTTTCGGTCTGCCGTGGCGGGCGAATTCGAGGATTGACTGCTTTCCGAGGCCTATGTTGCCCCCCGTCACGAGGATGACTTTGTTCGTGAGTGGTGGAATATCTTTTGATGGGTTGAAGTTGACCATATCGGTAGACTTGTAAATGGAAACCTTTTTCTCCCTTTTCCTTGCATCTAACGGTGGATGGTTTCTCTTGGACGTCTAATTGAGATTTTGATGGTTGAGTTGTGCTCCTCACTGCGTGTCACGGAAAGAATCAAATGCATTCATTCTCATCGGCTTGAAAAACGATATACGTACTGGGTACAACAAGAAAATATCTCATCGCCCTTCCTCCTAGATGATGCTTGATGTACCCGAAAGGACGGGCAAGGCAATTCCTCCGTACGCCGTGGCCAGCCTTCGCGTTACGGACGAGAACAGTGCACACCGTCGGATATTTAGTACCCATGTATCTACAGCCTCGTCAATCCTCGGGATTCGGCTATACGAAATCCGTCTACACTGGATGTGTTCTCTCGGACTGTCTCGAGCACGTAATCACGAACGAAGGGAACCCTGCCTTCGATGCCTCCTTTATTCAGTAGGACGAGCACATGACGAGATCAAGATCATGGAGTACTCCGTACGCATGGGATAGATACCTCACGAGAACAAACTGAAAGGACGGTTTTAAGGCCGGATTGTTCAACCACTGTCAAAATTTTTCAATGGTCAAGCCCTTTTGAATTCGTCACATTTGCCTTTTTTCCTGTTTTCTTTGTTTGTTCTGGATCTTGAAGAGCAAAGTCACCTCCTTTCTCATGCTGACCGCCCTTGCTCGGCTATGCTCTCCCTCGAGTGGCGAAAACTATCATACACTTACAACCTCTCAACCCCTGAAACCATCTCCGGAGGCACCTCTGCAGTTTCGAGGTGGCAAAACGAAAAAGAGACACTTGATTGTTGTCAATTCTCCATCCCCTTTAAAGACGAAAACATCGATAAACCTCATCTCAGATCTGCCCAGCCCAACCCATGCCCATACCCGGTCCAGTTTGTCGACAAGGCAAGAGAAAGAAAATAGAGATCAACTCGTCACTTGACCTATCAACACAATCTTCAGTGACCTTGTGACCGCTTTCACCCATGCGAAAATTGTCTTGTTTTGTCTTTGCGACAGCACCTCACAGCATCACCACCTGTATGTAGCGTCTCCTAATCGAGGTGTCGTTGAAAAATCACCCCCCTAAGCCACACTCTTTTCGCAACACGTCAAACTTTCTTTGCAACAAAACCACGACTCTTGGTCGGACCACGAGGATGATGCTATCTTCCATATGGATGGTACCGACCTCTGCCGCCTCTGAAACCACCACCGGGTTTGTTGCCAGGGTTTTTGGGGCCTGTAGGAGCATTCGCTGGGGCGCTAGGTTGACCACCCGCTCCGCCAGCAGGACCCTTTGGCGGCTTGGGTGTGTGACCTCTCACTGGTCCAGTTGAATTCCGTCCATCAGGCTGAGGTACATCATCGTACATGCCTTCCCAAGACTGGGGGCCGCCCTGGACATTTTGGTTCCTCGGACCTTGCGAGTATCCACCTTGTCGGCGATTGTGTTGCTGCTCATACTTCTGCTGCTCGAATGCCAGCTGTTCTTGTGCCGAGAAACTGCCACGTTGTCCGCCGCCCATGGAAGCCGGGCCCATCGGTGGTCGGTTGCCTCCCATCTGCATAGGGTTCATGCCGCCTTGCTGTTGCATCTGCATCATTTGTTGCATCATCTGTGGTGTCATGCCTTGCATATTAGCATTCTGCGAATTCGGACTGTTTCCACCTTGCATCTTTTGCATCTGCATCATCTGTTGCATCATTTGAGGGTTCATCTGATTCATGCCCATATTGCCCATGTTCCCCATATTACCCATCATGTTGGACACCATCTGTTGTTGCATCATGGCAAAGTACTGCTGCATGCGCTGCCAGTATTGTGCCATCATCTGAGGAGTCATGCCGGAATTGTTGCCCATCATGTTAGGAGCCGCGCCCTGGCTAGACTGGCCTGCCTGGTTACCGTCATTACCGAATCGATCGTCTCGTCCGAATTTGCCTCTTCCTCGACGTGAGAAATCATCATCTTCGCCCATCTTGCCACGAGGCTGCGCTCTCTTGACCTCGATGGGTTTGCCGAGTATTTCCAAAGGCTGATGTTCAAGACACTTCTCGACCGCAGCATCGCTATCGAAAGTGACAAATCCAAAGCCTCGGGGGCGACCGGTATCCTTGTCCATCATGAGAGTGGCATCGACGACTCTTCCAAATTGCGCGAAGAAACTCTCAAAGTCCTCTTCGGTGGCATCCTGGCTCACTCCACCTACGAAGATTTTGGCGGTCTTCTCTTGTTCGTCTCGGGGTATGGCACGCTTGGGATCGATCTGGAAAGGAGAACGTAAGCGTCTGTCCTGTGGGGGTATCTTCTGGCTAGGGTAGCCAGGTTTGTCCTGTCCTTTGGGGCTCTTGGGGATAGACCTTACAATTTTTCCATCTAGGAAGTGTTCTTTGACCATGACGGTGTTAACGGTTTTAGGGTCTTTGAACGTCAAGAAGCCAAAGCCTCGCGAACGGCCGGTAGCGCTGTCTCGCATGACAGTACATTCCTGAACTTCGCCAAACTGGGAGAAGTAATCATGAAGGGATTCTGTAATGGGTTAGATAACCTTGTCGAGAGGCAGCAAACAGCAGTCTTTCACGGGAATGGATGGACATACGATCAGTTGTCTCCCAGTTGAGGCCACCGATAAACATTTTTCTGTAAAAGCACTATGTTAGCTATGGACTATGTTCATGTTGAAGGACGTCAGGCAAAGAGCAAATAAGAACAAATAGTAGGGGTTAAGTGCACAGAGCGTCCCATGGGCCAGAATGCAGTTTCAGCCATCTTCTGTTCTGCACAATTGTAGTCAGGCTGAGCAAATCTTCCACCTCCTAAATCGAGCAATATGAGATGGCAGGTGTATGTGTTGACAACGGTGATCGAGCAGTTTTGTCAACCGATGGCTTGAGACTCTAGCTGCGTCGACAAATATCTGATGCCAAAAGGTCTGATTGTGCACAAGCGCGGCAGGTGAATCGCAATCCTAGTTGAAATTCACCCTCGCGCAAAACTGATCTGCCTGCGCCATACTACACGTCGGCATCATAGATTTGTAGGAGGCCCAAGCATGTCTTGCGGTCGGTGAACGGGTGTCGACATGCACCACATACTGAACTTCTCGCAGCCTACTCTGCCCTCAACGCGAGAATAAACTCGGTTTAGCGAGTAGAGATTGTTTGGTGGCTGATTTGGGATTCACAGATACTCTTAAGCATCTATCTCCTGCCTGAGTATGGAAATGTTACTCTGCTCTGCTTGGTATAGTATCTCGTTGTATGGTAGGAACTCTTCGACCTCTTCCGTCCTTGCTGCTTGAAAGCTTTCTGAATTGCAATCGTACTGGCTAGTTTGACTCGAACTGTAGCTAGGACTGGGTGCTACTTTCTGGTTGTTGACAGATATCTTTTTGCATCACTTGGATTGGGTTTCCACAGCCGATGACCGTGGCCCGCTCCTCTCTGCTTCCAGCTCAAGTGCTCAACACCACAGCTTGAATGTTGCTTTCATATAGGGTTGCCATATTGCTTCTTCTAACGGCACTAGTCAATCCGAGACAACCATTGTACCCAACCCAGCATTCATCATTTTGACACAACTGGCGTTTTCAACCAGTATTGCTGGGGGCAAAGGATCAACGTTGATCGGGTCCGACCCAGTCTTGTCGGAAGACGGTAGCCATAAACATAGAGTAGCCAACAGCTGAGTCCAGAAACCATTCCCGAGACATTCGCCATCCATGGACGTTCGGCGACTTCTTCATGCGCTTCTGGACAATGTCCCCCTCCCAATAACCAAACAAACAAACAAAAGGAAGCAGTAGGTGCAAGTGTTTTGAATGCACAAGATAACAAGATAATGAACTTTACAGGGAACAAATAGAACTTACCCATCCTCCTTAAGAGTGACATTGTACTTTTGCTCCTGCGATATCTCTGGTTTTTCCTGTTCTTGTGGCTCCTGCTTGAAGCTAGACGGAGGCTCTTCGAAAGCCGAATTGTCAGCGTCGAAGGAGGGGTCATAGGCAATTTCAGGTTCTTCGCCATAACCTGGAGCATCGTTCTGTTTCATCGGAGTGTCAATTGCAGCAGGCTGAGAAGGGACTGCAGCTGCACCAGCAGCGGAGGCAGCATTTTCATCACCATCGTAACTAGCGCGTCAGAGTTAGTACTGAACTGCAAAGGCCAGGACGAGCCGGCGCAGAGTTGTGAGGTTCGAAGTGAGGCGACTTACAGATCGGCGAAGAGATCTTCCTCAACTTCGTCTGGTTCCGTCATCTTGAGATTCACCAACAATGAAGATTAGAAGAGCGTGAACAGGGGCGACAAGCGTGCTGTTCGCGTAGATGGAGAATACGAAAGAATTGAGATAAGCGAGGCTTGAAGGCCGCGCAGGTGTGAGGAGGTACGCGTCGCAACTCAATAAATGGTGAGAGCGACAGAGGATAGGATGTTTAAGGTGTAGACAATCAATTTGGAAGAAGCGATGGCTGTAAGGGGATGTGCGACAACAGAGGTCGAAGTGAAGGACGTGGTGCAGAGTAGACAGAGGAGGCAGAGATGTAAGTGGTCTCAAGGTCCGAGGGCATTTGGAGAACCAGCGCAGGCTTGGCGCCGCAGTGGCCTCATCCGCCTCAATGACCCTCTACAGCCTGTGACCGCAAACACGCCTTACGGAAGTCATGCAGGGCTTGTTGTGAGTCTACAAGCATGTTCTCTCCACTGCATGCAAAAGGGCCTCCAGAGAAAGCCCTCACAAAACATTTCTTTTGTTGTATTTATCCGAGGTGAGCATAACAGTGCCACCATGGCTCACAAGAAGCCAGGCCAGCAGGTAAACAATCTATGCGCCCCTCTGATACATCAGGCTGACCAACGCAGGAAATGGTTCAGGTCGGTTCGTGATACTATGATCTCTTGATCCTTGCCATTATATGTCTATTGTTTTGACTGAACTAACTGAAACCTTCTGCACAGATAGATCAGAGTACGCTCAAGTCGTTCCCCTAGCGAACTATGCTAACAAATCGAAGACGGCCATCTTCGCCGTTTTGGAGGAGCAGGTCATCCTCGCGACAGGCTTCGGGCAAGTCCAACAAAGTGATAGGCGCATCTTACTCCCACGCGGACATGCTCAAATTCGAATCATTGTAAGACCTGGTCAAACACACAATCCCGAAGTGTGAACTGTCAGTTGATAAGTCACAGGTCATTGGGCTCTGGTTCAAGGCCTAGAACACCCCCTAATCCTACGTCGAGACCGTCACAAACACCTCCTGCAGATGGGAGGGGTTACCATTCTCCGGAACGAAAAGCATACCCGGCCTATACCTCTTCGGTACTAAGTGAGAGTTGGGATGTCCTTGGTGATGAGGACGTGGAGGGCGATGACGATGATCTTGTATACGAAGACGACGAAGACGAGTTCGGATTACCTAGCATATCCAGCATGCGTCGGAAGAGGAGCTTCAAGAACAAGGCATTGAAAGCACAACAAGTTTCCTACCCGAGTATTCATCAGACAACATCTGGTTCGACGTTAGCACCTTCGCCAATGCCTCAGCTACATAGATCAAGCAGTTTCGATATAGCAGAGGAGCGAAACCCATTGTCATATCCCAGCGCGAAGAAGGGTGATGGAAAGATCTTAAGGCCGCAGTACAAGGACATCCTGCGGGACCCAGCCAACTCGTTACATCTCATCAATCATCCGGTGCTGGCAAGCAATGCTACTCCAAAAGAGACAGAAGCGCACAGCACACGAATATCACGGATCAACAGATTTAAGCGGATATTGCAGGCCAGCTCGGTATCGTTGCCAGATCTTCGCTCTGCCGCCTGGTCGGGAGTACCTGAGGAGGTGCGGGCAATAACGTGGCAGCTTTTGCTTGGGCATTTGCCAACAAATAGCGAAAGAAGAGTTACTACCCTGGAGCGCAAGCGAAAAGAGTATCTCGATGCAGTACGGCAAGCTTTCAATTCTGGCACCATGGGCAACCGGAATGGATCAAGTACGGGTGTCACTGGCCTTGCTTCACAGCCTCCTGTGACTACTGGCCGAGGCCGTGGTCTTGATGAAGCTATTTGGCATCAGATCAGCATCGATGTTCCCAGGACCAATCCACACATTCCGCTTTACCAGTATGAAGCCACCCAAAGGTCTCTCGAGCGAATCTTATACGTCTGGGCCATCAGACATCCTGCCAGCGGGTACGTTCAAGGCATCAACGACTTGGCAACACCCTTCTGGCAGGTCTTTCTTGGGACATATATCACGGATTTGAACATCGAAAGCGGCATGGATCCAGGACAACTTCCGAAGCCCGTCATTGATGCGGTTGAAGCAGATACGTTTTGGTGTCTGACGAAACTGCTAGACGGCATCCAGGACAATTATATTGTGGCTCAGCCTGGCATACATCGGCAAGTAGCTGCCCTGCGCGACCTTACGACGAGGATTGATTCTGGTTTGGCCAACCACTTCGAAAGCGAACACATTGAGTATATGCAGTTTAGTTTTCGATGGATGAATTGCCTCCTGATGCGAGAGTTGAGCATCAAGAACGTGATCAGGATGTGGGATACTTACATGGTAAGATGACCCCAGTGTTGTTGAGTTTTTGCTAAAGTGGTGTTTCTCTAGGCTGAGGAAAACGGCTTCTCACAGTTCCACCTCTACGTGTGCGCAGCCTTCCTGGTTAAATGGTCGGAGCAACTGATGAAGATGAATTTTCAAGAGATATTGATGTTCTTGCAAGCACTTCCGACCCGGGAATGGACCGAAAAGGACATTGAGCTGCTTCTTAGCGAGGCTTTCATCTGGCAAAGCCTCTTCCGTGGTTCGAGGGCACATTTGCGGACTTCGAATAGCACAATACCTATGGGATCTTTGGGTCCATCAGGCTGATACATTATCAGTTCAAATATGCATTTATGACCATTACTGAATGAGTCCATATGAAGTTCTAACGCTCGTCTGGACATTTATTTTATGTCCATTGTGTACCTGAAAGCTCCGGACAAATGTCTCGTCTCATTCAGGGGCAGAAATCAGGGCAGCGAATATAATTGGTGGAATGAGCCGGGGAAGTTGATCAATTCCAGTGACGGCGAATGATGTCATATACGATGCTCCATCATTGAACATTGGAAGGAATATAGTATGGAGACTTGAGTAGAGCTTTATTCATTACGACAAGGCTTGATGCACTTTGATGACGCTGTCATTTACAGAACAGATCATAGCATCACTGCGTGCCCTACGGAGGAAAGGAATTCAATTACGACTACATTCGCTATAGCCTCCAAAGGTCCCAATACTGACGTGGAGTAAGCATCATCGGTTGACGGATCCGCTGTGATCTTCGATACGAGTATATTTCCCCAGACACACGACCGATGACCGACTGACGGGGTCGTGTGCTCAATCATGGAATCTGAGAGTGCGGTGTGTTGATAATTTTCCATTTTCTTCTTTCATGCTTTCTGCCTGCGGTCCTTTTGGATGCCCATGAATTCCAGGTGTTTTGAAGTACATCACAGTCCTGCGCGACATTTTGGAACAACCAATTTCCTTGCCGCTGCTGCAAAGTCCTCCTACCGCACTGCCACTCGTTACAGGCCCTTCTCGCCTGCTCTCCAACGCTTTCAGGTCACGCCATCTTCCGCGAGACCGTTTTCGAAAATGTCTGACAAGCAAGAACCTCATCAGTTCCAGTCCGGCGATACAACGCACCGCAAAGAGGATCAGTGGAAACACAGAGAGCCCTACCGCGTACATGACAATGCTGAAGACTTTGAGGTGAAGTGGGAGGGGAGTTGTCACTGTGGAAGAGTCACCTATCAACTCAGCAGAGACAAGCCGTTGGCCGCAAAGTACTGCCACTGCACGACCTGCCAGAGGTTACACGGGGTGAGTTACCTCCAGACTTGTTCTTCGCTCCCCAAAAATTTGGGCATGTGACATACTGACAGGCGTAACAACAGTCACCGTTCCAGTGGGCCGCCATCTTTCACAAGTCGGACATCAACTTCACTCAGGGCCACCATGAACTCGGCTGGTACGACCCGACGAACAAGGACATCTCCCATCACCTCCCTTGCAAAGTCTCCTGCGCGTACTGCCGATCTCCGATCATGGATGAAGGCCGAAACATGATTCTCCTCTTCCCACCATTGATCAAGGACATCAATACGAAGAAGGGCAGGGAAGCATTCAAGCCGACATGTCACATGTTTTATAAACAACGGGTGGCCGAGTTCCGCGGAGACGGCATCGTCAAATGGGCCGGGCTGGACAATCAGTCCGACATGCTCGACGACGACGAGAATGTGATTGTCGAGTACGAGAAGGGCATGAAGGAGAAGGACATGGACGAGAAGAAACGGAAGCATGTCGAGATGACGGAGCGGAATGGTGGTGAAGAGGTCAAAAAGGTCAAAGGTGGTTCAAAGGAGTAGTTTTTGTTCATTATGAGAGTCGTAAAAAGATATTTCCCCCAACTAGCTGCCCAGTCCATGAACCAACTATTGTTTCGTATCGTTTCCTTGGAAATAAATCTTCTGGCGTCTGTCACGTAACGCCACTGGCTGCTAGGAACGACATATTTACTGATTCTAGAGCTAGCAAGGACGCATGCGCTAGAATTTTTCATACTCACTTTTGGCTAGAGCAGATCTTGACCCCAATCGTACACCTAACCGTGAGTGGTCTCGAAGCTGCTGAATTCGAACTTCAGCAGGTCAGCAAATGTCCTGCCAGCTCAATGCGTGTCTGCCCATTCGGAACATGTAGGCTCCTCCTGCTGCTGCTGCGCTCGTTGGAAGGTCCTCTAACTGTAGAATTCTCTCCATTTCACAGTTTCCTGCTCGCCACAGGCTCCTGAACTTGGCGTAAGACCGCAGGACAGGATTGAAGGGATGGCAAGCCCCTTCGTTAAAGCACCCAGAGTCTGACGGTGCTTGATTGTCTGCATGATAGAACGGAGCCCGCTCGCCATGCTAGCTAGTTCTGGCGTTGTAGTTCGTAGGAATCATCAAGCCCCTGGCATTTAGTGACTCGCTTCTGCAGGCAATCTCGGGGAAGGGAGAAGTGTCGTTATCGCACGAAAGGTTCTCGTCTCGCCCGTATTCGTACCCTGGTGCTCCGGGGTCAGTTTAGACTTGTCGTTGGCATTGAAAAGTGTAGTTGCGGATTACTGGGCTGTGGCATGATTGAACCCCTGTGACTGATAGATGTAATCGGTATGATATAGCCTGGTAGGGGGAAAGGGGAAGTTCTGCCTGCAATTTCTACCTACCTCAGTATACCTACACTTCCTGGAGCTTTTCAACCGGTCCAGAAAACTGCACCTACTGCGGTGACACAGCGAGAACGACAAAAGTCGCTCCTTCCTCAAATCGAAGCATTCGCTTCAGGTAGGCTCGCCGGGAGATGGGAAAGGCATAAACCTCTCCTTCTCCCATGATTCCTCTTCTTCTTCCTCCTCCTCCTCCTCCTCCTCCTCCTCCTCCTCTTCTTCTTCTTCTTTTATCTCAACAGGTAAGTTTCCTCCCCTTTCTGTTTTGCTTATTGTGCAGCAGGTCTTTGGATGTCTCAATTCCAACAACTCACGATAGCTGGAGCTTGTCGAAGATCAGTGACATTGACTCCTCCCACGACATCCCCAGATTAATATTCTCAAGCAAAGCGTACCGGATCATGGGCTCTTCCAATACCTTTGATCCTTAGCTTTGATGAGGAAACATTTTTCCATAGTACCTTCAGATAGCCATGTCCAGTCAGGTTGAGTAGATGGAAGCAATGAAGATGATAAACCCCTAAGTGCCTGGCCGCGAGCCTCAGTTTCATTGCTCTAGTTGGTCATTCATTTGTTAAGTCTCAAGAAAGCTGAGAATGGCTGATTCTTCAAGATTTTGCAATATCTCATCACCGGCTCAAAAATGGCAAATACACGCGCTAGCACGATATATTGCTTTGCGTCTAAACTCCAACCTCACGACATATCCCAAGACATGAAGAAGAACAAAAGGAAAAACAGGAGGAGAAACAAAGTGGAAGTTATTAATTTATTAGTAACGATTCAAAAGGGCCACGTGATTCTCCTATCGTCCCTGTTGGGAGGTATGTAAGCTTCGGGCAAACTTCAGGTGTAGTTGATCTGTCTGTGTGGAAGCGGGTGCCTATTGTACAGTACTGTACGGTGAGCGCAGTGGTTTTAAAAGTGGCGGCACCCCGAGCCCCGAGCGGAGCCAAGTCCCAGGAGAGCTCTACCTCGGACTCGTCGTACTCTTACTCCGAACAGCACGTGTTATCAATGTCAACTATTCAACAGCAAAATCTTCTGCGAAGCGTCTTCAACCCGTCATCCATGATCCGTGAACCCTAGCTATTGGCCTCATCTTTCTCCGTCGGGCGCTGATAATTGCAGCCAACAAATAACATGACAAAAGCGCAGCTGGTCGACAATATCGACCTGACTGCCATCAAGCCTCTTCTCCGGGCCTACGCTCTAGGATACATCACAGTCACCGGGCCCAGGCTATTCACCTTTGCGAGAAACCTCAAGCAAAAGGATGTCCCGTTGCACGAGCACCTAGCTACCCTATGTAAAATCCTCAAAACCTCCGCAGAGTTCAACCGCTTGCCGACCGCCGTGGCCATCATCGTGGGAGGTGCCACAGCACTTCCACGCCTTGTTCATATATGTCTCAATTGGCCTGTGCCCGTCAGCCAAAGGACTCACGCTCGACAACCCAGCAACAAATACTCAACTTGGATCCAATTCATCTCTTCACTTGTGTCGGCGTGGGTGGCCTTTGACCTTCTCAACAGAGATGAGAGCTGGGTTCGGAAACGCGCGAAATCACGTACCGCCATCACCAGCACCAGCACGAATATCCACGATGCTACCATTCTCTTCGAATCTCCAAATCAGCACCACATACCACCTCCTTCATATCACCCACATTATTCTGGCAAGACCATCGACTTCACCCTGTTTGCTTTCAGCCGAGCACTGGACATAGCCGTCATTACCGCCTGGACACAAACTCGCTCGAAACCCTGGCATCCCGAGCACCGGCACCCCAGCCTCGCCACCGCGGTGCGAAAGCTCATGGACCCTGCGATATTCGCAACGTCCGCAGCTGTTATCATGTGGTCATGGTTTTACTCCCCAGAGCGCCTCCCGCGAGAATACAACCGGTGGATCTCCAAGGCCGCCGACATCGACCCTCGCGTCATCCAAGCTCTCCGGCTCGCTCGAAGAGGCGAGTTCGTCTACGGAAAAGACACCGGTAAAGCGCCACTCCTTCAAAGCTTGTCCCGCGAGCTCGGTCTGCCGGAGGTGTACGGTGATCCTGCCCGGACCATCCCTGTCCCCTGTGAGCTGTACCACTGTGGAACCGGGAAAAGCTGCGAGAGGCATGCCGCTTCGAGGTTCTGGCGAAGTTGGAAGTTCGCCATGGAAGTCTACGTGCCACTTCAACTCCTCGCGCACCTTCGTCACCCCAGTTTCAATGCCGCCATGAAGAGCATCAAGGGCGCGGCCAGGTCCTCTTCCTTCCTGGCTGCATTCGTCGCACTCTTCTACTACGCCGTGTGTCTGGCCAGGACGCGCTTGGGCCCAAAGGTGTTTTCGTACAAGACCATATCTCCACAAATGTGGGACTCGGGCCTTTGTATCCTGGCAGGGTGTCTCGCGTGTGGGTGGTCTATCCTCTTGGAAAGACCGAGTCGACGACAAGAGATCGCCTTCTTTGTCGCACCGAGGGCCCTGGCTACGGTCCTGCCCAGGGTGTATGATAAGAAACATCAAAGGAGAGAGCAAGCCGTGTTTGCCACCAGTGTTGCGGTGGTTTTGACAACAATGAAGACCGGTAATAACGGGCGCAGCGTCAGGGGAGTTCTGGGAAGACTTTTGAATCATGTCATGAAAGAGTAGGCTTTATGATTTTGTTCTATTATACGGAGTATGGCACCGAACCAATGTTCTAAAGAGGCGTCCACTATTTTTCCAAGCGGATGAAAAACCTCAATATTGAAGGTTACGTTATTCTACCCTTGCAACTCCAACATACTGCCTCCGTTCGCTGGCACATGGTTCCCATTTACCCACCTCGCCTCGTCGCTCGCAAGCCATCCCACAACGCACGCTATGTCTTCCGGCTCAGCAAGACGTTTCTCTGCCGTGGCCGCATTCTTGAGGTCTTCCATCCACGTCATTCCCGCAGCCTGAATGGCACGCATCACGTCCGTCATCTGAAAGAAGAACACACATCCAGCGTCAGCACAAAGAACTTAGACACATAGATTCGACAGACGTCGACACTCGACGTGGGAAGCGGGTGCTGTGGGGGAACGCAAAAGGGGTAAAATAACTCACAGTTGGCCCAACACAGACAGAATTGATCGTTATCCCTTTCTCCGCCGAATAATTAAACGCCAGTGATCTTGTGAAGCTGTCAAAGGCGGCCTTGGAGGCGCCGTACATGGTCGCGATCTCCTGGTTCGGCTGCCGACTCGCGGTACTTGAGATATTGATCACACGGCCACCGCGAGGCAGATGTGGGAGAGCTTGGAGCGTGAGTTGGGTCGGTGCCCATGCATTGCCGGTCATGAGCTGTTGGAATTTCTCGTGCGTGGCGGACGAGATGGGCTGGTTTGCCGCCGGGTCGGCCAACGCCGCATTGTTGACGAGGATGTTCAATGTCGTGGTGTCGAGTTCGGAGAGCGTGGCGGATATCAGGTCTGGTGCGAACGCAGGTGAAAGGATGTCGGCGTGAATGGCGATGGCCTTGACGTCGGGGTTGATCTCACGGATCGCGGTCAGTGTAGAATCGGCGGAGGTCTTGTTGCTGGCGTAGGTGAGGGCCACGGCGGAGACTCCGAGACGAGTCAGATGGACAGCTATCGCTCGACCGATACCACGAGAACCGCCGGTCACCAAAGCGGTCTTGCCGTACAGAGGTGCTGGGATCGTGGGGATTGACGTCGCCATGGTGTTCATAACGCAAAAGACAGTGAGGTTACGGGTCTGATTTGGGGAGAAAAAGGGGGAACAGGAGGTGCTTGAGATCATGAGAGAATATAATATGTATCTCAAGCCAGTGTGCTCCGGGTCTACCTTTGTCCTTTCTATATTCTCACTGGATAAGAGGCATTGACTACAGATATCGACATTTGACGTGGATGCTTGTACACTGTATGTTCCAAGACTCTACTCATACAGCGAATCCACAATGCAATGCATTATTCATACAGCTACTCCACCGAGGAGGGAATCAGCTCCCATCAGTTTTGAGACTCACAAAACCCACGTATGGAAGTGGAAAAAGTTGCATGCCGTCCGAATCGCGGACTTCAACATAAGCACTATCACTCTAAAAATGGCCTAGGGAGTCTTGTACATATCCGAGACTTGTATATATATTGCATTACCAAGGTCACCGACAATGATCGCTTCTGTAGAGCAATGCTTGGCTTTGGGGGCGCAGTAGATTAGTGCTCATCGGTCGCTTTCCATACTCGACAGGGACTCGAGTTGGCGATGGATACTGGCGTCAGAAGAATCTGATATCACCTTACACTGGAGTAATCTACCTAGGTAGGTACATCGTTGATGCTGGTGGATCGAAGTGGATCGAAGTATTGCTTTAGCAAAATGCGCTTTGATGTCGAAATGCTCAACAGAAGTTACTGATCACGTGCTAGCGCCAGAAAGTCTTCACAGCTCTCGATTTAAACCATGGCCAACTTCAACCTTGAACGATGAGCGTTGCAGTATCGATTCTGTAGACCTACGTTCCTTTCCCTGCCACAGCTACGGATCGCGGGGTCTCTGCACGCCTCGTCTGACACTCCAGACAAAATGTGTCGTATCTGCGGGCGCATGATAAAATGTATATTCGATTCCATGCCCTCGAGGGCACCGTCGAGCACTTCAGTCAGGTAAAAGAATTCATTCCTCTGCTTTTTAAACTCCCCTCTTATTCTCGAATTTCTGCTCTGAATCGACTGACACAAGGCGCTCCAGAACGTTTCGACAACCTCAGCAAACTCGCTCCCACCACGTCTCGTCCCGTAGCCTCCTCCAGAGCGCACTCGACATCTCACCGAAACCGACGACCCAGCAGCCCGCGACGTTCCTCCTCCCCTTCCGCTCCCGTCGTGGCCTTCACCAGGCGGCGACCCAGCAATCCGCCAGTCCGGCTCACGACTTCCACAACACTCAAGCCGAGATCCCTCCGTCCAGCTATCTCCAAACGGCCACGTCCGAGTCATCCCCGACCTCTCACTCCGCAACGACATCCATCTCTGCGCCCTCGTCGACGACAAACTCCCTCAGTCGGCCCTTGGTTCTCTCGTCGTCGCTCCAGACTCTCCTCCCCCGTCTCGCGGACCAGAACCCGCACTACATCATCTCCCACATCCATCGATTTCCATACATGCTCACGGAAGGCGACGTCCTCCGTCTTCCCTTCCACATGCACGGGGTATCTCCCGGCGACGTTCTCCGTTTCAACCGCGCGTCCATCCTCGGATCGCGCGACTACACGCTCAAGGCCGGTGCGAAGAACACAGAGTCCTACGACGCCAAGCGAACGGGAGAACCGCAATACATCGACGAGAGACTCTTCGAGTGCCGCGTGCGGGTGATGGGACTGGAGACCAACCCCATGATGGACAAGGAGAAGAAGAAGCGAAGAAACAGGCATCGCAAGGTCGTGCACAGTAAACACAAGTACACCGTGCTCAGGGTGATGCAGATCAAGGTCAAGAGCTTGGAAGAATTGAAGTCGGAAAAGGGTATGCTGGTTCTTGAGGGTGCAGAGGCACAGGAAATTACCGCGTGATTTCCAGGTCTCGACTGAGAAAGGCCAGGAGACTTGCTATATCCAATTGTATAATGGTTTCAAATAACTGTCCCAAGTCCTTTCAGTGTTGGTGGAAGACCAAGGTACAACAATATCGATTCTGAGCAAAATTGCTCACGTTCGGAGTCCTTGTCGTGTTTTTGACATGCGCAAGACTTTTGTACATCTGATATATCCCGTACTTACAAAATCGTCATGTATACAAAGAAAGTCAAGACAGTGTTGCACACACGGGTAATCAATTGTGTACTATGTGATAGCAGATTTGTTCCATGTATGTTTTACCCAGTAAAACTAGAGGTCATGAATCGTCTTTTGGAGTCTGATTGTACTATCAATATATACACACACGAATAATGGGTGTCTCGATACTCTATGGACTGGTGAAGCTAGTAAAAAGTCCTCCATAATTCCAGGCCAAGATTGATCGTCGAGTACGGGCTAAATAGATGGTGATGGCAACTCCGTAAATACCTGGTGTCTCTGTCCGCTTATTCTTTATCTTACACTACAGTCTTATCACTTCTTTTACATTCATCTCACCTGTTCACCCATTGACCTTTCACGAGATTCAATTGGCTTCCGCGCAAAAGCTCAAGCTAAATCATCAGAAGAATGTTATACTGAATGCTCACATGCCATGAAAAAAAATTCTGGTTGGTTTGCACGTCAAAACCAAGCCAGCCAGCCAGCCACAGCCAAATGTCACATCTCACTCATTCGCTGACACGAGAATTACCATCATCACCATCTTACAAGGCCTCTCTGAGCCTACCGAATACGACTCTTTTTGGGGATGGGGCATGTGATTGCATTTCCCATTTCCTCGAATGGACGTTCCCATACGGTCATCATCATCATCATCATCATCATCATCATGAACCCCCACAATTGTTTGATTTTCAGCCAACGCCTCCCCCCCGGACAAGACATACAATGAGCCAACCTAGACATTACATACATGATTTTGCCTTGCATAACTACGGGCCCCGACAAGTGAGCCAATCGAGCAAGGTGTTTCAAAGAAGCCAAAGCCAAAGCCAAGAACAAGCTTACCCGGGCTGAATGATATATGTCTTAGGTGCATACTGTTCAGTGTCGTATGAACCTCAGGTGATGACGACCCTTGTAAGTTGTTTGCCCACTCAAGTCGTGAGTACATTGGGCATTGTACTTTCTTTTTGGCATGTTCGAGTCTGACTGAGATGCGAGACTCTACATTGGCCTCATCGCTCACTCCTGCAGACATACCCACACTCAGGTGAGTTGTTGCCAAAAAAAAGAGAAATGAAAAGTGACTCCCGTCAAGTCCCGGGTGATTTGAATGTTTTGCCAAAAAAACATTGGCTTGTTCTGGGCACAACCTCGTCTATTCAAGTACCCTGTAAGACTTTTTGACGCACGTCGTAGCGGTTTGTCTACTTTTCTCCAAGTAGAGACAAAAGCAGGTCTCTGGAGCTTCTCGGATTCGCCAGCGAAGTAAAGGCTCTCTTTGCGAAGCCAACGGTGAGAGACATACCTACCCTTACAGACCCTGCAGGCTATTCTACAGGTTCGAGTGTGGATGACACCTTGTTTTTGGCTATGGCTGGCTGTAATCGACCCTCAAACCTGGCTTGGTCCGGCGTAATATCTGCTTGCAGTATCCTGCATGCCGCTCGCCTGGGCTCTGCAGGATGCTGCACGTCTTTCCAGCTCGTGACACCATCAGATCACATACGAAGGGTGAACAAGAAAAGACTCCGCCTCAATTCGTTCCCTGAGGTCAGACAACTTTCCTCCTCCCGAAAGCCCTGATTGCTCTGCATCTCTGGGGCGAGAGGCCTTGTGCCTTGTCGGGACAGCTGAGGAGGTTTCGGTTGTGTCACCATCCACCATGCTGCCATGCAATGCACCAGTCAGATATGCCACCTGTCAGAAATGCAGATGTGTCTCCAAATCAAATGTGATCACCGTTTGATTCTCACCTAGGTATGCGTGGTTTTGCCTTTTCAGCTGCCTTTCTTTCAACTCTGGCGTTGGCATTCCCGGATCCATTTTTGAATTCCTCAAGGCTACCAATTTTACCATGTGCTTTCCACTCTTGAAAAGGTATAAAGAGGATGATCTAAGAACGTACGATTCAACAACTCTTCTTCTGTTCTTCTAACCTCCTTATCGTCTGTTACTTAAACCTCCATATCAAAGGCAAAAGGTACAGTTGTACACACTTACCAATTAGTATCCACATCTATATCATATATAGATACTACACACCACCATCACCACACAAACACACACACACACACACACACACACACACACACTTCATACGACGTGACACATACCATAACAAATCAAGTGTCGAAAAGGGAAAAGAAAGAGAAGAAAAAAAATGTCTTCAGTTTCTATCCACGTCGAGAACCGCCAATCCGGCAAAAACGCCAACGCCAACGTGCCCGTCAACGGCCACAAACAGACCTTTGGCAGTCTGTACGGCGGTACCTTTGGCGGTCAAGTCACGGTGGACGCCATCTTCGTCCAATCCCCCGGCACCGCCCAGGGGGTCAAGATTGTCGTCTCGGACGCCCAGGGTCACCAGAAGGCCGTGCTGGACGACAACGGTACCCCTTACGTGATCGGTTCCGTCACCGACATCACGAATTGGACCATCAGTGCTACGAAGCAGTAAAGACTTGGTCCAATGGAGGTCTAGGACCTTTTTGGTGTTTCGGGGTGGATAAGAATGACGATGACAACGATGGATGTGAAGAGGGAAGAGAACAACAACAACAACAACAACAACAACCAAAAATAGGTGAAATGGAAATTGATCATACGTATTCCATGCCAACCACTCACTTCCCCAGGATATGTTTGGACCAAAAAGAAAAGTCGGTCTAATGGTTTTGATTTTGAAACAACCACAAGGGGAAAAAAACAACAAAAACAAAAGGCGACAAGAATCAACGACTCGGGTAGAACCCCCAAAAGTGTTTTTTTTTGGATGATGGGTCGATGGGTTCATCGATCGTGGCACTACTACTACGGATGGTGACAAGCGTATTCTCTGTACAGTTACCATTCTGGACCCGTACCTTTGGAACTTAAGTAGGTACCTTACTTGAGTGGAAAGTGTACACTAGTAGTAGTAGGTATGTACTGAACCTAGAAGTGATGACCCTAGGTAAATTTTTCCCCCCCCAAAGGCTCAGGTCACGGCAAATCAAAACAGTGACAATACACACACACTCTTTATACAATTATCAAATCAATATCAATTCAAACATTTATTCAAATACCCCGAAATTAAAACACTGCTAGCTGTATACATACACACACACACACACACACACACACACACACACACACAC